AATGCGAAGTGGATTCATCGTGAACTTAACTCGTTGTGATTGGATTTTATTAGCAGAAGCCATTAGACGGGATTGCTGCAGGTATTGTTAAAAGAACCGGGTTATCAAAATTCTCCAGACATAATTTCGCGTCTGTTCCTCCCAAGGTTGCTGGTGAGAGTTTGTTTGTTGTAGTAAGTTTCGAATTTATGGGACTAATTATCTCGGCCGACATAATTTAAGGGTCATAACATAATTAATACTCAACCCTTCGGGGGAGGCTTATTTGGACGACAAATAGTTCTGACTGGTTTAGCGTGGAAAACGTCCCGGCCGCCCAAAAATGATTAATCCGCGATTTGAGGAGCGATTTTGACAGGGAATTTTCGAAAGAGCGATTAAAAAAGTTGAAAAAATCGTCCCGGTAATTGCCGCGGTGGAGTAGATTGGCCCTACAAGAGCGAAATCTGCGCGATAAATGAAAGGTTGTTCTGCTTTTATTCGCTCGCCGAATATCAACAAACGCGCCACAATCGGAGAAAAGGGTCCTTTGGAAGCGTTTGCGCTCCCCGGAGGACAATTAATAGCTTTTTCAGATCGTGAAAAGACCCGTAGATCACCTAAAACCCTTCTGTTTCTACTCCACTCCTCCGTAAAACGTTGATTTACTATTGCATAAACAACCAGCTAGAAAATATTTTTTTGAAATATTATTAGAGCTTTGTAAAAAAGTAATACCCACTCCATGCTCTGTTAAATTTAAATACCTACACATACAATTGAAGTTTACATAAACGTTTTTAGAGCTTCTCACAAATACATTTCTGTTTTGATATGTTATTTTTATGAATAAACGTTTATTTGTAGTAAAAATATGTATCAATATCCATTTTTGAGAACGGGTTTGTTGTACTATTCGCAAATGTATTTCGTTACATTGTATTTCAATACATTTTTCGGAATCAAACACGAAAAAAAGTGATTTCTCAGGAGACCGGCTCTATTTTATCCGGCGATTTGCTTGAGCATCAACAACAAATAAAAAAATGTCTTTGTTCCGTAATAAAGGAGGATTTATCGGTTCCATTTTAGAAATATGATTAAATGTCTCCCCGCGGGACGCTCTCGAGAATTTCAATGGCTCGGGAATGGTTTTTTAATGATTCTAGACAACTGTAAAAATTGCTCGGCGTCAAAAATTTAAGCCAACTCGAAATGTATAAATAACGGATCCGGTCGAGCGAAATATTTCGCTAATAAAGCGAAAAACTAATTTCGAGCGAGGTGCGATTACCTATTGCAAAATGCCTGTTTTTTCTTATCGCCCGAAATTAATGCTCGAATATTTTTCAGCGGAGCCTCCCGAAATCATGGACCTATTCGTTCAGCGAAATAAATTCGTTAAATATTTCATTGAGGCTCAGACGAGAAAGAACGCGATGCGTAGGTGCAATTTATCTTTCTAATTTTAACTTAAAACAAAACCGTGTTCTCGCTAAATGATTCCTCTATCAGATTTTTTCTTTACCCCAACTAAAACCGAAACTTCAAGGGGGGGTTTACAAATTCCTGTTGCATGTAAAAATAGCTACGAAAAAACCTATAAATTTGTGTTCTTGGAGCTTCTATGACCTTTTGAATAGAGCCTTTTTACGATGACATCCCTTAATGAATGTTATCTTCAATCGAAACTCTATATTTAATCTAATTTTATAAGTAGAGCATCCCAAATTTATTAATTAACACCCTGTATACAAGAAATTATAATAATCGCTCCCCCATGATTGATTCAACCGCTTGCCGTGTCGCAGAAGCGAATTTAATATTCTTTCTACATTTCTTTATATTCACTTGCGTATTAAATTCCTCGAAGTTTCCAACAAAACAACCAAGTTTCCCGAACCGAATTCGTTAGTCTAAACTTTAGATATGGAATTGTGTCAAATACAATTATGAAAGTTTGGAAGTTAACCCACGTCTTCGATGCTGAATGCACCCCTTTTGTCAGAGGTATTATTTTAGAAACACTGAAGGAAATATTGATTACGATACGAAACAGGAACATGTCGAAAGTCCATGAGACAATTTATTTATAGCTTGTTCGGTAATAGGTCTATTCAGTGTGTATTCAGTATTCAATTTTGTTTGTGATATTTTCTTTAAAAAATAACCTAAGCATACTCCAAGCCCTCTAAACGCTTTCGCGGAGTATTTAAGAAATTTGGATTCGGGATAAATTCGTCCACTTCTCCACCGCCGTATCCTCCCCACATCCTCGGCTTTCGTAACTTTAGGGGCTACTGTTAAGTGGAATTACATCGCGTTCCCGTGTTTCGTTTCGAAACTTCGCTGAATGGCCGAATTACGGCATTCGCTAAACGTATAGATTTCGAGGTGCTTAAAATATCATCCATCTCCGCGGCGTCTCGAGTTACACATTAGATTGAATTACGGTTAAATTCGGCGGATAACACTCGGTATTACGCCTCTTGTTCGTCGTCGACAAACAATTTTTTTTTCTATCGATAAAAGCGCGTGACGAGGCGTAACTACTTTTCAGTCGACAGACGTCTCGTGTTACCCCCACAATGGGGCTGTTTCTTCCAGGGAGAGGTGTGTATGCAGATAGATTGAATGTTTCGAAAAGTGGGGAATGATTAAAGGAGACTAAATGTCCCGATTATGAGATAATTCAGGCTTGATTCAGGGTGCATTTATCGTAGAGGAATAAATCTGACTAATTTTCAACTAGATATCATTAGAAAACCTTATACATAATTATTGCGAATTTTCTTTTCGTTGGAAAATCAATCATCAATTTATTATATGTCGACTTGATCCATTTTTTCCAGTATGGTAATATAACAAGAAAATAAATACGCGATTGTTGTAAAAAATTACATCAGTCCTGCAAACATGTCGTACGACGGTTTTTCTTGTTCGAAAAAAATGATTTATGCGCCGTAACCTCATAGAATGTTCCCGTTGAAATCATAAATTTTAAAAGAGAAATACACCAGGTGCGGGTAATCCGCTTTCGGTTTGATATTAATACGCATAATGTAGCCGGGAACTTATGAAAACGAAGAGAAAATGCGAAAATGGAATAATGTACGAGGCCGCATTGTAACTACTTACACGATGGGAGACGCACTGCTCCGAAAATTTGCCCTCTTACAAGTGTTTTGGCCGTTTTTCGACCGTTTTTTCATCTTAATTTTAGTTTTGTCTAATACATAATCTACCTATTAGATTAATAAAAAAATTGTGCATGATATAGAACTACTTGCAGTTTTGGAAATGACCTTGACAACTTCAGCTATATCTCTCGATCTGTAGATACATAAATATTCATTCATCTGTCAAGATTCAAATTTCGATCGGAATTTATTGACGACTATTTAGTATTTTTTACGACGAGAAACTTTAATTCCATCGTCGATACTTTTGGAAACCATCCAGACAGAATTTATCTTTTTTATCTAGAATTTCAGGTTGTTACACAAAGTTTTACGTCACTTCTATATTATGGAAGATCGTAAAACGTTCCTATGAAAAAAAATATATAATACGATTTCATTACAGATGGAATGTGACGTTAAGGAATGGCGGTAAATCGTTTAGAATCTATTTCAGATATTGTTTCTTGATTTTCTGGATTTTCTATCAAAGGAAACATTTTTTGATATAAAAATTTTTCAAGTTAACAAGCGACAGAGCGATTAATAATAGAGGGAAAATAACGAATTTTGATGAGAAAATTCCAGCTTGTGACGCTTTATCTGCATACCCAAAAACTATCATAAATCCCTCGAATGTTGCAATTGCTTGATGACTACACTAAAATCGAATTAATTTATGAAAAGAGGAAATTAATTTAATTCGATCCATCCGCTTTGGAATGACCGCAACGTTCGATTTCACGCGTACGCAGAGCGATTTAATGGGATAATTGAAATTACAAATTAGCACCGTCACATAAATCGAAAGGGACAGTTTTATTTACGATTGTCTGGACCGCGGGCCGGGAATTTCGCATTTGCATAAAAGGGATCACCGAACGGTGTCGAGTAGATTGAGTAATTGATATTTTGATTTTCCACGCATTTTCTATAATCGCCCGGCTTTCGAAACTTTCCGAAACGTCGCGTTCGTATAATAATTCACATTTAATTAGGCGAAATCGCTCCCGACCGACTAAATAACGCCTATTAATGAACTGTCGGGGAGTTTTAGAAGGAAAATTTGTATCTATTATGCTCCTACGTATCCCTTAAACGTTTAACATATTGGATTTTGCAGGTGGTATTAATATTAGAGGAAATATTCCACTACTAAATGAGTATAAACCTTTTCTGTAAAGTCTAAATTAATCTCGCGAAATTAAGTAAATTAAGAAAGTTGATGACAACTGATCTAACCAAAAGTGCTATAAAACGAACTATAAAAATATAATTTAATCTTACAAATATTTTTTATATGGAAATTTTCAACTCGCCTTGACGCCCCCTGCAAATCCTCGTACTTCTAACGACTACTCTAACGATCAAATGACTGAATTTTCGTCGAAGGAGAATTTAAAAATTTCTTCATTAATAATGAATCCTCTCTCTCTCGCCGGGCTCCTAACGAAATTTGCGTAAAAGTCGCCCGAAAAATATGGAAAGAAAAACGCTCTCTTCCCTCCTAAACAGAAATCGAGTTAGGCCCCGTCTTTATTACGGAGTATTACAGAGAGGTCGAGATACCGCAACCGTTACCATCGGACCGATTTGTATCTCTTGGCTTCGTCGCGACGCCGACGCCAGCGGCGGGTTCCCTTGCTCGATATATCATCCACGTTTATTGCTAGAACTATTGGTTCAACAGTGGTATTGATTCCAATGCTAGTATCAACCATTGGTCCAGATTAAAGTTGAGGATAGGCAACTTATCGATTCAAATAAAGAGATCTTAACTGCTCGATAATACGAGTTCAAGCGAGAACAGCTCATGTAGTACCTCTATTTGTTTTGTTCCAGCGTGTTCTGTGTCAGTTGGAGTGTGGACTTTGGTGGCGATTTCAGTGGAAAGATACTACGCCATCTGCCACCCTTTGAGGTCATTGCGATGGCAGACGCTCAGCCACGCTTACAAGCTGATCTTCGCGATTTGGATCGGCAGCGTCGTTTGTATGGCTCCCATAGCGGCGCTCAGCCAGTTGCAGCCGACGAGACAAGGTAGAGAATGGGATATACCGTATGGATCGTACGATTCATTCGATTGGTTTGTAGGAAATCAGAAATGCAGGGAAGATTGGTCGTCGTTGGACTGCGAGAAAGCTTATAACATCTTCTTGGACGTGGTGTTGTTGATAGTACCGTTACTGGTGATGGCCATAACGTATTCGTTGATAACGATAACGTTGTGCAAAGGGATGAGAACTAAGAAATCCCCGGTGTGTCACGGTAAGTTAGAATAATAAAAAGAAATTGGCGGTCCCCGTTTCGACAAATTACCCTTTTTAATTTCGATGTTTTAATTAGGAGTTGAATCGTTTACCTTTCGCGCAAATCCGGCGGGGAAACGAAAAGTAATTTGGGTCAGAGATATAGAAGTGCGCCTCGAAATTACATCGAAACGAGAATAAAAGTGAAATATTCCCTCATTAGAAATACCGGTTTTGTTCGTAGCCGTTATTTATAGTCGGGCTTACGACCGAAAGTAAGTACTCGGAGAAAAATGCCGGCCGGGTTTTTCGTTCGGCATTAACGCCATTGTTGCTACACTCTAATGTCGTGTATCGAGAGTGCGGCGGACAGAGAATTCATTAATTTCGAAGAAAAACGATCGCCGCTTATTTATCGGACGCGCCAAATCGATAACCGTTAACTCATACCAAAAACGAATGTTCCAGCCATCGTTAGACCTCGCTAATGCCGCCCGATTTGATTCCACAGGTACCGGCAGCGCGGTGAAAGTTTACGTGAACATAAAAGGCCGCAGTTCGACGCGCTCGTCGCACCGCAACTCCTTCTGCCCCTACTCCAGCAGGCAGCCGTTGCAGCAGAACTGGTCGCAGGACTCCGGCAGCCCCGTCGTCGGCTCGCGGCGGCTCACCGCCGGCCTGCGCAAATCGAACGCCGAGCGCAGCTTGTTGAACAAGAAGCGCGTCGTCAAGATGCTGTTCGCCGTCGTGCTGGAGTTCTTCATCTGCTGGACGCCGCTCTACGTCGTCAACACCGTCGCCCTCTTCGACGCCTCGCTGGTCTACGACAGCATCGGCATCTCGGGCGTCAGCTTCTTCCAGCTGCTGGCCTACACGTCGAGCTGCTGCAATCCGATCACGTACTGCTTCATGAACTTCGGCTTCAGGAAGTCGTTCTTGAATTTGTTCAGGTGCTCGAGGCGGTTCAAGAACACCGGCCTGAACGGCAGCGAGATTAACATGGAGACGAAATGGACTAATAGGTTGAGCGAGCCGGCTTGATGACAGTGCTCGACGAGTACCATGATATGAAGAGTTGAGGATATACCAAAAGGGATGGTTTTGAAATCGTTTATCTATTAATTATGCATTTTTAAAATGATAGGGGCGAAACTTAAAATTGATTATACTCGAGCTTATTTTCAAAGAAGTATTGTACTATTGAAGGAACAATTAAAGTTGTAATTTCGAGAGAACGTGAGATTAACATTCTATTCGGAGTAAATTAAATTGAGCTCTATAATCGTTTTAATTAATTCTACACTCTACATAATCGTATAAGTATCGATTAACATGGGCTTGAACGAGGGGTCTCATTAATTATAGGTTGTTATCACTATGGGTTGTTTTTCTAAATTGGCTTGTTAATCGATTTTATATTACATAATAGTTATTTCAAAATTACACCGACAAGCTTTATGAAAAAGCGTATATTGAAATAAGTTATTAATAACTTAATCATAGCTCTATGAATAAATTATGAATAATTACCTTTTGGTACATTTGCAACTCTTCATAACTGCGTACGAATAAAAATTGTGTAAATAAAACAATGAAAACAAAAACAATGTTTCTCAGGAAATACATTGTACCGATAAGTGTAAATAAAGTGTTATTAATATTCATGTTTGTATCCAAAATCAAAAACACTCGATTGCTATAATGTTTCAATTAATGTGTATAATAAAGTTTTTGTGAAATTGAGATTGACTGATGATGTAATTAGTTGTAATTATTTACTTACCCTGTTGTATCATTTAAAAAAATACCGAAAATCACCTTCTTTCAATCAAATAATGTAATTGCATTTAATAAACGTTTTCTTATCAATACATTTAAAACCGACGAAAATTAAATTAGCAATATAATTTAATTTAATTTAAAATATCTTCCGTGTTATTAATTTTGTTCATGCGAATATAATTAAATGCAAAAATGAAATTACTATTGAAAATAATTTCATTTATTTCGACACATCTATTGGCAACAAACGTTGCTCTTGCAGAAATCGACGAAGATAATACGAACAGTAAGTACGCTATAAAAAAAATAAGTAATGCTCCTTCAAAACGAATAATTAGATGATACAAAAATTTCGCAGTAACAATCAACCTGAGAAATGGAAAGTCGCAATGTAGCTGGATAACAGAAAAGAACAAATCATGCGAAGACGTAAAACCAGTAGGGATAATATTACAACAATTTTCATCGGTAGAATATTACAGCTTATTATGCAATGGTGTAAACATCGGAGGTAATTAAACCAATTCGTACATCAAAAACTCTCTTCAAAATTACTCCCAGTTCTTCCCAACATAGTCTAATCAATTTTCAGAAAACACAGCAGTGGTACCAACGGAATGCTTCGAATGGTACGGCAAACCCATGGAGGACTATTTCGTAACAACAAGCAGCGATTCCTGGTGCATTGACTCGATGAAACACGCCATCGCCGGCTACGAGATCGTCGAGCGCAACGGGGTAAATCTGACATTTTTGCACGGGGATCCCCCGATCCTCCCAACCTGCGATCCCTTTCGAGTCGCCAGCGACACCCCCACCGAGCTGGTCGGATTCAGGGGGAACAGCAAGAAGGGCTACGCGGTGTTGTTCGACGTGAACTGCAGGCCCGAGATTCCCACGGGCGGGCTCTTCACGTTCGACGGCTCTTTCTTCGGGTTCCAGCACCCCAGGTGCGAATACAGCAACGAACGCGGGCCTATAGAAATCAGCGCGTATTTTAAACCGCCGGTTCCAGAAAGCCATTCGGAGGATGATCCGGGGATGTACGATGATCGTAATGCAAACGCCAGCCATTGCAGCATGGATATAAAGACCTATTGCGAGAAAATGCTGCGTGCCGAGGAACTTATAGAAGACCTGGGGCAGCGCAATCGCAGCTTAATGGAAAAAACTGAGTTGTTGGAGAGAAGAGTGACCGATTTGGAGGCGCTCGTGGAGAATTTGATGGCGCAACTGAACAATTTGGGCGAAAATGTGGCGACAGCGCAGAACAAAACAGCCGAGTTAATCGAGGATAACAATCCGAAAAAATATATCGAAAACACCACTAGTGAAGTGCACGAAATTCAATCCGCTATAGACGACTTGAAAACCGAATTGCATAAAACCGAGGAAAAACTCACTAACGAATTGAAACTAAACGAAGAAAAATTAATGGAAACCATTCAAAATCTCACCGAATTGGCTAACGCAACGCAAATCAACGAAACTCAACCACAATCGTTCGATATAGAATCACTCAACACAACTGTTTGGTATCAAGAACTACTAAACGAAATTAAAAACAATATTAGCGACATCAAAAAAGAGACAAATGACAACAACAAATATTTCGAAAACGCCACTAGTGAAGTAAACGAAATTCAATCCGCTATAGACGACTTGAAAACCGAATTGCAGAAAACCGAGGAAAAACTCACCAACGAATTGAAACTAAACAACGAAAAATTAATGGAAACCATTCATAATCTCACCGAATTGGCTAATACAACGCAAATCAACGAAGCTCAACCACAATCGTTCGATACAGAATCTCTCAACACAACTGTTTGGTATCAAGAACTACTAAAGGAAATTCAAAACAACATTAGCAACATCAACAAAGAGACAAACGACAGCAACAAATGTTTAGAAGAAATTAAATCTGAAAACGAAAACAACAAATTGCTTTTAGAAGAATTTAAGCGAGACATGAGCATCTTGTATTTATTGCAGAATGATACCAGAAGTAAGCTTGATGATCGCATTGAGAAATTAGACCTCAAATTGGATCACACAAAGTATCGAAATGATGTTCTATTCGAAGATATCATCCAAACGATATACGAACTGAAAAACCATACGGAGAAAAACGATTCCAACAAGACAATTGAAGACATTAAATCATCAATCGATAAACTTGAAGAGGAGAATGACGAGAATGAACATAAAATTGAAGAATTATTGAACAATGCATCAGATAACAAAACTATCGAGGAACTCGATGAAAAAATTCAACAAATTCTTAATAAACTGGAGGAAGATGAACGTGAAATGAAGAATAATTTAGATAAAATACGTACGGATAACGATGAAAACAAACAGAAAATAGACGAGGAAATAAAAAATTTGCAAAATCAAAATAATCAAACGAAAGACTACGTCGAGCAAATATTAAACAATACAGAAAGTAAACACAACGAATCTTTGTGGAATGAAGAACTAATTCAAGATATTAAAAACGCTATTAATAAACTCGAAGAAGATACTCAACAAACAAAAAATAATCTAAGCGAATTACGAGAGGAAAACGACGAGAACAAATCGAAAATACTGGACATTTTGATCGACATTAAAAATTTGCACACGCAAGAAAATAGCACCAAAAGTAGTCTCGAACAAATATTAAACGACTTGGGAACAAATTTCACAAAGAACACATCCCGAAACAACGAACAACTCATCGAAGAAATGAGGAACACCATCAACAGCATCGAAGAAGAAACTCGAGAAACGCTATCTCAATTGAACGGTTTGCAAAATGAGAGCGAAGAAAGCAAATCCGAGATACAAAGAATATTGAATGATATTAATGATTTAAAGTCGAGTGACAACCAAACTAAAAACGACGTTAAAGAAATTAAAAATAATCTCACAACTTCATCGAATTGGACAGATGAATTACTTGAGGAAATTAAAAATGCCATCGATAACATCGAAAAAGAGTCTGTAAATACACGCTTCCAATTAAACGATTTGAGAACAGATAACGATGAAAACAAATCTATGATGGAGGATATTCTGAGCGATATTCAAAATTTATATTCGCAAGAAAATCAGACTAAAATCGATATCAAGCAATTAATAAGCGATATTGAACGATTTGATAACGCATCATATCCTAGTGTTGAAGAACTTGAAGATGTTAAAAAACATATAAGCAATATCGAAGAGGAAGCTCAAAATATGAATAATCAATTGACAGAAAATAAATCCACCATAGAAAAAATTCTCAACGACATTGAAAATTTGTATTTGCAAGACAATCAAACGAAAAATGATTTTGATAAAATTTTGAGAGCATCTGAAAATGCTTCAATGATTAATAATGATATAATTGAGGACATTAAAAATACCGTAAATAATCTAGAAGAAGTTACCAATAATAGCAAAACACAATTAAAAGAAATTCAGAAGGACAATGATGAAATTAAATCCAACATGGAGAAAATTAACAATGATTTAATAAATCTCTATACAGCATACAACGACACCAAAATTAAATATGATAACGAAACTAACAAGCACAATGAAGAACTTGTAAATATCAGAAAAATTATCGTTAAAGTAGAAGAAGAAGCGCAAAATATTGAAACCAAGATAGAAGATATAAAGGAAGAATTAAAAATCTTTTATTTAAAGAGCAATGAAACCAAAAGCGAAATTGAACAAACTTTAAACGACATGATAGTGTCATCAGCAAACACATCGATCGAGATTAATGGATTAATTCAAGATATTCAAGGCATTATAAAAGATGTTGAAAATCGGACCCAAGAAACTAACACCCAATTAAGTGAAATTATACACAATAGTACCGAAAACAGATTGAAAATACAAGAAATTCTCAGCGACGTCAATAATTTGTATTCACTTAGCAATGAAACCGATAAAAAATTGGAGCAAACATTGAATGAATTATCAAGTATTAGTGCATCAGAAAACACATCTGCTAGCACTGAAGAACTAATTAACGATATTAGTAACGCTATAATTAATCTCGAAAAAGATGCACAAGAAACCAAAACTCAACTAAACGATACAAGAAATAGAAGTGATAAAAACACTTTCGAAATCGAAGAATTGCTCAAGCGTTTAAACTGGCTAAATCAAAACAGCAATAACACGTACGAGGATATCTATTCGAAAATCGACCACGTAACGAAACACGATAGAGAGCTGTTCGAACAGGTTTTTCAAACCATCGATGAAATCGAAAATCATTGGGAATCTCATATTGTGAAGGACCTTATTAAAAACATCACCAGTATGAAAGAAGAAACTGAAAACACCAGAACTCGTTTGGATCAAATGCGAAACGATACCGACGAAAATAAATCTAAAATGCACGAACTCGCTGAAGATTTAGGTGAGTTGTACAGTAGAAATAATCGAACCGAGACGAAAATTGAACAAAACATTAACGATATACAAGAAATGAAGAATGAATTCGTCGAAAATAAATCTAAAATAAACGAACTGGCTGAGGATTTAGGTGAATTGTACGGTAGAAATAATCGAACTGAGTCGAGAATTGAACAAAACATTAATGATATAAAAGAAATGAAGAATGAATTTTTTGAAAATAAAACTAAAATTAACGAACTTGTTGAAGGTTTAGGTGAATTGTACGGTAGAAATAATCGAACTGAGTCGAGAATTGAGCAAAACATTAACGACATAAAAGAAATGAAGAATGAATTCGTCGAAAATAAATCTAAAATGAACGAACTTGTTGAAGATTTAGATGAATTGAAAGGTAAAAATAATCAAACTGAGTCGAGAATTGAACAAAACATTAACGATATAAAAGAAATGAAGAATGAATTTGTTGAAAATAAATCTAAAATAAACGAACTCGTTGAAGATTTAGGTGAATTGAAAGGTAAAAATAATCGAACTGAGTCGAGAATTGAACAAAACATTAACGATATAAATGAAATGAAGAATGAATTTGTTGAAAATAAATCTAAAATGAACGAACTCGTTGAAGATTTAGATGAATTGAAAGGTAAAAATAATCAAACTGAGTCGAGAATTGAACAATACATTAACGATATAAATAAAATGAAGAATGAATTTGTCGAAAATAAATCTAAAATAAACGAAGTCGTGGAAGATTTAGGTGAATTGAAAGATAAAAATAATCGAACTGAGTCGAGAATTGAACAAAACATTAACGATATAAATGAAATGAAGAATGAATTTGTTGAAAATAAATCTAAAATGAACGAACTCGTTGAAGATTTAGGTGATTTGAAAGGTAAAAATAATCAAACTGAGTCGAGAATTGAACAAAACATTAACGTTATAAAAGAAATGAAGAATGAATTTGTTGAAAATAAATCTAAAATGAACGAAGTCGTGGAAGATTTAGGTGAATTGTACGGTAGAAATAATCGAACTGAGTCGAGAATTGAACAAAACATTAACGATATAAATGAAATGAAGAATGAATTTGTTGAAAATAAATCTAAAATGAACGAAGTCGTGGAAGATTTAGGTGAATTGTACGGTAGAAATAATCGAACTGAGTCGAGAATTGAACAAAACATTAACGATATAAAAGAAATGAAGAATGAATTTGTTGAAAATAAATCTAAAATAAACGAAGTCGTGGAAGATTTAGGTGAATTGAAAGATAAAAATAATCGAACTGAGTCGAGAATTGAACAAAACATTAACGATATAAATGAAATGAAGAATGAATTTGTTGAAAATAAATCTAAAATGAACGAACTCGTTGAAGATTTAGGTGAATTGAAAGGTAAAAATAATCAAACTGAGTCGAGAATTGAACAAAACATTAACGATATAAAAGAAATGAAGAATGAACTGGTTGAAAATAAATCTAAAATGAACGAACTTGTTGAAGATTTGGGTGAATTGTACGGTAGAAATAATCGAACTGAGTTGAGAATTGAGCAAAATATTAACTATATAAAAGAAATGAAGAATGAATTCGTCGAAAATAAATATAAAATGAACGAACTTGTTGAAGATTTGGGTGAATTGTACGGTAGAAATAATCGAACTGAGTTGAGAATTGAGCAAAATATTAACGATATAAATGAAATGAAGAATAAATTTGTTGAAAATAAATCTAAAATGAACGAACTTGTTGAAGATTTTGGTGAATTGAAAGGTAGAAATAATCGAACCCAGACGAAAATTGAACAAAACATTAACGATATACAAGAAATGAAGAATGAATTCGTCGAAAATAAATCTAAAATGAACGAACTCGTTGAAGATTTAGGTGAATTGTACGATAGAAATAATCGAACTGAGTCGAGAATTGAACAAAACCTTAACGACATAAAAGAAATGCAGAATGAATTCGTCGAGTATAAATTAAAAATAGATAAAATCGAAAATGATCGCAAACCCCCCAAAAAAGGGAGGAATCCGAAGCGCATCTTAGACCAACCAAATTACCCAGAAAAATCGATAGAATTAAGTCAAGAAATTAATTCAGAAAAATTAAAGGAAAAAACGGAATTGATGTATTAAAATATTGCAACGAAAAATTCCGCAAAAATCTAACCAAAGGATACGAATTAATCGTTTTAGACGCAAAAGATATTCAAAATGAAGCGAAAAATAATATTATTTAGAAAGTAAATAGCAACTTCTATGTAATGCACCAAACCTTTGAAGATATTAGAATATACCCAGAAATATAATATTCTATATTAGAAAAATCTAATCAAATTCTCAACGAGATTATAACGAGAATTTACTAAAATATTAACAGTAATAGAAAAAAACCAAGAGAAAATACACTAAAGCATACTCGATAAAGTTTGCAAGAATTTCAACGAATTCGAAACGTTTAAAGCTGAAATGAACGATATTTACACGAGATTTGATCAGAAATTAAACAACACCATCGGAAATTGCCAGGCACGTGGAAGGAATAAAATTAATGGCACCATTTCTAATGGAAACACTTTATTCGTTGACAAAATATTCTCCCTGTTTAGTACAAGGAAAAAATATGTATAACCATTAGGTAATGATATTAATGAAGTATATTGTAAATTAATAAGTAATGTAATTAGTTTTGTAAATGTTAGAGGTGGTTGAAATGAAAAGAATTGATATAACTATTTATTCTAATTACTGTGCACTCATAAAGCCGAATTAAATTGAATGATAATAATTAAATAAGTACTGATAGCTGAAAATAAGGTAGATAAAATGGTTTGATTGATGTAGAAAAATCCAGCGGCCGAAAAGTTCGGCAACAATTTCTCTGCAAACTGCACGAAACTGACCAGATCATCCCGTATTGGAGTTTTATTTAATAAACCTGGTTTTAAGTAGCACAATATCACTATTTTCCTCGCCGTCTTATTCACTTTGTCGCAGGAAAACACTATTAAAATCGTTGAAATCTACAACAAAGAATTAGTATTGTTTATATTGTTTTAATATTAGTAAATTTTTACAAATACTTTCTGAATAGATATTTATTTACCTATGCTCATTAACTCACTTCTTTAGTAAATCGAAATTTGTCGATTTTTTTTTTTCAGTATGTACTCGTAAATAGACAACTAATGAAATTCAAATATTTAGATTTACCGTTTGATTGAAATCTACTCTTTCCAGCTACAAATTTCGCAATCAATAATAAATTAAGTAATCAATAATGTGAGAGTGCCAGAAGCAATACGTTTTTAACGCCCAATGTAAAAGTGAATTTACACACTACTATTAGAGTAATTGATTATAAAAATAAATACAAGGAAAAAAGGCATTGAACAAACCCCTAGAATTTTTTATATTTATACCTTTAACTACCTCTAGTACACTTCACTGTTAGACTTACCGAATAAGCGAGCACGTACACTAAATTAGCAGCGATGATACCATAATTGAAATAAGAATCACCGGTACCATAATACAGCAAAACATAATCAATATCCCCCAACGAAGCCAAAAAAGCGGAAATGGTGTTCAAAAAAATCAACCAACCGAAAATCACATTATACTTCTGAATCACGTTATGCAATCTCAGCATAGCCTCTTTCATTTCCACCAGAGTCTTGCAACTCCCGTAATTAGCCTGTATAATAGCGTACTCGCCGCTTATTATCTCGCTCAAAGACCCCAAAACAATCTCGTACCTCGCGTGTAACAAGCGGGTCAAGTTGATGGAGAATAAAACTATGAAGAACTGATACAGCATGATGATCCTGTAGAAGACGTAACCGGCTTCCATTCGGAATTGCAAGTCCCACATGAAGATCTCGAAATAGTGCAGCAAACAGTAGACGATTACGAAGAACACCAGCAGGATGATGTGCTTGAGGGCGGTCGCTTTCGACAGGCCCCCGTCGTGCTTCAAAATGCGATCGACGCCGTCGATGTCGAGGAACAACGAGTTCCAGTGCTTGATGTTGCTCGAAGCGCCCACGAAGCACAGCACCATCCACAGCCACTCCAGCACCAGCTCGACGAATTCCAGGATGATGAGGGACGGTCTGGAGATTCGCCATTCGTTGTCGATTCGATTCGACAGCGAGAAGACGGACGCGAAACTGGCCGTCAGAGAAAACAGAACGTTGGAAATGATATTCCAGACGGTCGGTCGGGAGTTCTTTCCGATGCAGGTCAGGCCGAAGAAGAATCCTATCTTGTGGTACATTTGAATCACGTACACGTCCGTGTTGATTTCTTCGGGTTTGACGCCGTTGTTGGGCTCGAATAGGTAGTGGAGTTTCGATTCGCTCGGTAACATTTTTGATGTGGATCGGTGGTGGTTTAAATGATTCTAAAATTCGATTACGCAGCTCGGTTCGATTGATTAAATTGTTGTTTACAGAGAAAGCGGCGATTTATCAAATTTGTGCAACGGTAATGAGGTAAATGTTTGCTTGTTTTTGTGGTGGAATGTACACGTTATACGAGGCTATTTTGTAATTTATAATCTGGAAACTATAGGAAGCACTGTTAATAATTGTTATTACCTATAGTACATGAAAAAGTAATGTAGGAGATTTATAGTCAAACGAACCGAGTATTATTTCATAAATAATTCTCTATAACGCATTTGGTTTCATAAAATTATAATTCATTTTTTTAAACAAGTATCGATTTGAAAGTTCATGATGTAATTATAGCAATTTAGTAACTGTATAAACAACAATAATAATTTTAAAATATGTATAATTAATTAACCGAATTTAATCCTTTATTTATTTAGGTAATCCTTAATGTGATTCTCTCTGCTGTTTTCAACTAAATTATCCAAATATGGGTAAACATAATAAATTGAAACACAAATTCCCCAAAAATATTGTTTTAATGTTTATACATTAGTTGAGACTTAAATTAAAAAATATTATTTTTATTGTAACCGTATTAAAATACATTTTATTTATTGGACAATCCGAACACTTTATTACATTAATTAAAATGATCAATCTAAATAAACTAATCTAATTCATCACACCTCAAAAACTACCAAGTACAAAATACAATAAAGCATTGCAAAATCACGAGAAGTCTTCAACAATTGAAGAAAATCCTAACTAATAGAGATCTTTATTTAGAACGCAGTTATTGTTTACATGTAAACTTCAAACAGTTTAGTCGAACGCAGACTCTATCGAAACCGTTCAAATCACAGTGGTCATCAAGCCGGCTCGCTCAGCCTATTAGTCCACTTGGTCTCCATGTTAATCTCGCTGCCGTTCAACCCGGCGCCCTTCGACCGCCTCGAGCAGCTGAACAGGCTCACGAACGCCTTCCTGAAGCCCAAGTTCATGAAGCAGTACGTGATCGGATTGCAGCAGCTCGACGTGTAGGCCAGCAGCTGGAAGAAGCTGACGCCCGTCACGCCGATGCTGTCGTAGACCAGCGAGGCGTCGAAGAGGGCGACGGTGTTGACGACGTAGAGCGGCGTCCAGCAGATGAAGAACTCCAGCACGACGGCGAACAGCATCTTGACGATGCGCTTCTTGTTGGAGAGGCTGCGCTCCGCGTTGGTCCTGCGCAGGCCGGCGGCCGGGCGCTTCGAGCCGGCGACGGGGCTGCCGGAGTCCTGCGACCAGTCGGGCTGCAAGCGCTGCCTGCCGGCGTGGGGACAGAAGGAGCTGCGGCAGGACGAGCGGGTGGACGTTACGCCCTTCAAGTTCACGTAGACGTTCACGCCGTTGTTTTGAACTGAAATTGCAGTTGTGATGATTGATGAACGGGCTTTTGAAAGAACGCGATTTTTTTTACCTTGATTAGTTCGCGTGGTTTTTTCGGTTTTCATTCCTTTGCATAAAGTCATCGTTATTAGAGAGTAAGTTACAGCCATTACTAGTAAAGGGATAACTAGCAACACGGCGTCTAAAAATAGGTTGTAGGCCTTCTCGCAGTCTACAGATGACCAGTTTTCTCGGCATTTTTGATTTCCTAAACAACATAATACTTTCTCTAATACTTTAAAATATGCTATAGCATCGCAAATATACCTTGCCTGGTCGGTTGCAATTGGCTAAGGGCTGCTATGGGAGCCATGCAAATTATACTGCCGATCCAAATGGCTAATATTAACTTATAGGCATGGCTGAGGGTCTGCCATCGTAGCGATCGCAATGGATGGCAAATGGCATAGTATCTCTCCACTGAAATGGCAACCAAAGTCCATACTCCCACTGAGACGGAACAAGCTAGAATTAAAACGTATAAATTAATTTTCCTGCATAAAAACACACCAAAAAGCTCTTTATAAACCGATGTCTCATTGAGTTATTGAGCACTAGAAGTCAGTGGAAGTTTAGGAAATTTTGGATTTCCATTCTTGAAACATTCTGTGTAATGGTATAAATAATGGCATGTTGTGAAATAGACTTTTACGGTTAATTTTAGGCGATGGAAGATTTAATGGGAATTTTACTAAAATCGCAAAAAACCGAATTAAGTCTATGACAATCAGCGAGTGTAATTTCTATTAATATAACAATTTTCGGCGTTTCGTGATGTAATTAATTGAACGATAGCGTGACGCGTTTATCCGAAAGTAGCGTTGATTATTTTTTCATCTATAAAAGAAATTATTTTTTACAATAAAAGCCGCAGATTGAGGTGATATAACCGAACTATTTCGTTGGCTTAACGCCCGCGACGATTTGAATTTCGAATATAACGAAATTTCGAGCCTATTTAACAAACGAATATTGGAAATAATCCAATGAACGTTCCCGTTTCATTGCGGTCACGTCTGTTCCATATCGAAGCCTAAGCTACATTTAAAGCGATTTCCGAAAAAAAATCCCCGAAAAAAAAAACCAGCCGTGAATGAATCGCCTTTAATTTTCGGCTCGTACGCGGCCGAATTCGCCGATTTCTTTCCAACATTACCCCCGATGTAGGTGCGATTATTCGACGAACGTCGGAGGGTCGGAATAAATTCGACTAATTAACTGCGAATTATTATTATTCAAATGCGCCGCTCCGGGCGAAAGTTTTGCAACGAGATCATTACGGGAGATCCGAGCGAAATGAAAATATCAATTACTCAATCTTCTCGTCATTTTATTCGGCGGTCCCTTTCATGCAAATCCCGAAATTCCCAGACCATGGTCCAGACTGGAGCTTAATTGAACTGTCCCTTTCGATTTATAATTCGCCCGGTGAAAATTTATAACTTCAATTATCCGTTCATCTACTAAATAGTTTCTAAATAGTCTGCAGTGAGCCAGCACGATCCATTACACCTGTAGGTAATAATGGATTATTATTCAAGAGTTATAGTTAATAACTAAATTGTCTCACTACAACACGCTAATTAATTTCAAATAATTGTAAAACAAACTTCTAATAATAAGGATGTAAGTACAGCAATAGTAATAGTAACTAGTGTATACAAACCACAAATCCGATAGGTATCTTTTCCAAGGTTATCTAACAGTTAATTCTATTATATCTTACCTATTAAACTGCACTACATCGTATTATCCGATCAATTTCGTTGCCGTTGTTTACCCGCAAACATGACCGAAGTTTTGGAAAATATCGACAGTGAAACCCGGCGAAAAATCTTCGCCGAATTCGGGAAAACCGATGAAGATGTAGCGAAAGATAGGGAAATCGTTTCGGAGTGGCTGAAAACTCAGGCGCATTTGCCCGAAACGCCGGGTGAGATGTAATTCATTTATTTTAATTACCCGCCCGTAACTTTGGTAACTTTGCAGCGAGGAACATGATAGATTTGTTCCTGATTTTTAATAAATTCAGCGTTGAAATTACCAAACAAAAGTTGGACATGTATTATACGGTACGGTCTGTTTTTCCGGATTTTTTCGATAATATTCATCCCAATAGCGCGGTAATGAGAAATAATTACAACTCAAGGTGAGTAGTTTTTCGTTTTATCACCTTCACGCTTTATCGCTTTCTGTTATATATCTTAAGAAATATATTAAACAACTTACAGTGCAACAAGAATAGCTGGAGACGCACCATGCGCGAACTTCAACTAGTAATTGCGCAATTCCTAGAGCTATTATTATTGTACTGCAATCGTTTTTATTTGCAGTAATATAATCGTCTTGCCCAAATTGACCGAAGATTTTAGTAGATGTTTCGTGTACACCTTCGAAGATGTACCTACAGACGAACATTTCGTGGAGGCTTTAGTGGGAAAAACGTTGAATGTCCAGGAAGTGCGAATCCACGAGGACTTATCCGCTCATCAATACGTTATTATCGATTTCAAAAATTTGAAACTAGAAAACGCCCTCAAATTCACCCCATCGAATGTGAAAATAACCACGACGCTTTTAGAGGTAAGGGCTTTTTACAAGCATTCATAAAACAAGAGTTTCCTCGTTTACAGCTATTCCTGTCGGGTTGTAAATGAATATGTTATTTTTATACCCATTTTCCTATAATAACGTAGGTATAAAATGTAGGAGTTGGATTAGCGTGTTATTTGTGTGCGTTTTAACAACTATATGCTTTCTTTAATTGTAATTTGCATCCTATTGCGTCAATTACACGTTAGATTTCCTGCGATTATTGTTTGCGTGCACTTTATTTGTGCACTAATAGGATAAAAGCGAAAATTTGAAGAAAATTGATGCGTACAAAAACCATTATTAACTTAATTGGCGCATTAAAAAAATTAACTGTTCATAGTACCGCAAAACGGGTAAATAAAATGCAGCTTAACTCAATTAAAAGGCTAAATAATCAACATAATTTCGTTGTAGAAAGTTTACAGCAATAGATTGAAGCAAATACACTTCCTCAACTTCCACCCGGCTGTTAATATCCTGATGAAACTGGCGAAACTCTTCATGAAACCCAAACTCATCGATAGGGTAAGCCCGGCAAATTTCAAGTAATCGCTTTAGATTCCGAATTAATCCGGTATTACTTCGCATAATTCAGATTAAAATTCACGAATCTCCTGACACCCTAAAAAACTACATCCCGTCGCGCATCTTGCCCAGCGATTTCGGAGGCGAGGAGAAGTCCATCAGCGAGTTGAACGGTATGTTCAAAGATTAACAAGTTTCCCGAGAAACTTGATAATATTTTTCTTTTAATTTAATTGTGTACACTAGATATGTGGAGGGAAAAACTGGAGGAATACCAGAGCCGATTTGATTTGCTGGCAAAGATGAGAGTGAATGAGAATAAGCGACCCGTTCCTCTGGAATCCCTGGATGAGGTCGACAGATTAGGAATGCAGGGAACATTCAAGAAATTGGATATTGATTGACATGTATAATGTTTGTAATAGTTTTCGAATAAAAAATGGTATTTTAATTACTTTAATTGCTATAATTGCTAAGAATTGGTTTTTTTGTTGTGTATTTAAGTAAAAATTTTATGCGTAGAATTGTAGAAAGAAGATCTATTGACAATGTGACGCATCAAAAATGTGACAAAATGTTATAAAAAAATTCAGCCTGCAAATTAAGATTTCGATTCTATTATAGCATGCATGTAATATCAAAATAATTTCACTAAGTACGTATAATTTCGTTTCCATTACTTTTCAATGATTTAATGGCACTATTTTAGACCCTTAACTTTAGTTTAGATCAGCATTTTTAGATTTTCTCTAATAGTACATCGAAGAAAAGAATCGATTTTAACAATGTCGAATGCCAGGAGACGCTAAAAATTTTCTAACGAGATGTCTTGCACGTTAGACGTTCAGGCTAAGAAGAGAATTTTGGGCATTTTTAGCAAGTCTTTAAATGAGTTGGACGATGATGTAAAGTTAATAAAAAGTTGGCTACTCAACAAGAATCATTTACCTGAAATACCCAGTAAGTTTCTTACTTTAAATTAGAGTAAATATGGCAGTGGTAGAAAAAGGATTTAATTTACTATTTAGTATTATATTTTAGGTAAAAATATGATTGAATATTTCATTGTAAATAACCGATTCTGCCTAGAAACAAGCAAAGAAAAAATTAACATGTACTACGAAATGAGAAAATTATTACCGAACCTGTACAAAGAAATCAACCCGAAAACGCCACGAATGAAAAAAAGTCTAAACGCACAGTAAGTTCAATTAATCTCGAATAACGTCAACGACATTAAACTTTCAAAGAAAGCCATTACTGACGGCTCGAGCACTCGAAAATATTCCAGCGGGGCAACTGCGCGAATTAATTGCGATTTGTTTTTATTTTCCATCCGGCATCTGGAACAATTAGGTACATTTTACCGCTTCCTAGACTCGTTAACGGTTTACACAGGGTTATTTTCATTAAAAACAAAAAGGACACCGGCCACAATTTCGACACGCTCGGCATGATCGGGAACGTTTTGAACGTGTACGAAGTAAGGATGCACGAGGATCTCGCTTACGGCGATATTTTGCTATTCGATTATGGAAATTTGGAAATTGGACATGTCTTGAGGACGACGCCCAATCACGCGCGAATGGTCAAAGTCATCTTAGAGGTATCTTAACTCATTACATTATTAAAAACTGTAAAGTATATTTTATCGAGCATTTATTAGACAGCGAGAATGAGAATATTTTTTTTAGAAAACATTCAGCAATCGTATAGAAGAAATTCATATTATAAACCATTCGTTCCTGTTTAACATCCTGTTTAGCATAGCAAAACCGTTTATAAGCGTGCATTTGCGCGAAAAAGTAAGGAATTTAATTTTGTAATGAATAAATATAAAACGCGATCAGATTGTACATTTTTAGATGCATTTTCACGATTCAATCGACAGTCTGGCGTCATTTATCCCATGGGAAGTCTTGCCGAAAGACTACGCTGGAGGCCTCGAAAAATCCCTGGATGAATTAGAGGGTAATTAACCCAAAATACTCACACATAACAATTAAAATCTTTTATTTCAGTAATGTGGAAGCAAAAACTCGAACAATACCAAGACCGTTTCGATCAATTGGATACTCTAAACTCCGACGAGAACGCCCCGAACAATCCGCACCTAATTATCTAAATTAAAGAGTTTTTAGGTTAATAGTTTACAACAAGACAAATAAAAGTAAGTTTATTCAATCCAAGTCATCGTTACTCACAATGAAACCGACGTATCCTTGTAATAATGCACTCTCTTACTTCACCCTAATCTACAATAAGCTTCCTGAAAGTTCCTTGCAAATTTAACGTTTCATTATCCTTCATCGGAGCGGGACGGAGTGCGTCGTTTACTCTCAAAGTATCAAGTTCATCAAACCGGTCCGCATACTCCACCAACTTTGTTTTCCACAACTCTGGAAAAAACAACAACCATTGTACGATGTAACAAGAGCTGGATGCGAAAGATGTCACCCTTTTATCCGGTAAAAAATCCTCTAGCAAACAAAGTAGACGTAAACAATGTTTGCCAAAAAATTCGAGATGATTTAATGGATTATTTAACACTCTCACTGCAATATACAGCGAACTATTCTACAAGTAAACAGTTTTTTTTTTTTTGTAAAGGATGTAATCAAGTTTAGCTCGCAAATAAATGATTGATGGGGATACAAGAAAAGTTCCAGAAACCAAAATTTGTTGCGACGAAGAATATTATAGTGAAAGAAGCGTATTGAGCTGTGAAATCGCTATGAAATGACAGGAAAATGAGGAAGATAAATTTATAATTTCTTACCCTCTATTTCATCTAAAGATTTTTGGTCACCTCCGTAATCGCTAGGCAAGGATTCCTTAGGGATATGCTGGCACAAACTTTCAACGGAATTGTGAAATTTAACCTGAAAAAAATAGTCCAGTTGCCACACAAAAACTTTGTTGGGAAATATCCACACTCACCCTATCTAGAAGTTTTTGTTTCAACACCATGCTGGCCATTTTATACAACAACCGGCATATCGGGTGGTAATTGATTATATGCACGGCTTTTATTCGGTTGCTGTAAAGTTTCTAAAAGACATAAGTGAAATAAGTAGATGAGAGGACGCGGTGTCTCAGCTATTTCCGTCGATCTGTACCTACGTACTTCTAAGATATATGCGGCCCTTCTAACCATCGCGAAGCTCGTTTTGTAAACGTGAGTCATAGTAACATGCTCGAAATCGAAGAGGATTATGTCGCTCAGCGAGAAATCCTCCTGCATTCTGATTTCGTATAAATTTACAACCAAGGCTAATTGAGCGTCGTCGTTGAAGCCTTCCTCGTTGTCCTTCATTTTGAAAACGATCAGGCGGTATTTGTCTTCGATTAGTTTCGGAATTGGAACTATCAATCTAAAATGTGCTCAAGTCTATTACATGAATTAAAAAATTGTAAAGAGGAAAATTGGAGAGACAGGTTACTTACTGGTTGTTCATACCTTCTTTGACGGTTTGAAGCTTGGGGTTTACATTGTCGTAGAAATCCGGGTATGAATTTTTTATTGTGTAATATAATTCAACTTTTTGTTTGATCTTTTCGATTTTGAACTTGCTATTAACTACAACGAATTCGATCATATTTGTACCTGCAATAGTTTAAATGAATAATGAAAAAAATAAGTAGATTAAAGTAAAATTACTTACTCGGTATTTCTGGCAAGTGTGTTTGTGTTTTTATCCATTCTTTCACTATTTTCGTTTGCTCCTCCAAGTCTTTAAGAGTTTTGCCTAATTCACTGACAATTTTCTTCTTGCACGTTTCGTTCACTTTCAAAGAGAGCATTATACTTTGTAGTAATTAATTTTTTATGCCGCTTAATGATGCAGAGAGTAGCTTACAAGTCGCCTCGGGCACAGATGAATTAAATTTGAATATACCGAAAAATTCCGAGAATTTTAAAAATACTTTGTTATTATCTCGGTGTTTACACTTTTCTTTCACTTCAGTTTGGATAATACATACGTAAATTAACCTTCAATGTAAATTGTCATTGAGTGTACAGGTTTGGTCGCGCAATAAATAGTACCTATTTACGTACAGTTATTTACATAAACTCTTATTTGGAAAAAACCTACTTACATGTAAAATAACAGGTTTCTAAAAACTACAATTTTTAGATTATTTAGTGATAGAAAATTAGTTCTTAGTAAATTTTGGTATATCTAAAATTTGGTATTTTTCACGGTACGTGAATAAACATACTAGTAATAATGTATAGCGGAGCACGTTTTGCATAAAATATGAGAAAGCTAATTTTTAATAAAATTATTAAATATTCTTATCATTTGAGGTCAAATTTTATGTAGAGAAGCCAATCTGACACTCTGCATGTATTGATTATGAAATTAATCAATTTTTGTTAAAAAAATTTAAAATATTTGCAAAATAATTGTGTACAGACCAGTCGATTTAAAATCTAATAGTCATTAACATCTAATTAGTTTAATATTCACATAATAATTGTTATTCGATTAATATAACTTTATTTACAAGATTGTTTATTGCATTATTATTATATTTTTAATGTATAATAACAATTATCCGCAATATCATTAGCATTTTTTAGAAAAAATAATAGTTATCTAGATCATTATTTTAGTTGGACTTACTATATTTTAAATAAGTAAACTAACCTTTATCCTTTCATTATCAATAAAAAAATCAATGTTTGGAATTACAAAATATTATAAATATAAATATAAATTATAAATATAATAAATATCTACAGTGAAAAACGAAATATACAGGTAAAATGGAATTAAGAGAAATGTTTTTTTTTTAAGATTAATAAAATTCAAAACATCCTAACAATTTCCTCGACTCCAACGCAAATAAACACCACAATATTATGTTTTAATCCTAAAAGTTCCGAATTTCCACAACGAAATTTACCAAACAGATCATTTAAATTCCATAACCAAATATCCATATTCATACAGGAATGAAAAAAATTTCCATGTTGAATACAGGAATAACATGCGCGTAGAAGTTTCACAAACAGTCTTCAAGCAATAAATCAATCCCGTTGTATTACTAAAGAAAGTAACCACGCAAAAACCAATCCGATCCATTATTATTGTCTCTTTAACAGATGTACGAACTGTATTAATAGCTTCCACAACTATTAAATTTTTTTGCTATAAATCATTTAGCTACCGAAAAAGCTTTTAGCATTGAAGATAACAAATTAAAGGAGGATTTACAGCAAATTTAATGATAGTTCAGCAGATTATTTAACTCCATTAAAACGATATATCTTCAAGTGTTTGGAGAACTTTTCATCGAGAAATAAAATACTCTTTTATCTTCCATAAAGTAATTGATTTATATCACAAAAGTTCCAACAAGAAATCCATGTACCTACTAGAAGAACGGGAAGTGATCCAGAGAGAAAATTGTACGAAGAAACGAAGAAATTGAGACTTAACCAGCAGCAACGCAAACAAAGCCATTCGTCAAACTGAAGACCCGCCGGTTTTTTCCCAGCCCGTTACGCCGCGTATCCACGTGGAGAAAAGGGCGATCAGATTTAAGTTTTTTAGACAGATACAACTTGTTTATCGGATTTCGGTCGTGAGGCCATTCGAAGGCAGCCGTCCGAAACGTCCTAACGAGCTTTAAAGCACTCCGATCGTCCGGTTTGGGCCCCGATCGTGGGCGCGTTCGCTCAAAGGAAACTGGAAGTGAAATAAAACTTTTTCAATCAACCCAGGAATTCGCCAGCTATAGCAGTTGACCTTTATTTTCTTTAAAAAAAAGTTGTATATGACCAGCTCTATGATCGCAAAGTATGCCACAAATGCGCGGAAAGGGGAAAAACATTGTTAGTATAGTATACAGGGCGTTCTAAACTTTGTAAAGAATATCATTGAGTCTTCCAGCTATTTTTTTGTAATTGTGGAAATGTTCGAAATTTGGATTAATTACGTTGGTTAAACGTTGATGCATCGTCCTGAGAAGGATTTGCAGGAAGTGGACGAGGGTTGATAGGTTGACGACCAGAGGAAAATAAATGGCAGAATCCCATTTGAATATAAGTTGAGCAGATAGATAACAGTAATCAGTCTAATGAACGTAGCAGCTTGGCGATTATTCAAACAAATCTCGTAGAAAACGAGAATAAAATGAACTATATGTTTTGCCTATGTAGGAGATTAGAGATGTCCCATAGGAGATAGTGGAGATTATACAGATAAATTCTGAATTTTTTTGGAATTTATATAACAATTTCCATAGTCTATGATTATGCCTCGTTGATTATTATTAATAAATTCCAGCCTGCAGTTTAAAAACATGTAAGGTACAGACTGACAAGCATAGCTAGTGTAGGGTTATTTTTTCCGCACTGTACAACAACATCCGGCATTTAATTCATTCAACAACCGCAATTAAACGTCGAATTACTTCATTACTTCAACGTGGTTAGAACTTGACTGTTTTAATTTACCTACTTAGAGAAACGGCAGAGGTTCACTGGCATGTTTAATTATTCGAAATTGGCTCATCGCTCATTTCGCTTTGGAATAGGAACCGCAAAACCCGAATCGCGAATGTTCTTTATTTTATTTTCCCCTTTTTTCTTGAGTTCTTTTTTTTTTCATTTCGAATCGGTAAGAGCAAGCGGAATTGACGTGAAATTAGCGCGTACTGAGTGTTTCGAATACATCCAGAGCGTTTGGTGAGTAATGGAAAATGTATTAACTTTTTGAAAAATTACATTTTAAGTCTCGAAACAATTTCATAAGTTTTTTTTTGGTATAAGAGTTAGGCGAGCAGACGAGCATTTGGCGATCGATATAATTCACCTTTATCATCGTATAATCTCCAGGTACTTTACGGGACGGCCTTTTTGGAAATAATATAAAAGAAAAGTAATGGTATTGGAGAAGTTCGCAACTTCGGTTGATTTAAGAGTGCATTAAAAAAGTATTGTTTGGATTTCGGCAGACAAATTGACTTTCGAATTGATTTTATCCATTAGCGGGAAAATGAGAAGAAAAAAACTTTCGCTTGGTGACGGATCGGAGGAAACCTCGGGATAATTATAATGCGACAGTTGCAGGGAAATCCGTTATCTATTGTGAGCACACTTTCCATTTCGCTCGGCCTGGACTTTTACTTCAAAAAACAAATAAGAATTGATTCGAAAAAAGATTAAAAAACATGATTTCTTGACTAATCATTCAAAGAAGCTCTTGAACTTGACAGTTTTACATTGTTGTTATGGAGTAACTATGGACAGTGTTTACTTGAATAGGACTCTTTAAGTGATTTGTGATTGATTAGCTTTAAAAAAAGAGCTGAATGCGGGCCAATACATCCCTAAATTATTTTCCAAATTATTTTCGTGCACTATATAAAAAGTGACCCAAAAATGTTGTATTTTTCGAATAAACATCTTTTTTATTTGCACTTTTGATTAACTGTCATATGTCAAACGTCAATGTCAACAATTACGACAAAGAAATGTTGCTGAATGTTATCAAAATTCCCACAGCCGCCTGTTCCATTCACAAGATTCCGGCTTGATTGGCCCCGAGAATATTTTTCCGGCCTAATCTTTGTTTTTCATTAATTTTAACTCGACGCGGGACGGACGTGAGACAATAAAACAAAATCTGTTCGATTCGCTAAACGGCGAAATTGCACGAAAGGCGTATGAAATTGTAGTCCTGTCCCCTAGGGAGCGGTGAATTTCTTTTCCCCCGGGAATCGGCCATTTTCGGGATAAAACGATTATATTAAAATGTGACCTTTTCCATTTATTCCTCCGGGACCTTCCTATTTTAAATAAGACTACATGTATTGCGTAATTGAATTTTCCCGTCAACGTTAATGGACGGAAGCACAACGGATTTTTAACGAAGGTCGCTCGAATGCAAAAAAAGTCAATCAGAAATAATTTAATGCTGTGTGTAAGCGAGAAGGATAGTTTTTAACATATTGCAGGTAATATGCGCGTTAAAGGAAACATTCAAGAAAATAATGGCCTCGTTTGCGCCCAAATGAATGAGTCGACCTTACAAGCTTCTGCTGAAACACCGCTTTTTAACGATAAGTTTCCGGAATTCCTCCGGCACGGGTTCGTTTTATTTTTACGATTATGCGGCTCTTATTCTACAAAATTATATTTTTACATTCCATATTCACTTCTGGAAGGACCCGGCTTTCTGTTACAGCGCGCTTTTCGCTTCGGTATTAAAGAGCATAATTCTCTGGGAAAGAAAAACTAAAGCCGCTTTTAAAATAATTATTGTACCAAAGATAAGATCATTAAAACCGGTTCAATTCATTAGCTTAATTACCCGGTCTCGGTGCCAGTGTTTATAAGGATGTACGAAGTTTCCGCAGCAAAATTTATCTTGTAAAGTAATCACGGCTAAGTTGCTTCGAGAAGATCGATAAGCTGTAAAAACCGAGCTCCTGAAGAAGACTAAAGAAGGGAGAACATGAAAACACAATTCCCGCAAATTGCTCACTACTTTGGAACATATTGTACTTATTATGTTGACATTTTTTTGCTTCCTTCTAATGAAATTCGCTTTCAAATGGACAGAATGAGTAGGATAAATGCGCATTTTAAACCTCCATGTTGGTTTGTTTATTAATTCAATTTGGTGGTTGAGAGTATAGGAGTCGGGGGTTGGAACATTAGGGGATTAAATGGTAGGTTAATGGGGGTTTTGTTGAATTAAATTTAGCAAAATTTGGTGGGTATATTGAATGTAGGGTTTTTTATACAAAATGTTAACATTTCGAGGGTGCTAATTTGATACGATATTTTATTATTTTGTAAGTTAATTTGTAAGTCAATCATAACATTCCATTTTTGCACTCAATCTCGATAGAAAATGTACCAATAAATTTGCGCACGACGCATAAAAATTTACCATGATATAAAAGTATCGGTATTGTTAGTTCTCTTCACAATCAACTACCAATTCTCACTTAGTTTGTTGACTTCTCTTATCTTAGAAACACTGGTAAGTTTACAATGTATATTTATAGTTATTAGTTATTATAGAATATCGAAATATACTAAAATATCATTACATAAAAACGAGTTTTTTGACTAATTTTTGGGTCATTTCATACACACTACAGGGTGTTCCTCGAAGAATCGAAAATATATCCAAGAAGAATAACTCATAAACTCAGGATATTTCTAGTATAAATTAACAGCGTTTTTATCGTTCGTATTTCATTGCAGTAATAATGGAATCCTGCTGCAAACCCGGCCAAACCACCAGCTTCGTCAAGCAATGCAAGCTCACGAAGAGCGATGGCAGCGTGGTGGACTGCGAATGCACCTGCAAATGCCATTGCAAATCCGACCAGCAGAATTGCAAGTGCAACTGCAACTGCAATTGCACCGAAGCCACGGCCACTTTGGGCGCTGACGGAAAGTACAGGTGTACTTGCGAATGCGAATGTTAAATATATCAATTATGAATATGTTAATGTTAATGTTCATCTATCTTCAGATGAATGTTAATTTTTTATGTTATGTTTGCTTATTATACGCTTGTATTTACTAATTGTAATACCTAATTGAATAAATTTTTGACTGGTTATAATTTTGTATAGGTATTAGAAAATTTAGAAATATTGAAAGTTGAAAGAAAATAGGTTAGAAAACAATAAAAGTTATAATGCACGAGAAACAAGTTATTTGAGGCGAGACTTAGGCGAGGGCAGAAAATTGAATAAGTAACCATTATAATACTCTCTTGATTGAGTGGCGGTTGAAAGTAATTATTTATTCTGTTATAAGGGATTAATAGTAATTGAATTGATTTAAATCCTGACCTACGCCTACAGTGATAAGGCAATGTTTGCACTCGTTCCTATTTAAATATTATCGAATAGTGGTGTCGTGTGATTCTGTTTGGTTTCGTGCGTAAAACGATGTTAGCGTATAAATACAGTAGACGAGTAAAATGGAACGTTTAGTAGGTAGAAAAGGCTGTTCAAGTTATTTCTATTATTCATACTAAACAAAGCCATTACTGCAATTAAAATATATGCAATGAAAAAAAGGTTTGTAAAAATTGATTTTTCCTTCGTAACTCTTTCGTATCGATTTGTGTTAATTTCGGAACGGGAAATTTAGTTGTGTGAAAAAATTAGGAGAAAAATTATATATAGTTTCAAGAAATTATTAGGTAAATTATTTTTTTATTATATCTAAGTAATAACGAGACACTCTGTACCCTCTTTCAATATTTTAAATTTATTGTATTCAGGGTAGGTAATTAGATTTCTTAGGTCCTTCAGTTAAATTCATTTACAGGATTATTTTTCGTTAATATTTTCATTTCCATTAAATCCTCTATTAGTATTCCTACATTGTAAATTCATTTTCTTCAAGATGTATAAGAAATATAAACAATTTATACGCGTAAACAATAAACACATGGGTCGTGTGCAAGTAAAATGAAAGTACCGTGCGCAAAAAAAAATCGTGTGCAAAAACACCGTGTGCAAAACTCGCTCAATTATCCTTATCGTTATCCCCGTGATATACTGTATGAAATATCTCCTAACAATACGCCACAGTAGTCACTCGAAGTTCGTTAATAAGTCATTACACCCGACCATCCCGAGCTGTACGGGTGATATTATTCCGCGCGAAATTCCTACTATAAGGCATTCCCAGCCATCCAGATACCTGGAATAATTCCGGCCACACTTACCTTGCAAAAAGGGCAGTAATTTGCACATCACCGGGCCGAAGACGAAGTCTCGCAGGAGAGCGCCGATGAGCGTGAACGGCATGCACAGGACGCCGAGCAGGAGATCGGAGATCGCCAAATTTAGCAGGAACAAATTCGTTATCGTCCTCATGCGTTGATTTTTTACCTAGAAAATGAAAAATGCACGTGGAAGATAGACGAAAATATTATTAGAAAGCTTGCAAGAGCTTAACTTTTAACCCCTTTTCGTTTGTTAACAATTAATTTTCGTATCTATAAGTTAACATAACAAGGAAATTTGCACATTTTCACTCCATTATTTCACTCAATTGCCGCATTGCATAATACGAGTTAATTGCACAAAGTCTCTTTAGATTCGCGAGAAAGAGCAGGTTTGAATGAGTCATTAGAACAAAACGCAATTAGTCTTCTCGTGGAAACATTAACGCAACAACGTGGAGCTCGAAACAAAACAAGTGCAAACGGGCTAAATGCAATTATCGGATGATGTTTTAGACGAATTTCGAGATTTAATTCCAACGATTTTCCGCTCACCTAACGACATCCAGCGTTCGAATCGATACCGATTTCATCGAAAACAAAGGGATACGTTTTAATCAGAGCTTTGTAAACCGATTGCGAAGTCCCGTTGTCTGATGTGCTGCCAACAGGCCGATCTCGATCGAACGATTTTTCGATTTTTTATTTATTAACGCGGCTGTTCATCAACTTCGAACCGTGGAATCGGTTTGAATTTCACCGTTCGGCTCGGCGGATTTTTTTTCTCGTTTAATGATGTTTTATGCGGTTTATGTGGCGAAGAAATATCGCGAAGGAATAATTCGGAAACTCCCTAAATCATCCGGTTAATTCGATTTTTCCGATCGACAAGTATCGGCGGGTTTTTTACCCCGCTGGAAGCAGAAAAACAAAACATGCGAGGAGAAAAAAGAGCAGACTCCGCGAGTTTGATGTCTCTAAATTGCGGCTCTAAATAAAGACGAGCGGTGTGTTTTTTAGAGGTGATACGGAAAAAGTGTGCGGCAGATACTAAGATAAGCAGAATTGGCAAAAAAATCGAATTTCTGGCTAAATATTTGTCGGAATTGTGTTCGGCGAATTTGCTGAAATGGACTAATCTGGATTAAGGAAAAAGGGAAAAAATAATTTATATATATGATGCTATTTCCTTGATTAATAAATACGGTTGGAAAAAATAATTCGGGTGCGAATAATCTGATTAAATAATACCAAAAAAAGGAGTGTTTGACTAAAGGATTTCGATCAAAAAAGCGAACGAGAGTTTACAAACAATCCTTTTTTTATATCCTCAATTAACGGATATTTGAATATTTATTGTGAATGTGAATACACAAAAAATAAATTACTTCAGCAATAGATTTTCTTCTAAATGCATTAAAACACGACCTACATTTTCCGATAAAAAAAGTAGACCTTCTGAATGTCTCCATGCCGATGTGAGAAAATTGCGATTTTAATTCACCTGGAGGCTTTTAAGGAAACAACTTCGTGACAAAATTGTATAATTAAATGGAATTTCCTTGTCTGCGATTTAAATCGATAACGTCACCGTCAGGTGACACAGTAGAATGTATAAATTTCCCTTATAAATTCATTGGCCTTTTCTCCAAATATATTACTTCATTTTCTACCAGATTCTTAAGAAAAAGCACTAAAAAATCAAAACAGGAACCAATCAAAACGTGACAAAAATCGCAAAAATCAAGCCCCTTCGATTTCATAACATAATACAAAATATTATACGAGATATTATGAACTACTTTAAAGCAAACTACCCATTCTAAACAAAATAATAAACATAGATAACTGTATACAACACAGAGCCGTATATTATTCGAAACCGGATCCTTTGTAATCTCTGCGTTATCCTTGATACTTACCAACGTGAATATGACCAGCAAGTTTCCGGTAACCGCCAGTACGAAAATAACAGCGTAAAAAGGGATCTGGATCCTGCCGGCCTCGTACCACGAAGGCCAAGCAGCCCCCGTCGGTCGGACGACCTCCAAGGAGGAGCTCGAGCTGGTGATGTTGCTCGACAATGTGCCGTTGAAGACGAAAAACTCATCGATTGACAGTGTCTTATTCCAATCCATTTGCTATTTCATAAAAAAAAGAAATTATTTAGTATAATGAACACAAATTTTTTCGCTGTTTCAAGATTTTAGAACGATTTTTTGAAGTTTTAGCGTTGGAATAGTACGAAAATTTATAAAACTGGGGTAGTAAAAGGAATATATAACCCTTATAAATATCCGGTTTCTATTCAAAAAAAGTTTATAAATTATACCTTCGGGTGGTAGGGCTCTCTTTCAGAGAACTATACTCGGTGAATTTGAGTAGGAAGGAAACTTGAAATCTTTAGTTGACAAGAAAATTCACTCTAAAGTCCATATTTTATTCGGCAATTCTTCGGATCCTCGTACGTTTGAAAAAAGAAATTCGCCCGGCGTTGCCGGGTCCATAAATTTTTTTTATATTACAGCAAGAATTTATGAAATAGGGGAAAGCTGTTTTTACGAGGGCATCTGAGAGGTAATTACGTGGAATAAATGATATTAAAAACGTCGTGAGTCAAAGGCAAAAATAAAGTTAATGTTCGGTATAGATCTTATAGGTTTTAGGCGAAACAACGGGCAGGAATTCGGCCGGTCCGATCCATTTATTAAAAATCCATTTCGCTGAAAAAATGTAAAACAGAGCGATCAATGTTTCTCCTATCGGCTTTTTGTAGTTTTTAACTTTCGCGCAGACATGCCAACGATGATTTATGTTATTTTTTAAGGGCTAATAATCCTTTACAGGGCCCACCGAAAGGCCATTCATTCCACCCTGCAAGATATAAAAAGCGTCTTTTGTCTTAACCAACTCGTTTTCGCCGAAGGGATGTATGAATAAAGTCTATCAATAATTTTGCACTTCAAGATTAATGAACATCATTTATTGTCCTTTTATGGCCATTGTGGAGTGAGGCTTAATTTTCTTTCTAATTTATTCCCGGCCATTATTCTCGTTGAAAAACGATTAACCGCTAAATTCGGCAGTCAATTCAGACATGTGGGTGCATTTATTAAGGTCCATAAACACCCACAATAATTCTCAGAAGATGTAAAATTTCTTTGACACTGTACAAAAATGTTCGAAATCGTGGCATCTTGAAACTCCAATTAAAACGGTAATTAATTTCATTAATGCATACCTGCCATTCTTTGGAGAAAGTAAACGAGCTGCCTACTCCTAATTTAATTACCAACCCCGTAATTTAAGGGTATAAATGGGAACCGCTGAATCGAAAATTGTGTCTGAATAAAAATTTTTATATTATCATTGACCCCTAATCTCGCAAGAGATCTTCCATCAGCAGACACAAAGCTCCGTTGAACTAAAGTTGGAACTAACAGGACGTGGGTTTCCGAAATTTGATGAATTTTTTAGTATCGTATCGATTTTATGATAATACGTTCTCTAAACTTCGTGGCATGTGTTTTATAGTTATTAAATTCAAGAGCGTAGTTACCAGAAGGCACCGATGGATATTTTATTTTTTTTACCCCTTTTTTCCGATTTAATATATTTTTGCAAGTAATTGCTCAATGAATACAAAACTGTTAAATCTATCGGAAGAACGACTTTGTTAATATTTTTTATTTTTAAATATTATATAGAAACTTACTACAAGATGTAATTAAGAAAAAAGCAAGTTTTTTGCAAATATCTTATTAATTTTTTTAATCTCCAATATTTGCAAGTATACCCACCCCCTAACTAAAAAATCGAATACACGTCCTTGTTTAAACTTGCCATAATGATTTCCTATTTTAAATTTTATTATTTACGAGCCCTTCTCATTCATTTGTAATGTGTGTTTCTGCATATCGATTTCACGTCGTTATATTACCCCTATCCCATCGATATAGGTAACAATTTCTCAATTAATAATGACGCCTCAATTATTTTGTCTTGACTAATAATTTATAGCGGAAAAACTTGCGCTCTACATAACACAAATCGACGACAATATTACTGTACTAAACAAATTAAGGATAATTATTACATAATCATATAGAGGGTGCGCGAATTTCCATTAGAAACTAAGTTTCCTTACTAGCAAGAAACTCATCTCTAAATGCATAATATTACGTTAGAATCTTCGCTGTTTCGTCTCTTCTTCTTCGCCTTTTCACTAACCACTGATTTTACTTAGTCTTATAATCCGCAAGCTGATTTTCCGGGCCATTTGAAACGTCAACTAGTTAGACTCGAACCGGAGCTGACGACTTTAGGGGGTTTTATTAGTTGGAGCATCGAGGAATAGAAATTCCCCGAACTGGTAATTTATCTAAAACCATTAAATGGGTAAGAGGAACCGAGTTCTTACGGTAACATGTATGTACATCATAATCGATTAAAATTGCAATTTGTGGATAAGTAATTGCCAAAGGGATTGGGATTTCTCCACGTTTTTCAGTACTTTTTAACATTAATTACATAAAGCATACACAAGAAATGACCATAAAAATATCAAATTACGATAATCCAGAGAATAAAGTCTCGTAAATGCAAAATAATTATGCAACATAGCGCATCGGAAGAGAAGCCGGCGGGCCGAAACAAATCATTTTTAAATGAACCCTCGCTCGAAAATTGACTTTTATCGCCGGAAAATTAATCATTCGCGAGCGATTTGCGACGAAAACCCGGAGCCCCGGAGGCAGAAACTTTTGATGTTTTATGGCGGTTAGCAGGAACTTGCATTCGTTCAGTTTAATGCGGTCCGAATTATAAACAACGCGAAACAAACGGCACGGAAGGTTCGTTTGTAAAGCTTTATATCTATTTTTTCATGGCGATTTTAAAGCTTTATACCGAGTACTTTATACTCGAAAAGCTAACCATCAAACTTTATGCGTTAAAAAAATTTATACCCGACTAGAGTTTTGAGTGGATGGCCCTTATATAAAACTAACAATATATTATACTCTCCCAAACATTCCACAGGACATCTATGAAAAAAAAAAAACAGCCTCAAGATGGAATATACCGCGTACTATAAAGGGTTTTTAGACCTAGTAAAAAATATCCGGACCGGTTCTGGTTGTCGCTATAGCTTTAGGGATCGTAACTTAATTCAATTAGATCGAAATATTCTATCTTGTTCCATCGTCTCAATCAAAGAGGATATAAAAAGTCGATAAAGAAAAATTCCAGTCTCTAAAGGGAATTACGGTGATCGTAAAAATGAGCGGTTTAGAGGGAAAGGGTGACGTCCAGGACTTCTCCTGCTGTTTGTTAATTAGGGCAATAATTATTGATTGGAGTGTGTATTGGGGAAATAACGGGGTACTTAATGGGCCCTAATTAGAGGGCTAATTTATTGCAAATATTTGGTTAGTCGAGTGTTTAAAAAGGGTTTTCTTCATAATTTGTGAAGTTTACTTACTATTTACGAGTTTATCTTTTATATTTTTAGTGGGTGTATTTAATGGAAAATAAATTTATTGAAAAGTGTTGAATAGTACAATTGAATGATAACCAAATGGAGAAGAATGAAATTCTTCAAAAATTTATTTAACTTCTTAACTTTAGCTATTTACAAAATGATAAAAAATAATAAATAATATTTAGATATGAAGTCGGAAATATTTATTGCAATTATTTACTTCAAAAAGTGCATTGACATTTCTTATTTTTTTTTTCAAGTTTAGTTGTTTTTTTTATTTTTTGCCAATTTTTTTAGCCTAAATAAATAATCTAATCAAATCATAATCAATCATATTGAAACCCTTTTTGCGTATTTTTCTCACTAAACCAGCAACTAGAGCACCAAAAAATAATCACCCTTACCTTTACTTCGAGCAAAACTAACAACAAAACCGCCCCATCGGGCGACCGGCGATCGTGGAAAGCGCGCGAAACCTCAGGAAAGTTCCTCCTGCCGTGCCACTAGCAATCGTCCACAGCGATAAGTAATCGCCGACGAACAGCCGCCCTCCTGCCGCTGCCAGCCAGCCACCGCGTCGACATGGAGCGAAGGGGCGCACTGAAACCGAAAGCAGGAGCCGGCACACGCACCCGCCGCCGCCGCCGCCGCACGGGGACGCTTTATGTGCCCGGCGAGGGGGCCGGCGGGCGCAGTGCATGCTCTCCGTGCCCTAGGTCAAGTCGTCGAGCTGTCTTGGGTCGCGGGACGAGCGGGCAAAGCGGATTTTCATCGTTTCCGGTTCCCATTCGGTTTTGGTCAATGGAGGATTTTTGCTGGCGTTTGCGGGTTGTTTTTGGAACGGAAGCGATCGGGTATAAGTCGACACAAAATCTTGTTTTTTTGTTCTGTTTTCTTGTTTGCTGTTCTAGTTGACTGAGACGAAATTATTTAAATTTAGTTAAAGTTGCATTTGTGTCTAAGGACAGGTGAAAGATAAAAGGTGTAGTAAATGTTATAAGTATAAAAATCTAGTTACCCCTCTCATAAATAATTATAGATATAAGCCATTATATTGCTAAAATAATGTAGGGATTCCCCGTGTATAGAAATATTTAGCATCTCATCAAATTTTAACTAAACTGGGATTCCCCTATCTATCAAAATCTGTAAGATCTTTGTGGACAGATTGTCAAGGGTCACTTTCCAATAAATAAAAAAAGGTAAATTGTTTCGAAATTCAAAAAAAAGGGGGGCAACGACACGCGGTATTCCCAAGCGGTCACCCATCCAAGTACTAACCGCGCCCAACAATGCTTAGCTGCAGTGATCGGACGAGAACTGGCGTATTCATTGTGGTATGGCCGTTGCCTGTAAAATTTGTTACATTCATTGTAGATAAAATGTAAAAAAAATATTTTTAATCTAAATATTTACTATTTCATAATGATAATTGCGAATTATACACGTCCTTCTTTACATTTTTTGACCTATTCATTAATATTTTCTTTGTTTTTACCAAAAATAAAACAAACTTAAAAGAAGAACTGCCCACTTATCCTCTAAGTTTAAGGCCACTAACTAGCGTTTTCCTTCAACTGTCAAATTGTTCACTCAAAATTGTCAAAACAAACATCCATTAAGAAATGTAAATGTCAGAGAATTTCAAGTTCAAAGTTTAAATAACTCAAAAAATGTACGGCTACAGAAGATAATGAAATAGTTGAAGCAATTTTAACATTCCGCCAGCCTATATGTCGTTTAAATTCCGCAAATTCCACAATTCACGATGACACATAACCAACCTACGAATTTTCCGTTCCACAGAAGCCTCTCGACCGATCTGACGCCGCAACCGCCGACGAGATCCTTCTTCAATTTGCCCTCCAACACGGCCAATCCGCCGGCCTCGACGTCCGCCCCGGCCTCCTTCCAACGGCGGACCGTCGAGAGCGCTCGACAATTGCGCGACAGCTTCACCAATGTGATCAGAGAAATCGAGCCCTTCGTGGAGCCGGCCATGATGGTCAACGCCCGCGTGGCCAATTTCCTGAACCTTCCGCACACCGAGGGCGCCGCTCCCCGACCGGCCAACGAAGCAGACAGTTACTACATAAACGTGGACGTTCCGGAGAACGCCACCAACACCGAACCCACCGATGATGCACCCAACAGGCAAATCGTCGAAAACAACCCTCTGGTTACGGATAACAACAATACGGAGGATCAGGAGCAGAACCAGGCTGTGATAGACGCCCAGCAATTCATCAAAGTTTTGTTGAAGTACGTCCCGTTTGTGCTAATCCTCCTAGCGAAGAGTGTATACGATTATCACGAAGCGATATTCGTACTCATAATCCTCTTCATTACGTTCGTACATACGAATTCCGTGGTTAAAAAAGAAACCATAAAGCGACAACGAAGAAGCGTCACGACGTTGGGTTTGAATTTGTTTTATATCATGGCATGTCTCGTTTTCGTCCATTACGTGTTTTCCGATGATTTACACGACTTCAACGTAGTACTGAATTTGGTGTTGATACGATCGTTTAACCACCCGTTAACAGTATGGAATTTACTGTGGATCGTGACTATAACGGATTTCACTTTGAAGCTATTGACCGTGTCTTTGAAGCTGCTGCTTACAACCCTCCCGGATTTCGTGCTGGAATTTAAAAAAAGAGTGAGTCGAGTTGATCGATGTAAATGGTTGTTGATAATTTTCGGTTTTAGGGTAAAATGTATCTGTTCATCGAAGCTATCTCGCAATTGTACAGGAGCATAGCGAGCATTCAACCGTGGCTGTACTATTTGCTGGAATCGTATCAAGGCCCCGAGAAAATTGTCGCGGTATTTCTATCGGCGTTCTACATGATTTCCAAAGGTTCCGATTTGATGTCGAGGGTTAAGCTGTTGAAAGTTACATTTCTAAAATTACTACAAAATGTGGTTAGTAATTATATTCCAACAATATCCTAATCATTGTCCTTGGCATAAGAATTAGCTAAGTTACACAAACATCCACCAGAGGTCTCTTATGTCGAATACTTACAGAACATTTTATTATAACATTGTTTGTTTTTTTAGAGTATTGGTTCGTCCCCGAGCAAAGACCAGATACAAACAGCCGGGGAGCATTGTCCCATTTGCCACGATGAGTACGAAACGCCAGTTCTCTTGCAGTGCAGGCATATATTCTGCGAGAATTGCGTGACTACGTGGTTCGATAGAGAGCAAACGTGTCCCCTATGTAGGGCTAAAATCGTGGATGATCCATCGTGGAGAGACGGGTCTACGTCCTACTTTATGCAGTTATATTAATTTTAGAATCTGATTAGTTGACTATTTAATTGTGTTTACTGATGAGTTTTTAAACGGTGTGTTTTATTTAATATGTGCTTCTCATGGGGTAATTTTTGGGAACTACTTGTAGAAGAGCACTTGATTTATCTCTGAGAAGCTAATAAAGAATGCGAAATGTCATTGTTGGTTGATTGTTTTGGATAATTTTAATGTAATTGATTAGGAACTGATTGAGTGCATATTGAAATATGTTGAAAAAAATTGTTAATTTTAAGAAATGTGATAAATTTTAATTTTTAATGTTTAAATGAAGAATGTAATATTGTATTTTATAATAATTATATTAAATCACTCGTATTGTTACTTCTGATATTTATTCTCCTTGTTTTATGTTTTTTTTTCGACCAGCGAAAGATCATAATGAAAGTGCATCATTTTAGAAGTATACATACAAAAGTGTGTATTAAAATCAATTTGATATTTATTAAATTTATTTCTATTAATACATTAAAGTGTAAATTTAGTTACAAAATTTATTTGTTTTTATAATACACTAAATTGTTCTTATATAATACAGTCATTTTAATTGACTGACTATAATAAGCTCTTCACGATAACATTATGATCTATTAATCTAAAATTATAACTCTAAATAGCGACCTGGAAAAGCAACGAAAAAAGTATTTTAAGACCATACGTCAAAATAACTAAATATATTTTGAAATAACAAAATAATTGATGAGTACCCATTATATCTATAGGTACCTATTTAATTTTATACTAATATTCAAAGAATAAATGTAGCTGTTCCAACACTTGACCTCCTAAAATTCATCTTATTTTTTCTATTAACTTTCTATTTAGTTATTTTTTACATAACTTGTTCTATAAACACCACTACAAACTTTCGGTTATTTTAGAATAAACCTTATTACAACTAAGTTGAGTGTGTTACATAATAATAAATTATGAAGCTTTTATTACAGAATGTTTAGGGTGAGAACCCCACCTAATTCATTAAAAATGGCGGTGGTAAATTTATTAGGAACCTGTTAAGAACATTTAGAGAAAGTCGAGGTCTTCAATAAAATTATAACAAAACAACACATTCTAGAAAAAATATAATCACTATTAGTTATGTACGAGTATATCTAAATTTGTTTGGCTTGGCTTTTGTAATACTAAACAATCAGCGACGCATTTTACAAAAATATTAGGTACTTTTCGAAGGTTCGGCGTTGGGAGGTATCAACGAGTGCTTCCTGCTCAATCTGTACTCCGTGGGAGTCAACATTCCCCGCAGGATAGTGTCGAACGAAACGTTGATTCCTTTTTCAGTCATTTTGCAGTACATGCTCCAGCACTGCTTCTCTTTCGGCGACTTCAAATCCACATCGGAGGCTTCCTGCTCTTTGCCCGTTTTCACATCATCGCTAGCTCCTTGATTCGGATTTTCCAAATCGCCTATTTGCTTCTGCTCGTCTTTTTGTATCTCATCGTCGATATTCCTTTGGTCGAAACTGCAAAAGAAAATCTCTTAATGAAGATGAGCAATTTGTTCATTCATGAGTCTCTTTACAAACTTATTTTAGTATTAAAATGTAGAAGCGGATACACGGGAAATGGCAATTCAACGATTGGTATCAAATACCTGTTTAATCGATTGGATTTTCCAGTTCCAAACGAATGCATATTTTATTTACTCCGTTAGAAACGCTGACATGTCCGAATAACATTCGCAGAGGAATGGTTTCCGAAAGAAATAGCTTTTTTTCCTTAGGGAATCGGAACGGAGATTGGTACCTATTCGCCGATCGATGGGCTATTTTTTCGATTACACACAGAAAATTCATAAATCAATCTTATGTTTAAAGTTAATCTATGAATACCAATTCATCAGGATCAGCAAGGTGGAGCTCCCTTTTCTCCACGACCTTGTACGCGTGTCTGTGATCCGTCCGTACAAAAGGCACTTTTAATTAATCATTCGAAAATTTTAAATATGCAGCCTTCAAGGGCGTACTATTGTGAGATGACCCAGTGGAAACGGCTCTACATAATGAAAATGCGATTCTATTACAAGGATAGTGAGTTGATGCGAATTGTACCTTTTATAAAGGGCCCATGTAAAGGTCAAGTTGAATCTTTTGTATGAAAGTCATTAATAGGCGTAGGAACGAACACCTGCTGTACATAAAATTGGTATAAGGTATATCTACTAAATACTAGGATAAAACATTTTGAGAGGTAAATGCATCTCAACTGTTTTGAATTGCCCTTTGTCGCGATCACGATTACATTGAGTTCTGGAAACTAGCCCAATTTTGTGGTGGTAGAGTGTCCCAGCAACCTAAATGTTGAATTCAAAAACCCTTGACACCCGAGTTTCCAGACCTGAAATACACGACCGTGGTCGCGATTCAAATTTTAAGTACTCCAAATGTCAAATTTGACAGGACATAGCCATCAGTGTCACCAACATAATTCCTAAATATCATCATTACCAACTTATCAAAAACAAAGTCCCTAACTATTTTATCCTGTAAAATAAAGGTAAAGAACAATTACTTACCTCGCAGTCTTAGAATCCTCCTTGCTATTCCTAACGAATCGTCTCTTTGGCATCCGTTCGTCGTCGTCGAATTTCGTCGAATTCGTGCCCCTTTTCTCCTGCTGCCCTTTGGTCGCGAACGAATTCAGGCTGTTGTTCATCAACAAGGCGGCGCTGACGGACGATCTGCGTGCGGGAAAGCTGGCGGAAAAACTCCTGATGGCATGTATGCTGGATTGTTGAAACGATACTGGAAAACGATCGTTGACAATTTAGCCGGCATGTGGAAAAATCGAAGGGGGCAGTGACGGCGGATGGCATTTCGTGACGTATGATTGTCAATCATCCGGGCCGCAAAGGCAATAAATCGACGTTGTATCGATGTTGTAAGTCGTGTTTTTTATTGGAGTCACGAATGTGGATATTTTACGGTCCAAATCATGTATAATTTGATTGTCTGATCGAAATAAATGCTTATGTAAGTCCTGATTAACTGCTAAAGTTAACTGTCAATGTCAAATATAATTATGTATTTAAAGGTCACTTGATTATTAATTATCTACATATATCGACTGTTTGTGATTGATTGATTGAATAACTTCTGATTATGACGTGTTTAGGTGTCATTTTTATATGGGTAGTTTCTAGATAAACTGATAACACTGATTGTGAGTATCGAACAACGAAAGATTATTAAAATAACATTGATTAGAGTGAGACAGTTGCAATCCCACAATCATTCGTTCTTTTTCCTTTATATAGGACTAATGGAAGTTGTCTTTGTTGCGCCCATAGCGTTAATATTTTATAATTTCTTCATTCTGAACGATTTAATCCAGCATGCTGTGCAATTCTCTCACTCGGAATTCCCCACATTTCAAGTTTAACTAATTAAAGAAAATTTTGGAAATAATTCGAGTTCCGGTGAAAAGTGAAACTGTTTCTGGTCGACTCGTATAATATATCGATAGGCGGGTGTTCGAATAGAATTTTCCCCGCTGTCTTTTAGTTACAGTTTGGTCAATACAAAATGGGTTTATCCGCCGGTTTAAGTGTTCGGTAGCTATGGGGGTCGGTTACTAATCAAAACCACATACCTACATTAATCATTCGCACCCCAACCGGTTCGATATCGGCGTTAAGAATTTTCTTCGAATTAATCGCGCGTTTCTGCGTTGTAAATATACCAAGAAAAGCTACCTCCATTCATTCGTTATTCAACGAGATTTATAATTTAATTTATATTATGAACCCAGCTAGAGTTATAGCGTTTGTCCATACTTTAACGCCTATTGAATAGAGTACATTAGAGTAATGAGTATAACGTGTTTAAAAAGAGTATCAGCCGGCGCCAAATCGATTTATAAACCGTTAGTGTTCAGTTAAGACATTAAAGTTGCGAATTAAATCCGAGCCAGAGATGGCGATTAATTGGAGACGGAAATGATTCTGTTGAAACTATTGAAGGTCGAATACCCTACCTAGATATAGCGTGACTGCATTTCAACTTCTCCACTTCAATTAAGTTTCGTAATTAACTGTCGAGGACTCGGATTTTCGCGTACTTCTTACTAGAATCTAGCGAGGATTAGGATACTATATTCGTTGGTTTCGGCAAGTGATTTTGCACAGCAGCATTGGAAATATGATTTTTTTATTCAGTAATCGGTAATAAAAAGTTCATTTGGGAGTGTAGTAGGAAGTTACCTATAACTTCAACATTTTATTGGAATTTATTTCGGGTGACGTTCGTGACAGCAATTTGGAATCGGTTAGAACGAGATACGCGATTCGAGCGCGATAAGAAAAAAAATGCATCGTCCGATTAGCTTTCGCGATTATCGGTTCGCAATTATCGTTTCATATTTTGCAATTAATCGTTCCTTCTGTTGACACATTTTGATCGAACGGCCCCGTTCGTACCGGCCCTTTTTTCCGCCCCCATTCGATTGGTATCTCGCAATGTCGGGCCTGCCGCACCAAGGCTCAAGGTTACAATCGAAAATATTACCTACTTCGCGAAGAAGTTTCGGCGTTTCGGAAGTTTCGAAGTTCGTGTGCAATCTCGAAGGGAATTGCACTTCTTTTCGTCGTGACCTCTTTTTGTTTGCGCAACAATTCCATCATTTTTCGATGTATTAATAGCGACGTATTGGATTCTTCAATCAATCGCAACTTCCGTTCAAATAACTCAAAAAATAGTTGCCAATGTCTTACAAACTCCTACCTACAGATAGGCTGAAATAGCTACACTCTCCAACGCTGTATGCGCGTCTCCTGCTATACATATCGAACCGTAGATTAATTACCTACGAAAGGTAGGTACAGAGGTAAAAATTAGATTCATTCATGCATGAACATCTGTTAGACGTAATAAAACAAAGTCGGCGGGGTGAGATATGTCGATGTTCTAATTAGTACCAGTCATGTTGCCCCCGGAGTTCCATAAATGACGTGACGCGAAGAATAAACATTGAGAAAACCGGGAAGGTCACTCAAAATCCCGCCGTTATGTTACCACAGATATTGATTTGTGTTATATCTATCACTGATGGTAACCGTCATGCGAATTCCGTATTTTAGCCCTCTTTATGTACGGATATTTTTTAATTTATTGCGAAATTTTCGAAATTTTACGGTCATGCATGTCGTCTGCAAGTTGAACTGCAATAAACAGTTCAGAGAAATAGGTTGAATTTAAAATTTTTGTTCGAATGTGTACAAAGGTACAGACCGATAGGAATAACTGAAAACGTAACCTGCGCGTTTTATTTGGACAGGATTTCGTGATACGAAAGGGACTAAATAAGAAATGATACAAACAATATTAAATAATCGTTTAATATGCGACTACAAATACAATTGTTTACCAAAGTGAAAAATTGCTTAATTTATTGCTAAAATTGATAGATTTATCACATTTCTCGCAGAATGAAACGTCTTGGATAGATAACTTCTATATAAAGTCAATTTGTGTAATACATTAATTAATTAAAATTATTTACTACCTCTATAATTAAATTTTATAAATAGTTAAAATGCTAATTATTACATCATATTTGATTATTTAATATTTTTTGTAAATAAGTGTTAGTGATATGAGGATTGAAAACGTTTTAGGTGTATGGTTAATTTTATAGCTACTATCTTTCAGAGTTCCATTAAATTGAGTAAATTATTATGTTATTAGACATCTCTCTCGCAGTCTCTTCGATCACAAAGAAGTCTTCATCAAGAAATTGGCCTTTTTCTAATAGTACATACAGTGTACTCCATGGTGAATTATTCAAAAAATAAAAAACCCTCTAAAACTTAAAAAAAACAAACAAACCTAAATACACAAAACAACACTACAACAATCACCTACCTGTTTTCGACGTTTTACCCACACCCCCAATCTTCTGCACCTGCCCGGACTTCTCCAAACTCGACTGCTTATCCTCCTCCTGCTCCTCTCCGTCGCTTCCCTCCGGACTGATCAGCGACACCATCGTCACCACCTCCGCCCCGGGCGCTTGGCAGTTACTCCTCGAGTTCTCCTCGTTCTTCTCCGCATCGCTCGTCTTCGACGCCGTCGATTTCAGGTGGATCTTCTTGAAGGACTTTCGGTGCTTCTGGAAGACCAGCTTCGACCTGACGTGCTCCGGCTTGCACGGGGCCGAAGAGGTCCTGATCAACGGCCGCCTCGCTTTCTGCGGTTCCTTGTTATTCAGCTACAAAAAAAAACCTTGACTAATATTTACAATGATTATAATACATAGAAAGTACAAGTTCGTTTGCTTTTGTATGATTTTTTTTGGATAGTGCACTTCGTAGAAAGGATTGTATGTAAAGGGAAGCTATGTGTGTAGTGTGTAGTAAACGAGGTGAATGTCCTTAGAGCACATGTTTCTACGGAAAACATTGGAAAAAAGCCAATACTCACCGTAGTCACTGTGGTAGTGAAAGCTGAGTTTGTGCGTTTCTGGAACATTTCCCTCTTGGAAGCGGCCGTTGTAGGCCGAATGATAACAGAGGCGATGGGTTTAACATCGGCCTGTCCATCGTGAGGCTGAGCAGGACAATCTGCCGTGGAAACTTGAGGGGAATCTGGCACAGTCGCTTTATTTGGCACTTGCCACGCCGCTTTCTCCGCGCTCGCTTTAGCGTTTTTTCTAATTTTGAAGCAGTTTTTATCGTGTACGTTCGTTATTAAGGGTTTGATGATTTTCGGCGGCTCGTTGCGCTGGATTTCGATGGTTTCCTGCGTGTAATCCAGCGAATTCTGCGATAAGATTATCTTGAGATTCGGTTTGAGATTCTGCCGGTCCTTCTGCGACGCCGGCGAAGAATCGTTGTCCAGGGAGGTTTGTCGCGTCAGTTTCCTGGTGGCGCTGTGGCGGTTCTCGCCGAATTTCCTGATGATGACCGGCTCGTCGTTGATGGTGTCGATGGGATCCACCCAAGCGGGTTTCACGAACCTCGCGTTATCGGCGAGGTTCAGGCGAATGCCCAAGTCGTCCGGCCAGTTCTTGAACTCGCCGCGCTCCTCCGAGAGCTGCTTCTTGAGCGATGGGCGCCGCGGCGGCGACGCGTCGCCGTTCAGAGACAGCTGCCGGAAGCCGAGGAGTTTCTTCATGCTCGCCATTCGGGCGACGGGACAGCATTATTCGAAGGGGTGCTCCGATCGCGGTTTCCGCGGCGCGAACCGAACGGGGAGAAGGTCGGTGTGTTCGCTCGTCGCCGGCGGAACTTTGACTGAATCGCGCCCCACAATCCCCACATGTTTTCGTTTATTTATCGATCACAAACTTTCGCTTGCGAAGATTTTGATTTGTTTTTTCGCATGTCGATGATCGTACTTGCATAGCCGTTTCGGGCGGATTTTTTTTTTTTGGTGATAGTCCTACTTTCCGATCTAATAACTGTGATTTTCTTTCATGCAATGCACTGAATATTTATCTGTTCATAAATTACAAATGTTCTAATTTACATGGAAAAAAACGTAATCTTGTATTTAAATCTTTTGAATTATAAAAACGTTCATTTTATAGGGCCTTATTATATTTAAGACCAATATAAATGTACCTACTAAAAAATATATTTGCTACTTTTTATAATTTTTCCAATTAACAAATTTCAAATTTCTTCACAAAGTAGGTAGGTAATTAGAAGAAAAAAACTCTGTTGCCTAGCTCTTTGTATTTTCTAAAGGATAGGTTCAGGTTGCAGTAACTTTCCTAATTGGAGACAATTGCATGTAATGGGCCGATTTAAACTTTTGTAAATAAATAAATTAACTAAATTGAATAATGCGCCATGCTGATTTCTCGACGAGATTTTAGTACCGTTTAGTTTAAATAAGACTTAGATTATTATGCCATAATCTGTTTAAATCTCCTACAATAAAAATCGAATATTCTAACCTCAGGTGAACAAACCGAAATCTCCAGTAAAACAAATACAGGGTGTTCGTTTCATTTGCTACTAACTATATGAATTAAATTACAAAGTCTTGGTTAAAGCAATTTATTGGCAGTAATTATTTTCGAAATCAATTTACAAATAGCTCGTTATTCGACTCAACCGCTGCGTTGTTGATTCGAAAAGGTAACTTTGGGAACGAACCCGGACTCCCCGTCAGCGTAATAATCCACAGTCATCAATCGACCGTCAGGCAGCAGGACGTAGAAGGATCCACTGACTCGTCCTGCGGCGTCTCCCGTTTCGCTTTTCCCATAGTACGTGTTCGAAGAGGGATTGTCCACTTTGTAGTCGTATTGGTACTGAAACAGTAATGAATCTGCTGATAGTACTTGTACAATTGTTTATTGAGTGTTAATAACATCAGGATAATTACCGGCGATGGCTGTTCGTTTGAGTAAGCGATCCTTTGAGGGACGTACTGAGGCGCTGCGAGAATCGTTGTTAGGGAAATGGCTAGTAGTAATAAAGTAGAGTACTGCATTTTCTGGAAAAAATTCTAAATAAGATGTTTTTTATAGTAATTTATTAGTTAAAAACCCTTCTAAAAGTTACACCTTTCATCACAGAATCTTCTTTATTATAACACAAACGCTTTAGATATATTTTTGAAGAATATTTAACTAAAAATTCGTACTTACATGTATTAAAAAATAATTATCCTACGATCACAAATCCAACGAACACTCTCAGTTAAATCCGCAAAGACAATACGACAATTTTGGCAAATCGACGGCCTTTTATGCATTTGAAGACACCTAATTAGCGGTGCTTCCTACGGAGCTTCCTTGATATTTCTTGGGCAATATGTAAATCGACTTCTTTGCGCGCCAGATGAAGGAGTAAACAATTTAACGACTATTTTAAATAATATTAATCATTACCGGCGATGATTTCAGTGCTTGCAAATTTAATGTGTTACCGCCTTCCCGTCTGATTTGATGTTGTAATTAAGGGGAATTTCATCGATACAAATTACAGTTATTTTTAGTTTGAGCATATTTATTTCGTGTTATAAAGAATTTATTAAACATTAAAATAAATTATTTGAGGAGGAAGAAGTATGCTGAGGAGAGTACCTACAGAATTAAGTTAACAAAAATGGGTTCATATTTTAATTTTCTACTTATTAAATACGTTTCATCAACACCAATTAAGTAAATATCTTTAATATTTTTCCCATTTGAATAACTTGTGGGTGAATCCCGTAATTCGATAGGTCGAGCGGCAAGGTCGCTCAGCTAATTTTTTTAACACACGATTTGCATCGTAACGCATTCGTCGAACCTACTCTTTAATTTCTATGACTAAATCCGCTCTTAATTGCAGAATACTTTTTTCGTTTTTGGAATAGATTTCGACAGATTTTATTGTTTCAACTTTTACCCACATTCGCGGCGTGATTAATTATAACATGCCGGAAAACGGACATTATTTATGTGTAATAAAACGAAATTTCGAAGCAATAATTTCTTATTAAATTGCGCGCTACTTTCGAGACACCCTGTTTAAGAAACATTTCAAATATTTTTTTTGTTCTACGGAGAAAATTCGATATGAAAACACCCCGATATCCCATCGTGAATTTTCCACCAGTCAATTATTCGATTCCGAATAGATCGTTATTGTTTGGTTGTCATGGTTCCTGTTAAATTTTAATATCAACTTCCATTCTGGCGAGTTTTTTTGCTTTTTCCTGCGACCGCAATCCTTCCACATAAACACGACTCGCAAATGACGGGCCAAATTGTCGCACCTTCGCCAGTTCATCACCAAAATATCGACCTTATCGCATACAGGGAGCTTTAAAAAAATCTTGGAATTTTAAGGCGTTGACTCCAAGGTTCATTCATTGAGATAATATGGGGTGCAGAAAATGTAATTAAATGGTTATTTGTAATTTAATCAGTTTCTGAAGTATCGCCAAGAAATACCTACACTTTTTTCTACACCATGTATATCAAAAATTCATACAAATATGTATTAACATTTTAAAAGAACTTATACACATCTTCAAGTCTACATATTTCTTCAAGTCCAAGTTAATTCAATAATTTATGTCCACCCTCTACTGCTTAAGCATACTTAACGAATTTACCGTAATTATTCGAATAAATTTCAAGAGATTTAACCATTAATTTCGTAATTTTTCGATTGTCGAACATAGAAGGATGCGCCGGCGACATTAGAGACCCTTTTGCTACTTAATTAATTGAATTAAACGAACCAAATAGCGCCATTATTCTCATGCAGCGAGAAAATCTATATAAGGGTCGGAGATACCGGCTCATCCAATTCAGTTCGCTTTGCACTCGGATTATCGTGAAATGCCTTTTTAACTATCGCAAAATAATAGTGGCAACTTTCGGTTATTTTACTGGATCGCTTGTGGTATCGTTGTTGTTGTTCCAGTACAATGGGTAAAATAATTTTGGTGACGCTGTTGATATGCATTCAATATGCATTAGCTGAGATATCGGAGCCTCTGGTATCCACACCTCTGGGTCAAATAAAAGGGACAGTAATTACCTCACGTCTAGCGAAGCCGATTTACTCCTTTAGAGCAATTCGGTACGCCAAAGCACCCGTCGACGATTTGAGATTCAAGGTAAGTTAATAAAAATTGTTTAGAGAAGATGATATATGTGGATTTTTAGCCTCCTGTGCCAGTAGAGAAATGGGAAGGAGTTTACAATGCGACCGAAGAAGGTCCTCTTTGTCCACAACCCACCGCCGACCTGATTTCCGACCTGATTTCAGAAGACTGTCTGATGCTCAACGTTTACTCCACTAAAGTAAGAGATTTTTTTTAAATTCGCAACTTTTGCCGATTATTTAAATTCCCACAGCTGCCCAAAGGAAAGGATAACCCCAAACGTCCGGTCATCGTTTTCATCCACGGCGGCGGTTTAAGCAAACTCGGCGGAGTCAGCTCCATCTTCGGGCCCAATTACCTTCTGGACGAAGAAGTTGTTTTGGTCACCATTAACTTCCGTCTAGCCACTTTAGGATTCCTAAGTACAGGTGACAAAGAAGCTCCGGGCAACAACGGATTAAGGGACCAAGTGGAGGCTTTGAAATGGGTTAAGAACAACATCGAATCCTTCGGCGGAGACCCGGATTCGGTAACACTTCTAGGTTCCAGTACTGGTGCGTGGTGCGTTATTTTACACATGGTCTCGCCGTTATCTCAAGGTAACTAGCTAATGGGTAATCTCGAGCTGTTTAAAATGGTCTAATTCTTGCAGGTTTGTTCCACAAGGCTGGAGCTTTGAGCGGCTCCATAGTAGGAGCCTGGCCCATTTACACTGAGCAAATGGTCGTTGCCAAGAAGCAAGCCAGAATTTTGGGATGCCCCGATGACACCTCCGCCAACATCATCAAGTGTTTGAAGACGAAATCGTTCAAGGAACTCGGGGATTCCCTGCCGCAATTCGGGGTAAAGCGGCTAGATTCATTTTCGGCGATTTCCTAACTCGATTGTCTGTTCGCAGGAATTCGGAACGGATCCTGTAGTTGTATGGTCGCCCGTTATTGAGCCTGATTTCGGCCAGGAAAGATTCCTCACGGCTCATCCCATTGAGCTCATCGCCAACGGACAGTTCAGCAAGGTTCCGTTTTTGTGCGGCCAGACTAGAGATGAATATGGATACCACACATTCAGTAAGATACTGTCTTAATCATCTGCCAGCTTCTTGTGATACTTCTTATTGTATCTCTTGTTGCCCTAAACTTAATAACAATGAATTTTTTTAGATATAGTGGACAACGAAACTCTAAGGACCCAACTGACCGAGCAGTTTGAAAAGTACGCCCCGATCACGTTCCTCTACGAGCAAAACACCGAGTTCTCCAAAACAGTGAGCAAAACTTTGAGAACCTTCTACCTCCAGGATAAACCAATCGATAGATCTCAAATGAAGGCGTTAGCGCAGGTAAAGAAAATGCATATTTATTGATATGTTTATTGATTGTTCGATTTTTAGCTTTACGCCGATTCTATAGTGAATTTCGCTGTAAACAGAGTGGCCAAAATCGTATCAGAGCACAATGACCAACCAGTTTATTATTACCACTTCACGTACCAAGGGCGATACAGCCACTTTTACACCCCTGGAAGCAACAACACCATCCCCTACGGTGAGTAATCGTTGGTTAAATAATTTGGTATTTACTGAGATTAATTAATTTAAAGGAGTCGTCCACCACGATGATTTGATCTATGTGTTCTACAATCAAAAGAGATTCCCGTTGTTCAAGGAAAATTCTCCCCTGGAAGTCGAAATGGTTACCAAATTGATCGCCGTTTGGGCTAACTTCGCTAAAACTGGGTGAGTTTCTACAGCTCCTAAAACTTAATTTACTAGATGTATTCGTTTATTTGATGATTCAGGAATCCAATGCCGACCCCGACGGAAAGATTAGACAACGCTGTTTGGGAACCATTCAAGGCGCCCAATCACAAATACATGGAAATCAGCGGTAAAATGAACGTGAAGGAAAACCTCCTGTCGAAGCGGTTCCAGGAATGGGAGAAGATGTACCCGTTGAGCATGTTCCAGAAGAAGGACTGAACTGATGTCACATATTTCTAGTTGAATTTCGTTTGTTGCGATCCTAACTGATTTTATTTACTTATTTTAACGTAATCTCTCATTCGTAGACAATGAATTTTGTGTAAATAAAGCATTGATTTTTTTCAATAAATTACCCACTTGGGATCTTCAAGAGATATTTTTATTCTTACTTTAATTATAATAGGTCTAATAAAATATATCATTAACAAGGTTTCCTTCAACGGTATCTTTAGATATAATAAAATTATTTAATGCAGGCTGTTAAATTTTTTTAGCTAAAAGACGAATAAAATATTTTTTCACGGTTACAATGGAATATAAATGAGTAGTGTTGGAAAATTTCGTAAAAAATTACTTAAAGAGAAGATAGAAAAGAATAATAAAATACCTTTTAACTATCTCTTAAGCACCTTTTAAGAACATTTTAAACGACACCGATATAGTTTAAATATGAAAATCCGAAAATGATACTTTCAATATGAAAAAAAAAATCTGTTAAATATCTCTCTTCATTTAAAATTCATTTCAGATAATGCAAATCTTTGTAAATATACTACTATTTTATCACCTCGTGCCTATATTAAGAATGTATTTCCAGTAAATGTTTCATAATATATTATACTATTAATTTAAATTTTCATTTCTCACAATCGTTTTGTATCTAACTCGGCATTTTTAAACATACAGGAATATTTATATTTTTAAATTTACCCTTTATATGTTACAAGGGTTATCAAAAGAAAATATTCCATTCTTTGATCCACAGCATTCTATTCGGCCGTTCTTTTGAAGGACGCGTCCGGTTGTCTATTCGACTTCACATTAGCATTCACATTCATTTTAATTGAATTAAACTAGTCGGTATAAAAGGGTCCCAGAATTCGCTACAATTTAGTCCTCCACTTCCATTTTAGACCCGCATAGTAAACGCGTTAACTTCTAAGTCGCCGTTAAAGAGATGGATTCTAATTTAAATAGTACAGGTAGGATGATTTTGGTGGTATTTTTACTGAGCATATGGAGTGCACGAGCAGAAATCGCTGAGCCCCTGGTGACTACGCCCCTGGGTCAGGTAAAGGGAACCGTGATCACTTCTCGTCTAGCAAAAAGCATATTTTCATTCAGAGGAATCCGATACGCCAAAGCTCCTGTTAACGATTTACGATTCAAAGTAAGCTCTATTGTATTCACCTCAATATATTTACAGTCACATAACAAAGTGTTAACGCTTCTGTAGCCTCCAGTTCCAGTAGAAAAATGGGAAGGAATTTACAACGCAACCGAGGACGGTCCATTGTGCCCCCAACCATCATCTGATCGAGTATCAGAAGATTGTCTGATGCTCAACGTTTACTCTACCAAGGTAATCGGGAGTGTTTACTTTAAGCAGAGTGATTTAACCAGATTCTTAACCATTCCAGTTACCAACTTTGAGCGAAAATCCTTTACGCCCGGTTATAGTTTACATCCACAGCGGAGGATTGCATAGCTTCGGAGGTGCCAGTTACTGGGTGGGTCCTAATTATCTCCTAGACGAAGATGTCGTCCTAGTTACATTCAATTTCCGTTTGGGTACTTTAGGTAAACAGCAATACCAAATATAAGTATTAAAAGTTTTATTAACGTTGTACTTTAAGGGTTCTTAAGTACTGGGGATAAGGAAGCGCCCGGTAACAATGGATTAAGAGATCAAGTGGAGGTGTTAAAATGGGTCAGAAATAACATAGAATATTTTGGAGGTGATCCAGATTCCGTGACGTTGATGGGTTACAGTTCGGGGGCTTGGTGTGTTAACTTGCACATGGTGTCTCCATTATCTCAAGGTAACTAGCTAGTACCTAATTTTGAGCAGTTTCAGAGGATCTTGTGCTTGTAGGTTTGTTTCACAAGGCGGTAGCTATGAGCGGTTCTATCTTAGGACCATGGCCTATTCCAATAAACCAACTGGAAATCGCTAAGAAACAAGCAAGAGTTCTGGGATGCCCCGACGATACTTCTTCCAATATCATCAAATGCTTGAAGACGAAGTCTTTCCACGAAATCGGGGAATCGCTTACTAAATTTAAGGTATTATAGTTTTCTTCTATTGATTTCGGTTTATCATTCGTTATTTGCAGGAATTTGGTAATGATCCTATAATCATTTGGTCGCCGGTTATCGAACCTGATTTTGGTCAAGCCAGGTTTTTGACCGCCCATCCAATTCAGTTGATTACCAACGGTTTATTTAGCAAAGTTCCGTTCATGACTGGTCAAACTAAAGATGGATACGGATATCTTGCATTCAGTAAGTTTTAATTATTTCTATTTTTTCTTCACTACACATACATTACAGATATAGTGGATAATGAAACGTTAACACAAGAAATTAACGAAAAATTCGATAAAAACGCTCCAATTACGTTCCTGTACGAAAGGAACACAGATTTCTCCAAGAAGATCAGCAAAACTATAAAGAGTCTTTACTTGGAAGATAAAAATATCGAAAAATCTCAACTGAAACCTTTAGCAGAGGTAATAATAAATATTCATATGAAAAAGCATTTAATAGAATTGGGATTTCCTATATTTAGTTGTACGCAGATTTCTTGGTGAATTTCGGAGTCAATAGAGCAGCGAAAGTTATATCTGAGCACAGTAATCAGTCAGTGTTCTATTACGAATTCTCTTACCAAGGGCGTTACAGCCATTTTTACACACCGGAAAGTAATTACACAATGCCCTTTGGTGAGTACTCGGGTCAATTAATTAACTTTCATTATTACATAATAATCCTTCTTTAGGAATCGGACAACACGATGATTTGTTGTACTTGTTCTACATTCAAAAATTATTTCCGCTGTTTAAAGAAAATTCCCCCGAAGAGGTTGAAATGGTGAACAAATTGACTGCAATTTACGCTAACTTTGCTAAAACTGGGTAGGTTGGATGTTGCAGATAAATATTTAATATTTGGGGTCAATTATTTTAGGATTGCTATTTATTTATTTATTGCAGGAATCCGATACCATCTCCATCGGAAAAACTGGATAACGTGAACTGGGATCGGTTTACGTCCGGTAACAACAAATATTTGGAAATGGGTAGCAAATTAGTAATGAAGGAAAGGAAGCCGGAAAAACGTTTGCAAGAATGGGAAAAGCTGTACCCGTTGAGCATGTACCAGAAGAACAAGCACAGCCACTGAATAATACTAAATTGTAATTTAATTAAAAAATAAATGATTAATTTAAAAGAGTGAAAATTTTAAACGATTCTTTAGAGAAAATAAAGTCTTTTATCACACAAAATACATTCAAAATACACACAAAAACCCACCAATATACCATCTTCGTGTTAAAAAGTCTTTAGTTTATCTTGCCTATTAAAAATATCGAGATACTAAACCGGTACCGAACTACAAAATTTCCCAAATCTACTAATTTTAAACGTTTAAATTCAGGCAGTACGGCAATTTTCGGTCATTGTCTGGTAAAAATTTGCAATGGTAAAATTAACTTTGGTGGTGTTTCTATTAAGCGTCCAATTTCTATTGGATGCAAGTGCAAAAAAACCAAAGCCAGTGCGTACACCAATAGTGCGTACTCGATTAGGTAGAATAAATGGAACAATAAGCACTACTCGACTGGGAAGATCCATCTTTTCTTTCAGAGGTATCCGATTTGCTGAAGCTCCAATAAACGAATTAAGATTTGCAGTAAGTATTAATAAATGCATTTATTAATTTTGAAAGTAGGTAAATTCCAAATTGGAAACGCTATGAATGCATCTTAGATAAGTATTAACCACATGGTTTTTTTTCTATAAGTAGGTATTTTCCATTCTCAAACCACATAATAAAATACGCGTTATTCCATTGCGTAAATCAAATGCCCCGTCCAAAAAGTCAACCTCTTATCGTTTTTTTTATCGTTACTTCTAACCAATCGGGTCAAACCCGGTATGAACTATAAAAAGTTCGGAAACAATTAGATTCAATCACTTTAATTTTGTCGGTGATATTTGACACGAATTATGGCGAAATTGATATCGGTGGTGGTTTTGATTTGCATCCAATTGGCATTGGATGCAAGCGCAAAGAAAATGGCACCAGTGGTGGACACACCGCTGGGACCAGTAAGGGGTACTGTAGATGTTTCTCGAACAGGCAGACCTATTTTTTTATTTAGAGGAATTCGCTACGCCGAAGCTCCTGTAAATGAATTAAGATTTGAAGTAAGTGTTAATTAGTAGCCTAAAATAGTTAGGATTTACTTTTTTTGTATTTCAATGTAAAATTCAGTAGTGGAAAATCCTGCAAGTGCCTACAAAAAATGTAAAGCCTATGAAGAATTTATTTTCTCATACCAAGCAAATAATATTTTTCATAATTTCTAAATATTTTGTCAAACTATTTGGGTGTAAGGTTATCAGCAATGGACACCTATTTCAATTAACAATTTATCTAACATTAAATATTTGTTAATCTATTTACATTAGGTCATTCTTATCAATTTATTTTGGTTTAATTTCGTTATCCGGGTTAATAAATTAAATCCTATTACAATATCATCTTAACACTAAAATTTTTTATAGCCTCCTGTACCGGTCAAAAAATGGAGAGGAGTTTATGACGCCACTAAAGATGGTCCTCTTTGTCCACAAGAGACTAAACCTACTAAAAACCCCGTTACCATTTCTGAAGATTGTTTGATCCTCAATGTGTACACTCCGAAGGTAAATACCATTTAAAGGTATTTTAATTAATTTTTAATTATCTACATATTTTCTTCTACTTAGTTACACAATAACAAGAAAAGTCCTAAACTCCCCGTCATCGTTTTCATCCACGATGGTGGTTACCTCAGAGGTGGTTCAGCCAGTTACATGTACGGACCTGAATACCTCCTAGACCATGATGTTGTCTTAGTTACACTTAACTACCGTTTGGGTACTTTAGGTACGATAAATCAATTTCAAAATTAATAAAATGACGATTTAAAAATTGTATGTATGTTTATAGGTTTCTTTAATACTGGAGAAAAAGAAGCCCCCGGTAACAATGGACTTAGAGATCAAATTTTAGCTTTGAAATGGATCAAAGATAACATCGAATCGTTTGGAGGTGATTCTGATTCTGTCACCATCACTGGCTCCAGCGTTGGAGGATGGTCCGTCGCTTATCTTATGGTTTCCCCGTTAGCCCAAGGTAATTATATCACATGCAATATGATTTCTTGTAAATAATATGTATGTTCTGAATTTTCTTAGGTTTGTTCCACAAAGCTGTAGTAACCAGTGGAACTCCTACGGGAGTATTGACATTGGTACCCAACCAGATGGATGTAGCTAAACAACAGGCACAATTTGTAGGATGTCCCGATGACACAACGGCTAAAATGATTAGTTGTTTGAGAGGCAAACCTTACCAAGAAATCATCGATTCATACAAAGAATTTAAGGTAGTTATATTAAAAAACCCTTATTATTCTCGTTTTGGTAATATATTTTTGATACTTTCTAGGGATTGACCGGCCAAAAATCTAGCTTCATATGGTGGCCTTCAATTGAATCAGATTTTGGACAAGAACGAGTCGTGCCTGCTCATCCCATTGAAATACTTAAGAGCGGAGTATTTAACAAAGTTCCTTTAATGACTGGACAATCTAAAGACGAATATGGTTACCAGGCATATAGTAAGTTTATTTCGTTAAAACGGCATACAACGAATAGTAGGCAAAAATAAAATTTAACAATTTTGCAGACGTTGTTTATAACGAGACCATGAGGAATCTATTAAATGAAGATTTCGAAAAGTACGCCCCAGATGTTTTCACTTACGAAAAAGACACTGAACTTTCCAGAAACATCAGCAGAGCTATAAAATCATTCTACTTGAAAGATAAAGATATCGATGAATCCCAATTGGATAACGTCATCGCGGTAATTATTACGGAATTATTGATTGTTGGTGGAATTATTTACTGATTACTTATTACAGATATTCGCTGATGTTACGGTTGGATTTGCTGTAAACAGGTTTACTAAGCTTGTAGCAACCGCCAGTGATAAACCCGTATATTACTTCGAATTTACCTACCAGGGAGCTTTCAGCAACTTTTACACGCCCACAAGTAACTTCACCAAACCTTTTGGTGAGTAAATTATAACTAGTAAATTATTGGTGAATAAATTATACGCGTTTATTCTTCACAGGAATCGTTCATCATGATGATTTGATATACTTGTTCAGACAAAACAAGTTCCCCATATCTGAAGAGAACCACCCGAAAGATGTCGAGTTGATTGAAAAATTCACGTCTATCTACGCCAATTTCGCCAAAACTGGGTGAGAAATTTATTCGTTTATTCATGTTATAACTATTTTCTAACTTGTGTTTATTGTAGAAACCCGATACCGACAAAATCTGAGAAAATGGACAACGTAGAATGGGTTCCTTTCACCGTCCAAAATAACAAATATCTGGAAATTGGCAATGAATTGGTGATGAAAGAAAATCTTTTCAAGGAACGTTTCAGTGTTTTGGAGAAAGCCGTCCCATTGATACCCACTCAACATTAAATATTGACATTTCGTTTTAATTTTGACTATAACTGTTTCGATTAAAGTGTATTTTAAAATGTTAATGTATGTATGTGTATATTAATGTTTAAAATGTGTACCTACTAGTACAGTAAAGATAAGCATTTATTTTTAAATCGTTGTTTGACTAACCAAAAATTAATATTGCACTGTAATATGAACGGGAGTTTTGTAAAAAAAATTGCTGGGTCGTTATTTTTAAATAGGAATTGACAAAAATGTTCCTAATTGATTACGTAATAATCACTGGAAGTTATCAAATAGGGTCAAAAATAAAAAAACACTGACGAGGTTAATGGAATCGCAAATCAATAATTAATCACTCCTTATCTTAGGGTTAAATTAATATCGTCAATTGTGTCACAAAGTTAAATTAATCAAATCAAATTCACAATTACTGTGAACATGTTTTTCATTTCCGCTCGAATTTCAAAGACAAAATTTGAATGCAAAAGATACGAATCTTATTTACCTCACTTACCTCATCATAAATTTCATTAATTTCTTACATTCCACTCCTACACCATGTCGATCATCGATGGCTCTCGCCCAAAGCCGAAACACCTACAAAACGACTTCAAAATCCTGAAGAAAATTTACAAATTCTCCGCCTTATGGCACTACAATATTAGCCACCTCGTCCAGATAATATGCCAATATCGAAATGTAATCTGTGATCAACTGTAGCTCTTAATTGTGGGTCTTTAGGATACAAAAATTGGTCATCCCCTTTGCCATATTTAGTGACCAAATAAGACATAATGACAATCGACTACTATGAATCCATAATCGTCCAAAACAGGTACAGTGTAAATAAAATTATAATACTCCTTCGATTTTGTTTTATCGGAAGTAATTAATGCGGATGATAAGATACATATTAAATTGTTATTGTTGTTCGTTATTTACCGCGTCAAACCCGGTATAAACTATAAAAAGTTCGGAAACAATTAAATTTAATTACTTTAATTTTGTCGGTGATATTTGACACGAATTATGGCAAAATTGATGTCGGTGGTTCTGATTTGCATCCAATTGGCGTTGGATGCAAGCGCAAAAAAAATGGCACCAGTGGTGGACACACCATTGGGACCAGTAAGGGGTACTGTAGATATTTCTCGAACAGGCAGACCTATTTTTTTATTTAGAGGAATTCGCTACGCCGAAGCTCCTGTAAATGAATTAAGATTTGAAGTAAGTGTTAATTAGTAGCCCTAAAATAGTTAGGATTTACTCTTTTTTTTGTATTTCAATGTAAAATTCAATAGTGGAAAATCCTGTAAGTGCCTACAAAAAATGTAAAGCCTATGAAGAATTTATTTTCTCATATCAAGCAAATAATATTTTTAATAATTTCTAAATATTTTGTCAAACTATTTGGGTGTAAGGTTATCAGCAATGGACACCTATCCCAATTAACAATTTATCTAACATTAAATATTTGCTAATCAATTTACATTAGGTCATTCTTATCAATTTATTTTGGTTTAATTTCGTTATCCGGGTTAATGAATTAAATCCTATTACAATATCATCTTAACAATAAAAATTTTTATAGCCCCCTGTACCGGTCAAAAAATGGAGAGGAGTTTATAACGCCACTAAAGATGGTCCTCTTTGTCCACAAGAGACTAAACCCACTAAAAACCCCGTTACCATTTCTGAAGATTGTTTGATCCTCAACGTGTACACTCCGAAGGTAAATTTAAAAGTACTTTAATTAATTATTAATTATCTACATATTTTCTTCTACTTAGTTACACAATAACAAGAAAAGTCCTAAACTCCCCGTCATCGTTTTCATCCACGATGGTGGTTACCTCAGAGGCGGTTCAGCCAGTTACATGTACGGACCTGAATATCTCCTAGACCATGATGTTGTCTTAGTTACACTTAACTACCGTTTGGGTACTTTGGGTACGATATATCAATTACAAAATTAATAAAATGACGATTTAAAAATTGTATTTTTATAGGTTTCTTCAATACTGGAGAAAAAGAAGCCCCCGGTAACAATGGACTTAGAGATCAAATTTTAGCTTTGAAATGGATCAAAGATAACATCGAACCGTTTGGAGGTGATTCTGGTTCTGTCACCATCACCGGCTCCAGCGTTGGAGGATGGTCCGTCGCTTATCTTATAGTTTCCCCGTTAGCCCAAGGTAATTATATCACATGCAATATGATTTCTTGTAAATAATATGTATGTTTTGTATTTTCCTAGGTTTGTTCCACAAAGCTGTAGTAACAAGTGGATCTCCTACGGGAGTGATGACATTGGTACCCAACCAGATGGATGTAGCTAAACAACAGGCACAATTTGTAGGATGTCCCGATGACACAACAGCTAAAATGATTAGTTGTTTGAGAGGCAAACCTTACCAAGAAATCATCGATTCATACAAAGAATTTAAAGTAGTTTTATTAAAAAACCCTTATTATTCTCGTTTTGGTATATATTTTTGATTCTTCCTAGGGATTGACCGGTCAAGAATCTAGCTTCATATGGTGGCCTTCAATTGAATCAGATTTTGGACAAGAACGAGTCGTGCCTGCTCATCCCATTGAAATAATTACGAGCGGAGTATTTAACAAAGTTCCTTTAATGACTGGACAAACTAAAGACGAATATGGTTACCTCGCATATAGTAAGCTTATTTCGTTAAAACGGCATACAACGAATAGTAGGCAAAAATAAAATTTAACAATTTTGCAGACGTTGTTTATAACGAGACCTTGAGGAATCTATTAAATGAAGATTTCGAAAAGTACGCCCCAGATGTTTTCACTTACGACAAAGACACTGAACTTTCCAGAAACATCAGCAGAGCTATAAAATCATTCTACTTGAAAGATAAAGATATCGATGAATCCCAATTGGATAACGTCATCGCGGTAATTATTACGGAATTATTGATTGTTGGTGGAGTTATTTACTGATTACTTATTACAGATATTCGCTGATGTTATGGTTGGATTTGCTGTAAACAGGTTTACTAAGCTTGTAGCAGCCGCCAGTGATAAACCCGTATATTACTTCGAATTTACCTACCAGGGAGCTTTCAGCAACTTTTACACGCCCACAAGTAACTTCACCAAACCTTTTGGTGAGTAAATTATAACTAGTAAATTATTGGTGAATAAATTATACGTGTTTGTTCTTCACAGGAATCGTTCATCACGATGATTTGATATACTTGTTCAAACAAAACAAGTTCCCCATATCTGAAAAGAACCAACCGAAAGATGTCGAGTTGATTGAAAAATTCACTTCGATCTACGCCAATTTCGCCAAAACTGGGTGAGAAATTTATTCGTTTATTCATGTTATAATTATTTCCTAACTTGTGTTTATTGTAGAAACCCGATACCGACAAAATCTGAGAAAATGGACAACGTAGAATGGGTTCCTTTCACCATCCAAAATAACAAATATCTGGAAATTGGCAATGAATTGGTGATGAAAGAAAATCTTTTCAAGGAACGTTTCAGTGTTTGGGAGAGCGTCGTCCCATTGAGACCCACTAAACAATAAATATTGACATTTTGTCTTAATTTTGACTGTAACTGTTTCGACTAAACTGTATTTTGTACGTGTACATTACTGTTTAAAATGTGTATCTACTAGTACAGTAAAGATAAGCATTTATTTTTAAATCGTTGTTTGACTAACCAAAAATTAATATTGCACTGTAATATGAACGGGAGTTTTATAAAAAAATTGCTGGGTCATTATTTTTAAATAGAAATTGACAAAAATTTTCCTAATTGATTACGTAATAATCACTGGAAATTATCAAATAGGGTCAAAAATAAAAAAAAACACTGACGAGGTTAATGGAATCGCAAATCAATAATTAATCACTCCTTATCTTAGGGTTAAATTAATATCATCAATTGTGTCACAAAGTAAAATTAATCAAATCAAATTCACAATTACTGTGAACATGTTTTTCATTTCCGCTCGAATTTCAAAGACAAAATTTGAATGCAAAAGATACGAATCTTATTTACCTCACTTACCTCATCATAAATTTCATTAATTTCTTACATTCCACTCCTACACCATGTCGATCATCGATGGCTCTCGCCCAAAGCCGAAACACCTACAAAACGACTTCAAAATCCTGAAGAAAATTTACAAATACTCCGCCTTCATCGGCCTCGCCCCTGACCTGAACAAGAAGAGCTTACCCGTATTCCGCACCCTCATCATGTGCCTGGTCATCACCGTGTGCTTCGCCTTCACCATCTACTTCTCGGTGAAGGAGGTCTCCTCGTTGCTGACGCTGGTGTACTTTTCCTCGAAAATATTCGGAGCCGTCTTCGCCATAAGCTGCATTTTCAATCCCAACGTCGTCTACAGGAAGAAGTGGATCTTGTTCGTGAAGCGCTTGACCAGGCTCGAGTCCGCTGTGGCAGGAATGATGTTCGAACCGACGCCTTGGTTGTGGGTTGAAATAGGCACTTCGATCGCCATCGTATTCGCCTTCGCTGCTTACAACGTCCGCATAATATCTTCTAATTTGGTCATTTACCAAACAGACAGTAACTACCTGAGGTTTGTGATCTACTTTTACACCGTGGGGTTCTTCGTTTTGTTCTATTCCACGGTGATTTTTTTGAAGAGCAGATACGCCTTCGTGCTGAATTACCTGTATGGTAAGAAAGGGAAGATGTTTCGCAGCGATTTGAAGAGGTTTTCTAAGTTTTTGATCGCTGCTAGCCATGTTAACGTTACTTTTAACAAGATTTTCGGTTGGAAACTTTTCTTCTTCGTTTCCAGTGCGGTTTTGTTCTTATCTGCCTCTATGTTGTTTTTGATACATAAAAGCGGTATGTTTAACCAATTTTGGACGGCTGCGTATGCTCCCTTTGGAAATCTGGTAAGTTAATTTAATCGTTTACAAGAGTTTGTCCTATAGTCATAATTCACTTGACTACAATCGAAGGATTTTGGGACACACAGTATAATTAGATGCAAATTTTGGTTTCTAGATAATCGTTTGTTTCCTTGCTATGAATTGCGAATCAGTGGAAGTACTCGGCAGGAAAATAGTAACGGTTTGTTACGAAATATGCGAAGAAGAAACTGATAAATATATGAGAGAGGAATTGTTCGAAGTGGCTTCGTTGGCTGAGCATTTGAGACCTCGCTTCGACGCTGCAGGATTTTTTCCGTTCAATCAAAATTGCTTGATCATGATATTCTCGTCTGTTATTAATTATTTGGTCATTATTATTGAATTCGATGTGACGGTTAAGTAGATTTTTACAACGAAAAATTGCTTGTGTTTGAACATGTTTTTATTTACAATAAAATATTTGCAATATGGAAAAGTATTAAAATAAACCTACAATAGTATTTCAGTAGTGATTTTTATGCCCATTCGGTAATTTATCTTTGATGTAATCCAAGAAAACGTCCAATCCCCGTTGATTCCCTTCTGCGTAGTAAGGTAAGCTTTGCAATTTGTGCAACCAGGCCGATATTTTGGGAAACCTAACAGCTTGAATAGGCAGGAATGCCGACCAAGAAGTGATCGAAGAAACTAAACTAAAATCGGCGATAGTTAATCGATCGCCAGCTACATAATCTGTACATTCGAGGAACTTTTCTACTATACTAAACGATTCTTCCAGAGCGAGAATCTGAGCCTTGGGGATGTGCATCAGCCCTTCAAATATTAAGGCTCTCTGCAACAAAAACGTATTAAATTATTGAGTTAACAAGCAAAATGTATGCTTGCAGAATACTTTAATTTTACTCACTACAATATTAGCACCTCGTCCAGATAATATGCCGGTATCGAAATGTAACCTATGATCTACTGTAGCTCTTAATTGTGGGTCTTTAGGATACAACAATTGGTCATCCCCTTTGCCATATTTAGTGACCAAATAAGACATAATAACGTGACTATCGACTACTATGAATCCATCGTCGTCCAAAACAGGTACAGTGTGTTGGGGATTTATCTACAATTTTACGAAAATTAATTATTTAGGTATGGAAATAGGAATACATACCTTGAGAAAATCGGGTAGCAAATGTTCCTTTTCCAACAAATCCACATCCATCCACTCGACTTCGAGTTTCAAAGCTTTGAGGCAAAGAGTAACGGCCCTCACAGAGGGGCTCGAGATTATCGCGTACAGTTTGAGAACCATAGTGTTCAATAACGTTGATCTCTCGAGTTTCAAAAAACAATGAACGATTTGCGAAAAAAATAAAATTATAATACGCCTTCGATTTTGTTTTTTTGGGAGTAATCAATACGGACGATAAGATACATATTAAATTGTTATTGTTGTTCGTTATTTTATACAATTTGTTGCTATAAAAATAACTCCGATGGAAGGTGAAACGTCACCTATTTGTAGCGAAAGGCAACAAATTTTTGCGATTAACTTGTTTTGTAAACAAGCGTATAAACATGTACATTATCGCCTTAAATGCGAATTTTGCGAATTGATAATGCAGGTAAACGATTCGCTTAATGTTTTTCTTATGTAAATAATGAATATACAAGAGGTCAACAAATGAGAATTAGAAAAAAATAGATTTTTTCATTATTATGAGTCATTAGATAAAAGCTGTAAAACAAGTACTTATTTACTCGAAGCCGGTTTGTTAAATACATATCTTCTGTCCATGGCAAGACTCCGGGGAATAACTAAAAATCAACGCCCGTCTTAAATTTTTTAAGATGCTGAATAACCGAATAGTTAAGACTTCTTTTTTATATTAAATATTTAACATATGTCAATGTCACTTATCATAAACTTCAAAGTTGAATTAATAGATAAACAACAAAACAATAAAGACTAATTCTAATCTATTAAAAAATTCAAAATTTTTAATATTAGCAATGTTCAAGCGGAAACAACCTAACAAAGCCAAATTAGAGCATAAATTGTATTTGGTAAGCTTCGATAGCGCAACACAAAACAATTTTCTTTCAACTTAGCACGATTCATTTTAGGCTCGGGAAAATCCAGAACCAGTATTCGATTTAACCGACTGCGAACTGTACGAAGTACCGAGCGGCATTTACTCGTTGTGCAGAGTATTCCTGAAGCAATCTCTCAAATTAGAAAACAATAATCTAACCTCCCTAAATGGAGGCGGTAACCTGAAGGATTTGCACTCGTTGAAAACGTTGAATTTAAGCAATAACTCGTTCCACGAACTACCCGCCGGAATCGCCTTCCTGACCAATTTGCAAGAATTGCACTTGTCCAATAACCAATTGAAAAAGCTTTGTGATAGTATCTGCCAGCTCAAGAATCTGAAGATACTCGACTTGTCCGATAACCATCTGAAAGCGTTACCAAACGGTATTGGTAACCTTGAGAACTTGAGAATATGTCGCATTAACAATAACAAAATACGTATGCTGCCAAAAAGTATACACAAATGGAAGAAAATCCGAGTTTTAGAGCTAGACACTGTTTTATATGAATACCCTCCGGAGAATATCGTTACTCAGGGATTAGAATCTGTAATGACCTTTATTTGTAATGGTTAGTATTCAGTTGAAATTAATTGCATTACAAATGCATAATTATGTATTTTATTAGACGTAGGTGTGCCATATATTGCTGCCAATTATGATGCAGATGAAGAACTCGATGCAAATACTTCATCTGTTAGTGATACTACAGATTCCGTGCAGGTAATTATTACAATAAGGGTAATATGATTTTGTAAAATGCAAACGTTTTCAGCAAAAAAAAATCAAAGAATTTCTTGAAATTGAGAGGCGCAATGAAATTCTTACCAGGCAAGAGCTTGAATATGCAAATGCCTCTAAAGTACAAAGAGATAAAGTAAGATTTATTATTTGAAGACGTTCATAGAGTTTTTTTTGTCATATTTTCAAATTACTGTTAAAAAAATGAAGATTCAACATACATTTATAATTGTTTTAAAACTTCCAGCTATTAGCAATAATAACCCAACAACAAGATCACATCGATAACGAACTGTACAAACTTCACCAAGAGAAGGAATTCGACAGGTTCAAATTAATAGAACAGCTACAAGAAGGTGAATTATACCTTTAACATCTAAGAATATTACTCACTATTTATCATTTAATTCCAGCGGAAAATACTGCGGATATCGCGATTAAACAGCTACTAGTCATAAGCAGGGAACCCTTAGGGCAGCTTTTGGAACAAGAGAGACTAGAGGAGGAGAAACTACTGAGTGCCATAAATCGATACAACGAAACGTTACGTAAAGAAGATATTTTATCGGCCATGCAAGAAATTTTGGCGCAGGAAGCCCTCAAATTCAAAGAGTTCGATCAAAACAGAATGGAAGTATCAAAGAGCATAATGGAGCAGTAAGTGCCTGTATGGATTAATCGACTCTCGAATAACGTGATTATTTCAGAGAAACGGAGATAGATTACAAACTGCTGGAAGTCCTGCAGAATCAAGACGAGCACAAAGTAGAATTGGTTAATAAACTCATAATCGATAACAATTTGCAAAAGGCGGCCGTGGCTACTTTACTGGAACGAGGCGATGCCAGGAGTTGGGGCTTATTGCAGCAAATTCGATTCGTCGAATCGCAATTGGCAGCCCTCACTCGATTAGAAATCGACAGGAAGAAGCTTCAAATGGACGAGCATCTAGTGAGTAAATAATGTCGGTGTTACAGCTAATAACACTGCTGTTTTAGAATGATCTGTGCGATAAACGATGCACTTTATCAGTGTTGCTCGTGGATTTGTTGGAGCAGCAAAAGCAAAGAAGATCGCAGCTGATATCTACAATGCAAATGATGGAAGAAAGCAATATCGAAAGCGAAGAAGATTTCTGGCTGCGACAGTACCAAAGACTGCTCGATAAGTAAGCGAGTACTAATGATTGAATAACTATTAAACAGCTTCTTGTTTTAGATTACCCGAAGGTTTATCTCACGCACAAAAGAACATCGATCCGCTGTTAGCACAATGCCTTCTTTTCAACGGCGTTATTCACTGTTTGCCATTTTTAGCTAATCTAACTCAATGCCAAAGTAAGTTAAATTGCATCGGGTATTGTAGAAATATTGTATTCGAATAATTTTTAGAAAAAATCCAGTTCATAAGCGATGAAGATTTGTTAAAAGCTGGCGTGTTGTGCGGCAACGAGCGCTTGAAAATCCTCGATGCTTTTCAAATGTACGAAAACAAGCAGGAAGTGTGTGGTACTGTCAATGATACTTGCGCAAGCGCGCCTCCGCAGTTACCAGAAGAGGCCAGCGCTCCTGTTCCGGAGAATATGAAAACTATTAATAGCACCGAATGTGTAATATGCCTGGATATGGAGGTACATTATTTGTTAACGATGTTTTAACGTGTATTTACTCGTTTTATTTTTCAGTGCGAAATTATATTTGTGCCGTGTGGACATCTGTGTTGTTGCGGTAATTGCGCTGTGCCTGTAAAGGATTGTCCGTTGTGTCGGGGTAGTATAGAGAGGAAAATTACCCTAGTTTTATAAGGTTTCTAATTAGTTATAAATGGTAAACTCGAATTATTCCACCACGATTTTTGCTATATATCCACGTTTTTCTACGCTAAACGGGTGTTAAATATTTTCCATATAATCAAGCGAGCTTGATTCCAAGTAATAAAATAAGGATTTTCGAGTGATAGCAAATTCGTTAATAATGTTTGAATGAAAACAATGGTGCTGTATTAAAATAAATTTATTCCACACATAATTCAAAATCCACAACTTTTTAATACTTGTTACTAATGTATTTTTGTACAAAAACAGAAGCACAGTTTTATGCCTTTCAATACTGATATTCTAGTCACATTTATTGGACAATCTAAAGGAATTCGATTCTACTAAAAGTATAAGATTAAGTGATTGTTGTACCTTGCTTTAAGTCAAATTTAGACGATACTTTATTATTAAAATTTTACATTTATTACATTTTTAGCTTATTAAAATTTATAATTATTTTGTGTTGTTAAATAAACTTTTAAAAAATATTGTTTTGCGTTATAAAATTAAATCCTACACTAGCTTCTCATTCATCATCTTTCAGATCGTCTTCAGCAGTCTCGTGTTGATCATCGATATCATCGGTATCGTTCCCTTCGATCGATTTCTTACCTTTGCCTTTCTTGGACCTCGAATTTTTGTATTCTAAAATAATTAAGATTATAAACGTGCCACAATTATACAAAAACTGAATATACAACCTATTAATGCTTCCTCTAGAGGTTCTATGAAATTTTCAAACTCCAATTCTGTTAACGCAGTCATAACGTCTTTTGGAGTCAATGTTTTCCTGTTACCTTTCTGGGCCTCGTTAGAGGCCTGCGAAGTCACGTAAAGGACAAACACTGATGCAGCTCTAGACAGAGCAGATCTGGCGTCCTTTCCAATATTTACAGAGTCCGGGAGCACTTCTTTTATTATTTTCTGCACCGAAGCATTGGGGAGATTCAGGTCGTCTAACTTTTCTGCCATGGTATTTATCAAAAAAAGCTCTTTTATTAGAAAACTTATAGGCTCTTAAACATTTCTATTTCCCACAATTTGTTAGTTTATAACCTAAGTAACTCTTCTTTTTAGTTGATAACTGTCTCATGTCAATAAAAGAAAAAGGCCAGACAAAAATTCATCTGTCATGTCACTGTCAGTACGTCACTCACGTCACGTCAATTAAAAAAAGATTGACACGTTTGAAGTTGATTTTTGAGTTTCTTTTCTCTGGCCGAGATTTTCTCGAATGGCTTTCTAAATTAGTAAATTGTAAATAGTTATTTATTACCTAGTTAATCCAGCAATGGCTAGTCCCAGAACAAGACGACTACTGCAGGAATTAAAGCCCAACAATGAAAACGATGTAGGTAGAACTTTTCAATTTACCTGTACAATATTATTTGATCTGATTAGCCACTAATTTTTTATAAACTTTACCATTGTTTAACGTTCTTTACCTTGAGGAATTAAAAAAAGGCTGTTCGTTTCAGAAATGTTTCGAATGTGGCACTCTAAACCCACAATGGGTGTCCGTTACATATGGAATATGGATTTGCCTGGAATGCTCTGGAAAGCATCGAGGATTAGGTGTACATTTGTCGTTTGTACGTTCGGTTACGATGGATAAATGGAAAGATATAGAATTGGAGAAAATGAAAGCAGGAGGAAATCGGAATGCCAGAGTATTTTTCGAAGCTCAACCCGATTGGGATGATAACATGAACATTCAGCAGAGATACAACACAAAAGCAGCAGCATTATACAGAGATAAGGTACTACAAATTCGCTTCGAGTATGACACCAAAATGTTCAAGTTTATGTTTCCGTTTAGATTTCAACTTTAGCTCAAGGAAAACAATGGGATGAGAGGAAATCCCCAGCTCAAAATTACACGAGTAGTATAATCGGCATGAATTCAACTCATTCCGGATCGAAAGAAACCTACTCGTCTTCCTCTTATCAATCATCATCGTCTTACAACGCCGATTTGACGGGTTTTGTGGAGACTCAAGAATGCAAGGATCAAACGCAAGCGTATTTTTCTAGGAAACAAACGGAGAACGCCAATAGACCAGAGTAAATATATTTATGGATGTATTTAAAATGCCTTGTTAAATAATTTATTAGGATTCGTTGACTGTCTATTCCAGATTTTTCAATTAATGTAGTTTATTCATTTTTTAGTAATCTCCCTCCTAGCCAAGGAGGCAAATACAGCGGATTCGGTTACACCGCGAATCCCCCTCCGCGTAGCCAATCTCAAGAATTTGTAGACACCGCAATTTCATCATTAGCTAGTGTAAGTTTGGAGGATTCGATGGTTAATTGTATTATGAAACGTGTTTCATTGCAGGGCTGGTCGTTTCTTTCATCATCTGCGACGAAATTGGCGAGCAAAGCGTCAGAGAACGCCGTCAAATACGGGGGATTAGCTAGTCAGAAGGTAGTTGAAGTTAGTTCGCATGTAGGGGAAAAGGTCCGTTTAAGTTTGTTACTATTCTTTTCATTTTGTTTGATTTATCCGAGGAAAAATTAATACTAAATTATATTGGGCAAATCGAGGTATTTGTTCGATTTTTTATGTTTCTTATCTTTTTATTTATGTATTTATTCGTTTATCGCGTAGGTACAATATTTACTGAATATTTCTCATAATTTATTGTTATAAACATAATGGGTTAACTAAACTCTTCACTTTTATAAATGGTACAATGTAAATGAACTTAAGACAAGTACTCATAAGGGAAGTATGGAGGAACTTTCAATCATACCAATTTATCGTCACGAAATGTCCTATGTAGCAGCCTTAATACTGATTACAGCCCTTTGAAATTCCGCTCACAGGACAACGTCAATATGACAGATAAGTCGTTTCGATATTTCCACAATGATTCGCATTTTTACCATTGTACAAAGAAAATTATAGTCCGCGTGAAATGAAAACAACATGGCGAATTTGGGCAAATGCACGTTATGCTTTCTGCTGTTGATCACGTTATCGGTACCGATCGGTCTGATGAGCGGGCTGATGTACTGGTTCGCGTACTGCTGCACGTCCTGCTGCGAATGCTGCGACGATTGGGCCTGTTGTTACCTCAAAGGCGCCCAAATACCCGGCAATTGCATGGCCTGTGTGCTAAACTGCGGCGACGATCCCTACTGTAAATAATTTAATGCTAATAATTCAATCGAAATGCAAGTTTAAAACTTGTAGTGCGTAAGTAAGTGCGTAGAATCGCCGCTTGAAACCGCTGTTATGTTTATAACTAATAGATTATTAAACATATTCAGTAAATTAGATTTTTTTTATTATTTTTTTTTTGTTATTTATTTTGTTTCCGATAGGTTAAAGAAGGGACTTTGTTGGACGATTTGGGTTGTCAAGTTACTAGTTTAACGAATAAGGTAAATACTTATAACCGATGCGAGTCTCTTAATAAGTGGTTATATGTTCTTATTATTCGGTACAGATGGGAGAATTGGGCAGGAAAGGTTGGAAGGAAATCAGCAATCTAAACAACGACGGTAACAGCGGTGGTTACGGTGAAATGGCCGGCGAAAACTACTCGCCCAGCGAAAAATCCTCCCTATACAGCCAAGGAAACGGTTACGTTAGAGAAGAAGATTGGAGCTACGCCAGTCAACACGGTTCTAAGTAAGCCCCAAAACTCTTCGAACGCATCTGCTGGGTAATTCGGTCACTCATCGAAACGTTTTTTTTTTCGTAGAGCCTCGAGCCCGAAGTCGCCGAACGAGAGCTGGGAGGGCGGCTGGAGCGGCTACCAGAACGAAGACAACGGCAGTTATCAGTCGGGTTTGAAGAATTATTCGTCGAATAGCGCCGCGTCTCCGACGGAAAAGGCCGGCAGGACCACCGGCAAGGCGGAATCGAAGGCGAAAGAAGGGAAAAATACTTGGAACGATAACAAGTGGGGCGATGATGAACTGTGGGAGAGTTTGAACAAGTAAATTCAATAGGCAATTTCGATATTATATCAGTGTGGTTACGATTAATTGATATAATTACACACGTTTAATTACTACCTTTAGCTTGAAGAAAAAAATTTTTAATAATAGTGAAAAATTGAGAACAAGTGATTTGTTGTAATTATTAAAAAAAATATGTAAATGTTCATTAAAATAAGGACAGGTAAACTTACTATGGTTAAGAAACTTTTGTGTATATTTTATTATCGTTTTAGTAATATTTTACTATAAATAATGTATTCTACCTTACGTTTAAATATATATTTTTGAAATACATCTTGGTTAAATACAAAATTTATTCAAACTATTCTAAAGCTCATCAAAATTGTTGAGTATTTTGTCATTGATCATCCTAAATCTACAGATGATTAATAACTTATTATTTAACAAGATCATAGTATGTATAGTCTCACTTTGTAGCACATTTTTAATCATCATAGTATTAAAAATCATAATGATGAATAATGAATAAATCATTATATTTGATGAGCCTACCTACAACTTAAATAAAATGATATTCATGTAGAAAAATACCCAGCTAGAAGAGAGCTAAGGAAATGTAAGCTAAAGCTTAAGTACAAATGAATAAAATGAGCTTCAACTAGAAAAATACCTACCTAGAATGAAACTAAAAACTAAAGAGGTAGGTACATTATGTAAATTGGGCTTAATGCAAAACTAAAAAAAAGTTTACGTGCATGTCTGTTAGCACGTTTCGATCTCAAAGCGTAGCAACCGGTGATGTCAATGTTTATTTTAACACAAAATTTCTAATGTTATCGATTAGTTTCTGGCACCGCCGGCCAATTAAAAGTAATCAATCTGGACTCGCACACCGCCTTCGTAGGGGCGGAATTTTCAAGCGTTTCGATGCATTATTGCGCTCGTTCGTTGGAAATTCTTTTCGAAATTTTTACCAATATTTCGGTTGTTATCCTTCCTGCTCTACACGCAGCGATAAAATCGCTTTTTGCACGATTCACGACCGGGCGAATTGCTTCGATGCAGGCACGGCATTTATTGAATACTATCACGAATCATTAGAAATTTATACGGCAAACATTTCACCGAACTTATTACTGTATTACAACCAGTAGTTCTTTTTATTCTAGACCGCACGGTGCGCTAATTTCCCAAACAAAGGTCAGTACTCTTACTCCACACGAGCTAGATAATCCTAGTATCCATCCCACCCCAGGTAAGGTGGTGCAATATTTTTTCCAGTAATTACAAGCGTGGCAACGAGGTGAATAGTCTAAATGGTTTTCGTGACCGCTTGGAAAAACCGTCTCGTTGACACGAAAGTCGAGGTAAAGGGGCGGCAGCCCGGGGGCCCTCCGATCCAATGGCAATCGTCGGAACGGATCGAGTAACAATTTTGATTCATCGCGAAAAAAACTCAGTCACTTGTCGGGTAATAATCAATGAGGATTTGCGTGCATTGGGCCATATGTTGTCGGTTTCGCGTAGGGGCTGGTAAATGGGGTAGAACTCTGCTGGAGGAATTGATTCACGGACAAAGCTACGTGGATTTGGAAATGAAGGATTTGTGGTATTAGCTAAGATTTGTTAGCTTCAGTTGAGGGTATTTCTTAGAGCTTATTAAAGGTTTTAAAAAAAATACTTATCGTCGAAAGGAAATGATATTGTGGGGTTTAATTTTTAAATGCTTAATCGAAATAATATTATTCTTAATCGATTTTTATTTGTTCGAATAAAATATCGATTATCGCTTACACTCATAAAAAATAAGAAAATCCACGACATCTTATTAATTATTATCGATAATATACTTTATAAATATTTAAACCGAGAAACGTCAGGTAGGTATTCATTTTCCAGAATTTCCTTTCTACCGGAATAATTGAATATTAGTATTGAGGCCACGTAAATCTATAACGAATTTAAGTAATACAACATTTATAGGTGTTTGCTTTCTTTACGTTGCAGGTAGATAATTATTGTCTTTGGCCCGCATGATTTATTCAAAGCAAAAAAGGGCTACGTTTGGGGGAAAAAAACTTTAGTAAGTGGGTTGGTTTTCCACCTCGGCATTTCCCGAAATTACTCAAATTATACGGGTTATTAAAGCTATTAGCTTCCTTGTGATTAGTAAGTATCCGCTGTTAGGTAATTTCTTTAGTTTAGTTACAAGTTAGGCCGTGCAATTGATTAATCCATCGATAAAATACGCATTACAGGACGTCTTTCCTTGGCATTGCCCGGTTTATTAAATTTTTAATTTCTGTTTAAATCGATATATTTTAACCTTTAGAATATAATCCACAAAAGTGTAGTTTAGAAATAAATTATGTATGTACTGATTCAGCTAAAAAATAGTGTAGGTATACCGGATTATTTTCAATATAGGAGAGTTGTTTAGTAAAAATATTTCACTGAATTTTGCCGTATTTTTGGGAATTTTGGAGGAGATTTTTTTGATGTATTATGAGGTAAAAAGTTGATGTTCTCTTTCAAAAAATTATTATACATACAGGATGCTTCATCAGAAAATTTCTACTGGAATTTCCATTAGAAGAGAGCAACTAAGTCTCGTGTTAAGACATCATGTATTACAAGAAAATTGAAATTTTCCAAATAAACATTACAAAATGAGCTCTCAAATGCAGCAAAATATATTCAACTATTCCATCTCCACCTAAATATGAAGCAAAATAATTTTTCCTATCGAAAAAAAAAACGGCGATCTTTCCAATCGACGTGCATTTTCCCGTGGAAATTTCGAACCGTTCCCACCGACCTATCGCGATGCCGCGCCACAGAGGAGCTCCACGACAACGGGCCAGCGTATCGTGGACTCCGTCGAATTTATACATAGTCTCTATAGACTCTAAATAAAAGTAAACTCCACTTGGGCTTCGCCGTCAGTCCTTAACGAGCCCGAGGGAAGTCCGCTCGCCGTGCGTGCGAGTGCTGCGCGTGTCCTGCGTTTTCGTCGGAAAAATCGCGGAAATTTATTCGGAAAATCGGACGCGCTCGAAATCGGATTTTCATTTTCACTGGAAGCGCCTCAGCGGTAGCGCAACCGAAGGAGATATTTTCCCGATTGCGGAATGATATATCGATGGAATTTATGATTTTATCTGCGATATTGTGATAATATAATTAGTTTTCTATTAATATTCGCTGCTACAGAGACAATTTGCTATAAGTTTGCGATGTAATGTGTTCTTTTAGGAGACGTTTTGGTATCTAATCAAAGGTAATTAATTATATTCGTTCGTTAGGCTAACAGGTGAAATGGTGTTTACCAATCATTTATCGCGTATTCGATAAACTTGCTATTACTCACTTTATCGCCAATTAAATATAATACCCTAAATATTTTAGGTAATAAAAGCAGGTGAAATAATTTTGTAGTCTCAATGCATATAGTCAGAAAAAAATTGTACAAAAGTAGAGTGAAAGCAAAAAGTAAATATTACATCAGTTGGTTATTATTTTTGAAATTTTAATTTATACAGAATGTTGGACAAGTTGAAGGTTTGTTCAGATTTAGGAGCCGTAAAAAATATTTGTAATGTTAGAAAATAAAATCTAACTTTCTAAAGTATTTTCTATACCACATTTTAAAGTGTTTTGGTATAAGTGATAGAACACTCTGTATAGATTATAAGTATTTAGAAGACATCTAATTGAACTATTTTTTCCGGTAATATATTAACAAAAAAATTACCTGAGCAGATATTACCAGAAAAATCTTGATACCAGCGATATGCACCAGAATTAATTGTTTTAAATTGATTAAATTAGAGCAGATATCTTTGGGAAAGAACCATTTCATGACCGGATATTACACTAAATATAACGTATCCGCTATCGGGTTCACCGCGAATTAATTTATCGTTTTCAGAAAATGTTAAAGTATCCAAAAATTAATGAAAGAATGTGGAATTAAAATACTAGAATTTTTGTTTTATACTGTCACGGTTAGAGTATCATTTGTTAGCACATTATTTGTTCATTATTTTAACCTAATGATGCATCGACTGAAAATAATGAATGACATCACACACCTAAAATATATTCTGATTTCAATTTTCATAAGGTGCGTTAAAATTATTTTTTTATCGCATTTCCCGATAATAGATTAATGAATAATTTACCTTCCTCTTTTCATAAGTTTTTCTAAACAATCAATTAAGTAGGTAAAACTTTGCCTATTTTACTTAATGATTATTTGATTCCTGATTAGGGTGCATTAGAACAATCCAAGTGTATTCATCCTAAAATTCTTGTTAAAATATACCTAATAGAGTTTTCTACACACGCATGCACACCCACAATTTCTATTGTTAACATGACCTCATCGTTCAATCCATAGTTTTAATTATTACCAGACATGATTATTAATATAATTAATTTAACCAGGAGTTATTAATATCATTAATTTAACGAGGAGTTATTTTAATATATTTAATTCGTTGTCGAGCCGGCCCAATATAGTTAATTCGTGGAAAATTGCGAGAATGAGTCTAATTAACTGTTGAGAATTTCCTTTAAAAATAATCGCCCTAGTAACTGCAAACGAAGGCAATAAAACCCAATTTAAGTGCACGGCGAAATTAAAAAGTATTTTCCAACGATTGAATGCGAGAAAAGTGCAGACTAATTTTGTAAACCGATGAAATATTTAAAAGATTCCAAAGTTCGCAATAAACCGAACAGTAAAAGAGTTCATCCAGATATTATCTGGAGTGTGGAAATCGTAAAGCTCTCGAAATGCAGCTGGTTTTTAACGAATTTACTTCATTAGGTTTACACACGAACCTTATTAATTATTCAATTTATTTAGGTAGGAACATTCAAAGGGCATATTGTAGGTATACATGATACAGGGTATACCTATGTATCATGTATCATGTAAATAAACCTGCTATTCTCTATTACCTACGACTATAAATATTAATTAGTGCAATTTGTGATTAATGCAGTTTTAAAAACAAACTTGGATAGGTGGTATGCATGACATTAAACTTTAAAATGTTTTATATACAAATAATTTAAACGTTAAATCCAATTTCGAATTAATAAACAGAAAATCAGCGAGCAATTAAACGAATTTAATGTTTATTTGTTCCCGTTTTCTCGGGATGATTGTTCGGCTATAAAAATTTTCAGGAGTATGTTCTCATTTATACATTGCGAATAATTAAATTGAGTAAAAAAAGGTAAAATAAATAATCTTAAAATTATCTTATAAAGTAATAAAGTTAAGGGGAAATAACGGGACCCATGGGGTTTGTACAGTTTATAATTAAGGTGATATTATTGCTCGATTTTTTGTGGTTAAATGTTTGTAAATTATAGGAACACCCTGTATACAATTTCTTCAATATTATTCCAAATTTCCAAGTTTGCTTGATGTTGTCAATTACTAATTGTCAATTGTCATGTGAAATTTGAACAGAATGACAACCTAAGTCCTCGAAACTGTCAAAAATAGGAGCATTATACCTAATAGTTTGGTGCGCAAATTGCTCAAAAATTAAAAAACTTTGATTTCCAGATTCACTGTGCCTACGCTTCTTGATCGGCATCAGTTCAAAATGCCCGATCAATTCCTGCTGTGATTAAAAGTGGCTTATTTGGTAAGTTCATCTCGAGTTTCAAGCACAGCAATCCCCAATGTTCTAATAAAACGAACTCTTCCAGTTAAGTGATCCGCCGCAAACATGGCGGCTCTGCCCCCGTTGAGCTGCTCCCCGCGCATGAAGGAAGAGCTCGTGTACCCCATCACCTGCACGGTGGCCACCAACCTGCTGGCCCCCGTCAAGACCGAACAGCAAATCCTGGAGAACTCGATGCTGGAGGATGACCCGAACGCGAACTGCGCCGCCTCCGCCGTGCCCAAGGAGAAATCGGGGCCGCGCTGGGGGCCGCAGCACAAGGGGGCCCAGGAACTGGCCAATTTGTACAGCAAAGGTGAGATCGCGATTTCGAACGCTTGGGAATTTTTGGCATTGTTAGGGATGTAGAAATTTGAAAAAAAATGGTATTTCTAAGGTCTGGAAACAGCCTATGCTTATGCATTAGTGAATGTGTCTCGTTATTTGAAGACTTTTTGAGCTTCACTTTTGCGCCGCACCGTGGCGAACGATCGGAAGACCAACTTATCTCAGCCAATCAGCGTCGCGATACATATAAATCGCGGTTGTGTGAAATGACAGTTCGAGCTGTCAAAACTTCAACTTTTTCGATTTATGTTTCCAGGACCTTAGAAATATACGGCTGTGGTAAAAACATTTATTTTTTAATACTTGTAAATGATAAAAAGGAATAATTGCTGGCACTTCTAGAGTAAGTATTTTCCAGATACAAATATAGCATATAAAATGCAAATTGCAAAAAGTTTTTTGTACCTACTGATTTTTAAAGTTGGCAGAATTTTTAAATTTCCCAGCCTTCTTGGCGTCTATCTGGCACGCATCTTGAAAATCTGATGCAGTAACTAGAAGATATAGCAAATAAATAGCAATAATAAATTATCAAAAAAATTCCCCTTTTGATCCTGCTTTGATTACTACGCAAACATTTACTCCTTTGACATCCTCATCTACTCTTTTCCCTAAAGTGCTCTTTGAAATCGTGGAAACAACAGCATTTTCGACTCTATATAATATGTAAAAATAGTCTTTCCATATAGGCGCCTTGCCGGTGCTCCGATTTCGCGTGACGTGTACGTTCCGGAGTAACGTAACGTTTCGAGAGTTGAATGAAATTCCATAACGTTGACACAATTTTTTGGCAGCCCGAATCAAAATTCGAGCAATGCTAAATTTAATCTGTCGCAAAGTGACGGACGCTTAAACGATAACCGTTTAGAAGCGGATTTATCGGTTTCCTTGTAGGATTTCGCAGAAGCGATTTTCTTGATGTACAGGGTGGCCCAGAACTCACGCCCCACCGGGAAATGCCTTATGGAAACGACAATGGATATGCCAAAAGTGCAGTCGAAAACAAGAAAAAGTTATTCCTTTGGTAAATAAAGAGGTTTAAAATTGACCAATCCCAGTAGGAATTCAAATCCACGAAAATGACATGAATAATTAGCTATACACCAATTTGACATTATTGAAAGATTCTATTTCTTTCAAGAAAGATTTCTATTTCTTTATTTACCAAAGGAATAACTTTTTCATGGTTTCGATGTTTCGACTGCAGTTTTGGCATCTCCATTGTCGTTTCAATAAGGCATTTCCCGGTGGGGCGTGAATTCTGGGCCACCCTGTATATTTTCACTCGGTTTGTTTACCTACATCTTAAAGGATTTCGTAATTGAATAAGCGCATTTGTACTAAATGCAGTATTTGTTTGTTTGCTTCGAGGACGTTCGTACTTACTAATAAGCTCATTTGGCGAGATTCGCTAACACAATTTGCAGTTATTTACGTGTTTGTAGATAATTTACGTACCTTTTTACTACTATTTTTGTTATCCCTGTTACTGTGAATTATTTTACGTATGTACAGAGTGTTTCAAAATATTTCTATTAAAATTCTATTTACTTTATTGGGACACCGCGCATCCTCAAATATGGGTAAAGTTTGGTAAATAGTGAATCATAAAGCTTTATAGCCTTTCGGATAAGATAATAATTGGGAATTACACTTTTGCAATCATCACTTATCAAGAAACTACGTACAGAGTGTCTCTCACAACAAGGATATTCGTACAAATTTTCATGAAAAAGCCTTCAGCTATTCTGTTCCAATATCAAAAAATTTCTTTTTTATTTTCAACTTTAACACCTTATAACTTCCTTACCAGCACTTTTGAATATAGGTAAGTTAGGTTAAATCATTTTATTTCGCCCCAAAAATTTGCAGTTAAGCCATATGTCCCAAAGCAACCTTTTATAGAGACACCCTGTATAAATTACTCCAAGTGTGTTTTATATCACCAAATTCCGATCGAAAACGAGGTAAAAATGAAATCACTAAACCGCACGAGTATCTCTTAAAAATACTGAAATATTAACGTATCGAGCTAAACTTTTCGATGTTTCCCGTCGAATAAGGATTCGTATCATTCCAGCAATCGATGAAATAATTCGCTGGTAATAATTAATGCGATCTACAGTGGTCTATTGACAATAGACTATTGTTGTCTTCTGGGTGATGGTTCGTCGACCTTTAACACGGCCTGGCGAATGAAGGATTTTTCTTTCAATTTTTCCGGCCTTGGTGTATTTTGAGCGAATCGAACGTCTAGCACGTGCATGTGCATTTTTTTCGCTACTACTTCATGAGTTAAAACCGGGGAAAATTGCAGTTGTTCGAATGAAAACTGCCCATTGCCCATTGTAACGTTTACTGGTAGTCGCGTCTCGGCCTTTCGTTGAATATTGCAAGTGGAAATCGATTTGTACAAATGGGTTCGATATGTCCTGTAAAATGGATAATATCCAGTAAAATGGAATTTTAATGCTATTTGATTACGTGTAGTTAGGCGAGCATTTATGAACATTTTTATTGGCTACGAGCAATGAGAAATTCAGATAATTTTTATGTTCTTGTTTAAAGAGATTGAAATCGAAATTAAGCTATGCAAATATTTTAATTTAATGAACACTGCATGTTTTTAACTCTATTTTAAAATGCAAATTCCGCCTGATTACTATGTAAGTATCTTTCAAATGTTCCCCATGCGAGTGTATTACACGATCCAGTAATTACCCCAATGTATATTTGATCAAACAGAATACTATATTCTGTTTATTCCATTCCAATTCGTTTTTCTTATCCTGCTGAAGCGCTTTCAGGAAACATTTTCAATATTTTCGTCGCCGTAATCATTTGTTGCTCCTTATTGGCTAAGCGTTAAAAGGAAGATGGAATAACGTTTTCATTTCGAATATAAAGGAAATAATTCCCAATCCGAATATCGATTCGAAATGAAGACGTTGCCATTGGAATTATGAATGATATAGGCCAACTGAATATTTTGGCTCGCCTCGCCATCGCCGTATAGTAGGTAAAATACGTCCGTACGACGAAATTTCCTAAAAATAGACGAAAAAACGTTTTTCCACGACAGCTGCGACGGGGCCCGTCGACCGTATATCCCCGTTCGAATCGAGTCGAGGCGAAAGAGCCCCGCTAAGTAGGTACTTGAAAGACAAGTATTTATTAAGCATTATGTAAAGTCGCTACGTAACAACCGAGTAGCGTTAAACGTCGGATTAGATGCGGTTTTTCTTTTCTACGGTTCGTAGATTTTCCGGGTACTTTTTTTTCCTCGTCTTTCGAGCGATGATATAATGTGATATACAGGATGTCCTAAAAATAGTTGCCTTTTTGGGATCATAACGTAGACAGTCAATAGTTCTTACAATTAGATCAAAACGAAAAGGAAATTTCATAGAAAATTAAAGTGGGGATGGAAAAAGAGTCAAGGTAAATCAGTAACAGAAAATCAAAGTCATGGCAAACGAAAGTGGTGGCAAATGATCAGGTTACTCTTTTGAAGACAGTCTCTAGGTGCTTTAAAATAAATAATCAATGGAAAAAAATGAATATACCCCCCAATAATTTATTATGCAATGCAACCAATGTTATTTTTATGTTTTATAATACTGCATCGAAACAATCCGTGTGTTCTTTATTTAGAAATATGACCCGTTTTTTTTTTTCGACCAGGGCTGGTGCTGGTAACATATATTTTAATATCGGACGTGGGGCTTTGTTTCCGTGGAAAGGGGTGTGTCACACGCGCACCTCTCCAAATATACTCGCCCCGTTCTATTCACAAATAGAGACTTTATTCGCGGAGGTCGTAAATAGCCAAGTTGCTTACTCTGACCTAACCTAATTTCCTCCCATAAATCAGATTGTTTTTGGTGTAGCAAACATATTCGTCCAGTCGCTTCGTTAATATTGGATTTGAGGGTCAAGATCGACGATAATTGTTTTTTGCTTTCTGGGGGTACTTGGAAATTGGGCTTATTTGTTTCTCTTTTGTTCCGAGGATTATCAAAAATAATGAACATTTAATCATCTTGTTTGGTTTTCCTTTGAAAAGTATTGAGATGAATAGGATATCTTCAAAAAGGGCTATGTTGGGAAGTCCAAAACTAACTCTCTAAGGGCATTGTAGAGGGCATTGTAGAGGGTGTTAAATTCCTTTTTTAGTTCTTTTTTACTCTGGTTATTTGAAATAAACTTTGCCATTATTGTATTAACAATATTATAATACTTATAAAATCGCCAATCAATCATCATTAACATTCCTACGTATGACATTAATCTATGTAATGTAGGTAGCCGTACAAGGGAAATTCTGAGTGTGTATACCAATTTTACGGAGTTGAAAATTTCTTTCGAGTAGGATGGAATAATCGATTTTAGATTTTTTGCGCCATGATTAAAAATAACAGGAAACTTATGTGTACACATTACTATAAAAAGATTAGCATGCCATGCTATACACGTGTCAGCAGTGTCTCCGAGGAACGGAAGATTAATAAAATTTGAGTACACCTTATTTTTCGTTAAAAACTTTGATACAATAACACGAGTAGTAGTTTGAAACTTTTTTTGTATCCAGTCATCTCGTCGGATCGATAATTTTTTAATAAAAAATTATTTCCTCGCTTAGTTACAACTCTACGATTTTAAACACATACATAATACTTCCCTGTAGAGGAAAAGCGGTTTTTTTAAAATTATGTTCAACTGATTTTGTGATAGCTATACTTACCAAATTTCATACAGACACATGAAGCTTTTTATGTAATTAGAATTCCTAAATCGGGAATATACCTTTGCAAAATATATTAACGAAGGTCGTTCTCACTGTTACTAACAACCACTCAATTTGATTATCGCAGTTTTAATTATAAATGCAGGGAGCGGCCTCAGCCAGATAGGGTAGTAGGTTACCATATTCACCGCACGCTCGCATTATTTTTAGGCTATCGCATTTTTCCCCATCGATACGAGAACTAACCTATTAATAAACGTAATTAAAAACCCATAATGATAAGATCTACGCGAGATTTGAAGATGAACCAAAATCGCTACTATCGCTCGAAGTTTGGTTTCATTTGTGATTGAAATTATTTTGGTTTTAGGTAAGCGGACTCAGGAGTGCATCTGCGTCGGTATCTGTTTGGCCCTAATGGCGGTAAACTTCATATTTATAGTGTATTACGCGCGCCTGGAAAGGCTGAGCACCATACTGGTGGCCGCGTTCTGCGGAATCGTCACGGCCGATTTTTGCTCGGGCTTCGTCCATTGGGCCGCTGACACGTGGGGTTCCGTCGAATTGCCAATTTTAGGAAAGGTAATTTCGCCTAAAAACCAATGTGAATCCCAAAAATAACTTGTCACGTAGCTAACAAGTCAAACTAAAGATACAAAAAATCACCCTTAATTGACTCTATTGTTGGTTGAACTTTGCTGTCCTCTATTCCAATCAATTATATTACGGTATTATCAGGAATCTGTAGGAATCGTTTGTATAGCGGAATCGGTTTCGTTTTTCAGAATTTTCTTCGACCATTCCGTGAACACCATATCGATCCGACGTCAATTACCCGCCATGATTTCATCGAAACCAACGGTGACAACTTCATGGTGACCATACCATTCCTGGGCCGTATGGTGTTGGATTTCCTCACCCTATCCAAAGAAGGCATTCAACTGAAATTCACCTGGAACTGCTACATATTTCTGCTAGCCATATTCGTCGCTATGACGAACCAAGTGAGCCCCGCTTTACAATCATTGAATAGCTCTAAATTAATTTTATTGATGCGCGTTTGCAGATCCACAAGTGGTCTCACACGTACTTCGATTTACCCCGTTGGGTGGTGTTCCTGCAGGAGTATCGGATAATCCTGCCGCGCCGGCATCACAGGATCCATCACGTGGCTCCGCACGAAACTTACTTCTGCATAACGACGGGCTGGCTGAACTGGCCGTTGGAGAAGCTCCGGTTCTGGAGCGCCCTGGAGCTCCTCATCGAGACCCTGACCGGGATCAAACCGAGAGCGGACGACATGAAGTGGGCGCTGAAGAGAACGTGATATTACTTTTTAATGTTATCGGTTGACGGGCTGTTGACGACGTTCAATCATCTGTTTAGATAATATAAGAAGTTGTCGAACAAATTAAGCTTAATTTTGTACGTTGTAGTTGATTCTATGTTAATGGTTAATTGATTAAGTCGGTTGTGTATAACGAATTGACTTTGGAGCTGTCTAAACGTTATGTGTAAGCACCAGCAACATGTTTATGAAACTATGACCAATTTTATCGAGAATACATAATTTAATTTTAACTTGCAAACACACGTTCCTGATTATTCACGATTTAACGAATTTTAATTACATACTTTAAGTTCCGGTACTTTTTTTCTCTGTTAGGATGTGTTAAATTAACAGTAATTAAATTGTCTAATTAGAAGGGAGCAATAGTACTGGCTCTATTATAATACAATTCAGGTTTATTATTTTCCAGTTAAAATAACCGCTCTAGCTCAGGTTATGAAACACTTGTTACGTTTTTGTCTAGACTTTGCAGTATCGAAACTTGTGCTTGTCGAAAAGCTTTTTTTACAAGTATCTTTACATTTCCACGTCATTTAAATTTGTTGATTATGTACATTTTTTACCTAATATTTCGATCAAATTATGAAAAATAAATTTTATAGCAAATCGCAAGTTTTATTTAGTAACATAGAGCGTTTTTTAAACGCTGCAATAAGTAAATATGTAAGAACAAATATGTAAAAACAATATATAAAAACGCTAATAATCCTCCAATTTATTGAAATCGAAATTACACATTGAATTCAGCGTTTATATTTAAATAAAAAAACTAATTACATAAATCCTACTTTTAAACATTTGGCAACAATTACAAAAATAAATAATCTAACAAGTAGTCTCGATATTTTTAATGACATCACAAAAATCTACTTTAGAGGGGGTGAGGTAGAAAGCGGGGGCCACGGTGGCCCCGCACGGGCACTGGCACCCGCTGTTCCAGCTGAACGACCCCAATTTGCTGGAGCACTTGGGGCACTTCAGTTTCCCTTCGACCGTTTGGGTCACGTTCATCCAAGCGATGGGCTCCACGAAGTAGATCTCCTTGCAGTTCTCGGCGCCGTTTTGGTGCACCAGCCGGTTGGATTCGGTGGCCAAAACCCGCCTGCATTGCCTGCACCGGTACACGGTGGGCTCGGGCTTGGTTTGCTGCACGTCCGGGTCGGGTTTGATCACGTTGTGGAACTCTTGCGGGAGGATTTTGGCCTTCCTCACGCGATCGCTGGCCAACACTAGCTTGTAGATTTTGTATTGCATGTTGTTCGTGTCGATGTTGTAGGCCATTTCCTTGTAGAGCTTCAGCTGGTAGACGAAGCCCAAATTGGGGAACACGATCTTCCTTTTGGATTTGACCTTTTCGAACGCTTCGTAATAGTTTAGCTGGTGTTTTTTCATGATGTGGGCTATTACTACGGTGGCGCTTCTCGATACTCCGAAGTAACAGTGGACTAGAACGCTACCTTTGGCCATGCCTGTAATATGAATACAGCTAATGCATTTACGTACTTTTTAACGTTTAATTACCTTCTTTTATGAAGAGATCGGTTTCGTCGAAGTACGAAAGGAGGTCTTCTTTGGGTTGGTCCGAGAGTTGAATGAATTTCGTCACGAGATTTTTCTGTTCGGTGATGTTTCTAGGCAATGGGCATATGTCTATGGTTAAAATGTGCGTTATGTTGTATTTCTTTAGAGTCTCCTGGTTTTTGGCTGCTGCCAGTCCGCCTAAATACAGATTTTCTTCGATCATATCGATGCTTATGGGGCCCAGTTGGAAGTCTAATTTATGAGCGGCGTCCATTGCTAAAATAATTAATTTTATTTACATTCTTTCGTGAAATGCACACTTATTAACTCACCTGCTTATCTTGTATCAGAAGATCACTATGTAATATTCAAATATGGCTGGACAGTGCAATATATCTCGTATAGTTTAATTATATCAGCCGCGGAGATCTATATTTTTTTATTTATATGCACAACGTCACTGATGGTATTGCATTTTTTTAATTTAAAGCCAAACATTTTTGCGACTAATATTACACTCGACACCTTTAGGTTATGATATAAACAAACGTATTGGGCAAGGTCAAGGTCAAGCGAGAATTTAAATGTCAAAGCGTCATGTGTTTGACATTTCAACTGTCAATTCGAAAAATTTGAAAATAATGTGGGTGTGCTGCGTATTTTAATTGTATTTTACCTGTTGTTTTTTTGCGATGATTTCTTCAAACGCCTACGCTTTCTAATTACATTATTAAATTACACATTACATTAAAGTCTAATCGAAACGTTTATTCTAAAATTAATGCATAATGCATGCATATAAATCCATTAATAAATATTATTTGATTTGGAGTAAATCATTGATTATTTTATATTTGTTGCATTTTATAGAGATTGGCAACACTGAGTCATTCGGTTTATTTATAGCAAAAATGAGAAGGAGGTTATACGTGATAAATATAGATTTTATATTAGATATAGAAAAGCGCATAATACTATCAGTAGTATCAGTATCAATTAACAACTTCCAAGATGTCCATATTTTCCCGAATATCGTGAGTACTTTCTCGTCGACGTTACAATGATTTTATTACGTTTGAATTTCCATAAAAAAATGACTATTAGTTTGAAAGATCTCCGTGTTTAGTGCAATGGCATTTAATAACGAGATGGGTTATTTATATAATTATTATTATAATTTTTATATTTCCATGCTTGACAACAGGAACCTCTCCTCGAGGATGAGAAGTTATCCTGATAACCTGGACATGATAGAGCCCAATTTGTACCTGAGCGGTGAGGCCGAAGCGAGGAACGTTGAAACGCTGAAAAAGTTCAAAATCACCCACATCTTGACTATAAACGATTATCCTTTAACATCAACCGTTAAGGAAGCGCTTCCTTATCTTCAAATGAAATACATAAGGCTATCGGACATTACTACCTCCGGTGCGGTCGATTCCTTCAATTAGCATCCCGCTGAAGAAGACTAATTCGATTTTGCCGTAGACTTGATGGCGTACTTTGACGAAACCTACGAATTTATCAGAGAAGGGGTCACCCGAGGAGCGGTGCTCGTGCATTGCCAAATGGGGGTGTCCCGAAGCGCCACGATCGTCATTGCTTACTTGATGAAGAAGTACAACATCAGCTTTCGCGAGGCTTTGGATAGAGTCAAAATGAAGAGATGCGTTTTTCCCAATCAAGGATTCATCGCCCAGTTGGAAAATTACAGGATTATGGGCTGTTCGACGATGAGACGGTACGAACCGAAATCCAGTAGATACTATATGAGATGAGGGTTGTGCTCGTGAATTGCACGACGTCAAGAAACATATCGGGTTTTTTGAAATTGAAAATATTTTTCAGTTATTTTTGTAATTTTAATACCCTTCTCATCTCATCTTAAGTATTCCTTGTGTCCGGAACCTGATAAAGCCTTATTAATTGTTAAACACAATTCTAACGAATAACAAAATGTTGCACTAATATTTGCACAGTAGGAACCTCGCACTAAAGGAACTGACGCTGTATTAATATCGAGTTTAATTTTTAACAGAGATTGGAATGAATAAGTTTTTAATACCAATTAACATTAATATTATTTTTTTAGGTATGTTTTTTCTTCGAGCTAATAACCTCCCCGTCGCATACTAACAGTGCCCTGTTAAAAAACCATTTGGCTTTTACTAAATTTATAATAGAAATTATACAAATTACTTATCTCGGATTAGAAATTTTATACCCAAATAAAAAAATTCAAAACCTCTAGTCATTTTGTATTTTGTAGAAATTTATTTTTTAAGTTTCAATCATATTCTATTAAACGTTTATTCTACATGTACATTAGCTGTTTACAAATAAATGTTTATAATAAAAACCAGTTTTTTATATAATTAGAGGAATACCGTACGAAAAAACAATATTTGTCTACACTTTACAACTCCCCTATTAAAATTTATCAACTAAATTCAAAATGTGCTGCTGTTCTTGGTCCCTCCACTCTTTATCGCCTTCTTCGCCCAAGTTCCCGGCGTATTCCCTCATAATGTGCTTGATAGTTTTCAGAGAAGCCCCTCGTAGGTTTAACATATGCATAACTCGCTGTTTTACAGCCGCTGGCCCAGCGGCGCAAACTTCCACGATGATATAATCCACTAATTGCAACGTAAATAAACCACCTAAAAAAATTTTAATGTAACCATATAACAGCGAAAGAACCTTGTATAAAAGTACCTTCGAGTCTCCTTAAATACGAAGAATCCTCCTCCTCCTCTTGACCGTCTTGTACGCTTTCCAGCGCGGCAACTTTCTCCAGATACTTAAAATGCAGCTCTAACAGTCTGTCTACCTTTTCGTTGTCATTTTCGGTGAATTTACTTATTAATCTCTGTCGCTGGGATCCACGGCAGTTTCTCAACATGGAGGCTATTATAGAGCACACGTGTTCTTCGTGTTCTTCTGTCGAGAGCACCTTCCTTCTGTTCTTCTTCGGCGTTTTCATGAACAGTGGGAAGATCGTACGCAGTCCGAGTATATCGACGAATTTATTGCAGTTGTCTTTACCGTGGGGACCGGACATGGCGTAGTCCAGGACTTTCAAAGAACCGTTTCGGGACGTTTTCTTTTCTCGCAGCATGAGGTTCATTAATTGAAGACCTGGAATTTTCGATAAATTAATCAACAAATTTGCGATTATGATAGAGAACCGACCTTCTCCTTTCAAAAATCTATCTCTGTTCGGTACAATCATTAACGAACTGCACAAGCAGTTGAAGAGGTTTTCCATGTATTCGTGTTCTTCGACGCTATTCGGGTCGTGTCTTTTGTAAAAAGCCAATTGTTGGAGTAAAGTATCGATACCGTCCATTTCTCCTAACGTTAATCTAAAAAAAACATTCAACTAAACATCGAACAACCACATATCTAAAATAAACTACCTGTTTTTCTCGTTATCTTGAAGGAGTATGGACAGGATTTCGCTAACGTAAAGCTTATTGGCATCAAAGGGAGCCTTCAATTTCAGTCTTTTAAGTAGCCATGCCAGTAAACCTTGCTTGTTAGCCTCATTCACTATTTCGCTACTCAACTCCGTTAAATTTTCTATGATCGATAAAGTGTTGTGGACTCCATCTGCTTCTTCTTTTACGCTTTCATCGAGCCTATCTAAATTTTGAACGAGCAAAGCAATAACTTGGTGTTCTAAGAGGGACTCTATTAGCGCTTCTGTTCCTTCTTCTGATTCATTAAGTATGTCTACATCTGTTAATTCTTGTAGTAATTCAACTGTAGCAACCTTAAATAATAAACATTTAAATATGTTATTTTTACGGTAACAATTAATAAACTTACAGCTACGTCAGTATTATCGTGAGATAGTAATTCCAATAAACTGGGAATAACTTGTAGTTTCACTAATAAGGGATAATAATCGGGAGCTGTTGCCAATACTCTCATTTCTTGTAAAATTTCGTGTAATTCTACTTCACTGTCCATAAATTTTTCAGGCGAATCGGGGAATTTAATGCGCATTTCCCTGTTCTTCAAGCTCCGTTTTTCAAAATTTAGAATGATTTTTTTCAAAGCAGTCTCGTCAATAACCTCTCCCTAAAAATATAAAGAAGTTACGAGGGAATTTAAACGCGGAAATTGATGATTTACTTGTGTCTGTTCGGTTTCCACAAATTTCAGAATTTCGGCTCGTTCCTCCTCACTTATGTAATCCAAGGGTTGCGCTGAAGGTGTAGATGCAGATCTAGCCATTTTATTGGCTTTGGCTCTGGCTATTCGCCTCATTTTTCGAGTTTTCTCCACCTCATCTATCTCCTCTTCGCCTTCCAAAGGCCTTTTTAAAGCTTGGGGAGGCTAAGAATGAAAAATAACATTTGAATTTTAAATACATATGTCTAATTGAAGTTACCTTATAATCAAGAAGTTCGCCAACATCCATTTGAAACGATTATTTATTATTTCAGATAAATAATAAAAATATTGACAGAAAAATCAAGAATGAAAATAACTTAATTTTCAGGTTAATATCTACTTCTTTCTTCTTACTGTAGAAAATAGAAAGCGTCTGGTATATAGTTCCTCAGTAATAATGATATAATTAATCAATTAATATGTAATTATTATTATTAGTGAATACATCGTTGTCAAATATACAACAAATATTAAATACTTAATATTTTCTTTTAGATTTACACAATTGAAGTGACTAAATTACACCATAGTTAAAGGTCAATGTGACAATTGACTGAATCAACTTGACATTGACATTACAAAGATTTGAATATTTTACCGTTTGGGCAGTTAAAAGTTTTTTACGTTACTTATTTTTAATATCAAAGTGTAGTTATTTAGTTAGATAAAGCAAAAAATGGATGTCATTACATTTGATAAAAGTTTCCAACAACGTTATACCGAATTCACCGATGTATTATCTGACTCAGACGTATTGCCCGCTTCGAAACTGCAGAAGCAATGGGGCTTCTTCTTGGAGTTAACTCTAGATAAAATCGGTTGGCAAGCGATTTGGAAAATTCCGAGATTAACTTGCGAATCTTTGAATGTGCCTTTTCCATCTGTCGCTTTGGTCATCGTTTTAACCATAAATACTAAGGAGTTATCGGCCTACGTGAGAATACTAGCCACTAAAAACGATTTGATTATTCCAGAGAAAAATTGGGTGTCTTTAACGCAACTATGGCCTACTAAAGAACAAGATAAAGCCGTACTGCTGAATTTGTGGGAAACTGCTAATTCACTGGACATGTTTCGTTTCTTTTATTTCTATGTTTACATGCCTTGGGATCGAGATGATGATGATGGTTATGATTGGAAAGAGAAGCATTTAGAAAGCAGGTAAGATTAATTTTTCGATGATTTACTCTTAATGAATATAATCAACTAAATTCTACATTGATTTCTATTTAGGTTGAGATTTTATTACGATCTTAAAAATGGAAGTATTCCTAAAGCAGTGGCTGAACATTACCACCAGTTGTTGACGGAGGCCAGAAGATTACACCATAGAAGGGAGTATTTGGAAGAACAGTTTCATAAACAGGAAGATTTCGAAGAAGGTATAATTCTTTCATATTATCATTGTAAATTTTTCTTTTAATTAAATAATTTTTAGATATGAAAGATGATAAATTCAAAACTCTAATGAAAATTCACGTGAGGCTGCAGGAGATTCGTGCAGAGATCGAAATCGGCGAAAATCCAATATTAAGAAACGTTATTATAGAAAGAATTTCACAGTTAAATTTGGTTACCAATCCTTCGCAATCTGTACATCAAGTTTGGTTAATTTCTAACACGGGAACTGCAGATCAGCATATTGATTTCCTATCAAAGGTTAAACAGCAATATTCTAAGGAAAATCTTAATCTAAGCACGAATCTAGCATCGGTATTAAAAGCTGGCAACTACAATGACACTTACCTGCTGAATGAAAGCACCCATACTATTGTGAATACAGGTGCATTAGAGAAAGGGGGAGTGCTAAAAGGAATCGGATCTATGGAAAAAGTTGTATTAACAACAGAAATCGAAGATGTAATGTTCAATTTCATAGGAGAAAATGTTGTTATCGAAAACCTAACGATCGATGTGGCCTCTGCACAATGTGGGATACTAGTTAAAGCCGGTAAAATATTGTGTTAAATTGCAAATTTATGTGTTTACTTTAACTTGATTTGCTTTTAGGTAAATGCACCATAAGAAACTGCAAAATATTCACGGAATCCCACTCTTCAGTGCATCAGGGGATATTAGTTTTGAAAGGAGCGCAATTGGTTTTGGAGAAGTGCGAAATTTTCGGATTTCCCACGGCGATTGTTGGAAATTCCGGATCTGTTATAACGCTGGCAAATTGCAATATTTATAACGTCGGTAGTGGTTTGAAAATTTTTGATAATACCGCTGTTACGCTTGAATCTGTGGTATTGAAAGATTGCTCTGAATTCGCCATTGATTTAGAAACAGCCACGAAAGATGAGGCTGTAGGAGATTTTCAGTGCCTTGAAAAGTAACAATTTTCATATTGTTTGGTTTATATCTAGTCTAACTAATAATTTTTGTAGGGTTCCCGAAGTTAAGTTTAAAAATGTAACAGGAGTTAATAACGGAAGAGGAAATGTGGCGATTCTACCACCGCCTAAATTACAACCTTTTGAGGATTTATTTTCCGATCCCAACAAAGACCCAACTATTATAGAATCTGATAATGATGAAGGCGATGATTCTGGGATTTGAATGAAGCTGGCTCAGGGTTCAGTATTTTTTTTGTACTTTTTATATATGCAATATTTAGTGTTACTAACGCCTTTTAAATGAATCTGTTTGTTTTATTTTATGTCTATGTATATTTGTGTACTTGTTTTTGCATTATTAGAGTTATGAGATTTTTATGTACAAATTTACTAACTTTTTCCACGATGTTTTAAATTTATTTCAATAAAGCGTCTTATAATGTTCACATTTGCAATATGTAAACCAAATTAAAGGATTACAAACTAAATTCAGTACTTTCTACATGCATTACTTTGAAACAAATCCTATATAGATTATTTTATTGTATACACACAACTAAATTTGTTTTAGATATATTCCGCAAATAGTATCCAATACGTGCAATTTAGCAGCGCGAATAACAAGGGAAACCCTACCCTCGAACACCTGTCTATATTTATCGCTCTATTTCTCTGTTTCTGCGCCTGCGGGATGCCAGCCGGCGCTCCTTTATTGGCGTTCAGCAACAAAGAGTTATCTTTAGTTCTATCCAAATTAATCGGTGGGTTTTTTGGAGGCGGTTTCGGTGCATCCGAATCGCCCAGTACGATGTTCACCAAGCAATATTCCATCAAAGCCATGAACACGAAGCTTTAATGAAGCAAAACATAGCGAATGAAGTCGAAATTTTATGATTATACTGCTGTATAATACTTACATGGTACAAACCGACATGAAGGCATCTACAGCTTTCAGATATGATACAGGTGGTAAGGCTGCTTGGCTTTTCGCGTGCTGCGTGGAGAGCGTGAGCAACGAAGTCACTCCTAAAGTAACCCGAGCCGGAGCCGCTTCTGGTTTAATCCAGAAAGACACCCACTGGAAATTTTTACAATAACACACCTGTTTAAAATAAACTTTACATCAACGCTCACCGACATAATTACAATCAAACACGTGGGTATGTAAGTATGAAACAGGTAGTATCCCAGCCTTCTTTTCAGCACGAATACGACTTCCAAGCACGTGAAATTGCCTGCATTAAAACTTGTAATTGTTACAATTATAATTTTAATGGGTGTATAATTTACCGGTAGAATACACTTGGGTACAATCAGCTGTATTGTTTTTAACCAAGGCCAGTTGGGGAAGTTGGATATTTTCATCGACTACTAAAGGTACATCGGGGTCCCATTGGAAGATCATGTCGTCTGTAGTGTGTGATACTGCAAGAATGAATATTATCTATATTAAGATTGAATTTATGTGGATATATGGTACTTACGGCTTTCCATTTGCAATTTGCATTCTTGCGTATCGTGAGGATATATCATGAAATTCATTGAGCACGATAATCGTAAGGTTAATCTAAAAATATATAATCACAACTTACAATTAGAATAGAGCAATAATCACTTGAAAGATTTTTGACTCGTATGCATTTGGGGGATAATAAGAATTTATTCATTTACTGGCTTTCTCCTGTAATGGGCCCCTTTAAACCCCCTTTCATCAAATGTTAAACCGGCTAAATTGAGAATTAGTAAGTAAATGTTGTTTCAGTTGAGTAATTAGTAATAAATTAAAGTATACTTAAAGAAATTTTCAAAAAAATCGCACGTGTACTTTCCGAGAAAATTGGGAAATGCCCAAGAAATCCGGATTCATTATTTGCATTTGGTTCATTTTGAATACATATAAATTACCTACTTACTTTACCATGTATAATATAGTCTTATCTTTGTACAACCACATGTAATGATTCGGTATTGTCATCGTCTGGAATGTTACTGATTTGGCGTTTTTGAAGAACGAATCCGGTCGCCACATGCTCTTCAGCCATTCAACTTCCAAAAGTCTGTACTCTGTCGTCATGTTCTCGGGCAGCCTTAATCTGTGGTCCTTCCAAGTTTGCGCGAAGAATATATCTGCAGTAAAAGTCTACACACCAAAATAATAACTTCAAATTAATAATCACACTATTCTAAATACGTTTCTCCATTGAAAACCTTGATTGATCAATCACTATCTGGTTCTGCTGGAAGCTCGGTTGATCAATGAAGGCTTCTAATGGGTGAGACTTTAAGTACTCCTATTTGTTATGTGAGTTTTTTTTGGTGTAGGTACCATTGAATTTTCATCGATACTGTCGAGACCCATGACTGTAACGTGAAAATGAACGATCGTGGGGTTTCCGTCGCGTTTCGGCGGTCTCATTTTGTCGTATTTGCTGGGATCTGTGGGCAAGATGTCGCGTATGGTCAATCCGGTTCTAAAAAATACCTCGCTTAAGGATAAAAACCTAAAAAATGTTTGTCGGAGATTTACGGGATCTCATCTTTATCGGTTTCCACTCTCTCCTGCAGTTTCTCGTGGTAGAAATCCAAAGGGCATAGTCTGTATGAAAAAGAAATGATGATCAGTAGAAATATATTATATTGTTTGTTGTGCAGGATTAGAAATTAATTGCTTTGTCAAAGTCGGTACTTACGATATATCCGCAAGATATTGGTCTTGTTCAAGAAGAAATAAAATTATCGTCAAAATATCGCAAATTTTCATTTTATTGGCACCATTCTCTTTTATAATCTGCAATGAATATTAGTGAAGACATTATGAGAGAATGTTGGAATGTTGGAAGAATTTTAATTTCTAATTTATTTTTGAAAATTGAAATACTTATATTTCTAAATTGATGCCAGAGTTTTAAAAGGTGATGTTTTAAAGCTGTACAGCAACAGATTTTAATCTTCCCTTTCTAAAACCCTAACTGCAAGATCTCTACCTTTCCTCTCTAGTAAACTTTTTATTAACATTATTTTGATTTTTTCATTTTAACCAGAGATGTAAAAAATAAATTAAAGCATGCGTGTACTCACAGAAATTCATTTTATCCGAAATATTTTCTACGATGTTGAAACGAAAAACAATAAACTCCAATGCTACACTACTTCAACGAATAACTCCTACCTAACGGTATAAATATCTATACTGGAAGGGTATAAGTTTTTTGCTCCTATTTATACCTTCTTCGCAATCAGGGCTGGAATCATCCCCTGCGCGCTAATGACAAATCGACGCTAAAATTCAAATTCAAAGTGCAAAGAACTCAACAAACAAAATTAAAGGTGATTAATTATTTTTATAAACCAAATAAATTAATAATAATTATACACTTGTCTTCTTCCCTCAATAATCAGTACATACTATAGCTTCTTCTCTCCCTCTTCTAAACCCGAAACAAATCTTCAGGACATACTACTATAATTTATATTGATATACTCTCCATTAGAGCCTCATATTATACAAATCATCGCGCATTGTTCACTCGTCTCCAGCTACTCACATCGCATTGTACCTCTACAAACTTTCATCATACGAATCTGAATAATGTACCTAGTCATTAAAAAAGTGTATAGGTATATTTTTAAATCCCTCATCCCCAGAGCGACCGTTTCAGTTAAACCCTGTAATTACTCGGTCTTTTGATAACTTCGCTTTTCCAGATTCCACAATTCCACTCGGAAAACGCGGATAAGTGCAGGTCATAAGCATAATTTAAAATGTAGGTCGCAGTTAGAAAATTACGTTTCATCGAGGCTCGCATAAGGGTAGTTCGCGCCCTTAATGGAGGCGGAATGCGCCGCAGGCGCTACACCTTTGATTAGAAGGCATGAATGGCACTTTAACTTGAAGGGCGCAGCGCTGGAAAAAAGAGAGAAAAGGAGCCAGGCTGGATGAGTCGGCGATTTTTACTGTAAGTCTTAAATATTGCTTGAGCTATTTACCACTTAATCTATGCAAATGATGCTTACTATAACCTACAGTGCGATAGAAATAACTGAGGACGTAACCTGCGCGACTTTACAATTATAATTGAATCCAATGCGCATCGTACATATAACTTTACTGGATTTATTAAATAAAAATTCTCTTGTAATTTATAAATGACTACCTATATCCCAAAGATTACTATTACAGAGAAATTTTTTCCATATTTTTTTTTCAGTCCACTCTGTACGTTTCATTTAATAGCTGACAAGCGATTCTTTGAGAAATAAATCTCCTTGAGTTCGTGGGATCATTTCTTCGATTTGCAATTCGCTGCATTCGAAGTCATTATGGAGTGATTAAGTTACCGGCACGTCATTGAAACAATGGGAGCAGGATTTGAACTATTTTTGAGTTAAAAATAGTCGATGAAAAGTACCACTGCAGGGCATTTTAATGATGGTAATTAGGCCTAAAATAGAGCGCCGAGTTCTCAAATATATAGAGGCGCTTATACGGGGAATTATACTGGGTAAAGAAAGTAATATGAAGCAGCAGCGCTTTCGATAAAATTATGCCAGCACGTCGTTTTTCACTTATTAAAGGCCACTCGAGCACGTTTTTCGTTCGCCAGCATTTTTTAAGTATTTTCAATTGGATTTTCACTAACTCCTTCGCTCTTTGACCGCGTCTATTCATAATTTATTTTATGTAGTTAGTGGATGAATTTAAAACAAAAAAAAACAAGCATGCGTAATTATGAGATTTTCAAGAAATTATTCCCAGTAAAAATAAACCTCTAGGATAACTTCTGGATCAGTAATTATATTGCATATAAAAACATTGTTTCATCTAGATTTTTTTGATATTTTTATAAATAAATTTAAACATTAAACAGTAAACATGTATTCTCAAATTCCAAATGTTTATATGATCTAAAAATAATTGTTTGGAAAAATTTCTGTTTGTTTTTATATTTTATATAAATTTACCGTATATTCAAAATTTACAATAAACACAAGTTTCCTCTTCTATTTTTTATTACATTATTTTTTTAATTAGTTGGCTGCATACTACATAAGCTAAGGCCATTAATTACTTAACGTACTTTCGCTGCGAAGCCAAGCCAAGCCAAGCCATCACGAGCGTCATCCTTTAATCAATAAAGTCATTTCCCGCTTTGTTTCGCGCCCGCCATTGGCCGGAGTAAGTCACGTGCGCGAACGTTAATTTCTGATTGGCGGCGATATTTCATTGGCGCCATTATTATTGTTGCGTCGGGAATAGTTGTATCCACTAGCTGTGTTGAAGTCGGGAGTTGTCGGATTTTATAATTTTTTTAAGAAATTTAGTAGAAAATGGTAAGGCGATAGTTTATTTCGTAGTTTTTACTAATTTATCCAGTTCGACGCGTAGTAATTACGCGTTTATTGGCTAGTTTAGTCGGAACAACATTCGATAAGGTAAACAACAATACTGTTTTAGGCTGGTGGCAAGGCTGGTAAAGATAGTGGAAAAGCTAAGGCGAAAGCAGTTTCTCGTTCAGCGCGTGCTGGACTTCAGGTAAGATAGCGAAATTCACTTCTAAATTATTTATTCATTTGGGTTAATGTTGAGGTTATTATTTCATAACCCTTTTCGAAAACCGTTGAAGTTCAAAACTTGTTCTACTCGGTGTAATGATTCAGCTTAAATGTAACACGTAGTTTTGCGATGTTTTAGCGCGTTGAGTAGTTCCTCGTCAGAGCTACTTTTAAATATTTGGAATTGATAAGATTGTATTTTTTTCCAAGCTATTTATTTATATTTTAAACTGGATTAGTTTCTGTACAATACATTATTTCATTCGAATTGTTTTTTAGTTCCCTGTGGGCAGAATTCATAGACATTTAAAAAATAGAACAACGAGCCACGGACGTGTTGGAGCCACCGCAGCCGTATACTCTGCGGCTATATTGGAATATTTGACCGCCGAAGTAAGTATAAAACAGCCCTTAGCAGGTAACAATTCTTATTTAAAACGTTTTGTTTTAGGTCCTGGAATTGGCTGGAAACGCCAGTAAAGATTTAAAAGTAAAGAGAATCACCCCGAGACATTTACAGCTCGCCATCAGAGGAGACGAAGAGTTAGATAGCTTAATTAAGGCTACTATCGCCGGCGGTGGAGTTATCCCTCACATTCACAAATCACTTATTGGAAAGAAAGGAGCACATTCTCAACCCGCTTAAGAAATACATTATATATAAATCTAATAATTTAGTAATATTAATTAACAAGACTTAAGAAAAAATGTGTCAATGATGTGTTTTAATATTGTTGGGCACGTGTTCACCGTATGCAAGGCAATGCAATACTATGTAAAAATAGAGGAAACTTACGTCGTCTGACTAACCTGCCGCAACGGCTATATTTTTATTTCGATTTTTTATATCAAATTTCCGTTAATGTGCCTTGTAATTAAATTTTTTTTCTCGGTTCTTTTTGTGTAGTTTTAGCGTATAGTTGACAAAAGTAAAAATGTATTTGTGTTCATTTAATAAAACATTTTCTTACAAATTAATACTGAATGATATATCTTGCTATACAGTAGGATTACTTAAATAAGTCTACTCTTGCAGTTTTATGTAATTTTATTATTACTTAACAGGTATCTTTAGTAACATTTATAAATTTAACCAATCCTCTATGTAATTTTTGATTTGAACTCTAGCTGCCTTTAATTGAGGTGTGTCACTAGGGGATGGGTTGTACATGTTAGCACAATGCGCAGCTCCTAAAAAAATGAAAAATATTCAATTACACACTTACAAATACTACCTAATAACTGTAAAGTCCGCGTAGAAGTTACCTCATACAGTTAACACAAATATTTGGTCCTAATTACCTTTAATCAAAATAGCAGGCGCTTTATTATCTCGCGTTTTCGTTATACCGAGCACGTGCCAGGGGTCCAAAGAGCCGTGTACGAACACAACATTAGTTACTTCGATATCCAAACCACCGTAGAGCGTGTTGCTTCTCTCGATCGCCTTGTCTAAGAACTTCCTGTCGTACCCCTTTCCGAATATGTCTTCGCACATGCTAATGAAGAAATCCAACTGGAAACCGTCACCGAATATTTGCGGCTTGTAACTGGACGTTTGGAAGAAACCAAACTCTGTGCACGTTTGGTACGTCCACTGTCGACCTGCAAAAACATTCCAATACAGACCTCTTATTAGAAGAGGGATGTGTTTGAAGTGTACCTCCTTCGGAAGCCTCGGCGTCCCAACTGACGTTCCTCATCTCCGATATCATTTTATCGTACTTGTAATCCAAGCAAGTTTCGTTCGACCCGTTCAGTAACAGATTATTCACGGCCGCTAATCGATCGACCTCGATGCCCAGGTCCTTGTTGGTCATGACATCGCACAGTTTCTCGACGGTAAGATTCAATTTCAGGTTCGATTCGCGATTGTCGTGGTTGTACTGGACCACACCGGCGAAATTGTTGGCCAGACTTTGGTAGAAATTCGACACGTCCATCGGATTGTCGATGGTCTCCTCCAGCTTGTCGCACAATTTGAACTGCTCGTCGAGCCTCTTCTGGCCGTCTTTGGTGAGTATAAGTTTATCTACTTGGGCCGTGCCGGTTTTTACTGCTGCTACGCACTCGTCGCTCACTGATCTCAAGGCGTCTTGGACTACCCCGAAATATTCTAAAACAATATATGGGTAGGAGCAAATTTGTTTGCAATATGGTCAATTCTGTGAGTTGAACAAAGAAAGATTAAAACAACAGTGGTTAGAGTGGGATAGTTGCAATTCTACAATATCACTCTTTGTATACATAGGGATATTATTGTGTATTACCTGGGAAGTCTAATTGTGCTTCTAAAGGACCGCTAGCTGACATGGCCCCGTGTACTAGATGAGGATATTTTTGTCTGACCCAGGCGGCTAAACATCCTGGGTAAGAACCGCCGAATACAATCCATTTTACGTCTGGAGAAAGTTCATATTTCTCATTCATGGATTCTATACCCACACAGCATCAAATCTCTCAGTACCATCTCAATCAGATCACATATTGATCACAATATCTCAGAAATTTCTGAAATGTCTCCGAGACATTTAAAAAAATTGAAAGCTTGGTAACATATATATTGGTGAATAGTGATATGTCTGAGATGTATCTGAGATAGTTACAGCTTTATCAATTGCTTGATGGTAATATTTTCACATATTTTTTTTCTTAATTTTTTGGGATGATCTGCTAAGCTATTGTACTATTTAGCTATTGTACACGAGCCCACAGCCAACGTGGCACGTTCTGATTGGTTCTTGGTTCTTATAACACTTTACGGTGCTGTATATATCATTGCTTAAAGGGCATTCCATATACTTGCGAATTACGAATTGCGAATTGCGAATAGTTTTCTGATTGGTCAGTTTAGAAAAAGACATAAATGCAGATGCCTGCATTTTGTTTTTGTTTCCCTGCTTTCCGCGGTACCAAAATTATATCGATTAATCGATTATAAGAATTAAATCGGTAATATGTAGATTCGAAATAATTAATACTTGTATAATAACAGAGTATTCTCTAGAACAAATAATAAAAGCAAATATGACAAAAATCCTAATGTAAAGTTGATTTTAGGCATTCTTTTTATAATTTAAACGTACTAAAATCGAATTCTGTCACTTATCGAATCGAATGATTAACAATCGAAAATGTCACAATCGTTAAAATAAAGAATTAGAGCGAAAACGATCAACTAACCTCACTTTTTGGTTTGCAATGTGCAATGTCTTTCGGTTACACGGTTTTTTTTGAGTAAGCATCTTTTAAATTTAATACTTAATAGTTGGATTATTAATTTCCTTTATTTTATATTTATTATTTATTCCTTTCTTTATGAATTAAACATGCCTAAATCTAAATCAGTTAGTACAGTAAGTAAGAGGCATTTGCGGCGCCTTGTCCAAAGAAATTTAATTGAAGTTAATAAGAATAAGCCTGAAAAACAAATAACCAACACTTTTCAAGAAGTTAATAACTTTGAAACACAGAAACCTGTTCCTGTTAATAATTTTATTGAATCAAGTGATGATGAATGTAATTCTCAAGAAAGTATCGAAGTGACACATTTTTCTCCTCCTAAGCCCAGTTTATTAACACTAAGTGAATCTTCAGAACCTTCAGAAAATTGTGATCATAATATTGTGATGACCAACTCCAGTATTACTACAGATTTCAGGTTAGAAGCTGAAAATATAAGATCTAGTTTAGCTAACTGGGCAATCTCACATAATATTTCTCATGTTTCACTTAATAGTTTATTGAATATTTTACATAATCACAATTGTTTTTCTAACCTTCCACTGGATAGTAGAACACTACTTCATACAGCAAAAACGTGTGTGCTTAAAACTGTATGTCCAGGAGAATATGTTCATTTTGGCTTGAAAAGAATTTTACAAATAATGATAAATGAAAACATTGAAATAGTTGAATTATTGATAAATATCGACGGTTTGCCTATTGGTAAATCGTCTACCAATTCTTTATGGCCAATATTAGGAAATATTTCAGGGTTTTCAAATGTTTTTATAATAGGTGTTTATTTTGGTCCTCAAAAACCACAAGATGTCAATGAATTTTTATCAAATTTTGTCGAAGATTGTACAGATTTAATAAATAATGGTTTATGCATAAATAATAAAATAATTCCTTTTATTCTAAAAGGTATAGTATGTGATGCACCAGCAAAGTCTTTTGTATTAGGCGTTAAAGGGCATTCTGGCTATTCAAGCTGCACAAAATGTTTGATAAATGGTGATTTTTTAAATAACCGAGTTTGTTTTCCTGGCAGTACATGTGGTAAAAGAACAGATGAAAGCTTTAGAGCCCAAAGTGACGAAGAATACCATATTCGTGAAACAATTTTAAAACAAATTCCTAATTTTGACTTAGTAAAAGGAGTTCCACTGGATTATATGCACCTTTTATGTCTTGGTATAACTAAAAGACTTCTGCTCCTATGGACCGGGGGTGATTTATCTGTCAGATTACCCAGTTCTAAAATTAAATCTATATCACAAAGAATTACAAGCTTAAAGCATTATATACCCAAAGAATTTGTTAGAAGACCCCGTTCATTGGATTACTTAAAATTATTTAAAGCAACAGAGTTTCGAATGTTACTGCTTTATATAGGGCCAATTTGTTTTTCCGGCATTTTAAGAAGAAAAGTTTATGAAAATTTTCTTACACTACATGTTGCAATTAGAATGCTTTGTATTCAAAATGAATGTGAAACCATTGAATATGCTAATAAATTACTGCACATCTTTGTTTCGACATATGAAAAAATTTACAAAAAATACAATGTTTCCCATAATGTTCATAACCTGTTACATCTTGCTGAAGATGTAAAACAATTTGGAGTATTGGATAATTTCAGCGCTTTCAAATTTGAAAACTATATGTCATCGATAAAGAAATTACTGAGAAAATCTGAAAGACCACTTCAACAATTATTTTTTAGAACTACTGAAATAGAAGCCTTAGGTACACAAACATGGAAGCTTTTGCCAAAAAACAAAAATCTAAAATTTTTCATGGTTGATAAAACATTGCATACTCGTGGTCCCCTCATTGAAGGATGTTCAAATCCTCAATATCATTCAATACAAAATGATCAATTCATATTAAAAGCTTTTTCTGTTTCTGATAATTGTTTTTTGGGCAAAAATGGCAATATTGTAGTGTTAGAAAACATTGCCTATTCGTTTGAAGCACAGTCTATGTTACTAATAGGTAGAGAATTCGTAAAGAAAGAAAATTTATTTCACAAACCCTGTGATTCATCTAAACTTGATATTTATGTAGTTTCACACTTATCCGCGCTCAAAACTTGGCCGTTAACTGAAGTTAGGTGCAAATATATGAAATTGCCCTTTGAAGCTAATACATTTGTTGTTATTCCCTTACTCCATAGTGAGGTAAGTATTTTTTTAAATTATGGCAACAATAGAAAATAATAATTTTGTTCCATTTTAAACACTTAGAGTTCAAAATGAATAAGAAGTACTGCGTAGTTGAGTTTGATGATGGCCTGCAACTTATTCCAAGACTTTGGATCAACAGCGACAATGAAGCTTTCTGGCCGAATTTTAAAACTACAGCTAAATACAACGCTGCCGTTAAAAATTCAATAAAACCTGGCATAGATTGGCAAAAATGTCAAATTTTAAGAATTTTATATTCTACAGGTGAGAAAATGATTACTTTCCCTAAAGATGTTAGACTATATTTATTCTAAAATGTTATATATTTCCAGATAATTATGAGTATGGATTAAAAAAAGTGAAAGAAGCTGAAGATGAGAGTGACATTTGTACAACAGATCCAGAAGAAGAAAAGAAAAAAAGAAAGTACAAGGCGACAAAAAAATTATCCAGCTCCGAAGATGAAATGGATACAACAATTGTACAAAAAAGGCAAATAAAACATCGCGAAACAAGATATTCTTTATCAGACGATGAAGATGAAGATACTGCATATCCAACGTTTCCAACTGACAAAACAGGTGAGTGCTTTTCGTACTTTTTGAGTACTGTACTTTTCTTAACTACGTTTTAATAGAAAACTTAATTTCAAATGGATCAATTATTTTAGTTAATTGTACGCCTGCAAAAGATACACGAATGGAAGTTCCCTCCCAACTAACAATAAGTAAGTAAATTTGTAAATAAGAGTATTTACATAAATCAATTTTTGTGTAATTTTTAGCCTTCCAGGAGGACTGCATGAAATTATTACAAAACGTCCAGAGAAAAGTAGTGGCAGTGTCCCTGATGCAACAGGAAATATTGGATAGGTTGAATTCGCTCGAACTAGGAGTTGTTGAAAGGGAAAAAGATTTACCAAATGATGATCCGTGCAGAGAAATTTTTGAAAGTGTGTTCCCTGTAAACACCATTGAAGAAATGGAACGTATCAACAACATGTTAAAAACTAATGATAATTTACGAAAATATGTTGTAAGTATAAAAATTACTTATCTAAAGATTTTATAATGATTTATATATTCATTTTAGTTTCAACGAAGTCGTCTTCTGTTGGGGAAGGATACAAAAACTTCAATTGTAAATATTCTTCGAGCTTTCTTAACAAATTCTTGTGCGGCATGTTACAGTTGGGTTGGAGCAAAGAAGAAGAATATGTTTTGTGAATTAGAGCTGGTCAAAATTATAAAAGGTAGTTACTCAAGTGAAACAAAAGTTGTTTAAGAAAAAAATAATAGAATACAATTTTCGTTACATCGAGTTTTCATTCACAATTTCACTGTAAAATGTTTTTCTAATACTTGAATTTTATTTTTCAGATTCAATTCGCAGTCAAAAAGGTAAAGAACTAACTTCAGACTATGAAATATCGGAAGTTATAAAGAACTGGCTAAGACTGGCAACATTAAGGAAGGACCGGGAAAGAGAAAAACAAGAGCGAGCAAGAACAGAATGATGTAATTTAATAAGATTTGAAAAAATAAAGTACTTTCTTAGTATTCTGGTTATGTCTCAATAATATTTAAAATAATATCTCAGATGCACTAAGTATATAAGCTGCGAGATATCTTTGAGATATTTTTAAACGGTTCTGAGATATCTCAATAACACGTCTTTGAGATGTTTACAAGGCGGACATAAAGATATCTCAAAGATATCCCGATTATATCTCAAAAATATTTCTGAAGATCTCAGAGATATACTATGTCTCATTATTGACGTCCCTGATATATCCTAGAGTCGTAAATTTGCTGTGTGGGTAAAGAAGGCCAAGTCGGCTAGAGCTTGTTGGCTGGTCAAGTAGACCAGATTTTCTGTACGTAGATCTCTGAAAATAAAAAAAATAGTAAGGGATTTTGTGTTTAATGTACAATCAAATTCGTTGATTGTTTTTTTAGAAAAAAGCGCAATAGATTAAATTAATAATATAGTTGAGATTAAACCATTCAATAGATATGCAAACACTTGATAAAAACAGTACAATACCTACATCCTGTATCTTATCAATAGACTCTGATTTACTTTGAAATACTATGTAGATATACTTAATCAATGCCTCTATAGTTTCTATTATAAGCAAATACGTAATAAAACAAAGATGAATAATTTTTTGGACCATTTATGTCTCTTTGAGCACCAGTTACAATGATATACTTACTCAGTAGGATGACTCTTCCCGTAATATCTGTGTTCCAATTGGAATAGAATCGGTTTAAATTCTTTTGCGTAAATGTACCAAGAACCGTTCGTCATCCAGCTGGCTGTGGCTTCTCCTTCTCCACCGATTTGTAGGAAAGCTGTCTTTCGGGTGGCATTGTCGAAGAATTCGTCGTTTACGTAGTAACGCTTAAAAATACAATTTATGAAAAGTAAATATAATAGTTTATTGAATATGCATTAATAATAAGAAGTGCGCTCCTCTTATTGTGCATTTTTATTGGCTGTTTGAACTACAAAACAAGACCACTTTTCTATATATAAAATTTTTAGTTGTATAAATAACAAATCAAGTTAATAAACTTTTGAGTAAATTAAATTGACCTCAACTAGATAAAAATTTGTAAAATAACATGGACTTTGAAAAACAATAGCCAAATTTAACATCACAATTTTATTATACTTGCCATATAGTAAAGTAACAAAATAATTTAGTTAGCCATGGAAAAACAAACGAACAAATGAAATATTCATCTTTATGCCTGTCAAATTCAAGCATTTTGTAGATTTTTAATTTGATTCGAAAAAGACTTACTTGCTGCCAAGTTTTTTGATTGTTGGGATTGAAGTGGTCCAGATTTTGTGTAAACCAACGTTCGAATTTGCTTGGTTTGGAATCGTCGACTTTTTTACCTAAACGTCCTTGTCGAAAATACCGGTAACCCTCGACCGGGAAATCGAAAATCACCGTGAGAATTAAACATATCGAAAAAAGCAGGAGCAGCTTATCCATTTTGAACGAAGTTCGTTAATCGAATAAAAAGCAAGTGCTCGAGTACATAAAAAATTCGATACGTTCAATACGTTGTATCTACGAATAATTGTGACTGAACAAGATTACGACGGACAGAATGATAACTAGCGTGGCGATATTAAAATTAAAACGAAATCAAAACCACTTTATTCGTTTTTCATTCCACTCAACGTTTTTTTTTATTTTGAATTGAATAAAGTACTCTGTATTTTGTTTCCATATACTTGTCTCTGTCTCATATCTCATAGGCAATATTCTAATGATTCTTTTAATCTGTGTTATTTATTTCCTTCTCTATTATCTCTAATCTCTAAAAGAAAGGCGGCGTTGTCAGTTTTAGGAATTTGTTTAAAATTATAATAAAAAAAAAGATAGAATTGATAAAAATCGAGATCAATTGACAATTGACATTTGATATATATTTTTTTCAACTGTTATTATTTCATTAACAGTTAAAATCTCAAGCTTTTGCTAATAATAACAATATTGAGAGGAACTTGTGCTGTTGCATAATATATTATTCTGTTCAAGTTAATTTTCTCTTCTTTTTATGTAATATGTCTAGTCTATTACATGAGTGGGCTACTGACATGGCCTTTACCTGCTCCTTACTTCAGTTTCTACTTGTATAAATAAATGCAATTATTACAAAAACTACTCTATTTCAATTTTAAGTAGTTATTCAATTTCATTTAGCAGTTACAAATATCGTTGAAGCTACAACGCATTTACAAATTTAACCAAACCGCAATATAATCTCTGATTTCAACTCTAGCCGCCCGTAATTCAGGAGAATCTATGCGCATTGAATTGTAAACGTTAGCACAATGCGCTGCTCCTGAAAAATTAAAAATAATTCATAAGAAATTCCATGCAAAGTTACCCCTTACAGTTAACATAAATATTTTATGTATGAGTAGGATATTCCTCATTACCTTTAATTAAAATGGCAGGCGCGTCTTTATCGCGGGTTTGCGTTATACCGAGTTTGTGCCAGGGATCCAAAGAACCGTGTACGAACACCACATTAGACACTTTAATATCCAAACCTCCATAGATTGTGTTTGTCCTATCGATTGCATCGTTCATGAACTTCTCAGTATATTGCTTTCCAAACAAGTCTTTGCACACGTTTACATAAAGATCAATTCTGAAATTGTTACCGAATATGTTGTAATCGGATGTTTGGAAGAAACCGAATTCAGTACACGATTGATACGTCCACTGTCGACCTACGAAAAATTTTTACCCTTTAAATCTCATGCTAAGAGACGCTCAAAACATGCAAATACTTGTTTCAGCTTCCCAACTGACGTTTTTCATCGGACCAACGTACGACTCGTACGTGTACTCGTTGCACGTTTCTCCGTAGATGTTCATCATTATATCGTTGATGGCCGCCAATCTGTCGATTTCGGCTCCCAAAGTCTTGTTGGTCATGATGCCGCAGAATTGCTCGGTGGTGAGATTGTACTCCTCGTTGAAACCGGTGTTGTCGTGGTTGAATTGGACGACGCTGCCGAACATGGTGGCCAGGTTCGAGTAGAAATTGGACACGTCCAGGGCGCTGCTCTCCTCTATCTTGTCGCACAGCTTGAACTTCTTGTCGACGGTCCTCTTCCCGTCTTTGCTGAGCATCAGTTTTTCGATTTGAGCTGTGGCGTTGCCCACGGCCGCTACGCATTCTTCGCTGATGGACCTCAAGGCGTCCTGGACTACCCCGAAATATCCTAAAATGTACAATTACATAAAACTTCTACTGCGGTATTGAGTGTAGGAAAAGTATATTTTGCACACTCCCTGTAATCCATCCCTCCCTTCTACCTATAGTGAATATTTTTAGAGGATTAGTTACAAAGTGTATTTGTACCTGTGTAATCAACTTTTGCCATTAAAGGACTACTAGATGACACGGCCCCGTGTACTAGATGAGGATATTTTTGTCTCAACCAGGCGGCTAGGTTTCCTGGATATGAACCGCCGAATGCGATCCATTTTACATCTGGAGCCAGTTCATACTGCTTGTTCATAGATTCTATAAAGAAGGCCAAATCGGCTAGAGCCTGTTGGCTCGTCAAATAAGCCAGGTTTTTCAGACTTAGATCTCTGGAAAGTAAAAGGAGATTAACGAAATTGGTGTATTATATTTTTGGATTATAGATATAGATATTTAAACTGAATTAAAATTTTTAACAAATGGGACCAAAGTACTTAAAGTTGCGTAAATAGCAAGATTCCGAACAGATGATAAAAGAGATAATACAGAGGTACTTTTATTACTTGAATATCCTTAAAAAACATTCCAAAATTACACTCAAATACTTATTATTGTTTAAATTGATATCTAACACTGCTTTAGTTGAATTTAGGTGCCTCTTTTGGGGCAAGACTGAAAGTGTTACTTACCCAGTAGGATGACTCTGTCCGTAATATCTGTGCTCCAATTGGAATAAAATCGGTTTAAATTCTTTGGCGTATACGTACCAAGCACCATTCGTCATCCAGCTATCATACGCTTCCTCTTCTCCTCCGATTAATAGGAAAGCTATATTTCTGGTTTTATTGTCGAAGAATTCTTCGTTTACGAAATAACGCTATAATAATAAAGAAATTCTTATAATTTAGAGCATTATCTTTGAATGTAACTTGCTCAATGTTGAGGATTTAAGTTGAGATATGCATAATGCTATGAGAGTCTGTAAACTTATTCACATAATAGGTAAAAGTTTCAAAGGAATAAGACTTAAATCATTAAGACTTAAATATTTAATCAGTACGTGCATTTGCACTTATATTCGGTTAATTTTTAGGTAAATTTAACATGATTTTTCTAATAATATTGTTTATGAATCCTTTATGTAGGTAGTCATACTTTTTTTTTGACGAAGTAACATACTTTTTAAACCTGACCCTAAATTAAAAACAAATAAAGTTGTTTACAATAAACTCGCGACATTTGATCTACTTAAACTGACCTGAACGTGATAGCAAAAGTCGTAAAATAACATGGAAGTTAAATTAATGTAACTCGTGAAATAAAGTACAAAATTTTACAAAGTGGAAAAAACCGAAAGAAATATTCATCTCTCAAAAAATCGATTCGAATTACTTACTTGTTTCCATGTTTTATCGTTGTTGAGACTAAAATGGTCTAGGCGTTGAACAAACCATCTTTCTAAGTTTTCAGATAATGAATTGTTTAATTTTTCACCTCCTGAACGTCCGATTCGATGATTCCGCCGGAAACCCTCTACTTGGACGCCCAAAATCGCCGTGAAAATTAAAACTAACGAAAAAAACAGGATAAATTTATCCATGTTTAATGAAAATTATTAATGAAATAAAAAATAAAGTACTCGAGTACATGGAAATTCGGTTTATATAGCGTAGAGTATCCATAAATTACCTCTTCACAATAAGCTGATGATAATTATTGATATGAAATCAGATTTTCATCTTTTAAAATACTGTCAGGAATAAAGTTTAACAAAAAATGTAAAATTCGTATTAATGTAGAATTTATTTGGAATTTATTGTTATGCGTATTTAACGTTTTTTTCAGAATGAAAGTCATGTTTGATAAAAAAATAATCTTGATTTTGTTTTAATTTTACTATCAATAATTAACATTTGGTTAATTATTATAATCTTGTAGTGAAGTGGTAAAAGATACTCGGAATACAGGGGATTTTTTATACTCGAGTATTTCATTATTTTAAAATATTTTAAAAAGGATTTTTAATTTCCCTGTAGTCCCTCATCGATTTTTTTAATAATAATCTCTGGAAATTAATTAAAAATTGTAAAAATAGTATCAACATGTAATTTGCAATGCATGTAGATGTTACTGAATTTTTATCTATCGAAAACCGATTTATCGGAAAAGAAAGGGAAATCTGAATTGGCCAAATAATGTCTACATCGTAGGCAGGTAAGCAGATTACCATGAAGTAAGAGCTGAATAAACGCAATGTTGTCAATTCTACTAATTTAATTAAAATTAATAAATAAGCGTAAATTATCGTATTCTTTATTTTGAATCTTTTTGTTTTATTAATTTTTAGTTGAGTTGAACTATGAGCAAAGAGCATACACAACATTAATAATTCTACAATAGATTGGATATGTAGTTTTCGAGCAATATCGATTCGAAAATCGATTGCTTCGATTACGCTGCGAAGAGCGATATCGATATTGTGTTTAGTTCAAAATTCAAAAACATCATTTGCCTTGGTCATTTTGGCCTTTTAGTGCAGTGCATTGCATTTCACCTTTCTTTTAAATTCGCCGTCCGTTTGAACATTAGCATTTAGCACAACAATTTTATATTTTCTTACTAATACTCTCAATAACTAAATATTCAAACCCGTTTAAACTAATTGAGTAACTTGTAAAGTACCCAAAAAATATCGGTTATTTTCGTTAATTTTATCATTGTTGTTAATCGGACGCCATTTTCTTATTCCGTTTGTTGTGATAGTGACTCGTTGGCTTGGTTTACAATTCGCAAATTAGACCTGTAAGTATAATTTTAGAATTTCACATGTTTTATTCTCACACATGCGTGTGTTAATAGATCATAAGTCATAAGTGGCCCAATAAAAATCGATTAATATACGATTTTGAATTAATGAACATGGAACACATGTTTTTTATGGAACAATTTGATAATGTCGAATACGCTAACTCTAGTCTAGTTCACAGTTTTAATTAAATTCTCCGATAAAAAATATAAAAGTACACCGCTGATAAATTAAAATGTATGTATTTGTTTTGTAAATGCAGGTTTACATATTGCTCGAACCGTTTTATGAATTAGTGTCTGCTCAATGCAGCTGTCATCTGTCAATTGAATTCGCCATCTAACGTCGCATTTTGCATTTGTAACTACATCATTCAAGTCATTCAGACAGTTTCAGTAGTTTTTTTTTTTAAATTAACAAAATAGCCACTTCCTAGTCAGCTGATAATGAACCTTTCGAACTAGAATATCTAATTATAGCCCAATTAGTTAACTAGGACAAAATGAAGTGAATTTAGTGTGGTTTAGTGTAATAATTAAAGTGGATAAAATGGTATTTACAAATAGCCTATGATTTCTAAATATGCCAATAAGCTGTCAATAACAATGTTTGAGAAAAACTAGAAATTCTTTGTGAACGGCGTAGCCACCACATTTTAGGTGCGTTTTATCTCAAATCCTCGCTCCTGTAATCATTTTGCGATGCTAGTAATAAATTGGCATATTGCCTCACCTTGTACAAAAAAATACGTTCTTTGTTTACTAGGATTGTGCAAAACATTGTTTATTTCTCGAAATATTGCAATTAACATATGATTTTTATTGAACTTATTTACGCAGTTATTTACATACACACAATAATTTTCCCCTATTTATGTGTTACTTTATTTTGAAACTAACACAACTTCATTATCACGATGTAAATAAGCCTTACGTTTTAGGTATGTCAAGAAAAAACTTATTCGCTTAAAAGTTAAATTTTGTTAGTTAAAAATGCTGCACGTATTCCACGTGGATTCTGGACGGATGATGACTTTCGATATGAGTCTTGCTCTAGAGAGGTCAGTATTCTATTTAACACAGTTAATTCCCTTGTGGTGAAATTTGTAATGCTGATTATTTATTTTTTTAGCGTTGACAATTTAAAAAAACACGTCCAAGAAGAATTCAAAATAGCAGCAGATAAGCAGGTGTTGCTTATAAGCGGCGGGGAATGTTTAGATCCCAACAAAAGAGTTTGTTCATTTTCCGCTGGTACTGATACCAATCCGATTTTTTTGTTCAGTAAATCCATTATCGAGTCCCCAAATCCTCCGTTGCCCATTGCGGACTATGGATCGGAAAGTGGTAAGTAAAACAAACAAGATTTATGAACAATTCGTGTACTAACATAGACTGTATTTTGTAGATATAGATCTCAAAGTTAAAGAACACTGTGATATGCCTGTAACATTTGGGACTTTAGCCAAAAGGGCCCAATTGGCACAACATTTGCTAGAACTGTCCAGGAAACAATTATCCGTATGCGAGAATCTCGTTCACGATCAACATCTCCAGCAGCAAGGATGGTCAGCGGTGGTGGCGAATTTAGAAGATATTAGTTTGGAATTTAGCAAAAGATCTGAAATTTTCGAGAAAAGTTTTACCGATTACATGGAAGAAAGGGAGACCTATATGACTTTCTTGAATCAGTAAATACGCGAAAATGCAAATAACTCCATCACAATTTCATCGTTTTTCTTTCAGTTTCAGTAGCGATTTACAAATTCTACAGAAGATACCTGTTCTACCAGCTCTGTTGGAAACGAAACCCCTAGCAATAGAAGAATGCAAACCAACGGAACTGGAGGAAGACGAAGAAGAATGCATAACATCACCTACGACCAGTACCGGAAAGGACATTACCCTTTACGAATGGATATCCGCCGCTGATAATAAGAGCACCATGGACCAACTTTACGACCACTGCTCAAGGGGTTTAGATCAGGTAAACATTGCAATCGAGCTGCTAATACTGATTAATAAAGTTTTATAATTTTTTTTTAGTTCAATAGCGAAATCTTCAGAACGTTGTCGAGGGACATTCAAGAGATGTTACAGAACGCCGATAACGTGCAAATGAAGGAAGTTAAAGGCCTAGGTGAGCGGCTGTTCGGTCTCGAAGAATTAATGAGAGAAGCGCGGAAGAAAGTTAAACAACAAGCGGAACTTGCGCAATCATTTGCAAACGTAAGCGTAAATGATAACGATAAGGTTGATGATCTCGAGGAGATGGATCGACTCGAATATCGTGAATATCTTTGTATAATATTTGTTGTTTTTGGATTTAGAACCAAAGCAGGGCGAGCAATACGAAAGACCCGTCCGTGCTACCCGATCTGTGCATGTCCCACAAGCAACAGCTTCAAATGATGGCCGCAAATCACCAACAACTTTGTGATATTCGCCGAAGGTGCGCCAAGGCGAAGGAAGAATTGAGCATAAATTTGTACCATAGATTAAAGTAAGTAATCAATATATTTGCAAATGTCCTTATCGGTTATTGTATCTTTTGATGCTAGATGGGTGATGTACGTGGAGGATCGAATACAGGAAATAGATCAAAAATTAGTTATTTATCATGAGAATTTGAAGAGATTACGACGACATTTGGAGATTTTGCAACAAATTCATTTGGCACCGGCCACTTATTTATGCGCGGTTGCCGAGGTTGTTAGAAGAAGGGCTTTTTCTCAATCATTTTTATTGGTAAGAGTTTAACCGATACGTGATTGCACGCTTTGTATTAAAAAAAATTTAATTTTCAGTGGGCGTCTGAATTGGCGTGTCACCTTTTGACCATACACAACGACGAAGTCACGCGAAGGAAAGAATTCCAAATTCAATTCGAAGGGCATTTTTTGAATTCACTATTTCCCGGTATGAATGACATGCCCCCATCCTTTGCTACGCAAGCTCCTGCCATGTTCGATGTTATTTTACCTAAAATTACTTTAGAAGATATAAATAGGTACCGATGCATTGATATATTATTTATTTCATTATGTAACAATGTTTGTTTCCTTTAAAGGTTAAAGGTGGAATTGCCAGATTTGGCGGATAATTTAAATATCCCCGATACCTCTTCGATTGAGAACTTCTTCCTTTTACGATCGCTTACTAGAAAGGACGATGAAGAGATTAGGGATAAACCGGAGGAAACTAAGGCTGTGGAGGATAAATTAATACAGGCTGTCAGTAATGTAGGGTTGGCTAGTGATTTGGATAGGGATTTACTTAGGGGCACAGGTAACGAACCCTGTTTGACAACTGCGCATGGTTTAGTACATCTTAAGGATTTCGATAAGTGAGTAAATTGATATTGCTTGATAGTGCAATGTGTAAGTGTTCATTTATTGTTTCTAGGGGCTGCGAATCTGAAACGGACACGGAAGAATTCGAGAAAGTTAGTCAGAGTCCGCTAGAAATGAATTTTGACAAGAACATTACGACGTTGCAACCTCGCATGCAAGACGCTTCCACTTTCACAGAGGTCAGTGAGAAATTAAACGTCCCTCCCAAAAAACCCGTACGCATCTTTTATCGTTCCCAAGACTACCAACACGCCTCTTTACAATACCAGCGCACTTTAAGCATCTGCAGTAACACCGAATCGATCACTAACCATAAAAACCATCACTCCTCGGACGAGTTCTCTAATTCCAAATCCACCGACAATTGCCACATCTCCCACGAGAAAACATTGTACGGAACTAACCTGCTAACGGCCAAATCCGTTTCGCCTCACACCCCGCAGAGTTCTCGGAACAGTCCGAATAGTCCGTGTTTGGGCCACCAAATGTCGAACGTGAGCGGCGCTAGCGCGAGCGGCGGTTCAGATTTCGCTAACGACGAGTTTTTCATCGACGAGAGCCTACCGTCGAGCCTCAGTATCGAAACTGGTCACAGTCAATGTTCAGAATTTAATAAGCAGCTCGATACCGCGCACAATGTCGTGGCTTTGTTACAGGTATAGAGCCGACAGGCTATTCTTGAATGTTGCTAATTCCACGTTGGTTATCAGTTTGCGCTTTGTTTTTTTTTTTGGTAGAAGTTTTTTTGCTTGATTTTCTCGAAAATTATGCGATTATCTTCGAACGTAATACAATGTAAAACAGTGCATATACTTTGCTTTAATTGTTGATATATTTGATTGAATTTTCATTATATTTTGCCTCTGAAACACGGCTTTTTTACAACGAACCGACTTGATTTCAAACACACTATACACACTATAAATAAGCTTTTGATTAATTTTCGCATCGTACAAACCTTTTGTGATTGGTGGCCCAAAATACTACATACTCCCCATATTAGATACCGCATGTACACACAAAATTACACGTTCGTATAATCTACAAAGCTCTTTTTATCCAAATAAAAACTTATTTTAGGACAACCTTCAAATAACAAGAAGCGAATACGATAAGCTGAAAAGCTGCTTGGTGAAGCTGCACGAATTAGCGCAGGAAGCCATGGTTCAATTGCGCCTCGAAATGTCCGATTTGAGGGCTCAAGTCGAATCCAACCGGAACGATTTGGCCTTGAATTTGAAGGAGTTTTGCAGCTCGTGGAACAATCTGATAGTGATGAGAGATAACGAAGAGAAAGCGACCATACGAGAGATCAACGGCAACTTCGAGGGGATTATTAAAGACTTGGAGGAGCAGAAGCGGGCGAAAGATCAAAAAATCGAGGAACTGTTGATGGAGAAATCGACGTTGGAAGGCGAAATTCTCAAATCCTGCGAAAGCCTAAACGAACTGCAGGAGAATTTCAACAAAACGACGGAGGAGAATTCGAAAACGATAGACGATCTGCGCAAGCGACTGGAAGAAAAGGAAATTGAGAAAGAGAAGAGCGTGAAGGAAGCATCGGATAATCTCAGAAAGACCCACAAGGCCGAGCTGGAGAACATCAGGGCGCGATTTAAATTGATGACGATGGAGCGCAGTCCTTCCGACAACAGCCTGGAGAAATCCTCGGATTTCAGCAGTTTGCCCAATCACTCGATTTTCATTCAACAAATGGCCGAGAATTTCGAACTGGACAAGGAGAGGGCCGTCAACGAGGCCATCGCCGGCGAACGCCAGAAATGGGAGAAACTTCTTTCCATCAGAATCAAGGAACTGGAGAACAAATTCGGGGAGGAAAAGGACGCTCTGATGACGAACTTGGCGAAGCAGATAACGGAAGAAAAGGATAAGCAAATCGATATTTTGATGCAGCGCGAGAAGAACCTCAATCTCGAGTGCATCAAATACAAGAACACCATACAGCAATTGACAGAAAACGAAACTGAATACAGCGAAACTGAATTATTAAAAAAAATCGCCACTCTACAAGAAGAAAAGGGTACGTTGGAGGACGAATTGGTGAAAATCAAAAGGGAAAAGAGCATCGATTTGACTACTTCGTTAGCTGTATGTGATGGTAAGATCAATTGTATCAAACTATACTTAGTAAACAGCCCCAAATGATCGCCACTTCCTATCTATTAATAATTTTGTGGACAGATGCCATAACTTGAAAATTTGCGCAAATTATCTTTATTAAGTAGCTGCTTCACACTTTTAAGAGAAACCCGGTGGTACTGATAACACAATTATTATAAAAAACAGAGGCATCAATTTATGGCATCTATTTACAAATTTATCAATGCAAGTTTGTTGAGAAATTATGTGAATACGGGTGCATATTTGCAGGAAAAGTGGACGCGGCCGGTAGTTCGCCGAAGCAAAAAGACTCGTCCAAAGGCGATTGCTCCAAAGGCAAAATCAGCATCGACAGCTGCAAACCGGGCGATTTAGTATTAGTCATGTGGGACGAGCAACACGAGAATTTCAAAATTTTACAAGAGAACAAACACATGTTCTTTTTGCATTCCGAATACATGGCAGGCCTGGGCTTGGAAATAACCACCGGCAGGCCTAATAGGATGTTTTGCCTAGGCGAAGTGCTCGACAAGGAATATTGCTACGCTAGAAAGGTAATTTTATGACAAATTTATACATAAAAAGCCGCTGGCGTATTGTCCTATGTCCCGGTGCACCTCACCGCATTTACCTGAATTTTTATCGAATACCGAAATCTTCGTGGAACTTTTAAGATGCGTTCGATGATACATGAACAAAAACTTTCAAAATTGACATGTAATTGACATTTCGTATGACAGAAGTTTAATAGAGGTGGGAATCATTTTTTTGCTATAGAGGTGTAGTAACGACTGTTACAAAATAAGCGTTATTTTTTCAAATATCGCCCTCCTGATTACTCTATTCCATACTCCAGTCGCGCTAACGGAATATTTTTCGATTTCAGTCTGAAAATAGATACAAAGTGCCGAAACGAACGAAATTCTTCCGCGTCAAAGTGAAAGGTTTGAATCCCCCGTTGCTGGCGCGCGACTCCATCTCCAGCCAGAGCTTCTACCAAGCGAAGGCGTCGTCGGACGGTGCTCGCATGACGCAAAGTCAATCGGGCGTCTCTTCGACGGGCAAGGAGTCGATGGGGGAGGAGAAGAGCGGCCCGCAGTCGCTGCCGTCGTCGCCGACGAGGCCGGCGCCGCCGGAGAGGAGCGAGCTGGAGCCGCTGGAGGAAAAGGAGTCGGAGGACAGCGCGGACGGGACGAGGGAGAGAAGGGCCGGGCAATGGTCGGAGAAGCACTTTGCCGAAGATAGCGGCATCGTCGATATCGTGGAGAGCGTTTCGGCAGCTGCGGATGATACTCTGACTTCGGATAGTCACAGTAGAAACGAGAGTGAGAGTAGTGATAGGTAGGTGTGATATTTTTTTTAATTCATTGTGTTTATTGAAAATTTTAGATAAGGTAAATGTCAAAGTTTATACAATATATAAAATATAAATAGTGTATTGAATTATATTTTTAAGTTACCTATAAAGTTTTGTGTTTTTGTTTTATTTTTTATTTATTTATTTAGGATCAGTGTATTTATGTTTTTTCGTGATTTTTATTGGAAACGATTTATTTTTTACTTTCGTGATTTTTTTGAATAGGTTATATACTAATTTAATGCATTATGTTTTTAAAAATAATCATTATTTTACAGTGTGTTTGTAAGAAAAATGCGAACACGCTTAATTAATTGTTCATTGTTATTTTCCTTCTTTAATTTTATACATATACTTAATTTTTTTTGAATTCAATACCAATATATGACGAGTACTTATTAAAATATTAATAGCGATTTTCTCAAAAATCAAAATATTTTTTTGTATCTATTCACTAGTAAACTTGAAAATGCATTATTTTTGGATGTTTTTCGAAGTTGTTATTTGGTTCAATCCCGTTTTCAAAATAAATTCGAGTAGCAACATTTTGCATTAGCACTCCTTAGAAATGTTGCAGATAATAAATTAGTCTTCAATATAAACATGCACTGTAAACGAAGTACCTATATTTGACTTTTATACTTTTTTCTGATTAAAATAAAAAAAAATCCAACTACGTTCATTTTTTATATCGACAGTTGCAACACACACATGTGGCTTACACCTTTTTTAGTAGTTACTTAATTGTAAGTATTCGGAACTATTCGTTTACATCTTAACGGCATTTTGCAATCGATATTTTAAAATTTTCACTCTGGAAATGTTGTATTAAGATTTTTATAAAATTTTATAACGCCGCTTTATTTTTATTTATCTGTTCCTTAAATTTCACACAATTTTCTTTTACATAATCCTTGCCGAAACTATTTTCCTGCGTGTATTTAGTGCGACAGGAATAACTAAACAGAAAAAAATCCTTTACTATCCTTTTATAAATAGTATAAATATTTTTTGGTAGAGGACTAACATTGCACACGAAATGCCAGGTATGAGAAATCTTAATGAGACGAATTCTACGTAGCTGGACTCGTTTTCCTTTATGGGGAAACCAAAACGCTTGACTAATTTTTTTCCTGAAATTAGCATCGAGCGAATAAACAAAAACACGCGAATATAACCCACACTGTTGGGAAACACACTCTTCCGTAACTGCGTCACATCACATCGAGTCTTTTTTTAATTTTATACAATACGATAGCCGCGTGTGCGAAGTCGAGTTCAGTATAGTTATTTCAAGGCAATCGTGCGTGCTTGACTTGCCCGGCGCGAAACCCGCTCAGCGCTTTGTCCGGTTTTTATTCAAATCAGTCCGCTTTCGTCGCAAAATATGAGTGTCCAGAGCGTCTCGTACTCGGCTTTAAGTCAGGGGCAAGGTGACAACCATTCCAACGCGGTCAATCCCTCCGGTACAGCACCCATGGCGACCACCGAAAGCACCGAATTGAATCCGGAGAACGACTTTGCGCACCCGCAGGAGGAAAAAGGGGCGCACCACAACCACCTCGCGGTGGATGATTACGAGGGGCACGTGAAACTCGGGGATTTCGGGGAGCTGGAGGTGCCGCACGCGCCCCATTCGACCAACGGGTTGAGTTACGACCCCGAAATGCGCAGCGTCTTCAACGAGACGATACCAGACGTAAACGTTTACCAGCACAAGAAGACTTTGGCTCAGGGGATGATGGACTTGGCGTTGTTTTCCGCCAACGCCAATCAGCTTAGGTACGTTTTGGACAGTTCCTCGAGGCATCCGTACTATTGGCCCAGCGTGATTTGCATCTGCTTGAGCTTGGGGTTACAAGTGAGTAGTTACACCTCTTTTTATTATGTAAATTCGCCTCATTTAATAACATTAAAATTTATCTGGTTGTGACAAAGAAAGAGGTAAAGGTCTGCTTTTTAATGAATGTAAATATTCTATTTATATTAAAGTTTCAATAACCTTTGCCACTTGGGATGACTGGTCTGTTAGTTTTATAATTGTTTAATCTGAATTATATATGAATAATCCTATTAATTGTTCTACGTTAATTGCAAAATTAATCAAAATTTATTACAGACGGTCTAAATTTTAGGCAAATAAAAATTGGAAGATTCGCCAAAAACATTTAGGCAGTTACAGTACTTTGATAAAAATAATCTTTCTCGGTAATTATGTATTTTTATTATTAGGAGAAGCGTTTTATTTAGATAGCAAACGATTATTCAACTTAATGAACCTGTGATGGTTTGTTAAATATTTAAAAAACCGGCATGTTTTATATCGAATTAATTGCGACTACGTTTAAATTTAAAATGTAAATATATAAGTATACAAGGTGGTTCAATAAATACGCTTCATTCAGTATTAAAATTTTTGTAATTATTGCAGGGCTTATATCATGGAGTCGCGTCAACTTTATATTTTTTTTGATGGGACACTCTGTACTAAAAGTGTACATTTTTTATACTCGTTCAATTTGCCTCTTTTAGAACAATTTATATTTAGAGAAAGTTATAAACTTTTTATCAAAAAAAGTCACAAATTTTTAGATTAGGAAATCATTAATTGAGCGACTGCAAATATAGATAGCACCTCACTCAATTCCGTTAAACACTAATCACTTATCAGTGGTCAGAATTAAATGGAAACAATGATTGCTAAATTTCCGTTGTAATATTATGTACATAGTGATTCACCAAATGTACCTTGAATATACCTTACCAAAAGTAGTGCAATCCCGAGATAATAAAAACATCCTGTGGCTTCTAAGAAAGTATCACAAATATTGCGTATTTCCTTACCATTATAACTATTTGAAATACTCTTATTCCCAAAATATTTTCCTTCACAATTACATAAAAAACCTTTTCAATTTCAGACGGCTATCGGCATAGGTCTCATTTGGAATGCCCTGTACAACGTTAAAGACGAGAAGGAGATTTGCATCGCCAATAAAATCAACAATTGGTGCGTCATCGGAATTTTCTTAGTGGTGGTTGTAAACGTTTTCGTTTCCTCCTTCGGGATCCCAAACTCCCCGGCGTTACCCCCTCCACCACCAGTACTCCCTTCACCAGTCCAAGAACTACCGACGGGACTCCTCTAACCGCTATGAAATTACAAGTAGTACTTAATTTTTTACCTAAATAATATTGATAATGTACATACAATCCGAGACTGATGGAAATACTTGTTAATGTTTGCTGTATTTGTTGTACTTTCATTTTAAACTCTACAACGTTTTTATAAGTCATATACCGGTGATTATTTAGAGTTTTAATTGCCATTCGCAATGTTATACGTAATAAGTTTTTTTTTGTAATAAAAATACCTATTTAATAAGATCTTATTTTTCTTAAAAACATTTCTTTCCTGCTTTCGAATCATTCGCAATAGTGGGTTAGAGTCAATCTAGCGGTGATATTCATCGACTGCAGTTCTGTGAGCAATAATTTACAGGCGTAGGGCATCGTTATGCTCGAAACTTGCGCTGAACTTTTGCAGCTGTTGCACCAGCCGCAGTAGCCTAAAAGGCCGCATTTATTGCAAACGTCCACGTCGCAAATGTCGCTCGATACCATCAGGCGCTCCACTAGCATCATGCTAAAAACGAATCGATGTAGTAAACGGTGATTTAAAAGAGTATTTATGGTACCTTGCGCCGTATCCTATGAGGCAATCACGCTCCATTTCGCCCAATCTCAAACCCCCGTCTCTGCTTCTGCCTTCGGTGGGTTGCCTAGTTAGCACAGCTCTTGGACCTCGACCTCTAAAATGCACATGAATTAAATTTTATGCAAAAGTTTCGTGTATTTCATTTTACCTTCCGTGGATTTTATCTTGCACCATGTGCTTCAATTTTTGATAATAAACCGGACCGGAATAAATGTACATTTCCAAAGGTTCTCCAGTGATACCCGAATAAAATAAATCCTTCCCCTGGTAGTTGAAGCCGTTTCTCACCAACTCTTCGCTCACGTCCTTCACTTTGGATCCCCCGAAGGCGGTGCCGTAATGGAATTTCCCTTCGACCAATCCGGCTTTTCCCGCCAGCAATTCTATTAATTTCCCCACGGTCATTCTCGATGGAAACCCGTGCGGGTTCATGATAATATCCGGACAGATACCGTACTCGTTAAAGGGCATGTCCTCTTGTTCCACTATCAGTCCCACGACGCCTTTCTGTCCGTGCCTCGAGCTGAACTTATCGCCGATTTCGGGCTTCCTCGTTTGCCTGAGCAGGATTTTCAACAAAGTCGTGTCCTCCTCGTTGGTGCTTATCAGCACCTTTTCGATGTAACTCGGCTCGTCGTTTCTGTAAGTAATGGGAGTTTCCTTGTACTCTACCGATGTATTCGTAGTACCGTGCACGGTTGATACGGTAGGAACCGATTTGTTGATCAGTACCTAAAACAACGAAAATTATTATTATTTATTGTATTAAATCAGTCGCTTGTGAGAGTTTACTTGTCTATTTTGCACCAATTCCCCTGGACCGATGATCCCATCGTTATCCAAGCAAGAATGCTTCCACATGGGTTTGCCCGTTACCACGTCCACCATGGGTCCCTGGATCCTATCGTACGTTTGATTGGTGTACCTCTTCATGATGCATTTGGAATTCTTATAGACCAAACAACGTCCGAATCCCCTATCGATGGAGGCCTTGTTCAATATCAAAGCGTCCTCTATGTCGTAACCGCTGTAACTCATCACGGCTATCGTGGCGTTCTGGCCGGCCGGCAGTTTATCGAAATTCGTCAGCTCGATGGTTTTCGTCTTGACCATCGGAGCCTGCGGATAGACGAGATTGTACAGCAACGTGTCCATGCGGTTCTTTTGATTGTAGCCGATGGTGCCCATGGCCTGTTTGCCCATGGCGCACTGGTAGGTGTTCCGCGGCGATTGGTTGTGATGGGGGTACGGCACTAACCCGGCGCAAACGCCCAACAAAGTGAACGGTTCGATTTCCAGGTGAGTGGTCCTGACGGACACGTCGTGCTCGTAGCAGGCTATGAAGCTGTCGTTTTCTTCGTTTACGTCCAGGAATTCGATCAAACCTAAGCACAAACGAATTAACTCGCTACAATCTATGTTATTCGAGTATTAGTACCGTCTTGCAGGAAATCCTCGAACCCTCTTATTCCCTTTTCCAGCTCCCTGATGTGTTTGTCGGTGACTAAAGGAATCCCGTTGCGCACTATTATGTAAGGTCTGCACAACCTGCCGTTATCCGAACTGATGTAAATGCTTTTGTGCGAATGATTGGGGTAGATGGAAACGTAGCCCGATATGTAGCCCTTTCTGCGGGTCATTCGGAATATGTCGATCAGTTTTTTGAAATTTTTAGTGATTCCCAATATGTTTCCGTTGAGGAAAACGATGTAAGTCGAAGGCGAGTGAATGGCAAAACTGGCCACCATGTTGATGTCTTGTACGCCAGAGTTTCGGGCCAATCTAATCAACGGGTATTCGTCGACTTCCGTAGTTATGTGCGTCATAAGGGCTAAATTCTTCACCAAACCACAAGCCTAGAATGTACAAAATTGTACAAAATGGATAAAAATTAATGTATTAACAACAGCCGTATATTTCTAAGGTCTGGAAACAGCCTATGCTTATACCATCGCTGATTTAAGTATATTTTTATATTTTGTACCGACAATTTTTCGACCTATGTTTCCAGAACTTAGAAATATACAGCCGTGGTATTTATAAATTAACCTCTAATAATATAAAAAGAAATACCTCTCCTTCTGGCGTATCACTGGGACACAACATACCCCATTGGCTGGGTTGCAGCGATCGAGGACCAGACACTTTCCTGGTTTTTTCGAACTGCGAATTCACCCTAGTCATCATTCCCAATGCTGAAATATAACTGAGCCTCGACAGCACCTGCGTAACCCCTAATCTCTCCATTCTGAAACGTTTGATCGTCCAATTCCCCTGGAATATAATCGTTTACAGGAATCTCCCCAGAGTGTTTGGATTGTCGTAATGAAACTTACAGTCGATATGGCGAATACCAAACAACTGGTGATCAAATCCGATCGCATATATTTCACGACATCGAATTGAGTTGCCCTAATTTTCGGAATGGTTTTCTCAGCGATGGCTTTCAATTCCCAATTGAACCTTTTGAAGACGTCCTCGAACATTAGAGAAATCAGCGAGCCGGCTAGTTCCAATCTTTTATTACCGTAGTAATCTCTATCGTCTAATAAATTGCTGTCCGTTTGGGCTTCTATTACTTTTTTAACCTGCGAGTTAAATAATGTAACGCGAAATAACGATATCGAGAAAACTTACCATTAAACCTACGTAAATGGCTTTAAGTCTAAAGTTGTATTCTTCAACGGGAACATGTGCAAGTACAGTCGTCGCTAATAAATCTCTAGCTTCATCGGCAGGGGTTTTGATTTTGTATGCAGAAGTAACGAAGCGTTTCGCAACTAATTTCGAGCCTAAATACATCAGAGCGGATTCCTGCGTGTAAATTTTTAAATTGTGGCATTCCTCTAGAGTGGGTATTAACTTGTGCACATCCGAAATCCCTATTAACTCGCATATCTCCTGATCGTTTATCACGTTCAACGCTTTGAAGACTATAGAAATTGGAATTGGCTGTAAATAAAAAGCAAGTATAATATTTCAGAAACGCTACATCGTCAAACATACATCAGCGAACGTATTGTGACCCATGAAATATTTATTCCCTTTGACGAAAACGTTGGTTCGGGATTTTTTCTCTTGCGTAGAACTGGTTACTTGACACTGGATACCGTATTTGCCTTCTTCTACGATCATTCTATTTTTGGTTAATTGCTCTTGAATTAATATAACCCTTTCTTGGCCTTTGACAACGAAGTAGCCGCCCGGATCTAACGGGCATTCGTTCATTTTGGCTAATTCGTACTCGGATTTGCCGTTAAGTACGCAATTAGAAGATTTCAGCATAATAGGCATTCTAAAAAAGTTGGTTTTAGTGAGGTAAACTTGAATTTTATAAGGGAATCTCACCTTCCTATTAAAAGACCTGTTTTCGAAACCCTTTGTGTTCCTCTCGTGTACTCAATATCAACTGTAATCGGAGCCGAGTAGGTCATGTCTCTTAATCTACATTCGTGTGGTGTAGTTGATTTACTTATGTTGAAACCTTCGTCTACATCGGGAGTTCCCACTTGTACATTCGTGTATCTGTTGAATATATTCGATTAAATGTGTATTTCGTGGAATCATCTATACTTACTTAATGTAGAAAAGTGGATCAGCATCACAAACGACTTTATTATTCGCTTCGACGATTTTTTTAATGTCTACCGATATAAAATAATTAAAAGAATCGATGTGCTGCTTCACTAAGCCTCTGATTTTTAAAAATGCGGGCACGAGTTTCCATTTCTCCTGCAAATTGAGATCAGTTAGTTTAAGATTTTCGATTTTATAAGCAGATAAGTAGGGAGTACGCACCTGTATTTCTTTGATAGGCTTTTGATAGAAACTAGGATCCCCAAAGGTGCTATAATCGTCACATTTTTCCATAACGATTTAATTAAGTTAATAAAGTAATATTTTGAAAACCGATATAGGTAACGAATAAGTTAGGTTAACTTTTCTTCTGGGTAGTCTTTTAAAATGGTCTAAACGTTTCATGTATGCAGCAATAAAGTGGCAAATTTACAACAAATAATGACATAACTGATGAATTCAATATAATCGCAAACACACAGAATTTTTACCAAATGCACATGGTGTCTAATCAATTTATCATTATCATTATCTGATGAATATGAATATATTTTTTCAGGGAAAGATTGCTGCACATCCTAGGACCAAAAATATCAAATATCAAATAAATAGGTATAGAACAGGTCTTGGGCTTTTTGGATTAGTAAATATTGTACGTACATTACTGTGGAAAAAATGTAGATAATTTCTTTGCTTTACAAAATTCAAAAGTTAATATGAAAGTCAAATTTCAGTTTTTAATATGCTTTAATTTAATTTTAAAATGCTATAATATGCTTTATAAGTGAATATTGTTTTTTATTAAAAAATACATTTTAAAGCGGTGACGTTTGATTGAATATATCTCTATTGAAAGAAAAAATTTCTTTTCAACACGTGTCATAGAAATGTATCTTATCAAGTGCATGTGTTTTATCCTTTTCAGCTTCATTCGATTTTAATAGTTTCTCAGCACAGCAAGTAGTGAGTACGATCGTTTCACAATCTAAAAAAATACATTTTTCGGTACAATTAAAGATTAAAGAAAAATTATTGTTTTAAGTCTCTATTTCTGTAGGGTGGTAATTCAACTTACGAGAACGAATGTTTCCAATGATAATTCCACTATTTTTCCAGCTGAAAAATTAATAGGTTTTTTAGATCTTTCGATTAAAATCATCAGTAATCTTTTTGATTTCATGTCATAATTATACCATGGACTTTTAATTATAGCGTCTCCAATTGTTAAACTCTAAAAAAATAAAGTCATTAAATATTCTAATATTATTCCGAGGTATTTTTTTTACTTCTTCAATCACAAGAGTTCCTTGATTACAGTATAAATATAATGAATAAGTCATGGGTAGAAGAAAACTCAATGCGTATATTAATTCCAAATCCAACGATTGTGTCTGAAAAATAAAGGACTTTATGTAAACTATGTTTCAAAAAATGCATTGAACTTTTGTTCTGAACTTTGCCTTAAAAGCTGTATTTTCTGTTCAATAACTTTTCGAAAAATTTAAAAAAATCGGAATGGTTCAGATGGTCCACCTTTATTGGAACAAAATCTCTAATTGTCCCCAACATAGGTTTGTTACCATCTAATAGGTTCATCATACTTAATACATGTATATACTCTATATAACTCAATAGTAACAGTTAGTAATCGCGTACCTTTGAAATATTATATAGACAAATAGAAAGAACCATTGATCCGACCAAAAATTGAGAAAATACTCCGCCTGAATAAATTTCTTCCAATTCTTGAACATACCTAAAATTACAAATTAGATAAAATTAAATTTCACGGTGGATAACTAATTGGGGAGCTCCAGAAACTAAAAAAAGTGTAGGAAGACTGCGAAATAAAACGATGTAAAGGGTATAGCAGGAAAAAAATGGTCAAAATTTTAAAGAATAATAAAAAACAGGCGTATCTATATGGAATAATTTGGAAGAGGCCCAATTTCAGCAGTGGACAATTTCTGCCGGCTGAAAAGAAGAAGAATGTTATGTACTTACGAATAAATAGAATCATAAACTTTGGCGCATTGCGTAATTTTATCATACACTTTCTTTTGAAGCAACTTATCATTAAAAATTTCATCGGAAATGCACAATAGATCTTCTTCAAAATATTTTTCCATATTTTCCAGTTTGTACTTAATAAGTCTAAGCTGACTAGCACAATACAACATTAAACTTGATAGAAGAAAATCTATAGCAAAATGCCCAAAAACTCCATGTGTATAACCTAAAGAATAAAAACAAATTATTAGTTTTAGAATCATTAAAGATGCAATTCTAATTCCCATTTGTATAAACATCACGTATAGTCGACAAAAAAGTAATAACTTACCGATAATAATATACACATTAACGAGAGTATATCGCAAGGTATTATTATAAATATCCATGGGCAGCCAAATTGGTAATTGCAATTTATCGTGAGCAGAAAATATAATGTTTAACAGTAGAGAAGCGGGTGCTGAAGCGGTCAAGATGAAATATAAGATATACTTTATACGATGATCTCGAACAGCTTCATCGATGATGTGCTTGTCTTCATCCACTTGAGTGTTAAAAATGTCATCGTTCCATCGGTTAAGCATTTTTTTGGTTAAATCCGGTGTAACTATTAACGACCAATTTTTGAACACCAAAATAAACAATTCCATGTAGATAAAACTGTTACTCAGCAGAGTAAATCTTTCTTCTGGATCAGCTTTAAAAAGATTAATGTAACCCAGAACGGGCAACAAAATATTGAAGCCTATCATAAGTGCATACGCGAAAAACGTATACAAACTTTTGAAACTTTCCCCGGGTAACAGGCCGTTCACGTGCATGACTAATTCAGAATGTGCGAATGATTTTCTTATAGCGAATTCTTGGTCGGTCATTGTTTAAATGAGCTGGCACAATAGAAATGTTAAGATCTTCGAAATGATGCGACATACAAGTACATTTGTCGACAAGGTCTAGCTAAATGTGGTGTAAATAAAAATTCAGCCGATGTCATCTGCATATTATAACGAATTTTTAATCTACCTATTGGATTATTCCTTAAAATATTCCGACAAACTATCATTTTATACGACTACTAATACGATGTTTCCTTTGATTTTTTCTTTAACCATCAATTTAAAATGCTTCAGAATTTTCAAGTCCTCTAGTAATTGCTACGTAAGCGATGAAAACATTTAGAATATTATTATTTGTGTTCGATTATTCACTTAAATTTGCTTGGCGAGAAAAAAAATGACGACTTATGCACACGTACACTGTTATTTCTATTGTAACAAAAAATGTTCAGGTGCAGTTGGGTAAAATTAAAGAAAATGCCCACATATACTCAAATGAAAGTAGTATTGGATTATTAATGTGGAAAACTGCAGTAGGAATATAAGGTGTACTTTGGGCTCAATTACCACACTTTACGAGTAGTAGGTATTGAATTTTTTTTAATGCGCAATCACTAATGACTATTTGGTACCCACGAAATACAAACTGGGATCGAACGGGTGGAAGCAAACGAAAAACGCCGACGCGTATCTGGACACCGGAATCGACAAGCTCGTGCATTTCTTCATCGCCTCGTACCCTTTGAGCTTCCCGTCCGCCTTACCCACCCTCATCAACTGGCTCATCTAAAATCTTCCGCGAGTAAAACAATGCGATCTATCGGCAAGCGAGTACCTGTAATTTTCTCTGTATGGAATACGCGCCGATTTTGTTAATTGTTAATAATTAAAGGTGTTTTAGGTAGAACTGAATTCTAATATGGTTTCAATTAAGATAATACTAGCATATATGCACCTGCTTAGAGTATTTGTTTAATCGATATTAAAGGGACGATTCGTAGTCTAGTTTTTAAAATACAAAAGTTGTCAGTGTGACATTTAAAAATGATACACTATAAAGGAATAATAGTAAATAGTTCTTAATATTGATCCAATATTTATAATTATCATTATAAAGGTTAAAATTCTATTTTTTCTATTTCAAATCTTGCTATTTATTGAATGATGTTTAAATGCAGACAGAATACAAAAAAAACAATAAAAATAAAATTAAATATGACAAATAAAGGGGATTATAAAAAGTCTTCTTCTTTTTAATTAGAATGAAAATGGTTTATTCTAAAGCCAAGTTTAGATTAGTACTCGAACAATTTTTGCGTTTAATGAATGTCAAATGTCAAACATTCATAAAGAGAAGAAGAAAATAAATAATCTGTAACCTAAAAAGTAAATAAACTTTATTAGTAAATATGGTATTTAAACTTTAGTGTTATTATTATTTATAACGAATAATTGGTAAATTAATATAAGAACAATCGAAAATATGTCTCAGAATTTAGCTACTGTCGTGCGCACGGCGCCCCAACACGACTTGATGAACGAACTGAATTTTTTCCTCAAAGGCGCAACGAAAAAAGAAACTTGCAACCCAATAGACCTCGCAAAATCGTCTTTAATCCTCTTGAAAAGTTTGCCCCCGACGAAAACGGCCGTTTTCGAGTACTTCTGCGAAGTTTTCGATAACGCAGTCAAATGCTACATTCAAGGAATAGAGGTACATAATGCCAGCAGTACAATCATTTTATAAACTTATAATAACATTTTAGACAGAAATCAAAACCGGTAAATTACCACCACCCTCCGAAACGGACGAACTAATTGTATCAGACATTCATACAGTATTATCGAGTTTAATCGCTGACAACCCCGTTGCTTGGGCACCTACTATAAGCACATGGTCTCTGGAATTATTAGGAGAAATTTCATCGAAATACTCGGGAAGAGCCCACTTTTCAACAAGTATGTTAACTCCACTTACTTCCAATTAATTACTTATACGATTTGTTGTAGACTTAAACGAAACTCTTCAATTATGGATGGCTTGCAGATCCACAAGAACTCTAGTTGATATAAACACCAAATGTCTATCAAGTCTGATATACTCCGATACAGAGGCATGTATTAGCGCACTTTTAGGTAACTATTCTAATCAAACACATTTTATATTCCTCATAAAAAACATAAATATTTTCCAGATACATCTATTAAGCATTCGCCTCATTTCGATTGGGTGGTTGCTCACGTGGGAAGCTGTTTTCCTAATACTGTCATAACTAGAGTATTGTCTTGTGGTTTAAAAGATTTTTCTCAGAACAAATCGTACGAACAATGTTGCAATTCTCCTAAACTTAAATCGGTAGTGGGCATACTCGGACACTTGGCTGGCAGCCATGCAGAAGACATCCGGAAAGCTGTTCTAGATATTTATGTTGTTAGTATTCTTCGATTTTTAGTGTAATATGAGTTTGACGATGGTGTTTTTTTAGTGGAGTCTTAGGGAAACTTTAGAAGATACAGATTTGCAAAGGTTACAAAAGAAAGCTACCGTTCCGTATATTTTGCAGTTGGTTTTTTTATCCCCGAAATTGTTGTCTTCGCTTTGCAAGGACATTAAGAGTTTCCGTAAGTATTTCTGTATAAATTATAAATGATTATAAAAACCATTTTTTGTTATTTTAGTTACAATAGATGCCGTTTGTAGATTATATTACTATGTAGGGGATTGGTACAAATATTTTGGAACACCTGAAGCTTTAGAGGTAATTGTTGCATCAAATTATAAAGCATTTTTTAATTAAAATACGTTATTTAGGAACAAGTAACCACTTTAATCTTGCACTGCGACATCGGCGGATTTGAAATTATAAACATACTACTCGAATGTATTTTAACAGACAAGATTAAAGGTAGCAATGAAGTAAAGAACGACATAAAAGAGAAAGCCAAAGATCTACTCAGTAAGTATAAATATATTCTAATTATTTACTGATTTATCCAAATTTTGTATTACTTCAGTGCAAGTTCTCCAAGAAATGGAAGAGTCAATAAGACACGGCAGTGCAGTGAGTCTCATTAACTCGTTCCCGAAGGAACTACCGGAATTGATTAAGATGCTTCTGAGACCGGAAAGTATCGTGCAAAAAACGGCTTTTCAAATCGTCCTATTTCTCGGTGAGCTACTAGTTAAAACTCATAAAAACTATTCAATTACGCTCGACTTTCAGGTAACATCAATACAGCGACATTGGTAACAGTTGTACAAAATTTGTTGAAAACTAGCACGAACGATAGCCATTTGGTTTTGCTGTTGAGAATCCTAACGAGCGACCTCGTCGATAAGACTGTGTACTCGGAGAAAGGAGGCCATTTATCTTTAGCTCTCGAACAGATATTGAATCGGAACATTCAGAAGTTTTGTACGAGCAACGAAGAGAATTCGGATCTTTCGCAAATGTGGAATAATCTTTACAAATTATTACAGTTAGTGCTAATAACTTAACATTTTCAGGGGTGATAAGGTTTTTTTTTTGTTTTAGATGGGAAAAAAGCGGAAAGGTGGCTTTGTTGAATTCCAAAATTATTACACGATCATTGGAAGCGAACCTTCCGAATTTAACTTCACTATTATCCAACGAAGTATTGCATATGCATATTATAGCTGATATATTGGATAGTATGGAAATACCGCAGCCTATTTCATCATATAATCCACCTGTTGGTGTCATATTGAACTTAACACAATCTACTGTAAATTACTTTTTCGCCTGTTGTAAAGACGAAGGTTTGTATCGAATTTATCAAGTAGATAATGTAAATGATTAATTTGTTTTTACAGGAACTGCTATGAAGTTGAAAGGTTTGATGAAAGCTAATAAAATATTGAAGAGATTATGCACGTATTCCAAATTTGCTAAAGTATTGGCTTTGAGGGAATTCCTCGAAAGGGCTTTATTCCAAAGCGACAACGTTTTGTTTGGCGCCAGAAAAAACGACATGAACAACGAAATTGAGAAAATGCTTCTGAAGCAGAACAAAAAAATTGTAAGTTCACAAACGATAACTATTAACTTGTATTAACACAATTTATTTTTTTATTAGAACAAAACCATCCCCCTCACCAAGCATTCTACTGTATTCAACGGAGGAATCATCGGTACTGGTAAACGAAAATCACTTTGTTTCGACGAACTACCGTTTAATACTATCGCCGAAAACACTTCGCATCTTTTGAATGCCATCAAATCCTGTTGCGTCCTTCCCGAAGAAAGTAAATACAACGACATATCATTGGATAGCATGACGTTATTATCGCTATTATTGGTCCAATTCGTCAGTCCTGATCTTATGTACAACGGTCTCCCTTGGCCCGACGAGGACTTCTCGAAGGTACTTTGAGTTCCAATTCTGTACAATTTGTACAATTATTTTTGTTAAAGGTAACAATGGAAAGAGATCTATTCATTAGAAGGATGTTCTCGAACACGCCATTACTTTGGGAATTGTTAAGCTTCGTAGCCGTTTATCGACCAGCTATTTGTTATTGTTCGGTTTTAATCAGAGCTTTAACAGCGACGCTGATCCATCAGTGGAAGAGCATGGGCGAACAAAGCAAGGACGACGATTCCGAAAACTACAAAAATCTAATGGAAACCACCATCAAAGTAATAGACGTCATGGCGTTGGGACAGCTGCTGCCCCCGCCTTTGTCCAGCATCAGGGACATCATACCGGTGCTGAAATGCTACGAGGTAAGATTAGAATTTCGTTTTGTTGAATGATACTTTATTATGAAATCGACCCTAACTTCATATAAGATCCTAGAGTATACAGGGTGTTGTCAATTGGAAATGCACAATTTTAGATCGTGGCGATTTTGAAAGAATGCATTTGGTGCTACATGAGAGACCACATTCCATCTCCGGCTTTATTTGGATGCGATACAAACGGTGTGCATTGGAGGGATCCTATCAACGCCCGACCGTCCGAAATATACACCAATACATTAAGGATAATAATGCAGAGGAACGTCAAGATGCTCGGGCATATGTACGCCCAAATGTTCATTAATATCCCCCAGCACGACTCGTGAGAAATGATTTACACTACGTTTTGATTATTGTATTTAATCAATATTGGTAGTATAAGAAATAATAATTTGTCTAAGTATTTACTATGAACATTTTTTGCTTTTTTCGGCAATACTGATTAAGTGCTTCGCTGTAGCTTTACCCGTTTGCTTTACTAAGGAATAAAATACGCCATCGTGGTTTTGCAATAGCGAGTAAGGCTGGTCGAATTCGACGATTTCGCCGGCGTCCATCACGATGACTTTATCCGAATCCATAATGGTGTGCAGCCTGTGGGCTATGGTGAGTACGGTGCAATTGTGGAACTTTCTCCTGATGGTTTTCTGTATCAAATCGTCGGTGTGCGGATCGACGTTGGCCGTGGCCTCGTCTAATACTAGAATTTTGTTGTTTCTTACTATGGCTCGGGCTAGGCAGAGCAGCTGCCTTTGACCGACGCTGAAGTTCGATCCGCCTTCGGCCATTTTGCTGTCCAGCCCGGACGGTAACTCCTTCACGGCGTGTTTGAGTTCTACTTCCTTTAAGGCGTTCCATAGACTCTATAAATACATAAAATGCAACTTTAAGGTACATTAACATCGAATTACGCGCGTACTTAAGTTTAAAATTTGTCCGCTTGACAAATGACATTGACATTTGATTTCTAATGTAAATAGACACATGACAATGTCATTTGTCAAGCGGAACAAAATTTAAACTTAAGCACGCGCGTAATTGAATGAAAATGCGCCTTAAATATCAATTATATCTAAAATAATCCGGCTTACATCGTCTTGGTACTCGTCGAAGGGATCCAGGTTCTTCCTGAGCGTTCCCGAGAATAATACTGGTTCTTGAGGGATGATCGAAATCGACGATCTGAGTTTATTTAAAGCTATAGTTTTCGTATCGACATCGTCTATGAGAATTTCACCGTCTATAGGCGCTAGTCTAAACAGAGCTTGAATCAAGGACGACTTTCCAGCGCCCGTTCTACCAACTATTCCGATCTTCTCCATTGGTCTTATGATGACGTCCAAATTTTTCAGTACGTACGGATCGTTCGGGGAGTACCTTAAGCTCGTATCGCGGAATTCAATTTGGCCTCTCTCCGGCCAGGCCTCCGCAGGTTCGAAGGTCTTCTCGTCCGTTTCCGGCTTCAAATCGGCGTATTCCTGGACTCGTTCCACCGACGTCATTTGGTTCTCGAACTCGCTCCATTGGCGCATGCCCCACTGGAACATGCCTGTCAGGGCCATCGCTTGGGTCAGAGCCAGTCCCATGTTTCCACCGTAAGTTTCTGCAAAGCAAGAGCTTTATAACAGCTCGAATACATCGGAAATAAACTTACCGCTTTTGACAAACAACAGAGCTAAAATGACCATAGCAACGTAAACTACGCACAAAAAATCCAACCAGAATCCGAACGTCCTGTTGGCTCCGACATAGAGAAAATACGCGGCGCTGTTCAGGTTTTGGTAATTATCAAACTCGCTCTTCAGTATGCTTTGGGCTTTGAAAGCTCTGACGGTGGTGAGGCCTTGCAGGGATGCCGATAGATGAGTGAAAATCGGACTTCTCGCTGAAATTGATCGTGTAGTTTCAGCGAGTGGAAACTGGTAAAATACTTACTAACAGATTCGATCCTCTTTATGTCTCGTGTGGTGTGCACGAAGACTACTTTCATTAAATAAAACAAAACTGCTATTACCAAAGTGGGAATCATAATCCAAACAGTCAAACTACCGATTACCACGCTTATAGATGCAACGTACAAACCAATCTGTAACATTTATTTTAAAATCCACAATTTTATTTGTAATATATACTTACTTGAATAGTGTCCAACATGCACATCGGTAAAGTTTCGTCCAAGGCTCCGATATCCTTGGAAAATCGGTTCAGAATTCTTCCTGATGGGTTTGTATTGAAAAATCTCATCGGGCTGTTGACGATATTAACGAACATTTGGTTATGAAGCTTTGTCGAAGCGTCCAAGCACCATTTGTAGAACGCCAGCGATCTGGACAGTATCAGAATTACTAAAATCACGATTAAAAGCGCGTAATACAGAGCTGTTAAATCGCCGATGAAAATCGGAGTGAACAACCAATCTTCAAATGGATTTTCCGTTTGTGACGTTGCGTTAGATTCTTCAGTGTTATTAGAGTAATTGTTTTGGTTGTTTGTTTGTTGGATATTTACCCTGTAAAATGATGTTTTAAAAATTTTTAACGTTAATTAGTAAAACCTTACCAGAACGTTACGAAATACTCAGACAAACTGTCCAATACTTGGCAAATTATAAAGGCACTTGCTATGACAATTCCTGTGATTTTGTTACCGCCGGCTTTCGCGTAATTCAAATACACCCTACCGGCTATTTTACCAACTCCTTTTTCTTCCTCGTGCAATTCCTGCGCCTCGTAATTCTCGTCGAGTTTTTCCTGACTGGCGAGCTTGACCGATTTCCTCTTAGTCGCCTCCTCTTCCTCTTCTATATCCGCCACAATCTTACTATAATCACTGTTAGAATTTTTCAAATTCGCGTAAGAACCGGACACCTCCACTTTACCGTCTTTGAGCAGATAAATATTTTTTATATTCTTCAAATACTGCAACTGGTGCGTTATCAGTATAACGCATTTTTTGTTGAGATACCCGCAAATGCAGTCTTCGAATAACTGCTTGCCTACGTGAGTATCGACCGCCGATAAGGGATCGTCCAGCAGGTAAATATCGGCTTCTTTGTATACAGCTCTGGCTAGATTCACTCTAGCTTTCTGGCCGCCGCTCAAAGCGACGCCTCGCTCCCCTACCAGCGTCCTGTCTCCGTAGGGCAGCAGCGCGAGGTCCCTCCGAAGGGCGCACACCCTAATCACCTCGTCGTATTTCTTTTGATTGAATTTCTGGCCGAAGAGAATGTTCTGTCTGACCGTTCCGCCGAACAACCAAGCCTCCTGCGAGGCGTACGAGACTATCCCCTCGACTCTAACCGAACCGGACACCAGCTCCAGTTCGTTCATTATGATATGCAGAAGGGTGGTTTTCCCGCTACCCACTGCTCCTACCACAGCCGCGAGTTTTCCCGATGTTACCTCCATGGTTATATCTTGCAGGCTGTTTTCTTGCGAAGTTTTCAACCATTTCGCCGAAGCGTTTTTGATGAAAACGCCCGAATGATTGCCGGTGTTTGTCATTTCTATGTAAGGCGATTTCCCGTTTTCGGTGGATTTTTTTCGGGTGTTTTCGTAATGCACTTCATCGTACATCAGGAAAGTTTTTAATCGCTTCGTCGATATGTACATTTCCGCTGCTTGGGATATAGCGGTAGGGAAGAAATTGGTGATGGTGTAGAGCAACCTGTAGTAGGATGTTACCGTATAAGCGTAGGTAGCAGTTAGCGAATTGCCGGTTAGAACGTACACCAAAATGCTAGCTGCTATGGCGCAACGATTCAACATCAGGATGCAGGACATTAATATAGCTCGTATTACTGAGGTGTATCGAATATATTTCATTTCTTTCCTGAAAAATAGCTACTGTAGTGAGTTTTAGACGCATGGTGCAATTGGTACTTACATTCTAACAAACTCCACTAATTTAGCGAAAGGGTATTCCCAGGTATACATCTTGATTACTTGTATTCCAGCTATGATTTCGTTCATGAGTCTTACTCTTTCGTCAGTTCTTATAGCTGTTCCTAACCTGTACTGGGAGGTCTTCTTCCCTAGCCAAGCTGAAATCGGTTGAAATTCAATTGAACAAAATCGATTTTATTGATTAAATACTTACATTGGAAGGGGATGAATAAAAGCAGTAGTATAGCTCCGGATAATGCCGTCCAACCGACGTTTCTATAGAGCAAGTACATAACAACAAGAGTTTCCGTTGGAGCTATGTAAATGTTGTGGAAAAATAATATACCGATGTCGAACCTGCCCACGTCGTTTGATAATAAATTCACCATCTGTCCGATGGTCGTTTCCACCAAAGCTGATTTGCTGAGCCTTAAAAGATAAATTAACTATAATTTTTGATGTTAAGTACCAAATAGATTTGTTTACCTTAGAGATTTTCGGTATACTAATGAGCTGCAGGACAATCTCAATTTCATACCTAGTTGTAAGAGCATTAAACTGAAATTGTGGCCTAAATTGCAAGCGATGAATGATGTTAGAATGATTAAAGCTGCGTAAAAGTAAACTTCGTTTTTGTCTTCATTGGCTCGATTGGCTTCGTAAACTTTTATCAGGCTGGTGATAAGGAAGGGCTGCGAAATCCTGCAAGAGATGTGTTCCAGGTAAAAATATAAATATTTATAAATTCGTTTTACTCTATTCAATAAATAATATTTTTAGTTTTACGATGCATTCGTAATTTAATAATAATTTACTATTTATAAACATTTTCCTAAAACCAATTTATTTTATCTAATTTATTTTCATGTGAATTTTATGAAAAGTGCTCATTCAATAAATTTGTTTTGTTATTCTAATATTCTGCATTTCAGAATAAAATAATGAATCAATATAACTTATTTATTGTTAGTTATGTACAAACAATGTTAGGTAAACACGTTATCATGCAATTATGTAAGGATTGCATTTCCATTTAAAACATAAAAAAATGTATAAAACCGATAGCGTATTCACCTTATAATATTTAAACACTCTTATTTTATACAAAATAAAATAAATGCAAATTTAATAACTCTTACACACGTTTATCTACCTTATAACTTCCGCCATTATTACCACAATATTGATTAACACAACTTCTGTAAAAAATACGTTCACTATCGCTTTTATTAAGGAAGGATTTTTGGATTTTTTCGTCTGTTTTATCCATTGTTGTTCCAATTTATCGCCTAGTACATTGGAATCGTGGGAGCGTCGATGCTCGTAGAGATCGTTTTCCGTTAAATTTTTTCTAAAACCTTTCACGAATAAAGGTAACAACCAGCTGGAAAATTGTATTAATTATCATATAGTGCAAGCATTTAATTGTGATAATGATTTAATCTTACCAAAATAGTACTGAAGAAAAAATATTACTGTTATCTAGAGGGTTCTTCTTTCTTTTTGTCTTATTTGCTTTGTAGTCGTCCATTGTGCTTTGATCTGAAAATTAATGATAAAATTAAACCAAGGAAAATATATTTTAACTCATCATTACACGAATTAACTGTATTTGAAGCAGCAGGATAAGGACCTCTAAGTGTACCTACTTATTCCTCGATACTTACTGAGTGCTGCAAAGTATCTGAAATACCAAAAGACAGAGGTTCATATACACGTTCTAACAGTAAATGTATGTTTAAATAAATTTACATAATTTATTAGATGATGCAGAAAAAATGTTTTGTTACTATTTTTTTCCACTTGCTTTGTTAACTGAAAATACAATAATAAATATGAATATTTTCAAGCGTCTCAAGTACCCTTTTTTTGGACTAAGTACACACTTGTATAGATATATATTATAAAATATATCTTATCTATTAATTAATTAGAATTAAATTACTTTTTATATGAACACGATAAGGTGTTAGACGAAGGTCTTAGACAGGATTCGGCGATATTAGCAAATTTAAATAAAAATAATGTAACAATTACTATTTTACAAATAAAATATCGAACCTGAAAATGTGAGTGAGAATGTAATCACAATGGAAATTTACACTATAAATTATACAAAGCAAATTCTGCTAACAAGCGAACCAACTCTTCACAGAATCAGCTGATACTAACGCAAAACAATCAAGAAAACCCACATTTTAAAATTGTACATAATTGGCTTGAGTACAACGCACATTATCTCGATGTTCTGTAAAAAGTCTGCTATTAGCAAGTGCTGATTAACGAACATATATTGTTCAATGGCTTCCAGTGACGGCTCCATTTATCGATATCAGATCCAATGAGTTTATTACAACAATATCAAAAGGAAGTAAATCCGGACCTGTTTCAATTCACTTTCACGGAGATTAAAAACGAATGTATTCAAGTTCAATTCGCTTGAAGCATATCAATTATTTACACTATTTACAGTAACACAGCAACAATATTTGCATACATATGCGCGTCTGATATGGGAGTATAATGGAAATTAATGAGTTATTTCATTAATCTTGATCTTTCTGATCATCACGAGCCAGAGAACCAGAGTACAAGTACCAGAGAACAATAGAAACGTGCAGGCTAGAGTTTAGTACTCGCAAAATATTTTTTCGGTAATAGGAACCACCGTTGCAAAATCTGCCACTTTATTTGAGCAAATTTTCAGGTAGTAAGCTCACAACGGCATCCCAAAATTTTCTCTCTACTTTTATACACATAAATTTCTCCCTACTTTTATGAACAAAATTTTCTCCCTACTTTTATAGACAAAATTTTCTCTCTACTTTTATACACAATATTTTCTCCCTACTTTTATGTGCGAAATTTTCTCTCTATTAGCAAAATTTTCTCTCTACTTTTATGAACAGTATTTTCTTGGCCTTACCTTAGAATGTTGTTACATGTTTACAAACAAAATATTTTAATTTTTATTAATAAACATTGAAAATCGCGTATATCGATTAATTATTATCACTGTTTAAAATTATCATAAATGGAAACATTAGGTATTAGAAATAGCAAAATCTGAAATAAAATCGATTACATGACATTCAGATTGGATACAAATAACTGTAAACTGTTGGCAGAAAGTAGAACAATAGGTAATTTACCAGCAGGAGTGGACTTTTCAGATTTAGCATTGAATTCAATTTTGAAATAGAAATTAGGAAAATTTTTGTAATTTAGTTTAAATACAAATTCATTCATCTGCATCCTCTCTTGCTAGGGTATAAATCTTTTTGTTACTCAATCTTTTGGTGTATTTTCCTATTACTGTGTTGCTTGGATCTTAGCTATATTTAACTACCATTTTTGAAAATTCCAAGTATTCCACCTATTTAAAATATTAGACCCGAGTGCCAACGGAACAGAACAATCTTCAATCCGCTAACGCAAAGTTTCACGTTTGTGCGCATCGCGGCGCTATCAGTTCCAAATCTAAATGCCCAATATATTGCGCAAGACCTAACACTTTATAATAAGCTATTATCTGCGTATATGAGCAATTTCCCATTCATGCAAAAAAATCATGATAATCAAAAACTCTATAACAAACATTGCATCATACATCCTTGTAATCGAGTGATCGAAAACTGGGATTTTCTCGATTCCGCGTGACTGATAGAAATCAATAAGTTGATTTTCGTCTGGACTCAGTCTCACAATGCTGTGATAACAGCAGGACATAGACTCTTATAATAGCGAGGTGAGTCAAGTCAAACGTGTTACGTATTTGTTACTCAACAAGAAACCGACGTTGTCACGCTGTGAGTAAATAACGGGAAAACGTTTTGTTTCGCCATGGCTTTTCCGGTAGCCTTCGCCAATTTGGATTTAAATTGACAACATTGCCAGGAGTTAATCTGCGTACTCCAATGCTTGAACCTCGCACGCACACCTATCGGGCTGTCCTGTCCTATTGAATAGCCAATTCAATTTGAATGAACAGTGGTATAGTGGAGCACGTGAAAAGTGCGCATTCGGCCCGCCTAAATTCGATAGTGTCGCAAATAAAATTTTTCGAATTGGAAATGAATTAAATTGGTGAGTTTCGATTTCGATTATTTTTTAGTTTGCGATCTTTTCGTTGTAAATAACTGTGTAGGTTAATATAGATATTATTATCGATTTGTTCGGTTTTAAATTTATCCGCAGAGTGAACTTGAACACTTATTAGAAAAATTCTCTTATCTGAAAGGCTAATTCTATTTTAATTCGAGAAGGGAAAATTGGGAAACACTAGCCAAGTTCGTGGTTTTATTTGGTGCCATGGTCGCTGCTATAAATGCTTTAAAACTCTACTTTTATGTAACAAAATGTTAGTTTAGGTAACTAATTTTATACCACGTGCAAACTTTGCTACTAAATATTTTATAAAAATTTGGTAGTATTGAAAAATTAATATTCTATGATTAATTAATTAAAAAAGTTCTAGGATTTTTAGGATATGAAAATCTGACAGCTCCAATTAATTTTATTAATTATTTCAATTATAATAAATTTTAAATTAATATTCATGAAATTAGAATGTATTTCTATATCTACTACTATTTAGTAATCTATAATATTTGAAGGTTCCTGTTAATATAGTAATTTATTTTAACCTTGTGTTTGTGTGTGTGTATGATTCTCTGAAATTCGGCTATACAGGCTGTCCCAGAAAAAATCACCGCAAAGAATCTGTTTTGGAAAAAATTATTAATTTTCATAAACAATATTTGATCAAAGATCTTGTGACATTTTTTTTACTTTTTCCTTGGGACACTCTGTATTATCGAAAGATCATTATCTGCGTTAATTATGTATAGGTATAGATTTACGAAGATAATAGATTTAAATAGTGGTTTTAGGATTAGGTAAGCGTGATGCATAATTTAAAAGTGGTAATTTTTTCCATTAAATGGTTCTGTTTTATATGAATATTAAATATCGCATAAACTTTTATTGATTGTAAAAATTTTTTACTCAGCAAAGATAAAGGCGAGTGATAAAATACCTACGTGGAGATAATTTAAGTAGTCTATTGTATCTACATATCTATTATATTTTAAAAATTACATTATTATGTTATATTGTGCCAAAAAACCATCAAATTAGTTATTTATAGAAATTTCCAATATTTAGAATTTTTCGAGTAAGTAAATTAAGGAAAATTTATTATTTACGGATTAAATATATATTATAGAAATTAGATTTACATCATCTGCATGCACATAAATGGAAATATAAACGAAAATGTTATCAGTAGATACATTAGGCTATTGTTACAAATAAGTGATTATTAGTAAAACTCAAAATACAAATAGCTGTGGATCAGGTTATTTTATCTCTTTAATAACAAATTGATAGACATAAAATTACCATTGCAGAAAGAAGAATAAATTTACATTTCAAATGCTGTGCTTGTCATTCTAATATTTACCATTATGTTTACGATTGTATGAAATTTTTCTGTGCTAAATTCATTAATGTTTAAGATAGGTTAAGATGACGTCCAAATTCAAGAAAATCGCCACCGCCGGATTGGCAGGCACTATAGGAGCAGGAATAGCAGCATATCTTCTAATGAAAAACGATGGAAAGCAAAACGTAAGTACAAAAATTCTATCTACACATATTCACAATTCTAACGTAGATAATAAAATTCTGTAACCGCATGAAAAATGTGATAATAGTTTATAATATCTAAAAATATTTTTTTCAGTGGCCAACGACAGTTAACGCAAAGGAACTCTCCCAGAAGCTAAAAAAAGGTTTGCCCAGCAGAGACGATCAAATTAAATCCCTTCAAACCGAAGACTTCGATATCCTTATCATCGGCGGTGGTGCCACAGGAGCAGGATGCGCCTTAGACGCCGCCACGCGAGGTACCAATCACCCTAAATCCTACAATTTACCATCCCATTTTCCACATAAATTTTCACATTTAAATCGAATTTTCAGGCTTGAAAACTGCACTCATCGAGTCCGACGACTTCGCCAGCGGCACCTCCAGCCGCAGCACCAAGTTAATCCACGGAGGCGTCCGGTACCTTCAAAAGGCCATCATGCAGTTCGATTACGAACAATATCGGATGGTACAAGAGGCTCTGTATGAACGAGCTGTAATGTTGAACCAAGCACCCCACTTGGCGCATGCTTTACCCATCATGCTACCAGTCTACAAGTAAGAATTTAGTCAATGGAGAAGACCACACTTCAAAATAGTGTGTCCTAAGAGGGCGATTGATGAAATTTTTATTTTTTTCTGCGCCCAAATAAGACCGCAATGATTTTTTAAAGTTTAACCAAGCGTTGTATTTATCGGAAAATCTGACAAATGACAGTTTGATTTTTGTTCGTTTGTTGTATTCTTCATTAGGTGTGTTCGAAGCGACTGATTTATGATTGGTCAACAAGCATTTACGTCATACTCGGAAATTTTAAATTTCGAAGGGCTATATCTTTTTAATTATAACACATTTTGAGCAACTGAAAACGGTTTTGAGCTCTAATAAATCATTTCTAATCGTATCTTTTGCCGAAATCCGCATATCTCACATCGTGGTCTTCTCCATTGGTAATAATTGTATCAAGTTAGTAGTGCCCAATCAGTATAATTTTTGTAAGAACAGTACTAGTAATATCAAAGGTAAATATGTTAATTTTTTTTAGATGGTGGCAAGTGCCATATTATTGGGCAGGTATCAAAGCTTACGATCTTATAGCCGGTAGACAGACGGTAAAAACCTCATATTTCCTATCGAAAAACAACGCATTAGAACTCTTCCCTATGCTAAGAGGCGACAAACTAGTAGGCGGAATAGTATATTACGATGGCAAGTACTACTTCTCGAACATTCCGCGAGTTGGAATTTAAATCGAAAATTTCAGGACAACAGGACGACGCCAGAATGAACCTGGCTATAGCGTTAACGGCCACTTTACACGGTGCTACAATCGCCAATCACGTAACGGTAACGGGTCTGCTGAAGGATAAAAATGACGACGGAGAGCAAATATGCGGCGTTTGCGTTAAGGACGAATTGACGGGAAAGACGTGGAATATTCCAGCGAAGTGTGTTATCAACGCCACCGGGCCATTTACGGATAGCATCAGGAAAATGGACGATCCGAACGTGAAGGAAATTTGCGCTCCAAGCAGCGGTGTACATATCACATTACCTGGTACTTATGATATTTAATTTTATAATAGATCTCACGTGTAGATTTAATGTGATAATTTATCATTTACACGGATTATTTATGCGACGATTTAAAAACTAGGAGCATTTTGAAAAGCCAGATTCACACCCAAAAAAGTTACTAGAAAATTTGCAAGGCTGCAAATTTAAATACACATCTTTTATTTAAATAACATTGAATGTATACTCACAATAATTATATTAAAAGAAGGACCTAATTAACAAATCACCTAAATACGACAAATTAAATACTTCACATTTCTAAAACATAACCTCAAAAAGGTGGTAAAAAAGAATAATGAACTTGAACAGCGTGAACTTGACTGCTAGTCATTAACCAATAAACAAACGCGAGTGTTGCCAACTTAAATTCAAATCGCTCCTCCTAGTTTTTAAATAGAGTATAGAACAGTGTACGATTCAGCTTAATTATTTTATGTATAGGTTACTATAGTCCGGAGCAAATGGGTCTTTTGGATCCGGACACCAGCGATGGTAGAGTTATATTCTTTTTGCCATGGCAACGACACACGATTGCCGGAACGACTGATTTACCTTGTAAAGTAACGCATAATCCCAAACCGACTGAGGATGAAATCATGTTCATTTTGGAAGAGGTCAAAAACTATCTAAATCCAGACGTTGAAGGTAATCGCCTCGCCAGCACATTCTTCATTTATAAATTCCACGTATTTTTCCAGTTCGTAGAGGCGACGTTTTATCCGCCTGGAGCGGAATAAGACCGTTAGTATCCGACCCGAACAAACCCGATACGCAATCGTTAGCCAGAAATCACATAGTGCACGTCAGCAAGTCCGGCTTAGTGACGATAGCGGGCGGGAAATGGACCACCTACCGGCACATGGCCAGCGAAACAATAGACGCGGCCGTTAAAAGTAACCACCCGCAACCGCGAACCAGCTAAAAATTACCAATACACCAATTTACAGGCGCCAATTTGAAGCCGTTCGTCAACCGGTCTCAAACGGATAAATTGAAGCTGATCGGCGCGCAGGGCTGGACGCCCACCATGTACATTCGACTAGTGCAGGATTTCGGTTTGGAATGCGAAGTCGCCCAACACCTAGCCAAATCTTACGGCGACAAAGCCTTCGCCGTCGCCAAAATGGCATCTCTAACAGGTATGTTAGAGGAACCAGGAACCTCTATCCAAAATCCCACATGTTGACTAAAAATTCGGAAATACTTTCTCCTCATCATCATCTTCCTCATCGTCATCTTCATCCTCAAATATCCTCATTCCTCCGAAATTTAATTAGAATGATTCTGTAGGGAAACGATGGCCGATCATCGGTAAAAAAATCCACCCGGAATTCCCCTACATCGACGCCGAAATCAGATACGGCGTCAAAGAATACGCGATGACGGCCATCGATATGATAGCCAGAAGAGTTCGCTTGGCGTTCCTCAACGTCCAGGCCGCTCAGGAGGCGCTGCCCGAGATAGTGAACATCATGGCGGAGGAATTGAATTGGTCGGCGGGTAAAGAACGCGATCGAGAAGTGAAATTTCACGATGCTATTAAATGTGGTTGTTTCAGCGGAGAAAACTAAGCAGTTGAATTTGGCGATGGAGTTCCTGCAAAACGAAATGGGCCAGAACGTGAACAGGGCCAGCAGGGATAAGATACCGATCAATTTGACGAAGGAGGAGATACAATTGTACATAAAACGATTCCAATATATCGACAAAGATAGGAAAGGTTATGTCTCGATAAACGATATTAGAAGAAGTCTTAAGGTACCTTTAAAACTGCATTTCATGAGATATAAGTTAAGATATAAATTCGCATTTTCTCTAGATTATTCTCTACATTATTCTCAAAGGACCAGAATTTGTTTTTTATTATATTCCAGCTAGGTATATCATTTATACGTTGAATTATCCGCATTGCAATTTCAGACTTTAGGTATTAAATTGACCGATGACGAAATCCATTCCCTTCTCTCGGACATCAACGCATCGTTTAACGGCGTGCTCGATATGGCGGATTATTTGCAAGTAAGTGCAGTCGGACATGTTTAAAGGTGTGATCGTTTTTACAGGATTCGGGCGAAAAGGAGGTTAGCGGCGAAGAACTGCACGATATTCTAAAAGAAATCGATACGAATATGAACGGACAAGTCGAACTTGACGAATATTTACAGGTTTGACTTTTGTGTTTGGCGCCTGTGATTTTTTTTTATTTTTTTTTTTGCCTTGACCGCATGCTTAAGCACGTACAAGATGTTTATTAGTGTAGTTCCCTCGGAATCAGTATGTAGAGTACTTCTTATTTGTTTGCTTATAAGCACTTTCTTCTATTTTTGCGAGTAGGATTTAGCACAAATTTATAATCGACTCGAACAGTTGCATTGTGATATGTAAAAATTTGAGCTTTTTAAGTTACTCAATAATGGTCAAGTATTCCTCGAAAACTTTGGTGTTTTTTACTTGTTAATAGTCTTCTGTTTTGTTAATCTTATACGTGTTTTTTTGCTGTATTCTTCGCTTTGTTTTTTTTTGTTTGTACTAATTTGCATATGTTACTTAACCCATTAATTCCAAGGTGATGGAAGATTTAATTAACGTTTAATTCCAATAAGCCTTTGACTCGTACTCAAACTAGTCAGTAACGGAATAATTTCAATTACTGCGCCTTTATTGATTAGCACACGAACAGATCAAGTCCTTATTGGAATCGAAATTTAATTAAACGTAATTGTTACTAAAGAGCAACACCCTAAATTGAATGTTTGTGATTTAATTTATTCATCTGTGTCCTAAATGATCGAATTGAATTTCAAATTAATCGATGCATTGGTGACAGTCGAAACTAGTTCATTCGTCTTCGGAAAACGACAAAATTTCGTCATGTATAAATAATCCCCTATCGATCAAACATCGTTAAAATTGGGCCAAACATTTACGTGTAAAATTAACTAAGGCGATTGTTTTAACTCGGTGTTGACGAGAACAAGTTTATGTAGTGTAGAAAATTGATGAGAAATTTCGGTTCTACCGCCATCGGTATAACTGAAAAAAAAAAAATTGTGAGTGCGTTCGTTGTAATAGTATCGATCAAACTTAGTTGTAAAACGGCGTCAAAACCGCGAAGAAAGTGACACAAACAATGTGCTGTGTGATTTTTAACAAAGCAACAAACACTGTTTAGTGAACGAATTATTAAACAAAATAAGTCAACGGCATAAATGACGAGAAAAAGACGAAAACTCGCTCGTTTGGTTACGTGAAGCTAGTTACAAGCCCGTTTCGCGTTAAAACATTGTCAAACATGTGACGTATGTACCCGATTTAATTCGAACAGTGTCACGAAAAATCGAGCGAAACGCACCACCGCAAAGATGACTCTCGAAGACATGCCGTCGGTGCGCAAAAACATCCAGCCGAAGTCCTCCTCCAAAGACAACATAGCGCTGGACGTGCAGAAGAACTTCTCGGGCAGCATGTCGAAGCTGAACAAGAACGAATACACGTTCGTCAGCAGCCCCAGGGCCATGTACCAAAACAGGAAGATGATGAAAGGCGGCGAGGCCCCCTACGCGAACGTCATGTTCGAACGGCGCGTGTTCAGAGGCACGAACTTCGGCGCCACCAGGGACCACGAGGGCGACGGCGAATCGGCCGCCGCCAAGGCGGCCGAGGCCCAGCGCAGGGCCCGAGTGAGAGCCAAAGCGGCCAAGAATTTGGCTAGGTTGAGGCTCGGCTCTCCGCCGGCCGTCGCCGACAGGAAGCACGAGCGCGTCCAAACCGAGAACTACCTGGAGGAGATCTTCGTCAGTCCGCCGGTGAGCGATATTTGCACCCAGACGGATTTGTTCCTGGACAGGCCGGTGTCGCCTTTCTATGTCCCTGCGAAGACGGGAGCGGACGTCGAAACGCAGATCTACCCCGGCGATTTGTTCGACTTCGACATGGAAGTGCAACCGATCCTGGAGATATTGGTCGGGAAGACCATCGAGCAAAGCCTGCTGGAGGTGCTGGAAGAGGAGGAACTGGCCGCGCTCAGGGAACAACAGCGCAAGTTCTTGGAGAAGCGGGCCGTCGAAACAGCCGAAGCCATACGATTGGAGGAGCGCGAGAAGCGCTTGGTGCTGGAGAAGGAGCGACGCATCGAGCAATTGGAGGAGGGTCTGAAGTCGCAGAAGGAGATGGAGGAGAGAATCGCGGCCGCTGTGTTGATGCAAGGCTACATGGCGGACCTTCTGCCTTCGGTGCTCGAAGGATTGGAATCCGACGGGTATCTGATGAACAACATAAAGCAAGACCTCGAGGGCGCGTTCATGCCTTGGTTGGTCAAAGAGGTCACCACGGAATTGCAGGAAATGGTTAGCAGTCGCGACATTCTGTGCGATATTGTGAGGGAGATACTCGAACAACGTTCGGAGATTTACGAAACGTACAACAAGGACATCGAAGTTGTGTCGACCACCGTCGGAGGCAGCGAGGACGGTTACGATATGATATTGCAGGATCATTTGCGATTGAGGCAGGAAATCGACGATCTGGCCAAGTCCAAAGTGTCCGAACCGAATACAGAACCGTACGTTTAGTAGTTTGTGATGTAAATATGCATATTTTAAACACTCCTGATGAAATTTCTGTACAAATTTGGAAGCGGAAAGAAATTTAATTTGTAGTTGGATATCTACATTTTGAATTGTTTATGGGACATTAGGTATTAAATTTATCAGTATTATATGCAGTTGAATCAGTAAATTTGGTAGTGAATGTAGTTATCAATGATGTATACTTTTAAATTTTAGTAGATATATTTTTCCTATATAATAAGATTAAATTTTAATTCGTAAAATAATTACAAATACAGATCCCGATTAACGTATTATTTGATAATATTTTTAAATTTTCTTTAAATTGTATTAAAGTATCAAAAAGTAGATATCTTATATCGGTTATTTGTACATAATGTAACAATTGTTTGTAAAAATTTATACGTGTTGGGCAAATAAAATATTTTATCCAGTTTCATTTTTCCTATTTTATTTTCTCGAAATGTAATTATTTTTTTCTTATGAATTTATCTACGTTTTCAGATGATGTCGGCTATTAAATCGGGCCACGTAACTTATTCGAGATTCGCCAGGATGGCCGAATTGGAAGAAATCAAGCAAGAGAAGGAAATGCTGAAGAAGAAAGTATCAGTAGAGCGCAGCGGAGGAGGTTTATAAAACGAAATAACGGTGCTAATAAAAGTACAATTTTCTCTTACATAATTTACGGATAACCTCGATATTATATGATTTGATCCCGGCATTTCGCCGTCCTACAATAATTGACGTAGATAATTATTTTATTTTTAAGCGAATAGGATATTTTGTATATAAAGTTAATAATTCGCTCCTCCGCTCCGTGGCGAATTATCATTTGTGGATAAATTGTTATTTAAAATCAAAACATTGTAAATTTCACTGTGGATATATTTTTGTTGAAATGTTATGTTTTAAATAAAATAGTAATGTTTTAATTCCCGATTTTTATTTTTCCCCAACGGAACAGCTGTTTCTGAAATATTGTTTTTAGTCAAACAACTGCCTGTTTTAAATTTCTTAAGAGAGAAGAAGTCAAATTTGATATGTCTATTTGAAGTCTATTCGTATGTAACGAATAAATGTTTGTGATGTTTTAAAAATTGTATAGTCTCTCTGAAACGTGCAATATGTGCATTGTGTGTACATAATTTTTTTAAAATGTTTGTTAAAATATGAATTCGAAATTTAAGAAAATCACCGCCGCCGGATTGGCGGGCGTGGTAGGAGCAGCAACAACTACTTATTTTCTACTAAGAAACAATGAGAGACCAAATGTAAGTTACTACCCCTTTCTTTAATCAATTTACAGTACCTTAATTAATGATTTTTGGACTTAATATCGTTGATATTTCATCAGTGGCCGGTTAGTGTCAAAGCGCAGAACCCTCCAGTAAATCTTAAAAAGGAGCTCCCCAGCCGAAGCGAGCAAATAAAATCGCTTAAATCTGACCAATTCGACATAATTGTAATAGGAGGAGGCGCTACGGGCGCTGGATGCGCATTAGATGCTGCTACAAGGGGTATACAAAAACCGCAAAACATTCTATACATCGAATTAATTCCGTATTATTCGAAGGTTTGAAAACAGCCCTCATCGAAGCCAACGATTTTTCCAGCGGTACTTCCAGTCGCAGTACCAAACTAATACACGGAGGGCTCTTTTACCTTAAAGCAGCTGTGCAAGGTTTAGACAGAGAATGCTTTGAAATGCTTCAGATAAGTTTGAACGAACGAACAGTCATGCTAAATCAAGCCCCGTATTTAGCGGGCCCCTTGGCTGTCATGTTACCCCTATATAGGTAACAATTAACGCTCTATATTACGCATTTATTACTAAATGTTTAAAAGTATCGTTTTTATAGGTGGTGGCAAGTTTTTTACTATTGGTTTGGCATGAAAATGTTTGATATTATGTCCGGCAAACATAGCATCGAATCATCATACTATGTATCGAAGAGTAACGCTTTAAAACTCTTCCCTATGTTAAAATCAGATAATTTAGTCGGAGGAATAGTATACTACGACGGTAATTATCCTATAATCTTCCCGTTTCTTCCAATCCATTCGCTCGGATTTTCAGGTCAGCACGACGATTCCAGAATGAACTTGGCGATCGTGATGACCGCCACTTTATCGGGCGCCACGATCGCGAATCACATCACCATGACCGGTCTCGTGAAGAGCAACGACGCGGTGAGCGGCGTCAGCGTCAGAGACGAATTGACCGGGGAAACGTGGGACATTCGCGGGAAGTGCGTCGTCAACGCCACGGGAGCTTTCATCGATACCATTCGAAAAATGGACGATCCGAAGGCGAAGGATCTCGGCGTCGTCAATTGCGGCGTGCACCTCACGTTGCCAGGTACGTTGCGGACGAGTAAAATCGTCGTTGGTATAAAATACGAGTGGTTGTAAGGGTACTACGGTTCCGAGCAAATGGGGCTCCTCGATCCGAACATCACCGCTGGAATCGCCATCCTCGTACCGTGGCAGGGCCACACTATAGTCGGATCGGCTGATTCACCGTGCGATGTGAGCTACAGCCCCATGCCGACTGATAACGACATCGATGTATTGTTGAAATACGTGAACCATTACTTCAGCTCTTCTATCAAAGGTGACAACCCAAGATTTTCGCATTTGCTTCCCGCCTAGCTTCTTCTTAGGTTGCTTTTATCTATTAACTAGTTTTAAGTTCGCAAGGCTGACGTATTATCTGCGTGGAACGGAGTCAGGGGGCTGGTGTGGAATCCGAAGAAACCGGGGAATATAGCGTGGAAACACGTGATAGAGATCAGCAAATCCGGTTTATTGACGATAGGAGGCGGTAGTTGGACAACCTACAGGGTTAGCGCTTGCGATACAATAGATACTGCGATTAAATGTAAGCGAAAGAATTGTATTTGATAAATTGTTAGAAGAGTAATTACGCTTTTAAAGGTATGCATTTGAAACCATCCTGCAATCAATGCATAACGGACAAACTTAAGCTGGTCGGCTCCGAGAAATGGGAACCTACTACTTACCTGCGATTGGTACAAGAATTCGGCATGGAAGTTGATGTTGCAAAACATTTATCAAATACTTATGGAGACAAAGCTTTTGTCATTGCAAACATGGCAAGCCCTACAGGTATTGAATTCCTCACCAAATTCTGCAAACGTCCCTTGTTCCTAAAACTACAAGGTTTTTTCTAGGCAAGCGATGGCCGGTTGTGGGTAGGAGAATTCATCCCGAATATCCATACATAGAAGCCGAAGTAAAATACGGAATTAAAGAATACGCGGTAACTGCTGTGGATATGATAGCCAGAAGAACGCGACTGGCCTTTCTTAACGCGCACGCAGCCCAGGAGGCTTTGTCCCTAATAGTTGATATCATGGGGCAGGAGTTGTCTTGGTCGAATGGTAAGCTTGCTAGTAAGATTTCCCCCCGATCGGTCGAAAATATTTCGTTTGATTATGTTCTAGCTGAAAAAGAAAAACAATGCAATATAGCAGCGGAGTTCCTTCAAACCGAAATGGGCAAAAAATTAAACGACACTACTAAGACATAAAAAACCAATACCTGTCAATTTATAGAATTCTCGTCCACATTTGTCATAACAATTTGTCTTATATTGATGAAATAAAGTCTTTTGAGTATACTCGGCACAGTTTACTACCTGTTTTCAGCATGCATTAACTTGTCACTTGACAATAATTCCAAAATGTTCATTACAATACATTTATTGGAAACAATTAACAAATTCTAATTAGTTTTTAGTGTCTTAAATTTCTAAAATTCACTATTCAACTAAGACCTCAATCGGACCTTTAGTCTTTCCACTTTCCGCTATGTCCTTTAGAAATCTCGCGGTGGCCTTTCCGGTTTGCATTACCAAAGAACTGAACAGTCCGGTTTCGTTTTCTAACAACTTCCAGGGCCGATCGAATTCGACCGCTCTACCGGCTTCCATCACCAAAACCTTATCCGAATCCATGATCGTATGGAGTCTGTGGGCTATAGTCAGGACGGTACAATTGGCGAATTTCTTCCTTATAGTGTGCTGTATCAAACTGTCGGTGTGAGGATCCACGTTGGCGGTGGCTTCGTCTAGGATGAGTATTTTATTGTTTCTTATTATAGCCCTGGCAAGGCAAACAAGCTGTCGCTGTCCTACGCTAAAATTGGAACCGCCTTCGGCCATTTTACTGTCCAGACCCGATTGGAGTTCGTCCACGGTGTGTTTGAGTTCAACTTCTTTGAGCGCGTTCCAAAGTACCTTGTTTAGATTAATGATTAATTAGTAAATAAATCGGTGAAGTAAGACAAGGTTACCTCGTCGGTATACTCGTCGAAAGGATCCAAATTCTTCCTCAACGTCCCGGAAAAAAGCACCGGCTCTTGAGGTATAATCGAGATATTCGACCTGACTCTATTCAACGGCATAGTCTTCGTATCGATGCCGTCTATGAGAATAGCGCCTTCGATGGGAGCCAACCGGAATAGAGCTTGGATCAGCGACGATTTCCCGGCGCCCGTTCTACCGACGATTCCCACCTTCTCGTTCGGCTCCGCCGTGAAATTGACATCCTTGAGCACCCGGGGCTCCTCCGGTGAATATCGCAGCGTCACGTTTCTGAACTCCACTCGACCTTTCTCCGGCCACGTTTCCTCCGGCTCCTTCGCCTCGTCGTCCACCTCCCGCTTCATATTGGCGTACTCCTCGACCCTTTCCACCGACGTCATTTGGTTCTCGAATTCGCTCCACTGGCGCATCCCCCATTGGAACATCCCCGTGAGGGCGGTGGTTTGCGTCAACGCCAAGCCAATATTGCCACCGAAGGTTTCTGAAAATTAACGAAGTTCTTCTAGTTTGGGTGGAAGAGGAACGGTTTCGACGTACCGCTTTTGATGAAGATTAACGTGATGAACACCAGTGCTATGTAGATGATGCAAACAAAATCCAACCAAAAGCCGAAGGTTCTGTTAGCGGCGACGTAGAGGAAAAAAGCGGCGCTGTTGATGTTTTGGTAGTTGTCGAATTCTTTTTTCACTATTTCTTGAGCCTTGAAAGCCCTTATGGTGGTTAGGCCTTGCAGGGAAGCGGCGATGTGAGTAAAAATTGGACTTCTCGCTGAAAACGAATAGGCGAACGTACAGCAAATAGTAATTCTTGATTCCCACAAAGTCCCAATCTTACTTACTCACAGATTCAATTCTTTTGATATCCCTGCTGGTACGAACAAATACGATTTTCATCAAATAAAATAAAATCGCGATAAAAACCGTTGGGACAATTATCCATATGGTTAAACTTCCAATAACCAAAGTTATAGCCGCCACGTAAATACCTATCTAAAACGATGAAAAAACAAATCATCATTTTCCTACTTTTCTAGAAATATCCTCATTAATCCAGCTTTTACCTGTATTGTATCTAACAGAGCCATAGGCAAACTTTCATCCAAAGTTCCAATATCTTTGGAGAACCTGTTTAGAATTCTACCGGAGGGATTCGTGTGAAAAAACCTCATCGGTCCGTAAATGATGTTATTAAACATTCTGCTGTGAAGCTTTGTGGACGCTTCCAAGCACCAGCTAAAGAAAGCTAATGATCTACAAAGGACGATAACGACCAGCATAAACACTAAAATACCATAATACAACGAGACTAAATCACTATTGAATATAGAAGAGAACCACCGGTCTTTGTAGGGTACTGATTGCGATTTCCAATTGGTCGGTTGACTTTTTTGTGAATTGTTCGCTCGCGCTTCCATTTGTTGGATGTTTACCCTAAACAATAACTAAAACTAGTTACAAGAACCAGTAAAAGGTGTAAAAAACGTACCAAATTGTTACATAATATTCCGAGCAACTTTCCAAAATCTGGCTCAAGATGAAGGCAAAAATCAAACCGATACCGGTGAACGCGCTACCGCCCGCTCTAATGTAGTTCCCGTAGACTTTCCTGCTAATTTTACCCGTCCGCATCTCTTCTTTCCGCATCTCCTGCATGGTGAAGTTGCTCGTCGGCTCGTCCCTGGCGACGGAAATGCGCGACCGTTGCCTGACCACCTCCTCCTCCTCGTCGACGTCCGTCAACAATTTACAGTAGTCGGTGTTCGCCCGCCTGAGGTCCGAATACGAACCGGCCGCTTGGATTTTCCCGTCGTTCAGCAACAGTATGCGCTTCACCTTCTTCAGATACTGCAACTGGTGCGTGATGAGCACCACGCACTTCGAACCGAGGTAATCGCAAATGCAATCGTCGAACAGCTGCTTGCCCACGTGAGCGTCGACCGCCGACAGCGGATCGTCCAGCAGGTAGATGTCCGCCTCCTTGTAGACGGCCCTCGCCAGGTTGATGCGCGCCCGCTGGCCGCCGCTCAGCGCGTCGCCGCGCTCTCCCACCGACGTCCTGTCGCCGTGCGGGAACAGCGCGAAGTCCCGTTGCAGGGCGCACACGCGCACCACCTCGTCGTACTTCGTCTGATCGAACTTCTGTCCGAACAGGATGTTCTGTCTGACGCTGCCGCCGAACAGCCAAGGTTCCTGCGAAGCGTAGGACACCACGCCGTCGACGCTGACGGAGCCGTCGACCAATTCCAGTTCCTTCATGATGATGTAGAGCAAGGTGGTCTTGCCGCTGCCGACCGGTCCCACCACCGCTATCATATTACCGGCCTTTACGTCGACGGTGATGTTGTCGAGATTGTTGTCCGGCACGCACTTCAGCCATTTGGCGGAGGCGTTTTTGATGCGGATGCTCGAGATCATTTCTTTGATGTTCATCTCGGCGAAGGGGGAATTGGCCGACGGGACGTTGTTGGCGTCGGGCAAGTTCGGCGAGCCGGGCAGCAAGTACATGTGCTCGCTGAGCAGGCTGGTGGTTATCTTCGGCTCGAGCTGGATCTCGTCGTAGCAGAGGAACGTTTGGATTCTCTTGATGGAGATGTAGATTTCGGCCGCTTGGGATACGGCGGTGGGGAAGAAGTTGGTGACGTTGTTCAGCAGGCGGTAGTAGGAGGTGACGGTGTAAGCGTAGGCGGCTGTTAGGGGGTGATTGGTGAGGACGAAGACCAGGATGCATATGGCTATAGCGCATCGATTGAGCGTCAGGATGCACGACATTAAAATCGCTCGTATTAGGGATATGTAATGGATGTATTCCATTTCTTTCCTTGAATACAAAAAAACTGGTGAACGTTGGAAACGAAAGTGAAAAGGAACTTACGTTCTTACAAATTCCACTAACTTTGCGAAAGGGTATTCCCAGGTGTACATTTTAATCACCTGTATTCCTGCTATGATTTCGTTCATGAGCCGTATTCTTTCGTCGGTTCTCAATGCAGTTTGCAGTCTATATTGAGATGTTTTTTTACCCAACCATGCTAAAAATTGAGAAAGATTTCAAAGTTAACACTGGTCCAGACTTCATTGCTATCTTTTCTAATATCATAATCGTCATATTGAACACAGTTTCCACGATTTTTCAGGAGCATATATAAAGATAATAGGATCTTTTTAATACATACATTGAACAGGTATAGACAATAACAACAGAACAGCTCCAGAAAGTGCAGTCCAACCAACTCCTGTATAGAGTAAATACATGACTAACGTGGTCTCGATTGGGCCGATATACAAATTATGAGCGAAATAAACGGCGTAATCGAATCTACCGACGTCGTTCGACAGCAAATTCACCATTTGCCCAATCGTCGTTTCGGCTACAGCTGATTTGCTTAATCTTCAAATAACTTTAGTTAAAATAATCCGAAACTTGGGCGAATTAAAAATACCTTACCTTAAGGCTTTTCTATAAATTAACGAGCAAGAAGCCACCCTGAGTTTCATGCCTAATTGCATGAGACCCAAGTTAAAGTTGTGGCTCGTGCACGAATTTAGAAATGACGTCAAAACTATTATGCAAGCGTAGAGATAGATCTCGTTTTTATCTTCTTCGATCTTGTTCCTTTCGTATACTCTTATTAATTTCGTTATGAGGAACGGTTGTGACATCCTGCAATCAGAAGCTTGTAGACTGTATAGTAAAATCCATAGTTGGATGATCTACCTAATAATTTCGTGGATTATCACTACTAAATTGAACAACACCAATTCGAGAATGAACACGTTCGCAATGGCTTTTATTAGCGATGGATTGTCGCCTTTGGCCACCTGTTTTTCCCATTCGGCTTCTAGTTTTCGGCCGAGCATTTCAGAATCGTGACTACGTCTGTGCTCGTAAATGTCCTCTTCGCTCAGATCGGTTTTGTAACCTTTCACAAAAAACGGCAATAACCAACTGTAAACCAATTTTATCCATGAGATTTTGAGATTTTGAAAATACTACAGGCTTGTTTGCTGTGATAAGAATTTTAGAATGGAGCAGGAGATTATACAACAAATGGTACGAGATAATTATTTGGTTATGAAACAAAACTTGTGGATACCAGAAATATGTCAAAGTGTAAGAGAATTCATAGGATAGGACTTAAAAATTCATATTTTTTATGTTGAATAAAGGTATTTTAATATTTGAAAAACGTTTTTATATCTATATCTATACATTGATACAGATAGGTAAATTTCTACCAAATAAACAAGCCTATAAAAACCTCTAAGCAGCTTACGATTAACGAACAATTAAATTACATAATTCCAACGATTTGCAATTAAAAACGATTACGTACCAAAAAAATATCGAGGAAAGCAAATTCGCGTTGTCTAGTGGGTTTTTCTTTCGTTCGGGATAATCCTCTTTAAATTCGTCCATTTCAACTGGCGTAAATTGAAACAAATAATTTAACAACCACATGCATGTTGTGATGAGCGAACATTTCTTTCCCAAATGAAGCATCGAACGGATCGGTAGAACTTTCATTAACGTCTCTGTCATCTCTTGTCAAACTTTTTGTAAGCTCCATTGTTATTGTTCCATTTCCCTTGCAAGGGAACTTTTCTGAGCTAATTTTTCAGCGCTGAAGCAGTTGATGGAAAAGAGGAAAGAACCAGTTTTAAGACTGAATTTTAAGAACTGATTTCCTTCGGAATAATTATCTGTAAAATACTGTAGAATTGTTTAGTGTTATAGAGCATCAGCAAATTTCGGGAGTCCTAGCTGGTATCTGGATGAAAAATAAGGCTATGCAAATAGTGTCTTTATTTTCTTAAAATTTATATCAATGGATTCGTAACAAAAATATTATAAAAAAAAACACTACAAAAAGTGTATTAAGCTCATAACAGTCATATAGACAGTGATACCGAAACCGGTGACCCAGCTTATTCCTCTAGCGGGTTGTGGTAGAGGAACCACAGCGTATACAATGGTGTGCGCTACTCTGGCTACAGTGTATACCAAAAACAGCATTTTCGCCAAATAGACTGATGGATTGGTGATGGTATACAAAACACCGGCGACGAAAAATAGAGGAATGTTTTCGATGTCGTTCAAATGGGCTCTTCTTACACGCTCAACGTTGTCGTCCAATTTGGGTTTAACGTTGAATCCTTTGGCGTCTTCGACATTGGCGAAGGCCTGAAATAGTAACGAAAATGCACAATTAGAAGTAAATTGTAACGCAAATTTGCTCATTATTAGTACAAAGTTCAGATAATGAAGGTAAAAATGCTCTAATTATCGCAATAATTGCATCCTAATGATGTCTATTTGAACAGTAAAAAATAGGAGAGGAAGAAGAAAACTTGTAAACTCGTATACCAATCCTTGAAAATTAAGTACTTCCAATTTTTAGAATAAGTAAACTAACCTTGTGCTTCATCCTTTTAGATCCAGTTAGGGGCGACATAAACAGCATTTTCAACACCAAAATGCAGGAGTAAAATAAAAACGAACGGAAAACTTCATTTTCCAATGATAAAACCGATGGTATTGCTTGCGCCATTTTAACTAGATAACGTTTTCACTCGATAAACTCCGGCGTTAAATGAAAACAAAATGACTTGCTACTCTACCTACACCTTATTATATATTTATTATTAACCTTCAAACTTATCGTAGTATTTAGTCAATTAACAAAACGCAACCTTCGTACGTTCAAGACCAAAGTATAAGTATAGAACCGAAATACCAAGTCATCACGCAACTCATCAATATTTTCAGGTTATATTTAAACTAGTATGTAACGGGATCTTCTCCATTGAAATGATAATTTAATTACATAATAGCTTGATATGTATGGTGTGTGGTGTATATAGTAGTTTCGGTGAATAAAAAATCCACAAATTTTATGGAATTAAGTCTATACAAAATACACCAATTTGGAGAATTGTTAATAGAATCGATGAAACTAAAACAAATCGCTGCAAAAGTAGCTCTTTTTTATGCACAAAGATACACTTTTAATTCTTATATAAATAAAAATTTTTAATCAAAATTTTAATCACAATGCTAAAATCACCTATATCGTTAATAATACAACTAAGCAGTTTGGCTTCTTTTGTTAAAGTTGTCTTCGGCCATGGCGTACAAATTGGCCGCCATCGTGCTGCCTGTTTTCCTAACCAAACCGTGGAAAACGCCTTTCTTCTCCAACAGATTGAACGGGTGATCGAACTCCACGGCTTGGCCGGCGTCCATCACCAGCACTCTGTCGGAATCCATTATCGTCTGTAGCCTGTGGGCTATGGTCAGTACCGTGCAACCGGCGAATTTCTCCCTGATGGTGTTCTGGATGATCGAGTCAGTCATAGGGTCGATGTTGGCCGTCGCCTCGTCCATCACTAGAATTTTATTTTTCCTAATTATAGCTCTGGCCAAGCAGACCAGCTGTCTTTGACCGACGCTGAAGTTCGAACCGCCTTCGGCCATTTTGCTGTCCAATCCGGCCGGTAGCTCTTCTACTGCGTGTTTCAGTTCCACTTCGTCCAAAGCGTTCCACAGGACCTGTTCAAATCAACTCTTTAATAAAACACCTAGGAGAATGTTAGATAGTACGTACGTCGTCTTTATGTTCATCGAAAGGATCCAAATTCTTTCGAAGAGTACCGGAGAACAAAACGGGTTCTTGGGGTATAATCGATAACCTCGATCTGAGTACGTCCAATTTAACGTTTTTAGTATCGATCCCGTCTATTAGTATCCCGCCATCGGTGTTAGCTAACCTGAACAGCGCCTGAATCAAGGAACTTTTCCCCGCGCCAGTTCTACCTACGATTCCTATCTTCTCTTTAGAATTAATCGTGAAATTCAGGTTTTTAAGTACGTGAGGATCGTCGGAGGAATACTTCAAGAACAATTTTCTGAATTCGATTTTGCCCAAACTCGGCCAGTTCGGCCGGAGGTCTTTATTGTCGGCGTCTTTTTCCGTGGGTAAGTCCGAGTACTCTTGCACTCTTTCCACGGACGTCATTTGGTTCTCCAGCTCGCTCCATTGCCGCATGCCCCACTGGAACATTCCGGATAAGGTGATGGCTTGGGTTAAAGACAGTCCTACGTTGCCTCCAAAAGATTCTACAAACATTTAAAAGTAAATTTACAAGAACACAATTGGTTATTTTGCGCACCATTTTGAATGAATAGTATGCTGACGACGACTAAACCTATCAATCCCACGCAATGGAGATCCAACCAAAAACCGAACGCTCTGTTTGCTGTTAAAAACATGAAATACGCCGAAGTGTAGGCGTTTTGGAAATGATCGAATTCTTTGGTCAATATTCGCTCAGCGTTGAAAGCTCTGATAGTCGTCAGACCTTGCAAAGATGCCGCCAAGTGAGTAAAAATTGGACTGCGAGCTGGAAAAAATTGGTATAATAACCTCGTTTAAGTAGAATTGGTTTAAGAATTCAGTTATTTCGTCTACTTACTTACAGCTTCGACTCGCTTGATTTGTCGACTGGAGGCCAAGAAGGCTTTCCTGATGAAATAGAATATCACAATAACCACGGCAGCAGGTAGCAGAATCCAAGGATTCACCGTTGCTATTACGAATATTGTTCCCGTTGCTATCAGCCCAATCTAAAACAATATTGCAATTAGCAATTTGTAATTTACCACACGTTATATAAAACTCTTACCCCGACGGTATCGATCATACAATTGGGCAACGTTTCGTCCAAAGCCCCTATATCTTTGGAAAATCTATTCAACACCCTGCCGATGGGGTTCGTGTTGAAGAACAACATCGGCGAATAGACGATCTTGTTGAACATCGCGTTGTGCAACTTCGTCGAAGCCGTCAGGCAGTACCTGAAGTACCACACCGATCTGGTGACGGCCAGAATCGTGGTGCCCACGATGAGTACGCTGAAAATGAGCAGAGCGTTGTTGTCGCTCAGAATGTCGCTCCAAAAAACCATGTCAGCATCGATGGATTCGGACGTGCTGTTCGAAATCGATCCGTTTAACGTTTCATTAGAGGCGATAATCGACGATTGGTTGTTCTCGACTCTCCATTGTTCTATGTTAACCCTGGAAAGATTAAATTGTACAATTATCCATCATAGAATTAAGTACAAGCTCTTCATTGAAGAGTAGTATTGTAGGCATTTTTGGCAATGGAATATAGGACAGAAAGATATATTGGAGAGAAATTGTAACAAATAAAAAATAACTTACCATTTTGTGAGGAAAATATCCGACACACTCCCGAAAATTTGCGCAGCGGTAAACGTACAAAACAACGCCGTGGTCTTGAGAATACCACCACCGTATTTGAAATATTTCTTATACACTTTCCCGTCAATCTTCCCGGTGAATCGATCTTCCCTCTTCATTTCCACCACCTCCTCTTCGGCGAGCTCCTCCATGTCGGACTGGACGGATTCGGTCCTGGAGAACTTCCTGTTGTCCTGCTTCTTGAACTCCTCCTCGGAGGAGGCGAGCAGCTTGGTGAAGGCGCTGTCCGATTTCTTCAGCGCTTGATACGTGCCGGACTCCTTGATAACGCCGTCTTCGAGCAGGTAAATGCAATTCGCCGGCCGCAGGTACTGCAATTGGTGCGTCACCAGCACCACGCACTTGTCCTTCAGGTAGCCGGTGATGCAATCTTTGAAGAGCTGCTTGCCGACGTGCGTGTCCACGGCGGATAGGGGATCGTCTAATAGATAAATATCCGATTCTTTGTACACGGCTCTGGCCAGGTTGACTCTGGCTCGTTGGCCCCCGCTCAGCGCTACTCCTCTTTCTCCGACTAACGTCCGATCGCCGTGCGGCAAAAGCGAGAGATCTCTTTCCAGGGCGCAGACTTTGATGGTTTCCGCGTAGCGGTTTTCGTCGTAGGGGTTGCCGAACAGGATGTTTTGTCTGACGCTGCCGCCGAATAGCCAGGGTTCCTGGGAAGCGTACGACACGGATCCGGTGACTTGTACGTCGCCTTCGAGCGGAAGCAGTTCCTTTAAAATGACGTGCAAAAGGCTGCTTTTCCCGCCGCCGACGGGGCCCACGATGGCTATCAATTGGTTGGATTCGGCGTCGAAATTCACGCCTTGCAGGGTGTTTTCCGGCAGGGATCGTATCCATTTCACCGACACGTTCTTGAGTTTGATTTTGGCGTCCTCTTTTTTGGGTTTTTCGCTGCTTCCGTTGATCAATTTAGGCGTGATCTTGGCGGGGTCCTTGTCCAATTCCTCGTACGAAAGGAACTTCTGTACTCTGGATATCGATACTCTGGTCTCCGCTAATTGAGTTATGCCTTGGGGGAATTGCTGCGTAACGGATACCCTGAGGAAGCCGTAGAACGAAGCTACTGTGTAAGCGAAGGAAGCGGTGAGTTGGTTGCCTGTCAGGACGTAGGCCAGGACGCATAAAAATACCGCGTTTCGGCTCATCGTCAGATTACAGGAAAGCATTATGGATCTGATTGTAGACGTGTGGTATATTTCATACATTTCTTTTCTAAAATAATGAAATAACAAGTAAGAGGCAAGTCGGTGTTATATGCACTAAGTACTTACTGTCTAACATATTCTACTAATTTAGCGAAGGGTTTTTCCCAGGTGTACATTTTGATAACTTGTATGCCGGATATAATCTCGTTCATTAATCTAACTCGCTCGTCCGTTCGCAGTGCAGTTTTCAATCTATATTGCGATGTTAGTTTTGCCATGTACACTAAAATGTAATAATTTACCACCTTGGACCAGGAAGATATAACTGAATACTTACTCTGGAATGGTATAAATGATAGGAAGAAGAAGCAGCCGACTAGACCACAAGGTCCGACGTACCAATATAAAACGATCATAACTATAACAGTTTCAGTCGGTGCCAGCCACAAAGTGTGTATATGCTGGGCTGTAAAATCGAATCTCCCTACATCGTTGGACAGTAAATTCACCATTTGTCCAACCGTCGTTTCTGCTAAGGAACTTTTGCCTAATAATATAATATTTAAATAAAATAAATGTGTGCTATACAGGAAATATCTTACTTAATTTTAAAGCTTTTCTGTATATCAAAGCGCATACACCCACTCTAATTTTCATTCCTAGAGTCAACACTCTCATTTGATAATTGTGAACAGATGTAACTTGAGTAAGAGCCACTATGACTATGAGAAAGGCACTAACGTATATATCTGTTTTATTAACATCTTTAGAGTCTTTTTCGAAGAAAGTTACCAGCCTGGAGATGAGTAGTGGTTGTATTATCCTGTAAATATGTAGGGAGTAAATATGGAATTGATTAAAGAGAATATATCTTACTTTATTATATCGGTAAAAGCGTTGTATACGCCGTACACGAGAATTTCGTATTTGAAAACGCTAAAAATGGCTTTCATCAAAGAAGGTTTCGATTTTTTCTGTTCTTTTTCCCAGGATTCCTGCAGGACGTCGGCCAGATATTCGGATTTTTGGGGATTGCTCGTTTGGTACATGTCATCTTCGGTCAATTCGCGTTTTAGTCCTTTGGAGAGATAACCCGGGAACCAGCTGGAATTAGGAAAACATTATAAATTTGAATAACAAAATAGTTAACTTACCAAAAGAATATTTGAGAAAAAATATTAATCCTCTCCAACGGATGGGGTTTCCTTGAGAGTTCTGCTTTGACTTCTTCCATGTTCTATATCATTCTATGTTCCTGAAAATAAATCTCTTCACTTTTAATTATTGAAAAATCAAATTACAATTGTAAACGTGTTAATATTAAACGATTAAATTCGACTTTTAATCAACTCTCTAGTACTAATAAGTGGGTTCATTTGCAATCATTCAATCATTATTTAATAATCTTGTGATTAAAATATTTATCCAAATTTCCCACAAGTGTCTTGTGATACTTAAATCCTAAAATACCTATTAAAGTGAAGGCAGCAAAAATAAGAAATTTATTTTAATAAAAGAAAACTAATGACAAGAGAAGAATCTAAAAATAAGAAGAAGAATGCCAAATATTTACAAGCTGAAGTTAAATATTAATGTGGCCAACTAAATGATCATTATTTAACTTACTGATCTTTGATTAATTCACGTTATAGTGTTTGAACTCAATTCGTATCCATTTGTTCGTAAGTTTCAGCGATTTGTTCTGAAAAATCCGGTGTCATTTGATGTGAAAAATTTGAAAAAACTGAAATTTTTGACAACGATGTATTCATAACCTTCGAAAAACTGTCTTAGTTATAATTATTGTCATGACAACATTAATTCACCACACAACTTTTCACCAGTTCTCGAACTAGTCAATGCTGTTCTATTTTTGTGCAATGATAACAATAATTTTCTATTATCTAGTTACTAGTTTATGTAATGATCGAACGTTCATTAGTTCCAAATACCTTACAAATTATTGAAGATAAAGTTAATAAAAATATCAGCTGTTAATCAAATCATTTTGGATTGCATGCAGGAGGTTAACAAACAACGTTCTTTCGAATAACAATTAAATTTATTTCGTAATTATTATAATACAAATAATAATAAAATAGCATTAGTTTGGACCTTATTTAAACTATACTATTAAGGAAACTTATTAATATTTCAAAAAATAATTTGTTCAAAGATAAAACATTTTAGCACTAATTGTTTGAAAAATAAAAATAGCATTTTTTAATTTGTACTTACATTTCTTAAGTCCACGTTCAACACAAATGCACCTGCTTACCTTATAGTCATTTGCTTTATATTTTAAAAGTATTTGATGATTGAATGACCTTCCTGAAACTCTTTTGTGTCACTTACATGCGTTTTCACGCGTATCTACCTAAGTAAAGTAATGTTCGATTTGATTTAACAAAAAAAATAAAGATAAACTTTCGCTATTGTTTAGCTCATTAAATAGCAGCAGATAAATTTGTATAGCATTATTTAAAAATGTTTGTAGAATGTGCTCGCTAATTTATCATATCATCGAGGATTGAATCGAGGATGTGTAATAATAATATCAAGGACACGTTGGATTGGAAATTAACATTTTGATTTCAACTGTTTGGATCAAAATATGCTACTTACTTATGTAATATGTAATATTATGTAATAATTTTGTATTTGTTAATAATTGAATTTTAGTTTTATACCATACCCAACAGAAAATACTCCTTAAAGACCAAAGAGCTTGAATATTTAAAAAAAGATTTGAAATTCAACTTCAGGATGCACTTAAATTGCTTTACTCGCTAAAGTTTTTAAAGTTTATATTATTGGTAAAAATAACAGTATGTAAATTGTGATAAATTTGTTATTTGCTAAATTTTGAACAAAAGAATAAAACGCAAATATGTATTTTGCAATCAGTGTGTATTTTTTGAAACATTGTTAAAAAATGTTGTTTAATTAATCTCGTATTAATTTCATTATATTCAAAATGTAGGAATGTACTATGTAATCTTTTCTATATACAGAAAGATAAAAATTTCCATTCAATTTGAATATTTCCTATCTTTCAATATCAAATGAGCTGATTAAATGGAGAATATTCGTGTTCTTTCAAGCACAGGGCGTCTCGTAGAATACTGATACATATTTTACCAGCACATTTACATTACAAATGCTCCTCTAATATCTAAATTTTTGTAAAAATCTGGAAATATGTTTCTTAACATATTCATTCATCCTAAAATATCTGCGCTTTGATTCATCTATTTAACAGAAAGAATGGACATTATATGATGATATTTTCACCAATACTACTGATGACTTTCCTCAAATCTAGGACACCACAAAAAAGATCCCTATCTGATTCAATCAAGATAAACTTCAAAACATTTCTTCTACATTTGGGAGAAAATTAGAAAGTACCTACTCGTGTAAAAAATAAAAACACATGTACCTACATGAAATTAATATCTTTATTTTAACAAATATAATGTTTACAAGCAGCGCATTAGCAAGCAACGTGCATTGGGCAACGTGTCCGCGTTCATCGCCACCGAGTTGCGATAATCCAAATGAGATATCGAATCGAAAATATTTTTAAACGCTGCGAGTATGCGTAGAAACATTGATAAAATACTCACATGCAGGAAAGCAGGAATTTCCTAACCTCTTCGGACCGAATTCGTCGTGGAAAAACAGTCGGAACTTGATCGCGAATTCGTGACAGAAACGCGATTAAACATGGATAGAACCGTTCGGTATCTCGGCTACCTGAGTACCTTTATCGTACTGGAGTAGCTGCTGATTTAAAGCCACTCGAGTTGCTCGTTCAGGATGCTAAAATTTACTGGATACGTATTTTTGTATGTAGGTTCGCAAATAATTCTAGTCCGAGCCTTGCATTTCACTCATTGACGTCACTTGTACATTTTTTTGTTGATAAAGAGACAATCGTTCGAGTCTGGTTCTATAGGCAAAAGCCTCTTGTAGATTTCACGTAGATAGGACGTGTTACTATTAAAATCATACAGTAAATATGCAGTGTTGGCTTATAATTACTTTCAATTAAGCTGATGTAGCGGTTCCAAAGTTAATTGAATGTAGCAAGAAAATGTGAGGATAATAAAAAAAACAATTTGGCGTTTAATTAAGGGTTTATTCAGTGTGATTTTTTTAATATAATAAGATAAAAAATGTTTGCTTAAGAGATCAATTTTATTTGGTTAAATTATAAATATGGGTGACCAGACAAAAGACAAGAGGATAGGCCAGCTCAAAGTTTCAAGTCTCTATAGCTTCTGTTAATGAGCTTTTTTCCTGAGAATAATACAGCAAATTTGTAGCACTTTAGTAGAGACAAATATTGCACCTTATCCATTTAAGAATATAAAATATCAGTGATAAATATAAGCAAAATAAAACATTACTAAAATAATACAGAAGTCATAAATTAGGTAATATATTTGTCCCTACCGAACTACTAGCGTTGCTGGTAAAAAAATTTTTCGAACTTAAAAAAAGGGCTCACATCTTGCAACGCTATTTAAACACAATTTACATTCAAAAATTCTCCCCAACGGACGTTGTAATGGACAATTTCTTCATGTTCAGATCGTAGGTCTGCACTGAAGGACAGGCCTGCCATTCATTCGTCGCCGCTGCTTCAGCTAAACTCATCCGTTTCGCGGATGGTTCGTTGTCCTGTTGCTCATCGACGGCACAAAAGTGCGGGAGATTGACCCTCAACAAGAATCTGCAAACCAATTATGAACCAAACGAACCGAAATTCGTAGGTTTCTACTTACATGATGGCAAGACCGGAGATCACGTTAAAACCGAAGGATACGAAATTGAACAAACCGATAAAGGAATCGATGGTTGCGTTGTAAACGAGCGGGTAAAGGACGTTTGATAGCATATTCACGAGACTGCTTATTACGCTTATTAGTGCTAATATTTTGCCCATTTCTTCTGGGGAAACCATCTTCGCTAGAACCATTGTTAACATGAGCATCGGGAAACTGTCGAAGAAATTTGCCACGTAAGCTGGTAATAAAAGATAGTTTCTTATTAATATGGCATCAAAATAGAGTTAATTAAGAAAGCGAATCCTTACCGGCGTAAATATAATAGTCGTTGGTGGCGAATCCTCGCAGAAGATTCCCAACCAAGCGCATAATAATCCCCAAGATGACCAACCACATGTCCTTGATATGTAGAAATTTGTGCAGAACATAGGTCACGAATAAATTGCCGAATATTCCTCCGAAACTGACTGCGCTTTGTACCAGAGTGATTTTCGTCAAGGTCCATTGTAACTTTGAGGCTCTCAGGTATAGAGTGAATACAGACATTTCGCCCATAGCCAAGCCGTTGAGTACATGAATGCATATCAACCAAAATAGGTAGAATCTCGCGTTGTTTTTCCGTTTTCTGATAGTGTATTTTATAATATCTTTTACGTTTATGGAATTCATAATCTCTTCTATCGAAAATGACTGCAAAATTTAATTTAAAGTTTGGTTGGCAGTTTTTGGGACACAACTAGATTTTTTATACTAACCTTCTTTTCTTCCTTCAAAGATTCTGGTATAAAAAAAAACACATACACAGAGGCTAGTGTGTTTAAAGTTAAGCCTATGAGATAAATAGTTTGATAGCTGGTAGCATAGAATATGTACGATGATACTAGATTAGCTATAGCTGACGACACGCTACTTACTGCTCCAAATACTGTTAATCTGAAATTATTGGGTAAATTACATACATTTGAATTTTAAATGAGACATGATCTTTTATAATTTGGGAGCTTCCTTAATGGGATAAAAATATTTGAATTAAAATGCGTACCAAAATATCTTATCTATGACATTATTGCAACTGAACCAACGTAAATAATACTCCACTTGTAACAAGTAAAAAAATAGATGTACTTAAGGCTTCTACTAATCATTCAAAGTTGTTCATTTTAAGTGAAATTGGGATCTGAGATAAAATGATTAAATTTTTTAGAAGTTCGAAATTGAAAGATCTGATTTAATAGAAAATTAATTAGATATACGTAAATTATTTGAGGAGAAAAATGTTTACCTGTTAGGGGCCTCAAAATTCGAATAATTCCACATTTTTTTTAATATTCCTTTCATATTCTAGCGCTAATAACTTAAGGAAACTTTCTCACCTAACTATTCTGTTTTTTTCTGTAGTCACGTCGATGAGATGAGCATTATTAATGATCATTAAAGCCCCAAATCCTCCAGTCAACATCGACGGTATGGAACCCATAGTGAACCACCATGGCGACAAATCTTTGAAATGTATTATTATCACATTAACTGCTTGGTTCATCAACGCACCTGCATGAAAATAATAGAAATTTCAATTAAAGGACAATCCGGAGGTGAGTAATACAAGAGTAAGAAATATCTTCAGTAACAGGTTTACCTACAAAACAGGCAATCATAAAAGGTCTTCGTCCGAACTTATCAGACCAAGTTCCTAAGAACAAGCAAAATATCATAGGCAAGAAGGTATTAATAACGTTGTTAGCCATATTAATTTGATTAACAGTCGGTTGTACTTTCGGTTCCAGCACTTTGGTAATATTGTTGATGTTCTTTCCGAGTTGTGCACAATCTGATTTGTTGTACTGAAGTATAACGTAGCATGTTCGATAAACGAAGAGATTCGTCATGATTGGAGCTGAAAATAATACTTAATTAATTGTCTTGTTGGGAGAAAAATTGGTAATTTTACCTTGCAATATGAAGCTAAACAGCATCAGCATCATCGGTATTTCGATGGTGAAATAATTGTACCAAGCCATAATTAATTATTTTCGATACTAACAGCCTCGAATACGACTGGGAATATACACGAGTATATGAGAATATGAGAGTAGACAGTAGGAATTTTAGATAAACTGATAGAAAAATAATAGTATTGGTCCCCTATCAGATTTTTTAAGATTCGTTGATTACTAATTATCTGCATAAATGCCTGCATATTTGAGATTAGCGTAATTAAAATGCTGGCCTAATTAAATTTATTCATAGGGACTACTTGCAGTGAGGCCCCTACCCAGTGTGCCCTACCTTAGTTTTTAGTTTTTTTTTTTTGGTAGTGAGTAGAGAAAAAAGAACGATATTGGGTGGAAATTCAAACAATATTTCAAATTACAATTGCGTGTAATTTTACATTAATAGTATACAATAAATAAATTAATATCAGTCAAAAATCACATTTAATAGAAAACGAGATACAAACTCAAGAGATCAATAATAAACAGCAAAGTCCACAGCCAAAACTTGTTCTAAAATTATATGTTAATTCTAGTAAATTATTGTAGCCTAGCGCAATTTATTTTAGCAAGTTTCATTGTATCAAAATACAATCAAATTAATTGCAAAATCCGAACTCAATAAAGGAATTAGGAATAACATGATTTTTTATTACCTATATAAATAATTTAATAGAATTATAGAAAGCCTATATTCAAAACCTAGGAATTATTTAAAACTCTAATAAATAAGTTATAAAAAAGTGTTGGCTGTACATTAACTATAATTTAAAAATGTTATAGGCATTAGAAGTCGTCGAATTGTAGAGATCTTATTCCTAAATTATTCTACCATTAATTCATATAAAGAGTTACATTTAAAAAGTACATATTTAACAAAAAAAATATTTATAAATCACAATATTTGGGCTTATTCGATTAAACAGTCCCGTTGTAAAAAGGTTTAGATAGTTATTAGAGATTCAAATTTAAAAGGGTGAATACCAATACACACTTAACAGCAACAATATTGTTATGTACAGCCTTCTTTGTTACACCCTGTATAGTTTAATCAGGAACTCTACTACTAGCAATTTGTAAATGTATACATTTAGTGATAGGCATTTCACATAGCAACATTAAGAATTTTTTAAATAAGCTAAATGTATATTAATAGGTAAAGTACTAAAAATATACATCTTTAGATATACTGAGAACAAATATTTGATGAAGATTAGGAAAAGTTATGAAATTGGTAATTACTCTGCTCTATAACATTTAAAATTCGATTAGATTACTAATAATTGTACAAACTAGCTACAAGTGAATAAAATAGATTTTTCAATGTAACATCTTCGATATTTTTATGTTATGCTTAGATCGTACTGCATTACCAATTGATTGTATTTTCCCCTGTTTTCGTTTTTGTGAGTTCCATTTGCTAGCGGAGACCGAGCTTCTTTCGGAGGAAGAGGAAAACAGCACCACAATATGAAGGCTACAAAAGCCACTAAAGTTCCTACGAGCAACAGCAAATCTTCTACAGTCTAAAAACATAATAAATAAATTTTTATGAATTAGTAATTCGGGAAATACATACAGATTCGCCTCCTACGGCATTATTAAGAAGGTAAAGAAAATCCTCGATAGGACTGAACATCACGTAAGTAGGCTGATTCGTATCCATTATAAGCAATTTAGATTATTTAAGGCAAATTTAAGCAAATTATTTATGTCTAACTAAAATTAATTTATTGAACATGTAAAACATTTTATTTAATATTGACATTTGCTGACATTGACAGTTAAACTTAAATCTCCTTCTTATTCTTCTTCTTATTTTTAAGTTGACATGTTACATAAAGTACGCTTCACAATAACGAATTTTTTGACGTAAGACTCTGTATACTGCCGTGTTATTGGTGGATATTTATTACACGCGACATATTATTAAAATTTGCCTGACTCTTAACATCCCCACTTGACTCTGTTAATTTCATTTTATTCCGTTGTTTATCCGTCCGAGCTGCTTTTGCTTCGAGTTATAGCGGTTATTTGTGTGCTTGGTTTTACGGAGTAGTGATCGTGGTTGTGAATTTTATTCAGTTGGTTAACCTGGGGGGTTGTGATTATTTTTTTGCGTGGTGAATTGTATTGGTAATATTGGTGTGAGTGATAAACATTAAAGATGGCGAAATGTCACATTGTAAACGAAACTCTCGTGTTTTTACTTGTTATTTTTGGAATATCCACTAGTCTCGGAACAAAATGTAAGTATTTTAAGTCGTTTCTACTAACGTAACGTGTTCTATATTTCGAAAGTGGTCTAAAAATAGCCGGATGTTCTCGGATACTGTATTCGCAGGTTTTACTACCTGTTGCTTTATTTTTGTTTTCATTTTTAAAACGACTTTGTTAAGGTCGACTGCTTTTGAGTTGAAAACGTGGGAGAAAATGTATTTCTTTGGACGTTATTTGGATGCATATGAGGTTGAGATAATCATTTATTTCCAACTTGCAAAAAAATATGTAAAATGTGACATATCAAATCCTGTAAAGTACCCATATTTTATGTATATTTTGTAAAAGTATACGTACAATTCGATCGGTATACGTATTAAATTTCCTACGCAATACTCAATAGGTAGTTTACATATTACATTATTACGCAAATAAAATATATGTATAGGTAATGAATTCTTTGTCATTAAATGTATTTAATCGAACGTTTTTTATAGATTTTTTGCTTCATTCTACAACATGTAAACGACTAATGAGTATATTGTTATTATACATTTATAATATTAACCCTATACTAACTTATCTCATTAAACTTTGTAATGCTATATCCCGAATTCGAATAAACAATACCAATAAGTACCTACATATTAAAATTACCTGCTATTAATATAGATATTGTAATAAGTTCATCGACCTTATTCCATGTAGGTACTCACCACAGAAGCGAATCATATATCTACCTATTGCCATTTATCTTGTTGTAAATTTGTGTATAGACATTGCACACCTACATGCTTGGGTAATTCCTAGAAAAATCAGTGAGAGAATAGCCAGAGTCGAATTAGAAATTATTTACGCTAGCACATTGCTTAAATAATTTTTGCCGAAATTATTAGAGTAGGCACCGTTGGTAATTAGAATAAAATTCATCAAAGAGGAAACAAACAATTTTATTTTTAATAGACGTCTGTCGCATAAAAATGTGTAGGTGGAAGTAAGAAAATACACTATCATATACACAGTGGGATAGTAATTGGCAAATTGCTTGGTAAAATTGTATCACAGAACGATCCTGATTTATATTTAAACTGTTGATATGCAGAGTAATCTAAAGACTAGGTAATATCGTGATGCAAGGATTTTATACACTACCCATTTTATTATCCTCTATTTTTTTGTCTAAATATTACACTTTTAATATAAGTAATGATTATTGCAATATTTTTAAACGTCGAACACAAATTGATATAAACAACTTTCCCAATAATGCAACACTTAATTTATAGCTAAACATTAGCGTGAAAAGTATCACATTCATTTACCGACAGTAGAAACTTAATAAACAAATTTCAGGTTACTTTAAATAATAACAAAGTTGCTAGAAAGCTAAGTATTATTTTCAGTAGATAAAATGAAGCGTGAATCAGAAAAATTATTAAACTACGTTGTAAACGAAATAATATTATTAAAACTGTGCCATCGACTCGTGTGAATCGGATTTATTCTTTTTTTGTATAATTTGAAACAAAGCAAAGAGAAAAATGGACAACCGGAGCGGATAATGACACAACATAAACCGATTCTGTTAAATAAAAAGTGAAATTCAAAGTCGTTCTAGCGTAAAAATTAACGCAGGGAAAACGTAGGTACTACATGAAGGACTTTTACCATCAGTCCGTCAGATTGAGATGCACTTCTTGTTCAATAATAAGTGAATTATCAAGAATATTGAAACGCTACAATTAATTTTAATGGACCATTAAGATAGTTTCTTTAACTGTACAATGGATATTTCAATTTGAATAAAGTTCAAATAAGTTTATTAAGTACAACTGCATCTTTATATTAATCCTTAACACACGAGCCCATTGTTATTCGACACTCCATCATCGCTTCAGACTGGCATCGAATTGCCGGGTAATTTGCATAATTTCCTGCGGATTGAACGCGAACAAAAAAATTGTCCCTTTATGGCCTTTTGTCCTCCGATCGTTTCGGCTCTGTGATTAATAATATTAATAGAACTTTATGCGACAGCGTTGAATGAAACTTCAAGAAGGAAGTTTATCTCATCGTAATTCCGTTCTTCCATTTCCGGCCTTTCGCACCGGTAGCTGTAAAGCTACAGACGCACTCTCCTCATTGAATTCAACGAATGATTTACAGCCGTGTAATAAAATGCTCTGGCATTCACAAAGTGCGAGACAAAGTCGAAATTTTAATGGCTCGTTTCACGTGTAGGTTAAGTAGGTTAAGAAGACCTAAGTGCAAGACGTTGATAAAAGTGAAATATGCTTATAAGTATGTGGAACAAACATGATAAATGTTAAATAACTTGTATGAAAAGGGTGATTCCTTGGTTGATTCTACAAATAAAGTTTCTATTCAAATGTTGTCACACAATTTTTGAACAAATTCATCGTTATTAGTACTTAATTAATGGTTTTATTGTACTGTATTTTTATGTAATTTCACAACTCTACCTTGTACCTAGCTACGTTTCGAATGTGTATAAATAAAATAGATTCAAACGAAATAAGGAAACGTTGAAGTTTCAATTACAGCGTCAATTAATTTGTGCCTTTGCAAGTTTTTTACAAGGTCGCGAACTAATGCTAAATAGTCGTTTTGTTTTGCACATTAACTCTGTACAATTTGTTAATTTTCCAATCGCAATTACGCTTATAAAATTTGGACTGTAATTTTTATCGTTCGCACCAAACTTGCATAATCCGAAAACAAACGTCTCTCATTGAATCTAGATTCGATAAAATGCAATGTGACATCTATTAATATTAATTGATAACACACGTGAAGCCAGAGTGCTTCGAAACGGCCATTATCGATCATCAATGAATCGAATTACGGATTTATTAGAGACGCCATGAACTTACAACTTATAAGGAGGCTTCGTCTTGACATTCGCATCGGTTTGTTTTTTATCGGTCCGGTTCTCTTCGATATTAATGTTCACTTGACCCAAATCTCCAATAATTCGCGAGACGTTGTTTTGGCAGAGTTTTTATCTGGGTCGATCAATTAGAATTCCTCGTTTTATGCTCAACTAACGAGAGCAAATTAAACAAACAACAGGGATTTTAATTGGTTGCGATAGGTAATCAATTCGCGCCTCATATTCGAATGCTTTTATTGTGCTATTTGTTTATGTTTTTATTGGGTTGTTTTCCAGATTCGGGTCGGTACGTTGTTGATGAATTGTCTGATATTTCTGACGACTCTCTAGATTTTCGTTTATTGGATAAACACGAAATCGAAAAAAGAGAATTACCAATATCACCAACTGTTGTCCCACCTAACAATGCGACTTCGACAACTAGCAGCGGGTTATTGTCGACACAACCACCTAAGAAGGTAGAAATGTATAAATGTTGTTACATTTCCAAGAAGATACATTTTTCTTGGTTTCTTTTAGGTTGTATCGCAGTCCCTCGGCGACGCGGCGATACCGAAGTTACTGGGCGAGAACGGTACGGGTATCAGAAAAGACATTTTTACAACGAAAATGCCGCCTCTATTACGCGACGTTAATATTACCTTGCCCACCAATAATACGAGCGTAAATAAAAGCGTGAACCCTTCCAACGACGGCTATCACGATTTTATTATACCTAGTGATATAGATACACCTGATGGAAACAAGAAGTTCAACGAATCATTGACTGAACAAAATATTACTTCGATGAAAACGGCAAGTTGATCTTTTTTTTACATTAATTTTATATTATAACGTTTTTATTTTTTCAGGATCCAAATTTATTCTACAACACATCGATTTACAATAATCCTAGCATCGGTCACTCTTATTGGGTAAACCTGACTAATCGTCTGGATGTTAAAATCAACGACCTTTTGTCTCAATCTCATCGTAGAGCTGCGGTAAATATGATTTTTCAGAATTGTGATTAACAATTCGTAAACAAATAGCGAACATGAGCAGCCTTAAACTTATCTAATGATTCGTTGGCGAAAAAAAAAGATTATTTAAGTGAATTATAATTGGTTGATAAAAAAAACATACGGTCATAATTAACGATTTAATCCGGTGGATATGGTGAAATTATTGTACATTTTCTTATCAAGCTAGAATTTTATAAATTCTAAAACCACAGTCAAGGCCACTCACAGATTAGATATATGTACGTAATGAAAAACAATTTATTTACACCCAACTTATCGCACTAAGAAATGCCTGTTAAGTACAGTTTTGGTTATTTAATTATGCCAGTGACCTTTTTGATAAACTCGCATTTAGTTTGACACATTCACCTAGTATATTTATTCCACACTTTCCACATGTCTTTAGTGGATTTTGCATTTGCCAAGAAATGTTTCCTGATAAGATAACTTAATGGAAAATTAGGAATGTAGGGTTACTGCCTAATCGTGTGAATTATTGGGACCAATGTAAATAGGATCTCTACTTTCTGCTGTACTCTTTACGCTCTACTCTACTCTCTGCTGTACTCTCTACCCTACTATCTGTTGTACTCTTTGTAGGATAGTAGAGAGAGACCTCTACTCTCTGTAGGACTGTCTATTCTACTCTCTGCTGTCTCTCTATGCTCTTCTTTCTACTCTACCTTAGATTGTAAATGTGTTCATTGCACTGCTTTTTAAAACAACCACAAAAATTTTCAATTTTCAAAGTTTGAAATGTAGTATTTCGCCCAATTTACCACCGCCGGATTATTCGCACCATTTAAAACAACTAACCCGATCACGTTTTTTTTCTTCTAGACCGTAAAATTATCATTCGACTTCCCATTCTACGGCCACTTGATCAAAAACGTGACGATAGCCACCGGTGGATTTTTGTACACGGGCGATTACGTGCACTCCTGGCTGGCGGCCACGCAATACATAGCCCCTTTGATGGCCAACTTCGACACCAGCATATCGAACGACAGCTTCATCAAGTACGTGGATAACGGCACGGCGTTTACCGTCCTATGGGAGAACGTCATGCTCCAAGACAAGCCCGAAGACGGGAAGTTTACGTTTCAAGTGACGTTGTTCAAAAACGGCGATATCGTGTTCGTTTACCAGAGTATTCCGTTGGCCGTCGATCAAATTCAGGAGTTAAATCATCCCGTCAAAGTCGGGCTGTCTGATGCTTATATAATGGATCACTTGGTTTTCTGTAAGCTTTGTATATCCTAAATTCGTCAATAAGTTTGTATGAATTTTGTTCTTTTTCGCAGTGGTTCGACGAAAGACAATCTACGAATACGACAGAGTGAATTTCAACAAAACTTTCATTAAAGACTGGAGTACGATAGTATTAAAAGCGCTTCCTACATGCTTAGATGCTACCGATTGCAATTCGTGTTTATCCAGAGATTTAAAATTCCAAGTATGCATAAAATTAATTTCTTTAAAACGTAAATAACCCAACAATAATTTTGTTCATAGTGTTTGTGGTGTCCGGCGCTGAACAAATGCTCTCAAGGCTTCGACAGGCACCGTCAGACTTGGCTGGCGCACGGTTGTGATAAGGCCAATGTCTCCAACACGTCGATGTGCTCGGCGTCTTCTTACCACATGGAGGACGAATCCAATATGCTGGATCACAGCATGGTCGAAGACCAACCGAGGGCTTTGAAGGGTAGCGTGAACGCTACGAGCATGAAGGAAGCGGGAAACTTTTCGGGATTGCTTGCCATTTTGTTCCTAGTGGGGATGATGTGCGGTCTGTCGCTGTGGGTGTTTTACGCGTATAGAAATCCCCATACGACCAGCGGCCAGATTTTAATTAGGGTAAACCGGTGAAACATTAATCGTGTATAGTTTTAACATATTTTTTTTTGTATTTTTAGTACCGTCCTAGCCAATGGAGATGGAGAAGAGGCGAGGCGAGATATACCGCGGCTACTATACACATGTAAGGTAGTGGCGAGTTGTGTTAGTATTTTAACATATCAAACGATTGTAAGGCAACTAGCGGTTCTCTAAAAACAACGAAATTTTTCAAGTGGTATCCGATTGTCTGGTTAGTTTTATATTTGATTTTTTGGAGAACCGAAATTTTTATCTGAAGTTGTGCAACAATATTTCTGTGATAATTAAGAAAATATGAACGATAGTAAGTGTTTAAAAGATGGTTGATTTGCCGTTTGAATAGCTAGTGAAGTAACAACTTTGAACAAATATTTTGGGACATCTGATAAACATTTTCTATGAATCTAAATGATACTCTTCTAAACTAATAATTCTTCTGGGCCTTAGGTAGTGCCTTCCAAGACAATATTTCTATATACATATTTGTTATTTTATATGTATATATTATACAAACGACTGTTTTATTTTGTATATTCTTTTTATCACTTCGAAAATATAGCTGATTAAGATGTTACGTAATTATATAAAATGGAAAAAACGTGTTTCATTTTTCATGAATGTATTGCAATTTTGAATTATAAAATCGAACGGTTTTAACCATGTTGTGATGTTATGTAATTTGATGTACAGGTTGCTCCATTTTTGATCTCAACATATAGGTTATATAGGCCATGGGTGCGATAAAGACAACTTCCATTAGACACTTATAAAGGAAAAGGAAAGAGTGACATTTGTGTCATTGCAACTTTTCACTCTGACAACTGTCATTTTAATAATCTTTCTTTGTTCCACTGATAGAAATGACCATGTTGCAATCGGAAATGGAGCAAGGTGTATAATAAATTGCAGGCCATTATTTGCTCATACATAAAGACAAAAAAATGTTTCCTAATTTTAACTGAAAACCTTTTATAATTCACAATTAATGTACGTCTAAAATAATCTTTTTAGTCTTTATAAAATGATATTGTATCCTTAAACGATCGAAAAGCGCTTCATGGAACTGTTATGGTTTTTATTATGATAATTAGTAGTTTGTAAACAAACATTTGTGTGTCTTCTGTATCAATTCCATATCTGAAGCACTGTGTAAAAAAACAACTAATAAATACTGATTTAAATTATGGCTTTAAATTTATATTCAATCCAAAATATTTGAGTTGATTAAATAAATAAATGTTATAACCTATTAATATACAGATAAGTGCAAATAAGTATGCAATATTTTGTATTGTTTATTTCGATAAAATCGATATTGGTTATTTACAAAATACATTCAAATATTGGATTCACCCGACTTACAAGTGGTCGTATAGTCCATTCATTAAAGCCACCTTTATTCAAGTTTGACAGAGAAAAGAAGAATCTTATGTCACTTGTCAACTTCAACGGTTGGTAAGATTTCTATTTGAATTTTCAGTCAATTATCAAAAAAAGTTGATCACTTCTATTCACAAATTACTAATTTTTTGTGAGAAACGTTTTTATTTCAAAGTTTTAAAGAAGCAAAAATGAACGACTCTATAGCGTTACAAAGCACTATGTCGCCAAAAATAGTAGGCAAATTAAAACCCGGTCAGAAGCAATTTCGAAAAGGTAAGTTTTTAATTGTTAAAATATCTTCTATTAATTTATTATTCTTGAACCAAATTTCGATATAACCGTTGTCTTTAGTTTCAGGAGCTTCCATTTTGGCTTTAAGAAAAAGTATACGAAGAAGTTTAATTTTGGACCAATCTTTGGAAAACAGGAAACCCGAAAAATTGCTAACAATTGATAGTTCGAGTACCTCAAGTTTAGAGACTCTACCATCTCTTCAAATTAAAGCAACACAAGAAGACACCGTAGTTATATCAGCAACAGAAAGCAGCATATGTTCAAACAAGTCTAGAGAATCCAAACATTCTTCCGCCAAAGCCAAACAACACCTTGAATGTGATGAATTGAATCAGTTATTAACAAAATATAAATTCGACGATATCTCAAAATGGGTAAGAGAAGTTAACGAAAATAACAGCAATTCCTCATTGTACACAGAATTGTCTACCATACAAGGTAGTGACGATGGTAAAGACTTCAAGCCAAAGTCAACTAAACCCACATGTGCAATAAACTCGACTTTCGAAAAAGGACACGATAGGAAATTCGATAAAATGTTCAGTCAAAAAGAGAATAGGGTACTTGCAAATAATACCCCTACGACTGAAGAATCGCTATGCAATTCATCGCAAAATTTAACTATCGAAGATTCTTTTGAAATTATGAACGAAAGTTTAACAACCCGGATTAAAAACAGGATAAAAGAAGAGAAAAAAGACACTCCACCGAGCACACCTGTGAATTCTAGTGAAAAATGGTCCTATATACAATTTTCAGGTAGAAATTTAATCAAACTTGTAAATTGAATTTCTTAAGCCTATATTTTGCAGAGGATTCGACAAATTCAAATAAAGAGAACAATAATGGCTTAGAAAACGTCAGCAAGACGCCTGCAAACGATTTTTTGCCAAAATGGAGGGAGATTGAAATATCAGGTACAGGTAATTATTTTATTAACAATATTAATTCCTTTGCTTCATTTTATTTATATCTACATTAATATCTCAATTTTAGACGACTCGGGAGAGGATAACAGTTACACCAACATTCTAGACTCTCTTTATGGAAAATCGTGGCGTTTACAGAAAGAGTTAACAGAATCGGTTAAAAAAATAAAAAACACACCTCGAATCACCTCAGACAGGTAAATAGTTCTTTAAATGAAACTTATCGGATACTACGAATTATAATTTTAGAAAAGTGCAATCTTCTCGGCTCGATTCAGACGACCTTTCGACTAATAAATCTCCTCTTCGTGAAATTTCTAATGGAAATGAGCCAAAAAAAATGGGTAGGAAATTATGGTTCGGTGATAAAGACCTCATGCCAGCTGATATTAGTAGAAAACAGAATAGGATTCCTAAATTTGATTCAAAACCAACGGCGCAAAATAAGCATTCGTTAAAAAAATTTGACGACAGTGTTTCTAATAATTTACCGATAGTTAAGAAAAATCAAACCAATCGTACCAGCAGCGACAGCAGCTCGGACAGTTTAGTAGCAACTAAAATAACTCGGGCTAATCGAAAACCTATATTTAGTAGTTCAGATAGCAGTGGTTCTAATAAACCTGCACCATTGACTGATGGAATTAGTACAAAAAAGAATTGGGGCCGAAAACCTCCTAAAATTGATGCAATAACGCGAAATTTAACGAAAGATTCCGACGACAGCGACAGCTCTTGTAATTTACCAACCGTTAAGAAAAAAAACCGTTCCGACATTAAAAATAAAAATAATTATAGGGATAATAGCGGCTCGGATTGTTTGGAAAGCGGGGTAAAGCAGCTTAATAGAAATACCAGTAGCGATGATAGTTCAAGTAGAGAACGTGGTACAAAAATCAGGCCTCAACCTTCTGAATGTAAAGGTACAAACGATCATAAAGTATTCACAAAGAAGGCTAATTTTAAACTACCTACGCAAACGATAAATATATCGGACGAATCGGAATCCTCCAGTGACGAAGAATGGAATAAAACAATTAACAAAGCAAAAAAAACTAGAAGACTAACTGTTAACAACGATGGCTTCTACAGTTTCCTTTCATCTTTATCAGGTAGCAATCATTTTACATCTAGAAAATCAATTTCAAGTATTTATCGAAATATTGTTTCAGCGGAAGTACCGATATCGAAATGTTCCTTCTCTGCTCGAATATACCGGACCGCCTTCAAACATCACAAGGACGAATTGGTGAAGAAATTGTTCAAACTGTTCAACGAGACCGTGTTCAATAAGCTCCTGCCAGAAGAATTCCAATTCGAGTGGAAGGATAAACTGCGCAAAACGGCGGGCACGTGTCGATCGATAAAAGTCACAAAGAGGTCGGGCGTTATCGAAAGGAAATCCATCATACACTTATCCACCAAGGTTTTGGACAGAGCGGAAAGGTTAAGGGACACTTTGATACACGAATTATGCCATGCGGCTACTTGGCTCATCAATGGGGTCATTGACGGTCATGGGGATATGTGGAAAGCTTGGTATGTTTAATATCTTATGGGTAAAGTTAGATTATAAACGACTAAACCTAGGTTTACCCGGGTACAGTCGAGTAGGTTTCTGATGGCACAACGGGAACCCAATAAACCTACTCTACTCATGTTTCTTGGGTATTTCGCAGTTTACCTGGGTCCACCTAGGTTTAGTCATTTATCTAGCTTTATCCGTAATAAACATATTTAAATTAAAATAATATAATGTTTACTTCTTATTGATGTAACGAATTTTGTATTTTTAGGGCACGAAAAGCAATGATCACTCATCCAGATTTACCGCCGATAAGAAGATGCCACAATTACATTATTACTACAAAGTATACATATAAGTGTACGCAATGCGGTTACAGGTAAATAAATACTAAATAGGTTTCTGTTTTTTAAATATACTGCTCCACAAAAGTTAAGGAAGTTTATAAATATTGAGATTAATTTAAAAGTTGCAGGTTTTTTGATCGCCAAATTTAGTATGAATTATAGAGGTAGGGGCAAAAAATCCACTCAGATATGAGAAAAAAACATTTAATTTCGCAAATTTGGTGATCAAAAAGTCAGTAACTTTTAAAATAATCGCTAAATTTGCGCACTTCCTTAACTTTTGTGGAGCAGTTTTTATAGAGTCCAAATTAAAGAAACGTAACTTTTTTAACTTTTTTTAATTAAAAATGTTGTTTCTTTCAGTATCGGACGGCACTCGAAGTCCTTAAACACCGAAACGAAGCGATGCGGCTATTGTTACGGAAAATTCGAGCTGTTGGTAAATAAGACGAATAAGAAAGGGGAAACGAAAGCGGTGGCTGCGACACCTAAGAAGGAGGCCACAGGGTTCGCGAGGTTCGTTAAAGAGAATTACGGCGCGCACAAAACCCCTTCGCGAACGCACGGCGATGTCATGAAAGTGCTGGGACAAAAATTCAAGGAATTACAAATCGATAAGACATCCCGTATGTGATTTTATTTTTTTTTTATATGAAATGTACCTTTTAATGTACTTAGTTTTAAGTAATACTTCCATGTTTTTATGCGTCGTTTTATTAAATAGCAATTCAAAATTGATAACAATAAACTCTGTGCAAAATAACAATCCTGATAGTTTAAAAAAATCGCACAGCTTTTCCTCTAGCGAAAAATCTTATTCGAAACAGGCTAAATATCTAAAAGAGCGGGTTTCGTTTCTTTCAAGCATTTCATGATCGAATGCATGAATTTAACGAATCCCGTATCCTTGGGCTTTTCCAGTCCTCTAAGCAATCGATTCTTCATTACCGATATGAATTCTTTGTTGCTAAGCTGGCCGTCCTCTGGAAAAATGTTTTTATTTTACTCGTAGACGACTTTCGCTCCAATTTACTTACGGTTTTCGTCGAATATGGTAAACACGACGTTTATTACGTGATCGCTGAGATCCACGTGCGCTACAGTTTTGGCCACGTGCTTTAAAGTTTGCTGATCAATCGAAGCGCCGGCGATATGGTAAAACGTCAAAGCGGTATCGACGTCGTTTATGTTATTCAAAAAATGAAAGAAATTCAAATAGTCCTCTTTGGAAATACCTTGCCCGTGGTCGCGGAAACTAAAAAGGTTATATTAGGACTAAAGGAGCAATAACGCGGAGCGTTTCTTACGTTTTCTTCACTCTCTTCAACATTCTGGCCTTCTTTTTCTGCGGATAGCCGGCGTAAGCTAACAGGAGCTCGGTGAAATCCGCTTCGGAAATGTTCCCGTTCTCGTTGGGCGTCTTCCTCTGGAACTCCAAGCCCAATATCTCCTTTTGCAGCTTCTCTTGGAAATCCAAAAACTTTTCGATCGTCAGCTTCTGCTTCAAATTCGGCCCGAAGAAGTAGGTCGTCAAAGCCGAATTGACGCCCTAAAATAACAAAAATTTACTTTGATACAAGCCTTATGAACTAAAACAACTGTAAATTCTGTGGATAGATTGTATGTCGTAACCAGGTTCTCCTCAAATTGGTAGAATGTAACAGTAAAAGTTTGCCATTAAAGCTACTTACTGAAGAAATTTGGGTAATCAAGGGCATCTATCCACAAAATTAGTACAAGTTATTGTAACATATTTTTACTTTGAAAGTGTTCCCGGTGTTGGCGTGATCCCTGTGCCTCGAGCCGATGCTGGTTTGTTGCCTGATGAGCGTCGCCACTTTCTCGAATTCCTCGCAATCGACGTCGCCGTCGCCGTTCAAATCGAACATGCGAAAGGCTATTTCGAAGTGACGTCTCGAAGCTGAACAGAGAATCCCGGTCTAGTGTGTTAAAGTCGATCGAAGAGAACAATACTCACTCGATAGAACGGTCAGGAGAAATATGTAATCGGAAAAGGTGATCAAGCCGGCGCTGCCTAATCTGAAGAAAATGCTGTCCTCGTCCAAAGACAACTCCAGCTTTTGGTGCACCGTCTGGTAATTCGAAAAATTATGAGAATTTATTGAGTATTATTTTTTTCAAATGTTGCATTTGAACTACTGTAAGCTCTCTTGTTAACTTTAGCGCGAATCGCTTTCTAACAATTCTCAATATTAGTTGTTTTATGAATGCCAATTCGAGACTTTTAAAATAATCTAATATTTATTTATTTTTTAGTTCAAAAATTACTAACTTGGAATGAATTAATGAGATTCTATCATAGAGTATACAAATTTTAGAAGGAGACAATGCTTAATTTAATAACTAAAAAGCATTTTTTTTTTTTCAAAAATTCCCTTTTAAATAATCGAACAACGAATAGAATCCATAGAATACAAAACAACACACCTTACTATCTACAATAAATAATCTAACATTTTCTATCACCTTACCTACTACATCAATGACCATTATGACCAAAAATACACTAACTACATTTCAATATGTATTCAATTTTGAAAAAAAAAATAATTTCCACTAAATTTTGACAAAAAAGTATCAAATCGCCAATTACCAAACCAATTATCAATTCTAATTAAATCGACTCTCGCCAACATTTAATTAAACAGATTTTTCTTTTATAATACACACATAAATTTATAATTATAACTATAATAATTATAAAAAAAATTAATCTGCCGTAAGTAACAATGGCGAGGCGGTAAAAATAATTGCATGCCATTAAAAAATGTATGGAAAAAAGGTAACATGCACAAAAAATCCGACAGATAATAATTACCTGTATACCGTGCTGAAATAAATAAGAACAAACATTTATTTTACAAGTTAGGTAGACAAAAGGTAAAAGGGATATAAGTTAAATGTGATATAAGAAGTATAAATTTGTATTTACAAAAGAGGGTGTATTATCTCTGTTGAAAATACCTGGTAAAATAATTAGTGTATGTTGTTGCAAGACTTACTTTGGGATCGTATCTTCTGTATTGGTCTAATCCTAAACCTAAAAAATTTGTTCGATTAATGACTCGAATATTTTAAATTTGAGTAATTTGGAACAAATAAAACATTTACATATGTATATAAAATTTTGTTAAGGTATATAAGCCATGCCAAAAAGGTACATACATGCAACAATTTACTAATTTAGTTACTAATAAAGTGCTACTTATTGATGCAAAACTTTCTGTTTTAAAAGTTCATTGCATCACAAAAATGGATTCGTACACATTTATATTTGAACCAAATTACATTAAAAAGCTAATAAAATAATAAAAAGATAAATAAAAAAACGAAACAAAAACAACTAAAAGCAAAGCAAAGGCTACTCAAACTATTCAAACAAGAAATTACTTATTAATGCAAACCTACACTGTGAATTTAGCATCTCAAATAATCTAATATTTCAAAAATATATCCAAATTAACAAAATAAAATTTAACAATAATGCAACAAAACTAACCGTCAGGTTGTTTTAAACCCGGCGTCATGGAACGCAAGAAATCATCGGGCGTCATAAAGATTTCGTGTTGATCGACCGCTGGACCTTGTAGTTGTAGAGTTGCGAAATAACGGAAAACCTTATCCGGTGTTGAATAGTGCCTTATGCGATTCTCATACTCAATTATCTGGTACATGCGTATTAAAACAAGCCGGCTGTTAATAAATCTTAATAAAATGGTAACGATAAATTCAAAACAATTTCTCATCGATTAACCGATTTCGAGTTTCTACGGATTATATTTTTACAACACCTCAATCATGCAATTTTTTTTTAATTGCGTTAGTACTGAATTAATATTGCATTAATAAATCTACGAGATAGTTCCACGACAAATATGTAAAATACATCCAACACCAAGCTGCCGGTCATAGTAAAAGCGATTAAGGAATTACGTGAAGTTACCGTCGGGTTGTTTCATTCCGGGGGTAATTGCTCTAAGGAAATCATCGGGTGTCATGAACACTTCTGTTACGTCTAGTTGGATAATTTTTACAGTCGCAAAGTATCTAAATATCTTATCGGGTGTTGAATACGCTCTCATACGGTTTTCGTACTCTATTATCTAACGTTTTCATTTGGAATAGAACCAGAATTATTAATAAACATTGAAAAAGGGTTCGTGATATTTGAAAGAAATTACGTACTTTTCTGTCCCTGAAGCCGATCTTTTCGCGCCGGTGTTTTTTCTTCTTCGATTCTTCTTCGATATTTTCATCTAGATCTTCCTTTTGCAGTTCAATTCCTTCCCTGATATCACTGTCCGCCTTTACAGACCAAACTTTTCTTACCCTTCAACAATAACAATTTATTTTCAAAAAAAAGTACCATAGAATATTTCAAATCAATCATCACTTACCAGTCCCAATCGACTACAGGGATTATAAACATTATTAGTAGAAATGAATACCATAATTTAGAAGCCATCGGTTCTTTTTCTCGCTTATGACCAAAGTCTTTGTAATATCTTTTTTGGTCATATTTAAAATCGTTAATTGGAACTATAATTAATTTATTATGAAATCTATGTGGTTGTAAATGTTGTGGTTTACAGGCAACCGATCCTAGGCGGCTAAGTAGTCTCAAGTAACTCATGTTCTTTATGCACACACTATTACATTATTCTTATTATTATTACTGCAATAAAAAGATTTGAGCCAGGTTCTAAAAATATTTATAAAAGCAATATATTTCAAAAGCGATATATCTTACAAAAACAAAATATTAGTGCCAGTGAGACGTCAAACGTCAATGTCAAAATTTTGACAGGTCACCTTTTTTTTATAGACTCCAATCTTATCAGTATTTGGCCACAGTTACCTTCCTTCGTATTGAAAGAGAGTAACAAATATAATAGCAAAAAAGAAGAAGTAGGTCAAATGACGTGGTGGAAGATTTTAGGTTATGAATAAATTTATTTAAAATTTTAAAATATTAATGTTTTAAATTAATTATAATAATTTAGGAATTTTAAATATATTTTCTTTTGTGCATTTTTAATAACTTATAATGTGTTCTATAGGTATAAGGTAAGTGAAAATCGACCATTTTCATATAATTAATTTGTTTTAATGACTATTAGAAAAAAAAGTTTTCAATTTCTGTATTACTTGGACTTACTAAATGTTCCATTCGCCTTTATTACTTAGAAATAATTATTTTAGTATAATTCTCTATAATTTCAATTTTTTATTAGATCTTTTAACCATATTAATATATAACACCCACGCATGTTCTCTCTATTCTTTCTATTGAATATAATTATAGATACGTTTTATTACAATAGGAAAGTTTTCTTAAAATAAATTGTATTGTATTTATATCCTTGATTTTCAGGTTCTGCTTAATTTCCCTGTTTCTAATATTCATCATTCAATTAAAAGCACAAGAAACAGATTACTATAAACTACTTGGAGTAACTAGAGATGCAACTGTTAAGGAAATTAGAAAAGCCTTTAAAAATTTGGCAGTTAAATTGCATCCAGATAAAAATAAAGTGAGTTATTACTTTATATTGCAATGAATAAAACTGCATATTAACTTACTACTTTTCCAGGAAGACAAATCAGCAGATGAAAATTTTATCAAACTAACACGAGCCTACGAAGTGCTTAAAGATCCAGAAAGCCGGAAAATGTACGATATTCACGGAGAGCAAGTCGACTCTAACAAATTTAGAAAACAATACCACAGCTATACCTATTATAGAGACCAATTTGGAATATACGATGATGATCCAATTATTGTAACACTCAGCAAGAACGACTATGGTAACTCAATCATCATTCACATATAAAACCACTTAATTTGTCCTTTTGCTTTAATTAAATTTTTAGAAGTAAATATTTTGGACACCAATCAAGCTTGGTTCGTGAATTTCTATTCGCCCAATTGCCATCACTGCCACGAACTGGCTCCCATTTGGCGAAAATTGGCTCAAGAATTAGAAGGTGTAATTAGAATCGGTGCTGTTAACTGCGAAGAAGATTTCCGTCTGTGCCATCAACTGCAAATAGAAGCTTATCCCACGTTGCTATATTACGAAAAAGAGGTTGCTATAATAATTCGTTTTATTTAAGTGTAGCGGTCCAATAATAATTAATTTTCAGTTCCATTTGTATGAGGGTATAAAATACACAGGCGATAGAACTGTGGAAGCTTTAGAAGAATTTGTACTAGCTAGCCTTAAAGTTAATATCATAGAAGTGACTTCTTTTAATTGGGAAATTGTACAATCCGAGAGTGATAAATGGTTGCTGTTTTTATGTAGTGATGATAGTGTAAATTGCCCGGAAGAAAAAACTATATTGAAGCTTGGTGCATCTTTGGTAATTTATTATATTCCAAAACAAATTTAGATTATATTAACGCTTTAAATATGATTTTAGGAAGGGTTATTGTCAGTTGGAAAAGTAACTGATAAGTCTCTCTGTGAAAAATTATCTGATAACAAGGAACAATCGATTATTTTGCTACAAGGAACGAAATCAACGTCGAGTTCTCCTATCTCGATGAGCACAATTAGTGGTTCTGATGCCAAAGAAATTTTAGAAAATATTTTAGCTAATTTACCAAACCCTATAGAAATCAACGAAGAAAAATTCAAGGTATATACACATGTTGTAGTAAACGATTAAATTTAGTACATTATTTCTTTAATAGATGATCAGATCGGAATTGAAAAACGAATCGGAGAAACCTTGGCTGCTTTGTTTCTATTTAGGCACTGCAACAGAACTAAATCTGCAGCTAAAAAGGCTACCTGCGATCATCACAGATATAAATATTGGTAAGTAATTACATTGTTACAATTAATTCTCGTTTATTACGCTTTTGTACTCATAGGTCTGGTCCACTGTGGTAAAAATTCAATGTTGTGTTCGAGTTTACACGTAGCAAGATATCCAACATGGGGAGTATTAAAAGTCGGTGGGGCATTTGAAGTACATCACGGCAGAGATATCTTATACGAAATAGCGAATTTTGCCAAAGACAGCACAAAATCTACGAATTTACACGCTTTATCTCCTGCTGATTTCCACAACATACTCAGAGAAGGTTTAATACGACTAGAATGTTAATGGAATAACTATTAATTAATTAATATTCTAGGTACCCCGTGGTTTGTCGATTGGTACGCCCCTTGGTGTCCACCTTGCCGGAAGCTTTTACCGGAGTTGAGGAAAGCTAGCCAGAATTTCGATCCGGTGAAATTGCAATTCGGCACAATCGATTGCACGTTGCACCGGGAACTTTGCAGAGCGCAAGGCGTCAATTCCTATCCGACTACAATTTTATACAACAATTCCAACACGCATATATTCCACGGCATGCCTGAAGCTAATAGCATTACGGATTATTTGTACGATCTGTTGAATCCCATTGTTATAACTTTGGACGATAGCAATTTTGTGCAACTAATGAGGAAGCCGAAAAATGAAATTTGGGTAGTGGATTTCTTTGCTCCGTGGTGTGGACCTTGTCAGAAACTGGCCCCGCAATGGAGACAGCTGGCTAAGCAGGTGGGTGTTTTGTGGAATATAATTACAAGCTTCATTAAATTGATATTATTTTCTAGGTATCTCAATTAACTGAAGTCAAAATTGCACAAGTAGATTGCGTTAGCAACTCTGCTTTATGCGATGCTCAAAATGTCAGAAGCTATCCCACTATTCGACTATATCCTTTGGGTAGTAAAGGATTAAGCAGTATTGCGTAAGTAAATTTGTTAGTCCTGGGAAAAAATAATTATCTAATATTCGTTATTGTAGAATTTACAATGGAAATCGGGATGCAATTTCTTTGAAACGTTGGATCGTTAGTTTCTTGCCTAATACAATCGAGCATTTCTCAGCCGACGAATTTGAAAAGCAGGTTCTAACGAAAAAGTACGTTTTACCGTGGATTGTTGATTTCTATGCGCCTTGGTGCGGACACTGCATTCACTTTGAACCTGATTTTATAACAGTAGCTCAAGTAAGTTATACGCAAAGTTTCCTAATTACTTATGCAAAAATTCCGATCCTTTCTTGCCATTTTAGAAGCTGGAAGGAAAAGTTAGAAGCGGTAAAGTCGACTGTGAGCAGAACAGAATATTTTGCGGGCGTTTAGGAATAACGGCTTATCCTACAGTAAGACTTTACGTGGCTCCTAAGAAATTTTACACTATAGATGTGGAAGAACCCTCGCGTATAATCAGTGGAGTAAAGGAAATTTTGAAACAAATAAAGCATAGTCAAGAACACGATGAGCTATAAAACGAATTTAGCTACCTAAAACTCATATTTTTTCGCTTTACTGACCTAGTTTAAGTTGCCAATGAAAACGTAAGATTTGTAGGTTTTAATCTTAATGTTTTGTGGTAAGTGTTCCTTCTACTACCAGTGCCATTACTAGTATTAAATACCAGTGTTGATACATATTTTGCAATAGTTCAATTATATTTAATGTTTACTTAATTTGAACCAAACATCTACGTTAGTGATAATTTTAGATCTGATTGTATTTCTTACTCAAATCGAATATTTTTATATATTTACTTTAATATCTAAGTATAGATTTTTACGTTATACTGTGAAGCTAATACCAAAATAATTTTTTGTGTAATAAAAATGATGCATTTTTAGTTGTGTATACAAAAAAGCGAGTTTTCATCTAAATAATGTATTATTTTAAAGACGTTAACAAAACATTAAAAACCAAAACTGAAAAAAAAAACGTGGTAAAAATTCAAATCAACAACCACTCGTAAAAATAATAACAAAACACTAATTGAACCTTCGTCTTTTAAACGTCCCTTTCTTGGAGAATTTTCTTTTGCGTTTATTGGACTTCTGAGATTGGTTTCCAAAATCAGTTATTTCGTCACCTAAACTACCTAAAGTTGTTAATTTACGCCTGTTATGTTTTTCCGATTTAGTAACAGGCAAACGTGTCATATATTCCTCCTCGTAGTCTTGCCGTTCTTGTTGCTGCTTACTCAACATCTTTAAAAAATCCAAAATTAAGGTATTTATCGTTATTAAAAATATATAATAAGTACCTGTTGAGCTCGACTGCTTTGAGAAATTTCCACAGGAACATCCAGATATTCCTCGCGTAGGTCCTGCATAATAGAATTTGATAGGGCTAGTTTCTTCGAGCGGTCTTGAAGATGTTTTGATTTTTCTTTAACAGTTTCATCACCTAAAGAATATTGACCAAATAAAAAAATCCAGATACTTTGTAACCTTTTTACCTGTATAATGTAAAGCTGATAATTTAGGAGCAACATAAATATCGCTCTTCTTCTTCTCCGGTTTAGTTGCTTCACCATCATCGCTTTCGCTGCTATCGCTCTGGATATCTTTTTGAAGGAGGTTTTCCGGATTGGCTTTGAAAGACGTGGGATCGTCCACGGATGATTCCGCAACGGCACTTTTCACCAACTTATCGATCTGATATTTAAGCTTTTGGTCGATCGGTTTGATTTTCTCTAATACAGTTCTTAACTCAACTAATCTGTCTATACAAGGGTCTTCAGTGATTTTTTCTCCTGAACACTTTCGCAGCACCACGTAGGTTAAATTTATTAGATAACTTAGAAGCGTGTTGTATTTCATTTCCAGGAAGCTCAAACCCTGATCTGTAGTCAATTCCCCTTTTCTTACTTTTTGTATCATATTGTCTACTAGTGAAGCTACGTGTTGAGCGCTTAAGTTCATTTCGCTTAGTAGAATTAAAGCTTGGGGCAAGTCTTTATGCTTCATTTTTGATATATCTGGCGCCTAAAAACGAAAATTATTTAATTTTATATCGTATAAAGATTTTTTTTGTTTCTATTACTGTTTAATTAAACTGAACTTACACCCAGTTTATTCATTGATAAATTTTATTTTATTTATAATTAAAACAAAACGAATACAACAATTGCAACACGTGACGATTATAAATTGCGTGAAATAAAATTTAAAGGAACTTTATTCGTGTTCTTCAGTCGCAGAAATAAAAACACACTCAATCGCCATTTTTACTCTACTGTATAAAAAAAACAAACTTTTAAAATCAATGTTTAGAAAAAATAAAAGAGTCCCATTTTAAAATGCTAACCTGTACCATATCGGCTCGATTACATCTACAGCTAATTCAGGAAAACTAAAAACTTTAAATAAACAAAACGCACGTGTGAATTTTCGCATAAAAACGCGTTTTATATTTATTCAAACTCCAAATCGGAATAAAATCAAAGCAAAGCATGGACGAAGGAAAATAAAATATATTGACAATTGACATTAATTGATTCTTCTTTTCTTTTAAATAAAAAAATGTATTGTCATCACTGTTTCGCATTAGTGCAAAATATACCCGTCCTTTAAAAATTAGTATTGGATTCACATGGTGCACCAATAAAAAAATACATCATATTTGACACAGTTGACATTGACACATACGTCACAGTAATTTGACGTTTAAAAATATTTATATTTATAGAAATTTTCAATCAAAAACTAATTAATAGTGTCGTAATTGTTGTATTAAATGTGCCAAAGAGATAACGGAAAGTCGTAGTGCTTTTTAGTTAATTAATGATTAATATGTATCTAATAATAAATGATGTTTTGTCGAGTATCATTGTAAATATGAGCGGAAAATCGGAAATTTGTGATCAAAGAACTATTATTAGCAATGTTTATCTGTGACATAAGTTTCTAGCAACCAGTAAATGTAAATGGCAAATTCATTAAAACGTTGTAGTTCGCGAAGGAGAATTGCCGCTCTTTCGTTCTTGTCAAATATAACCCTCGATGGCAGCTACAAGGATACGAAATTATCTATTCTATCTAAAAATGGTTCTGTTGGAAAGACGTCGCTCACGTGTACCGAAGAAGTCCTTCAAGAGGAAGAAGCAGAAAACGCGGAAGGGACATATTCGTTAGACGTGCAAGTTAATAAAGAAAAATTAACACCGAATTCCAATTACGAGAAAAAGCCTTGCATGAAATATAAAGCCAACAATAGCGATTCTGAAACGGAGAGTGTCATTACACCAATCAAAACGCACGTGGAAGAATTTACTATCAAGTGTAGAACAACTAAAGACAAGTACGTTATGTAATTGTGTATTTTATCTCGATAAACAATGTTGCGTACTTGATATACACAAATCCATTTACATTATCTAATTTTCAGGTTCGACGAACCAAAAATAATTCCAAAGATCCTGAAAAAATTGCCCCATCAAGTATCCATATGCAGCGATTTCGTCGAGAGAAGAAACACCAGCAGTTCGGAGAGTCTGGGATCCGTCACGTTTCGAAATAAAAATGTACTGGAAGAAGATGTCAGGAAAATATCCATTTTCAAGCCCACGAAAGACCACAAATTTCGCGGAGAAAGACTCGTCTTTGTCACTGCAAAGCATTCGCCTTTTATGGTTTGCTCTTTCATACCTTACAAGAAAAATTTCAGGTAAAAAATCGTTATTTCACCATAACCGATTGTCTTATAAGAGCCACTTTTATTGTTTTAGGTCTGATCTAAAGCGTGAAGGTCAGAGGAAAAGGACAGCTTCTGGTAACAGACCTCTATCGACCAGCGGAGATGGATTCGATCCCTTCGATTCCCTCGGAATAGAACGAGGTAGAGATGGGCAGGAACACTCTTATGGTTACCTGTTGGAGCCTTCGAAACATAACAAAGACGTTCCCAAAAGGAACACAATCGATGATCCAAGCGAGCAGCCAGATTCACACAGAAGAAACGTTCGTCACTTTGTCACAAGGTAAAATCAAGTTTGGTAATTTCCTATTAATTATACTACTAAGAAAAATAACTCTCGTAGATGTTCATCGTACGATCCTCCGTCTCAAAGACCCTTGTCGCATTTGCTGACTCCCCCGATTATCCAGAGCGAAATAAAAGAGGAGATTTCTTTGAAATGTTACGCTTATCATCCAGATCTTCTGGATGATCCCGAATTGATTGTGGGAAAACATAGGACTGTGTTGACTTTCACTTCCTACATGACGTCCGTAATTGATTATGTTAAACCGTCGGATTTGAAAAGGGAAATTAACGAGAAATTTAAAGACAAATTTCCGCATATCGATCTAACCCTGAGTAAATTACGGAGGTAAGGATATATCGAGAGTAATTAATCGTTTTATTAAATGAGTTTTTTTTAGTTTGAAACGAGAAATGCGCAAAATAGCTAAACAAGAATGCAACATCGATCTACTGACTGTAGCACAGGCGTTTGTGTACTTTGAAAAATTAATACTCAGAGGTGTTATTCACAAGCAGAATCGCAAGTTATGCGCCGGGGCCAGTTTGATACTGTCGGCGAAATTGAACGACGTTAAAGGGGATACTTTGAAGTTGTTAATGGAAAAAACGGAAACCACGTTTAGATTGAATCGCAAAGAAATGGTCGCTTCGGAATTTGCTGTTCTTGTTGCTTTGGAATTCGGCTTGCACCTGCCTACTTACGAGGTGTACCCGCATTATCAAAGATTATTGTATGAGTCCTAAATCGTAATGCAACGAGTAATGAAATGCTTCATGTTAGTAAATTGATTTTTTCTCTGCAAAACAGCATCAGTTAAAGGAAGTTAATGTAATAAATAATATAATCGTTTCATTATTTGGTGGCAGAATTTTGTAATATTTGCAGATTGTCGAGGGGCATATTTTATGACAGTTTTACTGCAACATGACGAGGAGACTCTCTTAACATTTGTTCCTTTTATTTTTGTTTTTTCTTAGTGTTTAATTTGGCCATTGTGCTTTCTCTTGTTGAAAAAAATAACTAGTTAATTTATTGCTAGGAAAAATTTCTCTATAACAATTTAGCTAATGAATAAAACTGTAATTTCTTAGCCAAATTGTGTGATTTTTAGCACTGTATTTATCTATTGACAGAAAATGACTCGAGGTACTTAATAATTACGTGTTTTTTCACTTTTTTATATGGACTGTTTATAAATTTGTCATTTCTATAATGGTATATGTATATGACATTAGACCATTGTTGTTAAGTTTGCGTTATTATCAAACTATAAAACTAATTTTAAATTATAACAAATCCTAGTCAATTTGTGAGGATTTCTTATTACGACTTTTTATTGATAAGTATTCTTAATTAGAACTAATGTACTCCAAAATATAGGTACAAAATGTATAAATAAAAATGTTACTTTGAAATGTTCAATATTTTTGTTAATTAAATCAATTATCCGTGAGGACTATTTTCTTATTCAAGCTCATTTTTACAATCACTTCACTTCTTATCATTTTTTCGTAATGGGGAAAGAAAGTAAGCTCTTTAGTATTTCTCTTGTAGTGGAATTAATACAAACTAATTATATTTTAATTGATTTATGGAGAGTAATTATACAATAATTATATATACCAAAAGAACCATTGAGTTGCTTATGTATTTGTTATTTGTATCACTTTATAATTAGACACCAACCACAAATACTTGCTTTCTCAAAAAATAAACAGTTCAACAAAATAATGAATAAAATTCGGCTCCCAATAATGGCATACTCGTAATAACTTAATGACTAAAATATTTATCACAATTACATAAATGAAGTTCCAATTCAGCTACAGTATAATAAAATTCACAGATGTAAAGCAAAATAAGCAATTAACCCCATGCTTGGGTTTTACAATAATGTAGCACTAATTTTCCTTCTGTACTATAACAATCGTACAGATTTTTTACTAGTTGGTCGGGAGCTGGTGCGAACGTTTGATTTACATACAGAAATAATTTTTCATTAGATTCGAGCTTCAAGTATTTCCTAATGAATTCTATAATCCAACCGATTTTTTTGTCACTATCAACCGTCCACTTTTTCTTCTTCATAATCGGTGCATTGCCAGTCGGCTTCAATAATATGTCGATTTTGAGTTTTTCCGGAGATGCATCGTGTGCAATGTTCATAGATTGTAGGGAATCACCCACTTCGTGCACTTCCTGATCCGCCGGGCTCTCTTCACTCATCTCTACTTAATATTAAACTCGACAATTCCAAATTATTTAAAATATTTTGATAAAAGGACACTCAACTCGTTCACAAAATAAAACTCAAGACAAATATCAAATATTTCTTTTTGACAGATGACAAATGGATGACAACGAAGTTCTACAATTTTTTTATGTGGTCTCGTTTTAATGAGATTTCGGTAAAATCGTATATACGAAGCGGCAAGTTAAAAATTTGAATTAAAAAAAGGTTTTGTATTAGAGTTATAAGTACAAGGTGTCTCAAAAAGAACATAGAAAAGTTTCAACGTCTTATAGCAAACGATTTATTTTCAAAGTAGATTTAAATATACCTACCAATACACAAACTAGTAATTAGTGACTAGGAAATAGAAAACTTATACGAATATACCCTTATATCGCAGCTCCAGATTTCCACATTAATATTCCAACACTTGATTTTGATTCCTAAGGGCGTTTCTTAATTTTTTACCTAATTCCACCTCAAATTAGGTCACCATTTTTTGTAACAATGAAAATCACAGCGAGTGTAATTACAGGGTGTAATTACAGGGTGACTATTATAAATGTTTACTTATACATGAATCGTCATTCGTTCTCCTACTTGACACCTTCAAATGTAGAGTCGAACGGAATTAATAATTATATTTGTAAATAATCCCGAATATTATCCTCCCTTATATAACCAGCAATTATACTAGAAGTAATTGATAATTTTGAAACGTTTTAAATTGATGGTTAGAGGAAAAAATCATAAAAAACATAGCGTTAGTAATAAATACATAAATATGGACGATTTTGTATGGAGAAGGCACATTGAACAAACATTTGTCGACAATTGTACATCGCATCATTTTAAAATTAGTAACATTTCTATTGTACTAGCCCAATTAAACAATGCCGGACCAACAATGTGCTATAAGAAAATCATTTGCACAGTCTGAATTGATCATGAAATTGAACGGCCTGTTACCCGGAGAAAATTTCAAAATTTTGTATACGTTTTTCGCGTATGCCCTTATGATAGGCTTTAATATTTTAATGCCTGTTCTGGGATACGTTAATCTGTTTACGGCCGATCCAGAAGAAAGAATGGATCTGGTGGGCAACAGTTTCATTTACATGGAAATGTTAATTTTGGTGTTCAAAAATTGGTCCTTAGTAGTTACACCGGATTTAACCAAAAAAATGCTTAACCGATGGAACGAAGATATTTTTAACACTGAAGTGGACATCGATAGGCACATTATCAATGAAGCTATCCGAGAACGTCGTCAAGGATATATTTTGTATTTCATGTTTGCCGTCTCAGCTCCGTCGTTTCTACTGTTAAACATTATATTTTCTGCTCACGATGATTTGAAATTACCAATTTGGCTGCCCATGGATATTTATAATAGCACCCTGCGATATACCCTCGCTAATGTGTATATTGTACTATGTAAGTTATCACTTTTTCGCTAACTCACATTTTTTTTGATTTAAAAACTAATAATTTGTTTTAATTCTTTAGGTTATACACATGCAGTTTTTTCGCATTTTTCTATAGATATTCTTCTATCAAGTTTCATGTTGTATTGTGCTAGTCAGCTTAGACTTATTAAGTACAAACTGGAAAATATGGATAAATATTTTGAAAAAGATCTATGGGTCGTTACCGATGAAATAATTAACGATAAATTGATTCAAAAAAAAGTGCATGATCAAATTACGCTATGCGCCAAAGTGTACGATGCTGTTTATTCGTAAGTATCTATACATTCTTGTTTTTTTCAGCTTGCATTGCATCAGGTACACTCTGTTGAACATAGGGGCTTCTTCCAAATCTTTCCATCTTACCTCTGTTTTTTGCTATTCTTGACCATCCTATTCCTGCTGTACCCTTCACATCATCTTATTTCGCAGTCTTCCTACATTTCTTTTAGTTTCTGGTGTTCTCCAATTAGTTATCCTCCGTGTTATTTAATTTTATCTAATTTGTTATTTCAGATATGTTCAAGAATTAGAAGAAATTTATTCAGGCGGAGTATTTGCACAATTTTTGGTTGGATCAATCGTTCTTTCTATTTGTCTGTATAATGTATCACAGGTGTGTATGTGTTTACAATCTGTAAGTTATAGAGTATGATAGCCTTAAGGTAACAAACCTAATTTATGTTTACGTTTATCTTGTTCCAATAAAGAGATTGTTCTGAATTGTACAAATTTTCCCCGAAGTTACTGGACATAAAATACAGCTTTTGAAGCAAATTTCAGAACAAGTTCCAGTGCATTTTGTTGGAACAAAATTTTTACATATACATATCTGCTTTTATTTGTTTCTTCAGGCAAAAACATTGGATTTTGAATTAATATACGTATTGTCTTTTTATATACCCATGATTTATTTAATTTATGTATACTGTTATCCTGGAACTCTTGTAATTGAAGAAGTAAGAAAATACATCGAAACAATATTAGGTAGAATTTTGATTAACTTTATTTTTTAGAGTATAACTCTTGGAGAAGCTATAATCCAAAGCCCATGGTATAATTATGACATGAAATCAAAAAGATCACTGATGATTTTAATAGAAAAATCTAGAAAACCTATTAAATTTACAGCTGGCAAAATAGTGGATATATCATTGGAAACATTCGATCTCGTAAGTTGAAGTACCACCCTACAGAATTAGAGACCAAAAAAATAATTTCCTATAATCTTTAATAATAATATAAATGGAAAATACTAAAGAAAAAGAAGTACCTATGATAGCTACTTGATTTTACAGAAAAAATTAATACTGAAAAACATATTCTTTTAGATTTTGAAAAGATCGTACTCACTACTGGCAGTGCTTAGAAACTATTAAGTTCAAATGAAGCTCAAAAGGAAAGGAAGAAGGAAAGGAGCTCAAAAGGTCAAGTGACCAGCACGTGCACCTAATATAAGATATATTAACTATTAATTAGTAAAATATTTTCTATCACAAATCCTGAAAAGGAAAATTATTCTTTTAACAGAATATACTCGATCTAACAATCACCACACGACCTTTGTAATTTTCAATCAATAAAGCATATTAAAATCTGAAATTTGACTTTCACATTGACTTTTGAATTTTTTAAAACAAAGAAATTGTATATTTCCACAGTAATGTACAATATTTACTAATCCAAGGAGCCCAAGACCTGTTCCATATCTATTTATTTGATATTTGATCCTAGGATGTGCAGCAATCTCTCCCTGTAAAAATATATTTATACCTTAATAATAAATTGATTAGACACCAATTAAAATATAAAATCATTAAAATGGCCAAAATTTAATGTAAGAAATCTTATTAATTTTTCGTTGAACATTGAGTAGTTTCCACTCCTCATATAGCAAATGATTTGATCTCAGTGTAAACCCACGTATCTTCCAATAGATAATCTATTGTCATTAGTGATTGCGCATTAAAAAAATTCAATACCTACTACTCGTAAAGTGTGGTAATTGAGCCCAAAGTATACCTTATATTCCTACTGCAGTTTTCCACATTAATAATCCAACACTACTTTCTTTGAGTATATGTGGGCATTTTCTTTAATTTTACCCAACTGCACCTGAACATTTTTCGTTACAATAGAAATAACAGTGTACGTGTGCATAAGTCGTCATTTTTTTTTCTCGCCAAGCAAATTTAAGTGAATAATCGAACACAAATAATAATATTTTAAATGTTTTCATCGCTTACGTAGCAATTACTAGAGGACTTGAAAATTCTGAAGCATTTTAAATTGATGGTTAAAGAAAAAATCAAAGGAAACATCGTATTAGTAGTCGTATAAAATGATAGTTTGTCGGAATATTTTAAGGAATAATCCAATAGGTAGATTAAAAATTCGTTATAATATGCAGATGACATCGGCTGAATTTTTATTTACACCACATTTAGCCAGACCTTGTCGACAAATGTACTTGTATGTCGCATCATTTCGAAGATCTTAACATTTCTATTGTGCCAGCTCATTTAAACAATGACCGACCAAGAATTCGCTATAAGAAAATCATTCGCACATTCTGAATTAGTCATGCAAGTGAACGGCCTGTTACCCGGGGAAAATTTCAAAAGTTTGTATACGTTTTTCGCGTATGCACTTATGATAGGCTTCAATATTTTGTTGCCCGTTCTGGGTTACATTAATCTTTTTAAAGCTGATCCAGACGAAAGATTTACTCTGCTGAGTAACAGTTTCATCTATGTGGAAATGTTTATTTTGGTGTTCAAAAATTGGTCCTTAGTAGTTACACCGGATTTGACTAAAAAAATGTTTAACCGATGGAACGATGACATTTTTAACACTCAAGTGGACGAAGACAAACACATCATCGATGAAGCTGTTCGAGATCATCGTATAAAGTATATCTTATATTTCATCTTGACCGGTATAGCACCCACGTTTCTACTGATAAACATTATATTTTCTGCTCACGATGATTTGAAATTACCAATTTGGCTGCCCGTGGATATTTATAATAGTACCTTGCGATATACTCTCGCTAATGTGTATATTATAGTCGGTAATTATAAGTTATTATTTTTTTGTCAACTATACGTGTTTATATCTTAACACAATCAGTTAATTGTGAAATTTCGAATGGGAATTCGAATTGCATCTTTGATGATTTAAAAACTAATAATTTGTTTTTATTATTTAGGTTATACACATGCAGTTTTTGCGCATTTCGCTATAGATGTATATTTATCAAGTTTCATGTTGTATTGTGGTAGTCAGCTTAGACTTATTAAATACAAACTGGAAAATATGGAAAAATATTTTGAAGAAGATCTATTGTGCATTTCCGATGAAATTTTTAATGATAAGTTGCTTCAAAAGAAAGTGTATGATAAAATTACGCAATGCGCCAAAGTTTATGATGCCGTTTATTCGTAAGTACATAATATTCTTCTTCTTTTCAGCCTGCATTAATTGTCCACTGCTGAAATTAGGCCTCTTCCAAATTATTCCATGTAGATACCCAGGTTTTTTATTATTCTTGACAATCTTGACCATTTTTTTCCTGCTACATCCTTCACATCATCTTATTTTGCAGTCTTCCTACACTTCTTTTAGTTGCTGGTGTTTTCCAATTAGTTATCCACCATGATATATCTAATTTGTAATTTCAGGTATATTCAAGAATTGGAAGAAATTTATTCAGGTGGAGTATTTTCTCAATTTTTGGTCGGATCAATGGTTGTTTCTATTTGTCTATATAATATGTCAAAGGTACCTACGCGATTACTAACTGTTACTATTAAGTTATAGAGTATATATTAAGTATGATGAACCTAGATGGTAACAAACCTATAGCCATTCTGGACCATTCTGAATTTTTCAAATTTTCCGAAAAGTTATTGGACAGAAAATATAGCTTTTAAGGCAAAATTCAGAACCAAAGTTCGGTGCACTTTTTTGGAACATAGATTACATAAGTCCTTTATTTTTCAGGCACAATCGTTGAATTTAGAATTAATATACGCAATGGGTTTTCTTATGCCCATGACTTATTTATTATATTTATACTGTAATCATGGAACTCTTGTGATTGAAGAAGTAAAAAAAAATACCTCGGAATAATATTAGAATTTTTAATGACTTTATTTTTTAGAGTTTAACAATTGGAGACGCTATAATCAAAAGTCCATGGTATAATTATGACATGAAATCAAAAAGATTACTGATGATTTTAATCGAAAGATCTAAAAAACCTATTAATTTTTCAGCTGGAAAAATAGTGGAATTATCATTGGAAACATTCGTTCTCGTAAGTTGAATTACCACCCTACAGAAATAGAGACTTAAAACAATAATTTTTCTTTAATCTTTAATTGTACCGAAAAATGTATTTTTTTAGATTGTGAAACGATCGTACTCACTACTTGCTGTGCTGAGAAACTATTAAAATCGAATAAAGCTGAAAAGGATGAAACACATGCACTTGATAAGATACATTTCTATGACACGTGTTGAAAAAAAAATTTTCCTTTTATAGAGATATATTCAATCAAACGTCACCGCTTTAAAATGTATTTTTTAATAAAAAGCAATATTCACTTATAAAGCATATTAAAGCACATTTTTAGGACACATCCTGAGAAGGAAAATTATTCTTTTAACAAAATACTCGAAAAACAATCACGACACTAGCTTTGTATTTTTCAATCAATAAAGCATATTAAAAACTGAAATTAGATTTTCATATTTACTTTTGAATTTTGTAAAACAAAGAAATTATATATTTCCACAGTAATGTACGTACAATATTTACTAATCCAAAAAGCCCAAGACCTGTTTACCTATTTATTTGATATTTGATATTTTTGGTCCTAGGATGTGCAGCAATCTTTCCCTGAAAAAATATATTCATATTCATCACATAATGATAAATTGATTAGACACCATATGCATTTGGTAAAAATTCTGTATGTTTGCGATTATATTGAATTCATCAGTTATTTCATTATTTGTTGTAAATTTGACACTTTATTGTTGAAATTGGATTAATATTAAGAACTATTTATTATTTTTCCTTATAGTGTATCATTTTTAATTGTCACACTGACAACTTTTGTATTTTAAAAACTAGCCTACGAATCATCCCTTTAATATCGATCAAACAAATACTCTGAGCAGTTGCATACGTGCTAGTGTTATCTTAATTGAAACCATATTAGAATTCAGTTCTACCTAAAACACCTTTAATTATTAACAATGGAAAAGCACCACAGAGTGTCTATGGTAAGCACCCAGCATTCCAGGAAACCCATTTTAGTCGGCAAAAAGAAACCCATAAAGGTGATCATCGTGTACAACGAACTAGGCGAAAACGTCACACCGAAACCGCTAAACCCCGACATCTTCTTGAGCAGAGACAGGCAAAGCAGCGTACACGAAATAGTCGATTACGGCATGTCGGAGAGCTCAACAACGCAACTATCCAAATCGTCCCAATCTGCGGTACGTTTCAAGCAAGAGATGGAGAAGCAGGGCATCGGCCATTCGACCGTCCAATACAGAGGCAGCATGCAGGCATTAGTGTGCGATGCTTACCTGGACGCTTTCCTACCCGAAGAAGAACGCTTCGACGACACCGAGGTACTTCCCGCCACCGTTGGCACCGTCAAACCCATCTTCAAAGAACGAAAAATCCCAACGTCGGTGAGTTTAATCCTAAACGAAACCTCCACGTTCTTCCTACTGGACATCACCAGTACCACAGAGATAAAAGAAACCGACGAAGGTTCGTACGTAAAGCATTCATTACTCGGCGATATCAGACAGGACTCTTTAATCTAGGAATCCTAGTCGAACAGGACAACGAGCTGTACGATTTCCTAACGATCGGCAAGGGAAAACACCGGAAGGTCGTTCAAACCGAAGCCCAAACCATGGCGATGGTGCTCAAAACGAGAAACACCTCGTACGAGAAGGTCAAAACGCAGCCGGGCTCCGCCTTCGCCTCCGTCTACGACATGTACGATACGTTGCTAGAAACTAAGGTGAGACGCTACAACGAACAACAAAACACGTTGATCAACGAGTTTCCTTCAAGGAAGAACACGAAGAGGAGGACGTGGAGGAAGACGAAGAAGAAGTCGAGGAAGGTAACGTGAAACTGGAGGAATCCGGATCGGTAGATAGCATCAAGTTATCCGCTGACGAAAAATGCATGTCGAAATTAATCAAAAATCCGAAATTTCTGGACGCTTGCATCGTCATGGAGAGATTACTGGCCAATAATTGTTTCAACGAACAGCAAAAAGTCTTTATGGGTCTATCAGAACCGGATCCGTTTAGAGAAAACATCCAATACAAATACAGATTGAATTTGTTATGGACCTTCGCCAATAACGATACCATCGGTAAATACATCAATATTAATAGTATTTAAACAATTACTTAAGGAGTTAACAGGTAAATCGGTAAATTGCTGCGATTGGAACCCAGCCAACAAAGGTATACTGGCCGTGGGATACGGAAAGTTCTACTTCCACGACAACGTGACAGGACTGATTCTCATTTGGAACATAAAGAACCCCGTGCAGCCCGAGCGGAAGTACAGCTTCCAGCAGCCGGTGACGACGTTGCAATTCTCGAAAGGTACTCCGGCCCTACTGGCGGTCGGCTTCTACAACGGCTCCGTCAAGATATTGAACATCTGCAGCAGGGAGACGATGATCATCGGCGAGAACGTGCCGACGTTCGAGCCCTGCTGGGACATCAGCTGGCAGTACGGCAGGAACGAGCGAAGGAACGAGGAATTGGTGATGGTGACATTCGACGACGGCAAAATCGGCGCGTATTCCATACAGAGAAAATTACAGGTACTCGCTTGCCGATAGATCGCATTGTTTTACTCGCGGAAGATTTTAGATGAGCCAGTTGATGAGGGTGGGTAAGGCGGACGGGAAGCTCAAAGGGTACGAGGCGATGAAGAAATGCACGAGCTTGTCGATTCCCGTGTCCAGATACGCGTCGGCGTTTTTCGTTTGCTTCCACCCGTTCGATCCCAGTTTGTATTTCGTGGGTACCAACGAAGGCACCATACACAAGTGCTCCTTGAACTACCTCAGTCAGCACTTGGACGTGTTCCTGGCCCACGAGGGATCCGTGCACGAAATGAAATTCTCGCCGTTTTTCAAGCAAATTTTCGCCACGTGCGGCGACGATTGGCACACGAGAATTTGGGCTGAAGGTAAATGCGCAGCTCTACGGCAACGTTTGAGAGGCTCCTCGCTGCGAAAAATGTCTAAAATAGTTTGTTATTTGATAATGCAGGAATTCCAGAGCCGATTTTGACTATTGGTGGGATGCAAAGTGTCGAAGGGTTGGATTGGAGCCCGACGCATTCGACGATGGTGGTGGTAATTCGATCTTCAAATATAGAAATTTGGGATGTACAGAGAAAAGTTTACGAAGCCCAATCTATCACTGCCTCGCCTACGGGTAGCAGGAATACTGTTGTTCAATTTACAGAGTCCGGAAGATGTTTAATTGTTGGTAAGTATAATATTAGACTATACGAAATATCATTATTTAGCTTACCTGTTACCACGAGTCCTATGGAAACTTTTACCTAATTTTAATGTAATTTTAGGAGACACTGATGGAAATGTGCATTTTTTCTCTTTGGAGGATATGCCTTTCGTGCCGTTTTTTCAAGAAAATTTACTCAGCGACTCTTTGGCTAGAGTTTTAATTACGAATCCACAAGTATTGGCTAGTTTAAAAAAACTTCGACGAGCCGCCAAGCAAAGTAAACTTACGTAATACACGAGAGTATTGTTGATTTTTAATATATCTCTTTATATTTTTAAAATATACGTTTACATTAGTATCTCTAAGATTTTTATATTTTGATTTAGCAGATTGATCCTTAATTCCAAACCAGCAATTTCTGCATTTTGTGCAGTACTGTTTTTATGTAAAGTTTTCATATTTATCTACAAGTAGAAACAATAAATAAACTTCGTTGACTACAAATGTTTGAATCTTTGTATGAATTTCATTTCAACATTCAAGTAATTGAATTACCACAAAAAATACTGAAGAAAAATTTAAAATTACATATATTAAGATATAGACGTAAATTAAGAAATACAAAGTTCTCAATATAATGTATATGTATAATATATATAGCACTGCATACACATCACAGCAACAGCTGCTCAATTCTAATAATAAACGGATCAAATAATATATAGGGTGGCGGCAAAAATGGAAGATTTTCCATCGAGAAACAAATCAAAAGTTAAAATTCCATGAAATCGACGCGGAAGATTTTCCGGATTTTTGCCGCAACCGATAGAAAAAATAAATTATTCGAATCAAATATTTCGTTTATTTGTCAAATATTTGATACTGATTAAGTTAGTATATACTTTGGGCAAATACTTTATTTTTACACATTAAATAAACTCCAACCAAATAATAATATAGAAAATAAAAGCTCTTTATTACGATTTTTTTTCCTTTGCGTTTTGTCCACTTTCCACGCAATTTCAACAGTTACTTAAAATAGAAACGAAATTGAGCTTAAAAATCTAAAGGCAATAAAGAGCGTTTACTACTAATAATAAAATAAACTGTACACTTCAAAAATTTATAAAATAAATAAATAAATATTTCGGGATAGAAATAATGAAAGTAAGTACTTGATAAAAAGCACTTCAATTAAAAAAAAACAGGAAGGTTGCAAAAAAGTAAACTAGGTCTCAACAATTTGAAATCTTCGATACTATGTTAAACAAAGCGGCAAATAAACAGTGCCAAAATTATCCTCAGAATCCGTGATTAGTTAGAACGTCGTTATAGAAACACATTTTATTCTTTTTAATGCTTGGCAAAAAGGAGAAATAAAAAATAAAGCTGAATTTGTTAATTTCGCCGAGTTCGATTATCGACTTGATTTCCATCAAGCGTCGTTTAGCTGGCAAGCCTGTTTTTCGCTCACTAAAACCGGTTAAAAATCGCCGCGATATGTATGCAACATGATCGAAACTATCCGGTACAAATTGGAATTCGGCTATCCATGCCAAATCAACCCACTGGCGTAGCCTTTGCGTGCATCAAGAGAAAATTTCTTTATCCCAACGCACAAAGAAACGTCTAATTGAATGATTTTTCCATCGATTTTATTCAGGGTAGCTACGCCACTGAATCGATCAACACTCTACTAGAGTTGCATAAACATCAGAGCAATGCGACCGAATCCAGCAAGCCGCGACCAAGTTACGTGATATGTGTAGATTTGGCATTACAAACCGACATTTCAACAAGAAAAATAGATTTTCGCAATTAGAATTCGCATCCGACAACCCCTAAAAATATATTTATATGGCTTTTGATAATATCACCACGAGTAAATAGTTTTCATTATGTGTTTGACTGTTTATCTCCCCCTCTTTAATCTGTCATCTGTCACTATTAGTAACTGTTAACTGGTCAATCGAACGTATTGAAATTATTGAAGTTTTTTTTACCATTTATAAGTTCGTTTCGTCAGAATACAGGTATTTAATATACCAAATGTAGCAGACAAAAGCGAAAACTTCATCAAATTCAAACGGAATAATTAACCGAACCTAACTGATAATGATCTGAAACAACTAGCACAAAACACAAAACTAAATTTAAACATAAAACTTCGCGAAATGTGATGATTTACGTCACGTCGTACAGAGAGGGGGACGTTTCTGCTTTTGTTTCGTTATTATGTTTAAAATTTATTGATTTAAAAAAAGAGTGATTTTAAAGATCTGATTCCCCGTAGAGAGCCGTCGAGAATGACATGTAGTCGAGAGCTCCGGGCACGCTACCAGGTCCCTTGAACGGGGGCATGCGTTGGATGCAATACTCGGCCTGATCGGGCGGTAACTCTCTTCTCAATTCATCGGGAAGGATATAAGGCTGAAAATAACAAAATATTGTCGTTTCAATAAACAGTACATAAATAAATTGAATAAAAACTGTTTATATTTGAGCTTATAATTCAAAAGAAAACTAAACGTCAACTGTCAATGTCAAATTATCTTTTATATTAAAATTTGTTTGATCGCAGGAGGCTGTTTTTCCGGAGATTTTATTAAATGTTGACAGAAATGACATATACTCCGCAATTTTCGAAACAAATGTCACATCTGTCAACCTACATATGCGATCTTTAATAATCAGCCTACTTCGATGTTGACTATTTAAATAAACGCATCAAGTTAGGTAGTTTTACCTTATCTCCAGCTAAAATGCGGAAACTGTCAATAACTTGTTCAGCAGTATCCGTGTCTGTGCTTTCTCTCGTCATGAAATCTAAGAAGGCGTCAAAGTGAACGTAACCAGTGCTGTTCGGATCGACGACGGCCAATATTCTCTGGAAGTCTATTTCCCCTTGCCTGTCTTTACCTAAAAGCAAACGAAGAACATTCAAGAAACTTCATAAAAACAATCGAACAGCTAATTGTCAATAAATGAAGCGTGTAATTCTTACCGATCGAGTAACCCAATGACACGAGGCAAGATTTGAACTCTTCCGGCGTCAATCGACCCGTCCTGTTCTTGTCGAAGTGATTGAACGACGATCTGAATTCGTTGAGTTGATCCTGGGTGATGCCCTTCGAGTCGCGCGTCAATATCTGGTTCTCCACTTCGTTGATGTTGCGGTTAATCGAGGTCAACAGTTGCTCCCAACCGACGCGCAGAGTTTCCATGGTGTATTGAGTATATCTGCAAGAAGCAGAAACGTTAGATTAACAGAAACGCAATCAGTACGCCATTTTCGCCACCAACCTTTCGTCCTGGCTGATGAGTGCAAAAAAACGCAAATAAAACATTATTCGTAAGTAAATAGTTAATTGTTGCGAACATATAATATTCTAAATTGTTAGTGACGTCACTTAGTCTAGCCAATCGCAGAACTCGATTTTCACTCAATCATACTACCAGCCAATCAGAAATCAAGCTGAGTAGTGACGTCACCGAGAATGACAGCCGCTTGGTATATTTCGAAGCAAGCTTTATCAAACACACTCATCCGCATTCAGCGCTTTTTTAACTTGACAGTTTTACATTGTTGTTATGGAGTAACTAAGGACATTGTTTACTTGACTAAACGATTGACTAGCGTTAAAAAGGAGCGCTGAATACGTTTACTAACTATTGTACAAAGTATTTACCTGTTTTCGAAGATCATACTTTCTTGTACGGCTTGGTGAATCTTCTCCAATTCTTCGATGTGCGGTTTGTAGGCGTACACGCCCTGTTCGTATTCCTCGAGTCTGTGCAATTGGTCCTCTAGGGTGCCGTGCAATCCCATGCCGATGGCCGTCACGGCGTCCAATTGGCGCTCGATCCACGGACCCACGGCGTTGGCCTTCTCGGCGAATTGACGTCTGAGCATTTCGTTGTCTGTTTTGGAACAATATTAAGGAAACTTACCCGCGATACGTATCGAACTAAACATATAAATTAATTATCAAAAGGATACTCTGTTGTTTTCTGAGCTCGGCTTGCAAAGTGGCGTCCCGTTGAGGTATCAACTGCCTGACCTCGCCCCATTTCCTCGTCAAGTCCTGCACAAATGGAACGGTTATAGTTAGAAAGTAATTGTTTGTCGTGAATTCGAAATTAACCAGCATTTTTACCTCCAAGTCACAACCGAATCCTTCCTTATTTAGCACGAAAATCAAGAAAGTTACAGTTAAAAAAGACTCGTAACTCGAAGATGAATCGATGACGGATGATTTGCGAGGTGAAAATGAAATACAACACCAACAAGATGATTTTTGGATGCGTTGTTAAACGCGAAGAAAAAATCGCACTTACGTGAGCGGTTAAAGTAGTGTAAGGATTCTCCAAACCTCCGGGTACTTGGTGTTGCTTAACAATAGACTCGACCTCTCTAACGAGCCCGACGATACTTTGATATTCCTTGTCAGCTTCGCCCAAAGTCGCCTAAACAGAAACCAATAAATTCATTTACGTACACCAAGCCAACGATAAATCACCTTAAAGTGATGGTGAGCGTCGATGAGACCTTGAATCTCTTCCACCGTATGCACGATGAATATATCGACCAAGTCCTCTCTGGTGCCGTCCAACCAGTTATTGAACGGCGCCGCCCGCTTGGCGAACTCCAAGTGCAAGATGTCGATCTTCTCCAATATCCTCTCGGCCTCGTCGAGCGCCTGGCGCCTGCGCTGCGTCAGAGCGCCCAGCCTGTCCCATTGGTCGCAGATGCGCTGACATCTGGCGTTCACGCTAGCGCTGTCGTGGTACTCTAACGTGCTAAAAGAGATCAAAATGGCTGATTATCAAGCGAGATGAAGACAGGAAGAGATGGTATGAAACCAAGTTGATTGGAAGAGACCTGGAGTGGTATACAAGATGAGGAAAGGAAGAGAAATGCGGAGAAGGCAATGAGATCAGTAAATGAATTACTTTAGCTCCTGGGCAATGGCGGCGATCTGTTCGACGCGATCTTGATGGGCGGCCAGGTCGGATTCGAAGGCCTCGTGCTTCTTCTTCAAGGCCTTCAATTCGTTGAGGCGGCATTGGCGGAAGTCCTGGCTCTGCAGCATCTCCTCCTTGCCGCGCGTCCAGTCCTCGTGCGCGTCGGCTTTGTGCTTGAACTTTTGGGCGAGATGCTCCAGGCGTTCGAGGCGCATCATCTCCGACAGCAGCCATTCTTCGAACGATTTCTCGGCGTGCTCGAGGCCCTTCCAGGCGTTGGCGATGTCCTAAAGAAGGGGTTACGATAATCGGGCGTTTTCGGGCGAAGTGTCCGGTACTTACAGACACCATTTTGCCTTCGGTGGGCATGTAGGCCGGTCGGTTGGATAGTCTGAGCTTGGTCTGGAGAGTGTTGAAATTCGTCTCGAGCTTCGCCTTCTGTTCGACGCGCGGTGGTTTGTGCTTGCGACGGTACGTACGGTACTCCTCTAGCTTTCTTTGGACTCCGGCTAGAGAGTTGTCGGTTTGGCGGGAGTTCAGCCAAGGCATGGTGCGGCGGATCCATTCCAACAGCTAGAAAATCGCGCGTATGAATTGGGCTGAATATAATCGAAGAAATAAAGTACGTACGTCGCTGGCCAAACGTTCGTATTCCTCCATCAAACGTTCGTTTTCTTGGTTGACTTTGAGAACTTTGCAGATTCTATTAGCGGCAGTTTCGGCCTAACAACATGGGAATTGTATTAGTTCCTTCGCTGTAAGTCTATCGTTAAAAATTCAATCATACGAAGCTAACGTAATTAGGGTGATTGAAATTTTTTTTGTACAAAAGCAAAATTTACAGTTATTTCGATGATACTTGAATGGTTATTAATAAAATGGAGAATAAATCACCTTCTGCGCGCCAGAGAAGCGATGGTAATAAGACGACACGTACGTCATGACTGCTCTTTCGTCTGGCATAGCCGTCTGTAAGTCTGCATGCAAACAATCATTCGGTAAGTACACAGCAAAAATGATGATAAAAAAATTCGAAAAATAAAAAACAAACCATCTCGCATTGCTTTGTCTTTGCGGCAACTGAGATTTGTTAAGAAAAAAACTCTGAGCAAAAAGCGTGTGATGGTATTAAAAAAAATGAACGCATTAAGTACAAAATTATTCGCAAATTTTGTACTTATTACGAACGCACAAGTCGGTTATCGGTTAATTTTTTGGGCGGGGTTCAATTCACACGTTGGATACCTGTTGGGCCCCTTGGAAAGCGTGGTAATAACATGACACGTAAGTCATGATTGCACGCTCATCGGGCTTTGGAGTGTTGACTAAATCTGTAAGGATAATTGTCGAAAAAAAAAACAAATTGTATAAGTAAATCTAATAAAAAATATATCGGAATAATATTGCAATGGAAATTAAAAATGCGTTGGTCTAACCAAAAAAAAAAGGTGTTTGAGAGTAATGATAATGATGAGAAGATAAAACTCACCATCAGGATCCAACATCCGTGGTATATCCAGGTATTTTTCGGCGACGTCGAAGGCCGTGTTGAGATTCTCGTAGGGGTTGTCTTTGGACAATTTGTTGTAATCGATGAGATCCGGACGATGGCGATGGATGAGGGCGCAGAACGCCAAACCGTCCTTGAATGACAAATGGAAGTTTTGAACGTTGACGTTCTTGTAGGGGGCAGTTTTGCGCTGGCACCACAACAGCAGACCTTCTTTGGCCGTCATCTCCTCCACGGAGATGTCCTGAATGGCGAAACGAAGGATGATGGTCCATATCATACCGAGCGTCATTTTTAGGTTGCCATCGACGATTTCTGTGCGACGATATTAAACCAAACATGTTAGTTCTATACTGTTTACTCCCCGGGGATTTGAGCGTAAACCTTTCGGACGAAGCGAAAGGATTTTTTAATAATTTTTACCTTCGGCTCCGATGGATACGAGTTTGACTCCTTTGCTGGCGATGAAGTCGAGCGCCTTGTTGACGTTAGCGATTTTGTGGAATCTCATTTTGCCGCGGTCGGGCTTGGGCAGCGTCTCGCCGGATATCACCTCCAGCAGCAACATCAATTTTAAACCGTTGCGGAAGTCTTCTTCTATGTTTTCTATGCCGGTGCCGGCTTTTCTCAAGTGGCTGTTGCACCATGCCGTAAATGTCTGCAAACGAATTATAACTTCAATAAAAGCTACATAAGCTCTAGTAGAATATTACAGAAGCAGTAAGAAATACGGTAGTTATGTATGAAATTATTTGGCTGCATCAAAATTTATTGAGTCATTACGTGAAGGTAAGTTCTATAAAATTTGAAAATGTTCCATGGCAAACAACTGTTTTTGTTACCGATGATTACATCATTTGAATGTTCTATTTCGTACAAGTGAAAACGAATTGTATATCTCCCGAAAGATACTCCTGCCAATTAGTTTTCCTAAACAACAACCTAAACGAATAAAAAAATATGTAAAGTTATATTGAATCCATCATTTTTTGCCAATATCCACCTCGACGAGGTTTCATTCATTAGCGTACGCTGGCGAGTACGATTTGTAAGCTGTATGTGTACCTTTTCGCCCATAAATTCGTGGATGAAAATTGTGGGACGATGTGCCGATATGTATTTTTAAATTTTGGCATCGAGCCCGATCCGTTGCATATTTCAATCGTGATTCAGAAACGACCATTGCAATTAATGATGATCATAATACGCGAAAACTATTTCATATTAAGCGCGGGATGAACTGCAAACTTCAAATGCACAGCATTTTTGAAATTGATGACATCGTATTGTGCACACATTTCTCTTAAAACATTCAATGTACCAACGCAAACATTTCTAGAATAAATTAAAATTTAATTAAACTGTTCAGGTGAGATTATGTTTGGGTTTTTCGAATTCACGAATATCCTGTCGATTTAATCGAAACTCGATGAGGCGAAGCGAATTAGCGGGTCGAAAAATTTCCGGTTTAGGTAATCTTGAAAGAATAGAATGGTTGTTCGGTAATAAATTCGCGAATTTCTTGAATGAACGATCCTTTGGGCGTGTAATGTGCTCATAGTGGTATGCGTTAAAGCGATTGCCTAATCCTAACAAAACGAGTTTATTTAGACCCGGCCCAGTTACATTTATAGAACCGAGTCTCTGGTTTTGTGCGCTAAAATCAACGAGAAATGCCACATTTTTTTCTCATTGAAAAGTAAGCACATAAGTCCACCCAAAACCTATTCTCTCAAGTCTTCATACAAGTTTATACCAAATTATTTCGAGTAATTTTATTGTCGCCAAAGTTGGGAAATAGGAATTATGTAAATCACATTTGCAATAAAAAATAGTAGAGTAATAGAGTTTGTTAATGAAATAAATTTTCCTCGACATCTCCACTGTAGCTTTGATGTTACATTTTCGCAAAATTTCGAAAGTGAAGCGAAAAGCTGTGATGTAACCCACTGCTTATCAATCGCAAGGCGATCGCAGATTTAAATTTAGATTTTAGGCGCGTCACAAACCGCATACACTTTGCGAATTTAAATATTAGCTCGGGAATGTTCTAAGATAAATATTGAAGAAGTCAACAGTGATGGTATCAACGTAAATAAATGGTCAAATTGAAGGCCCTTTGGGACAAGGGCTTACCCAATTATAATACCTTTATATTGATTTTTTCTCTGTCGTCCATTTCCAAGACATTGTTTAATTTATAATGGAAGACAAAAGAGTCACCGTCAGCGCAGAAATCCTCCAACATTTCGAATTTCCCTCACCCAGAGGAACTAATTAGACAAAATAAAATCACTTTTTTTAAAGACTTTTACGCGTACAATGTACTTTTTTCATTTTGACAAAACGAGTGAATTATATGCCACGGAAATGAGTTACAAATTTAAATAGAAAGAAGAAATCTTAGCTAGACAGAACTCGAACAATTGCTAAACAATTGGTTTAGAATAAAAAGTAGATTTAAAATTATTACAGAAATTATAAAAAATTATAAAAAACTAATTAATGTTTTATTGTTGCATATAAACATATGGAATGCGGTCAGTCGGAAACCTAATTTCAAAATATTTTACTGTATAAAATGAAATAACGGAAAACCGGCTGCTATTACAATATCATTACAAAGATAAAAATAAATAAAAAAACAACGGCCTTATTTTAAATTCGACCTTGAGGAACGTCTTACGAACAAATTATTATATCTACTAATGAGAGGCATTTTAAATATGTATCGTTTCCAATGAGTGGTACCGACAATTTGTACATTAAACGGAAACAAAGCGTTACGGAATGTAAAAAACTATAAAAAAATTAATTATTTATGGAAAACGTTTAACGAAACAACAGGAATTTAATATTGTAAAATGTTGCGTGCTTAATTCATTTATCTACGAATATTTTCCTAATAGTTGAGCGTAAAATATATTAATTGCTGCTCATGTGGAATGTTGTGAATAAACGAATTTGAATGTTTATGCTAACACTAAAATTAAAAAAAAGTATTTTCGAAATAATTTAAATTTTAAATTAAATTAACATCGAATGTCTACCTCAATGGAAACCAGGACATTCGTTTGTTAAAATTTTTGTGAGCAATTTGTTGGAATTATCGTACGTTTGAAATGTGCCAATTAACGATAAAAAAAAGTACAATTTACGGGAAAATATTTTCAAGTAATAATGTTCCGTTTGCGGCAAAACCCAACTGTTTCATTGTTAATAAGTCTTAAGGCATGTGTTAGACATTACGAGTACGAGAAATGATAAATAAATTCGTACTGACCGTATGGCGTTTCACCTATAACAACCACGGAGTATCCGAACTCTGCCACAAAATGCAGGTAGTCATTATGGGTTGTTCGAACTCTGCCAGGTTTTAAAATTTTAGGGATTAAGTATTTAACCCGTAGGGGTCTAATTGTTTAATCCGATTTAACAATTTCATAATATATTTTCAACGTATATTTGTAACAAAAAATACATGTACATTTTAATAAAATATATAGGTTTAAATATACACATAAAAATAAAATAAAATTATATCTGAGGAAGATTTTTACATGTCACCGTTTTCACAAATATAAAGCGAGAAATAGTATTTTTCTTATAGTTTTCCGTATGATTATGAATAATTATATGTTTTTTTTTCCGATTTTAGTTCGCCGAACGAATTTTCGCGTATATATCCGTTTGAAAATCTAATAACACACTAATAAATTAGACAATATTTGGGTGTGCTTTATAAAGAGTTATTAAAATGGGAATGAAAACTCTCACAAGAATTAGTTGTCCTCTTAAAAAAGTCTGCAATGTTTGCCCAAATATGTGGTGGAAATATCGAATATTGTTTTTTATACGTTTTATTGACATAATTGCGAAATTATATAATTCTCTCATCGTTTGGAAGCAAAAAATGTAGTTCGTTATTAAAAAATTCAACAACTTCCTCAGGTCTAAGAAACATCATTCCAAAATGTACTTTTAAGTAGTCGCCAATTACTCAATCTTTCTGCATGTACTCTTGTACCCAATGAAACTCCAGAATCTTTCGAAACCAAGCTTGACAGAGATGAAATTTACAACCAAAAATAATTTGATCTCTACCAAAACATTCATATATAGCGTTATGAATGCTTAGTTCAAAATCTACTACGACTTCTTTGCGTTGAAATTTTAAGTTTTATTTAGGTAATATTATAATAAACCCTAATGACACTAATAGGATTAAACTTAATGGTCGTGGCAGAGTTCGAACCATTCAGTAATCCCCAAATTGATACAATTCAGGTAACATTTTATTTTGTGGCAGAGTTCGGATATGCCCAACAACCATACGTTCGCTGTAACTTCGAGCGAGAACACGTTACAATAAAATTAATTAACGCTGATACCGATCAATTTTAACTGTTTTACTTGAAAAGTTATTATGCTACTGTGTCATACTTACAAGGAATCGCCATTATGACGCCGCGATGTTTGTTAAAACACAACGAAATGAATCAATTACGCCCAACTCGCGCGTTCAATTCGCCTATTCAACTCCACCGTACATTTTTAATCGTCGAATAAATAAATAACGCCTTAAAAAATCCAAATGCGAGGCTGTAAAAAAGCACCCACGCTGCGATTGCCGGTTAATTACTAGAACAAATGGAAGATCAAAGCGGCCCTATTTGTACACCCGTTACATTCGGGCCCGCTTAAAAATGCCACACGTTAAAGCCCACGTGGAATTATTAGTGTTAGAGGATGGGCTAATAAATGTAAATAAATCAGGAGAAAATTCTTCACGGGATATCCTATGATAAAATGATCAATATTTTAGTTGTAGATTTGTTTAAAAAGTGCATTTGTTTATGCAAAATTAATGCTTTCTTTAGTGCAATAATTACCGAGTGAGTTGATGTTGTTTGTAATTGCAATGAACTAGAAATGTTTTTTTTATTTACATAACTAAAAAACAAGCACTTAAACTTATACCTAGATAAATTGAATTTAGTTAGAGATTTAAATAGCTGCTGAAAATCAAATCAAAACATTTTTTAGATAAATAACCAGGTTGCTCTCCACTCATTAGCATCGAATGAAGACCTCACCAGAAACCAGTCCGGTCAATAACACATTCGAAGTTTTAGTAAGTCACTAATCGATGACCGACTGGGAATGTTTTTTATATGGCATCTGACGAAAACATTCTCCTGTTGTGGTCAATAAATTTGCATGAGGTGATTCACATTTTGGTGAAATTGTTGTACGGTTCATCGAAATCGACTTTCTTCGATTTTATGTTATTCATTAGTTTCTTTTATAATTTCATTCGATAAAATCTTGGGTGTCGAAATTTGTGTTATTTCCTTTATAACCTGATTATTTCACAGTTTTTCAAAAACCTATCCTGTTATATGGGATTTCTATGAATAATACTGTGTGTCGGCGACAATAAACATCAATCAGTGAACTGTTGAGCACGTTTAGAGTTGGAAAGTTATTTCGAACGGTGACACCCACGTGCCGATACGTTGAATGTTATTTTCATCCTCCTAAAGTCAACTCCTCCGACACATTGCCACGGGTTAGGATTACCTTGTTACAAGCGATCTAATATCGAATTAAGATGTTCCACTAAAAACGATACCAAATGTAAAAAAAATCGTTATT